CTCATGTAATAAGTATCCACTCAAACAAAACAATAGGCTCTTGTTTTGTATGGATAAACAAGAAAAATTCCTTGTTTTGTTTTAGCTGACCCAAATAAACAAAAACAAACTAAACAATTGTTTTGTCTGTGCAATGCCCTGTTTGCCCCTATCTGTGCCGATGCTGTCCTCTTCGCATGCATCTAAGATGAATTGTGTAACAGTAACTATTTACGTACTCATGAATGAAGGACGTTTTAACACGGTCGTAATAAGATGGATTTGGATCGCATCTCAACATTGAAAGAAGATTGGTAGAAGCGAAGGTAGGTAGGTACCTGGTCACGTTGCAGATAATTCCAAGTAAAATACCAATTGAGATTAGAGCCCAGCAGTTCTATGAGAGCACGCCTCGCAGGTTTCGTCTATGAGAACAACTTCCAACCACCAGGAACCCCCTTCTGAAATAGGCCGTCCGGGTCAAACTTCTGGCTTGCATTGCGTAGCTTCTCAGAGTTTGCACTGCCATATGATCCAATCGGATCCTGGAAAGTCGCCGCATAATTAAGGTACTTGAATGGAACTAACGTGCCCCTTATTGTAGAGTCACTGTCAATCTCGTCCAGCGCCTTCCTTAGACTATTCACAATTTTCTCGTCGTCCTCCCTATTCTCCCAAAAGGTAAGAAAAAGGATGCTCACAAGCGGTCCGAGTTCCGGCTCCAAACCTAGAACATTGCCGCCCTGGGGGGCCGATCGCTGTAGTAGGGATAAAGGATACGGCTGCAGCGTAAAAGAGAGCAGTATACCCTCACATGACTTGAGTGGCTGGATGGCTGCTTCATATATCTTTGTCGCTACCAGTAATGTCGCAACATCGGCTTTGACGGTCGTGTTCATGTAGACGGATCTTGCACCGGGATCAGCCGCTGTGACAAGTCAATAATTGAAGATATCGTACCTTTTTGGAGAAGGTCTATCCCCAGCTTGCTCTCGGGCTGCATCTGCCAAAGTGTGCATGCGTAGAGAATTCATCTGTTCTATCTGCGGTTGGATTTCCGTGAATGGTCGCAGTACGGGGTTCTTCTCAATCCCTTGGGTGCAGTAGACCTCTATAATATCAATCAGGATGGTTCTCCTCACTCTCGGAGTCATGACAGGGTTGGTGAGGATTTTGGTAAGGATTTGAGCAACGATAATAAAAACTGGAGAGTGGATTGGAACTCACGATTTAGACACATCATTTGCGACCCAAACATAGCTGAGTAGCCAATGCTGACCATCAAATGCGTATCCACGGATGCATCTGGTTTCTGTAATTCAGCCACAAGAGCATCCAACTGCCCTGGGAAGCTGTCGCCGAAATAATAAATACTGCCTCCATAAACAGGGCCCTGTTTGAATGTCCGAAAGTCGAAGCGCGTCACGATGCCTAGATTGTTTCCTCCTCCACGCAACGCAACCCAGAGGTCCGAATTCTCGTGTGCATTCGCATTCACGATGGATCCAGATGCAAGAACAACTTGGAAATTAAGGACCTGTAGACAATATATCAGGTTAGTCCGTAACACATTATGAGATGATCGTATTCAAGCCAGCTCACGTTGTCACAAATAAAGCCTCCACGCGACGAAACAAATGACAGACCACCTACACCAGAAGTCAGTGCTATTTTCTTGAGTTTAAGGAGGGACTGTTGATGTACCTGCCAGAGCCAAACCCCCAATGCCTGACCGATACGAGCGCCCTCCAGAAAAACCTAAGCCAGCTTCTCCAAGCTGATCATAAACAGGGCCCCAGCTCTCGCCAGCAGCAACTTGCACTACGCCTTCTTGGATAGAAATGCCCTTCAGGCGCTGTAATGACAGGGTAATGCCATCTTGTATATTGGAGCAACCGGGTGCTGGCTGCTGGCCGCCGCCAACGATGGCAAAGGGAGCTTTACCGCTTAGCGCAAATGGCTTGATGGTCTTAACGAAGGTTGCCACGTCCTCGGCAGCCGTGGGCTGAACGATGCAAGCTGGAGTAATGTCAGAGCAGAGACCGGATTGGTAGGCCTGGTTGAGCTCCGCGTAGTCGGAGGAGCCTCGCTGTGCAAAGTGAGCGTTCGGTAGGGCAAGCTGGAGCGCTTCGATAGCTTCTGTAGTATCCATGGCTTTGATAGAGCTCAGGAGCCCAGAATTGTACGACGAGAAAAGATTCTTTCAGAAGAAAAATAGAAAAACACTTGGCGAGGCGCAAAATGTAGATAGAAAGTTGGCGAGCGACTGCGAGCAGCCCAAAGAAAGAGACGTTATCGGTGACCCCTCTCTGTCTTCCAACATAGCCAATGCCAAGGATATGACTCCTCGTTTGCACAAGTTACGCATTTGTTGGCTACATAGAACAGGTAACGGAAGACTGCAACATTCCATCTATCACATAACTTTCTAAAGAAAGAACAGATCACGTAGGACAAAGTTGGAGTATCTGATTGTTACAATGCAATGCCAGGGCATATGATGGGTAAGGGTTGCGTGCATGTAGGGGTCTACCTAACATGCATCGGGCAAGGGTGGTGGGGTTGGAGGATGCGGGCCGTAAAGTGAAGCTGAAGCCGTTTTTAATAGGTACCTCTTAGGTAGGGGACAGGCTAGCAAGGCCAGTGTAAGCCTACCGAGTGTGGAAGGCCGCCCAATCGGCGGCACTTACAGTTATGTTCTATGATAATGGAAAGGGAGATAGATACCTACATAGGTGACTTATGATACTTGTCACAGCTTAAGGTTAAGGTACTAATGTAGTATACTAGATCCGTCCCTTCGGGTAGGTCTACATGGAATAATAGCGCCAAGAACCATAGCGTACCTTGGTATGGTTGCAATAGCTCGCCCAATCTTGGTCCACTGGAGTCGGAATCATGCAGAGGGAAGTATGTCGCTAACCAGCTCTGCTTTAGGTGATATTTCTCGAGCGAGCTCGCTTCATGCATGTCAAGGCCTAGAAGCGAAACTTGCTGTATGCATTTTATGGGTTGGCTCCTGTGTTACGAACAGAGGGCCTCCTGGGTACATTTTGGCTGTTATGGGAGTTTCGTTATGAATGAATTCCATCCTCCCATTCGTCTCCAATCTCTCCGGCTGAGGATATCGTAACACTCTGTTCTAACAGCAGCTTTCTTTCCTCCTCTTTGCATTGGTGCTGATATCCTCTCATGTCCCACTTCGTCACACGGGCATACATGTCTCGAGCTTGACTTCATTATGGGGCACCCTTTTCAAGTCACCAAGAAGGCATTCCTCGGGTCTGGGTCTGCCCTCATCATTCTAGCCGCTCTTTTCGTCGCCGCACGACTTGTAGGCGGTCACAGGAAGTTTGGCAAGTTCTCCATCAGCGATTGTAGGTCTCGAATCCAGCCAAGTTAGACCGGCAAACCTGTGATGTTGATCTCAAACTTCTAGATATTTCTGTCTCCGCCATTCTCTTTTTAACGGGGACCTTCATAATATTCAACCTGACTACGGATGGTGAGTCTTAAGACAGAAACTGCTAGTCTCTCATACATATCAATACAATCCACTGAGCCTTCATCCAGCATTGAACGATCCTCATACGTCGTTATACTACCTCTTACAGGTAGGATGAAACCACCATCACATATGACTATCGTAGCTAATTTGAAGTAGTTGGGGACTGCTAGTACATTGATAGCGGCAGCAGCTACCTGGACTGCTAAGTCACCGATCCTTTTTGTCTACATTCAACTCTTTGGCATCAAGCAATGGCTCCGTGTCATCTCCTATGGCGTCTTGATCGTCACCTTCTTGTTTCTTCTGAGCTGGAACTCCTACGTTGCAGCGATCTGCAACCCGACCGGCCGAGATAATCTCACCGAAATGGTCCTAAAATGTACTTCAGTCACCGCGACTGGTGGTGTCATCGTCGGTGTAATTGGCGTTGTCACTGACATAATAATCTTGGTCCTTCCGCTTCCAATAATCCTGAGATTGAACCTTCCGCTGCGGAAAAGGGTTGGCATCATCGGTGTCTTCTTGACTGGAACATTGTAAGTGCTGTCAGAATGCTTCGTCATGGGACTAAAAGCTATACTCACACTTTTTTCTTGTAGTGCGCTCGCGGCAAGTGCAGTTTCTGTCTATTTCAGATGGGCCTCTTTATCCGGTCTACCAGTTGATTACAGAGCAGCAACAACTTGGAAGTGAGTAAACACGGTCTGCAAGTTGTGTTCTTTAGCTGACGCCTTTGGTCAGCATCATCGAACTGTCCATCGCGATAATGGTCGGATGTGTTCCGGCTGCTTACGCCTTCTGGATGGCTTATGCTATTAACTCGGTCATATTCTCTAGAATCTCGGCCGTTGTCTCCCTTCTTTCGGTTAATCGATGGAGTAATTCTAAAACATCGCGAACGCAATCGCAACCTGGAGGATATTACATCCCCGACGAGCGTAGCGAAAATGACATTATCCATCCATGTGGTGTTCTTGACGACAGGAGGTCGAAAGACAAAGGTCCAACTATTACTACCCTCGACGATACTAGCCAGATTTCACTACATAGGTTGAGCACAGGCAAGTAGCCATGTCAAGGAGGAATTAGTCGATTGCTATATGTAGTATAACTCAGAGATGGGTATCGTTCGAACACGCTAGGTAGACCACAAGTTTGTTTCTTTTATGGAACATATGTAAATAACTATATCGAAAATACCGAGGATAATGGAGCTTGATTTTAATAGTCTTATGATGTTACTTGATTGAGTATTTCACATATCTGTATTTGACCGTATTGCGGGCATGCAATGTGCCTTGTGCAGATGACTGACTATATGTGACTGCCCCCCCAGGTATTTCTTTTCTTTCTGTTACTACATGTCACGATTAGGCCATGAACCTTCCGTGTTAGATTGGGTAGGTAATATTCCAGCTATAATTGATACATGATCATGTTAGGTAGGTACCTAGGTATCTCAGGGGTATGCAGATAATGTAGTGGGTGTCATTTTACTGAAGGCTCTCTCAGCGAGCTAGTCCAGCAACTCAACATAAAGTCTGAGCAGGGATACTTTCGAAGGATGTGCATAAATGATTCGTCCAAGAAAATACCTTCTTGGCATGTTGCTTGCATGCAACTTGTATAAGCCTTTATCTCAGTACCATGTTCATCAATAGGATTTGCTGCGAGGCATGCCGTTGCGTTTACCCCAATTCCAGTACTCATCCCTTCCATGTATATTTACTCCTGTAGGCGCTCTAACGGTTGAATGTTGGTCGATTACGTATTGATCAGAGATGGAGTTGTCACATCTTTGCAAAGCACACGTTGTGCTTCCTTCTATTGCAATCACGATACTCCTGTGGTTTCTAAAAAGCATCAAAGTCTCACATCATGAGAAACTCTTGAAATCTAGCCCTTCGGTTGGACTTGGAACTACATGGCTCTCATGGCCGTTCGCCTTGCTCAAATCCCTGACCAGGACAAGAGAATTAGTCTTCCAGGGCTACTCAGATGTATTGACTACAATTTCTTATTCTTCTTGCCTTCACTCTATGGTTCATTACTCAAACATTAACACCAAGTTATTCACTTTACATACCTAACGTGTTACTAGTTCTCTAAGTCTAATCGCTTCTTCGTTCTTCCAACAATCGACCGTGGCGGGTTACTGGTGATTCCACCTCGCCAAATCAAGCGGCTCTATGGACTGCCGGAAGATGTCCTCGACGTAAAAACAACAGGAAACAACACGATCCAAACCCGGTGGACAGTCTGGGATGACGAAGTCGCTGAGAACAACTTCCAAATGAATGTTATTCGCCATCAAATAACTCGCAATCTCAACATCCTAACCCCACCTATTGCCGAGGAGCTTGCGAAAGGATTTGATCGTGAATGGGGAACTGACACGAAGAGCTGGAAAACAATCAGCGTATGGACCTCAGCATTGCGACTTATTGCTGGCGCTGCAAACGGTGCCTTCTGTGGAGCTCCTTTATGTAGGTTGCTCACATACTTCATATTTCCCACCCAACCATGATCATTGCCTCCTTTAGACATTATTGTATACTTCTAGAGCTCGTACTTTTCTGATATACTTCTCTGATCTTCGGTCCACCTGACATATGATGATTTTATAGGCCGCAATGAAGATTTCCTGACCAGACTTCGGGATCACGCTATGTGCGTCTTCGCTGGCGCTCTTATCATCAATTCAACTCCTGGGCCGATAAGATGGATCAGTGGTTACCTGATAGGATGGACTAGCTACTTCCTCTTCCTTAGGGTTTGTCGAGTCTGTCTGCCATTCGTCAAGCAGCGGCTTGAGAATACGGCAAAGTTGAGACTTGATCCGACTTTCCCCTGGACACCGCCGGTGAGTTCGATTCAAACATAAAGAGTAACCTGAATGTGGTGTATCTAATAGGTTCTTAGGAAGATGGGCTTCAATGGATAATTGACGAATGTTACGCAACCAACGAGCCCGCGCAGTTAGATCCGGTGAGGGTGACGCATCGTCTGGTTTTCATGAACGACATCTCAATGCACTCAACAAGCTATACGGTACAGAATGTCATTCTTGATCTGGCAGCAGCAGACCCATCTCTTGGTCATATTGAATCTCTACGGGAAGAGAGTGCCAGAGTTCTGAAAGAGGCTGGAGGGTCATGGACTCGTCAAGCTGTGACGAAGCTGAAGCTTGTCGACTCGGTCGTGCGCGAATCGATGCATCTTTCCCCATTCAACAGTGTTGGGCTTCCCCGGACTGTGATTGACCCGCATGGAGTCACCGTACAGCAAGGCGAATCAATTTGGAACATTCCCCAAGGCACCATTCTGACGATCCCCGTAGAACCCATCCACTACGACGACTCGATCTATCCAGGTGCGAAGCAATTCCAGCCTTTCCGTTTTGCCCAGCCTGGCGCTGTGCGTGATATTGTTGATCATGCCGTAGAAGCGTCTGCAAGCGAAAGTGGACATGAGACGATGGCCAAGGGGCTAGCGCCTTCGACACCCGGATTCAACTCAGAACAGAAACAGAGCGCCACTATTGACGATGCGTTTCTTGGATTCGGGTTCGGCAAGCACGCATGCCCTGGCAGGTTTTTTGCCTTGAATGAAGTTAAAATCTTCGTTGCTCACATGGTTTTGCATTACGACATAGAGCACTTGAAAGAAGGCAGAGCACGGATGACACCACTGATTTGGTTAAATATACCGTTGTTTAACAATATCAACGTAAGGGTACGACGGAGAGAGCCTGTTTACTAATCTTACGAAAGGCGATGTTATTTGAAGAATGAATCCTTCCTTAGATGGAGTGTTTACGCTGAGAGTTTTTCTCTTTCTTTTTTTACAGCTATGTGGTAGGTATTCTAGGTACCTAGTCTGGGTGTTGAAATCGTTCTTACTCCGAGTATGACCCTGAGATTACGAGTGTATTGTATCAAAAGTGGTCTCATCAAAATGCTTATAAAAATGTTTCCCATCGCCGTAGTCTTTCCCAGTTTGGCGTTAAAGTCGTGTATGGTTATATCTTAGAGGAAGTTTACGAAAAAATTTAAAATGGAGTATATGCTGGAATACTTCCTGCGGAGCAGGAGCCAGTAGACTCCTACTATATGGATTTACGCTTTCTAATGTGTGGGATGTCACATTCTCGAAATCTAATGACGAGAGTTTAGATTCCCTAAGCGTCATTAGTTTTGTCGACCGAGACGCCCTCATTACACGATAGCTTAAAGTCAATGACAAATTAGGTATGTTCTGCAAATCCGGGGGGGGGGGGGGGTTTCTTCTCTCGCAAGTTTATCGTGTGTGTACCTGGAATCAGTCCCTTTCTATAAATATGTGCATTAACGAGATCCTACACTTCTGGAAAGCTTTCCTGTCTAGAAGCATATTGTAGAAAAGTGTGAACTAGTACATGGAGCCGTGCTTGAATGGGCCTGTAGGCGTAAGCTACCTTGTCGCCAAACACAGCGAATAACATATTAAATATTTACGAATTAATCACTTAATAGCACTAACAGTACCAAGAATAGCCAACCGATCCTCTTCATCCAAATCAATACCGAAATATTTCCCTATAGCTTCAGTCCTCTGCTCCTCACTCTCAAACCTGACCTCTAATTTGGTCTTCCCATCGCGCCTCCACTTCAGCGTGTCCTGGAACAAAACCAGCTCTCCATCAATCGTAATACTATCCAATATTTCCGGATTTCGATCCATACACGCAAATTTCTGATCCAAGATTTTCTCGCCGTCTTCCTCAAGGCTGGTCGTGAACCGCGATACAATGACTTTCTGTGTAAACCAGGAGGTAGGGCTTTTCCATGGGTTTAAGTTCAAGCCGCGGATATCCTCGAGCAGGAACTCGAAGTTGACGAAACAGAACCTGGGGACCCACTCCGGGTCCGGGTCAATGCGCTGTTGATAAACCCATACCTTTTGGGACTGGTCGACAGCTTGCGGGATAGGCTCGTTTACGAGGCGGATCATAGTGGTGCTCCCGAGAAAGTGTCTCTGGGGTTGGTCATCTTCGAGAAGGACAGGAAAGGTAGGCCCGTTTGCACCAAAGCCTACGTCCACCATATACTTCTTGTTGTCGATCGTCACGATGTTGACACAGTGTGAGAACCCGCCGTATCTACCGGTTTCTTTGGAATAGACGCGGGCTCCCGCCATGTAGACGTCATATCCTAGACTCAGGAGCACAACGTGGAATAGCGAGTTGACTTCCATGCAGTAGCCTCCTCGACGGCTTGGCCAGGGCACAATCTTGTTGAATAGATGTTGCGGTCGTACATTTATGGTCCTGTGCCAAGAGTAGTGCTGTGTGAGGTTCTCAAACGGGATACGAACTAGCGTATGCTTTTGGAGACATTCCAAATAAGTGAGCAGAGCAGGGCCTCTATAGCCTACCACAGAGGAAGTCCGCTTACCTTCGGGGAGGAAGATACGGTTGAAGAATTGCAATAGTTGGTCATCGGTAAACTTGTGTCGGTCAGCCATTTTGAAGAGTGAGGTAACAGCGAGGTGCTAAGGGTATGGACAGGACTGGAACCTGAAATCTGCAATGTATAGTAGGCAACTTGACGAAACTTCGTGATGTCTAGAAGTTGACGGTGATGAAGAGCGGAGCTGTGAGACCCAGCCTGCTGTAATAGACATTTACCCGATTTGGGTTACTAACCATGCTGCGCACGTGACCTCAGGGGCAAATAGGGGAGATGATTACATAATCGCGCCGAGGTATATGGAAAAGTGAAATGGATTACGGCCTCTGTCGTAGAGGTCATCTCGATTCATATGTGGCCCGCGAAAATATAAACATGCGTATAAACAACCCTAGACATCAATCGAGCTTCTAGGGATAGGTGTAGAGGTATCCAATGCTTCGATTAACTTCAGTTCAAATGAAACAACCATCAACGTGTGGTATGTGTGCGCTCCTAACTCCAAAACAATGCATCTTCGAATAGAATGAGAGAAAAAAAAAATATAGTCAAAACAAGGATGAATGGCGGGCATTAATCATCCGTGACCTCCCTCAACAAGTTCCCTCTTACTTCTGCAAACAGGACAGCCGCCCTCGATGCGGTCTCTTATTAGTCGTGCGTGTGTAACTTTGCTACCCACGAATCGGCCTCCTCTCGAGCGATCCTCGTCTCCATTCCCTACGACGGCGGGGTCGACAGCCTGGCCCGGATGTAGGTACTCTAGGAGATGGGTGATATGGAACACATGGCCACACGCAAATCCTACTAGTGTCTCCGTTTCCCATTCCGTGAACGGCTCGTGGCATCTTGCGCAGTGGCCCGGCTTTAATTCTTGTTGGTCCTGTTTAGATTGTGGCCTGTTGCCCGAAAGATGGTTGTTTGTTACTGTATTTATGTCCGACGCCTCGGTAGCTGTCGCAGTTCCCGTACGCGGTGTCGTGGATGGCGATGATAATTTCGCTGCTGCTGCGAGGGTCGGTATGTCTTTGACCTCAACATCGACATGGTCGTCAGAGTGAGCCATCACCTCAAATTTGATGCCCTTACGCTGTCCGTTACGAAGTTGATTCTGTGCTGCTGCAACTTCGGATCTGAGGACTCGGGCTACACCGGAAGAAATGCTGTATTGGATCTCGTGTTCCTTCATAATATGCTTCAAGCCTTCCCGCAGACCCGGAATTTCAAGGCCCTCGGGAATCCTGCGGACTAGAGTAATGGGATTGATCGATGTACCTACTTCTTCGAGCAAAGCACGGATGAAGCGCGGCTTATCCATGCTGTATTCGAGGAGGTCCTCCCACAGATCCGGGTCGTCTTGTTCCTTTGCAAAGCTAATGGCTTGCGAGACGTCGCCTAAGCGGTCGATAATGAGATACAAGGCCTGCTTCATCCGTCCAGTTTTAGAATACAAATAGACGAGTTCGGGTATGTAATTAGCCTGTTCACACTCCTGAACGGCTTCCTCGAATGTGTAAGAGGTGGACACCTTCAAGAAATCCATGAGAAGTTCCCGGTCAAAACTTGAGAAGATATGAACAGCTAAGTCGGCAAACTCGTCTACTAGAGACACGCTTTCGTCGACAGGTTGATCTCGATATTCCTGCCATAGACCGCGGAAGTAAAAATAGAGATAAAGGTTTAAGTCTTTCTCCTCGAGCTGTCTGACCACGACCTCAGGCTTAATAAGACCTCGCTGTGCTTCGTCCACAAGCAAAGTGATAGCTTCCGAGGTAGCTTCCTCGAGCGCAGCGATACTCATACGACTAAGTTCTGCTTCTGGTACCCTAAGCGCAATGAAGCTAGCAACATCATCGGTAACGGCATCAGCAAGATGGTTGTCCCTTATTAGACGCATCGCTGAGTCTGCATCACGAAGTCTTATGTAACATCTTAGAGCTTCCCGGTATCGACCGCTTACTTCGTGGAGTCTAGCTAGACTCTCCTTCACGATTCGCCAGTCACGTCCCTTTTCACCATCTTCGATGCTGTCTTCTCTCACGTCGCGGAATTTTAGCTGGTTTTCTAGGGCGATGCTGACCTCATTCGCGTCGAAAAGCTCTGTCCCCCAGCGATCAAGTAGTTCCTTGAATCGAGGCTTATCGGTCTGAATGTAATGTCCCAGAACGATTTCGTATACGGTCCCTGGTATTGGTGGATGCATTGGCTCTGGTGGCATGTAATCCACGATCTCGTCGAATTTCTTAGCTCCGGCAAATGTGTAGATCCATTTCTCCCATTGGTGAGGAGTATTAACCACCTTCGCTGCAACTTGTGCAGCGTGCACCCAATCACCTTCCTCAACCAGCTCTTGAATCCAAAGTTCCCCGATCCGTCGTTTCTCCTTCTCTGCCGATGAGTTCATAAATCTGATTTGTTCATCTACCATGGATGTCGTCTCTTCGTAGAAGTCGTCCGCTGTTGAGGGTCTCTGGCCGGGGCTGGATGGTAAGGGTCCAGAGACATCCCCCGAGGGTGCATTCATGATCTCTGGGTGCTCATTTAATAATTCCCAAGCATCTGGATATCTTTGATGCTCTAAAAGCCATTCAAGATGATCGCCAAGATCTCGTTTTGTCCCGAGAATACAGTCATATGGACTATGGATGAAGATTTTCGCGCCTGGCTTGACGAGACTGGGGTGTACCGTCCGAGATGCTAGCCTAGGAGCGGCTCGGACACTTCCTGTAGTATTGCCAGCTCTGGGACTTGAAGCAGCGTCATTACTATCCCTGCTTCGTACACTAGCGCCGGAGCTGAATAATGATCTCGGGTTGACAGCAGCATTCCACATATCCGTGCCGAACCCTGCTAGGGCTTCTAGGGCGCCTCGAGAAGCCACAACAGAAGCAGCTCTGTTAGCCGGTAATACACCTAAATGATAATCATTGGAAGAAAGCCGTTCGAATCGATTTACTGGGAGGCTGTCCTTGTCAATTTCGGCTTGAGATGTGAGGTCAATCAACCTCAATTCAGGAGCTTGGGCATTACGACGGCGCCTGATGCCGCCCGACGGCTCACCACTGCCTGATCGTCTATGTTCTTTCGCATTCTCGATTTCTTCATCCTCTTCATCATCTGGTTTACAATAAGCAAGAACAAGAAGGAGAGTTTGGGTATATAACGAAATGCCCGATATAATGCAGTCCATGCGGAGTCTAAAAAAGTTAGTAGATACCATAGAAGTCCAACTAGAAATACGCACATCTTCACGATCTCAGCCCGTCCGATGGACTTTTCACCCGCATTCTTCCCTACGCCAATACCTCCAGGGTGAACATGGATAATCCAAATAGTTCCACCCCATCCAACCAAAAGTCGTTCTATTGTTTTATCGTGTCTCTGCGCCTGTTGGCTTAACTTGGCAGCGGCTGGAGACAACACGCCCAGCGCATCATTTTCCTTCGCTACCTCGTCGCTTCCGATAGCTTGGTCGTCGATCCATTCTGCCCTGCCCTTCCATACACCGGCCATCTCTTCCCACTCGTCTGTTTGTGGCCTGTCGATGTGACCTACTCGTTTCCAAGCATCTTCGATGTCCGCACTATCTAGATGCAATTTAGTTCGCATAATCTTGATACCATGATCGTTTAACCAGACGACATATTTCCCCGACAAAGACCATTTGATCGTGCTAATAGTCCCCTCTCCGGAATGAAGCACGGTGTCTTTGCCTGTATTTGCGCCTATTCCGATGCTTCCGAGCCAACCTGATGCTGCTGCCACAGCAGTCCCTGTAGTTGATGATGTACTTCGACCTTGTGGCGCCCCAACAGTAAGCACCAAGCTGCCAGCGGTACCACCAGACAAGTACGTCCTATCGTTCCTGAAATCTGGTGACAAGGCTATGGCTTGGACCGGGCGAGCAAAGTTCCTTAGTTGTACATCCCTGAGCTCGATAAGAGGTTGAACTCTGACGTTGCCGTCCATGGAAGAGGACCCGATGAAGATATTATTCGAGGGTAGGTTAGGAACCTGGGGTAGTTCGCGCGACCTCCGCTGACCAGCTGAAGAACCATCAGACTGTTTTGACATCGGTCGACTAGAAGCTTGCGATACTACTCTATTGACAGCCTCGGGCTTAAGGTTCGCAGGAAGAGAGGGAGGTGGATACGGAGAGATCGAAATGCTAGTGACAGAGGCGGTATGGGCTTGATAGACGAGCAAAGATTGAAAATCGGGTAATTGGATGACATGCTATCCGAGCGATTTAGTGTTAGTTGTCCGTAAGAAGCAATTTAATCATGATATATTCTTACAATATTTCCATTATGTGTTCCAACTATCATTTTGTCCCCTGCGACAAGGAACGCACTGGTGGCATCGCCATTCCTATAGGCGGCGCCCATATGCTGCGTCAGACGAGCATACTTCAGCTTTGGTTCTTCATCTTCATCATCTTCGTCGTCTTCGTCTTCTTCGTCCTCGTCCTCCTCATCTTCACCGGTTTCGCCATCATCGCCATCCTCGCCTCCATCTCTCGAGTCTGTTGCTGTGTCTTGAGTGCTCTCGGTATGACTGGGAGGTTGTCCGTGGTTCGGAGAATCTGCATTGGCCTGGGTTCCATCGTGGCTTTGGGCATTAGTGCCGTCGTTGCCCAAGCTGGGCTGCTCTTCTGTCATGACGGGCAATCGACCAAAGTCACTGACATCAGGGCGGTAAGAGTGAAATAAGAAACGAAGGCGAAACACAAGCCGCGCTAATCAATTATGATGGGAGCATTAATATCGGCCTTGAGTTTGAAGCTATCATGAGAAGGTAAGAAGCCGGGCGTCTTATACTTCTTGACGGACAGCTGTATATGCGTTAGCTAGTTGAGTGTTGATAGCTTGTAACTTAGAGCTTCGTGGTGGTGATTGGAGAAACGCGAAGTTAGGTACCTAGCTGCTAGCTACGTCAGTCGGCAGCTTCCTATTAGCTGATCCGAGGTTGCCAAGTCTCGATTGCAGCACCGACCGAAACAGTTTCCTTGTAGAATTCTAGCCAATCATAGCTGAGAATACTTTTTAATCACGCCCCTCTACCCCACTAGATTTTAGCTCAAACTTCGTTGAATTAGGTAAGCTGCTGTACCTCTGTACCCCTAGTAGCCTGTTAACCTTGTCGCGTTTGCAGCTCCTTAGCGCGAATTTCTGATGTGAATTCAAGAAGGTGCAAGCCCTTGGAATTTATGAAACTTCAGTTAATGGACCGGGGATATTCAATTCAATCCCTTCTTTTCCTTCCTTTCTTAGATTTTCACCGAGGAAAATAAAGATAGTCTAACTATCTCAATGGATCCAATTCCGCCAATATGGCATCGGTGACATCGCTTGGGCTGCATCAGCCCACTGCTCTTCAATATGCTGTGCAAGAGCAACTTCTACCGGAAAACCCCCCCTGTTCCTCATATGATTGGAACATCACCGTCGAACATGCTATCGATGAAGAAGGGGAAGATGAGCTTCTAGTCACTAAAGACACAGTTATCTGGTCTAGAGGATGTGTTTTCCGAAAAGCCTTCGGCTTCAAGCTTGAGAAGGAACCCATTACTCAGGCCCTCTTAACTTATTTTCCAAATTATGAAGGCGACGAAGATGCACAAGAAAATAAGTCGGGAAACGATCGAGGTCAACCCGCCAACTATGAGAGGCCGTTGTCGAAAGCTTTGGTGGTTTTCCTAAAAACCCAGGCTCACGTTTACTTCCTCGACGGGACTAGTCACGTGGTGCATATGCCCTTCGAGGTTGAATCCGCATGTGTTGCTCCCCGAGGTGTTATAATACAGCGAAAGCAACGAACTGATAGCGGTTTGACTTCAAGCCTGAAATTTCCTCGGGTCCCACATAACTCATTCATCTCGAATCTCTCTCCATTGTCTGCTCGATCCTCCCAGCAAAGCACTTTCTCCACCGAGTCACTCGGTAAGCCGAAGGCCCTTCCTCTGAGGTTAAATGCCAACCTTGAAAATTTGTGGGATGTCCCCGAAGAGAAGAATGATTCGCAGTGGCCACGTCTAGTGGCTCTTACTGATCCTCTACTGGAACTCGGATTGGTAGTTACTCATCCCGATAGGTCTGCTAAGCGGAAGAGTGGTCGGAATTCAGACAAATCTCCTAATTTCCTTGATCGGGCAGAAGAGATAATACACATTGAGGAAATACCGCACCACCAAGCCTATAGGAGAGGTAAGGGGAAGCTGGTTCTTGCAGTGACCGTTAACAGAGAGCTCTGCGTGTATACCGTCTGGAAGCTTACCTATATCCATAACGAAGATCCGTTCATCAATGGACGAAAAGTTACCAAGAAGACAGATAGGCGACGCAGCTCGATGCAGCCAGGCTTGACCAGCGGTGCCACGACACCGTTGCACCCAACTTTTAGGGAGAGTTTCGGTGCTCCTCTGCCCGGGAAACGGGCACGCAAGAGTGAAAAGGTCGAAAAGAATGACAAGATCTTAGAGAACCTTGAATCTTCGCTTGGTATTGAAAAGGAGTCGGGTGTGACACGACGAACTTCTCGTCGTGTAAGCTCTATGCTCGCCCGCGCCGACCTCTCTGCATCCCAGGATAGGACAGCATTTTCCGAGCAGGCTCAAATTTCCAATCACCCAAATGCGAGAAGAGACACCTCACACGGTAGTCATCGAGGCCGAACTAGTGGTGTCAGCTTCACTGGAGTTCCCAGCCACGGGGTGAATACTCTCTTAGAAGCCCCAGTAGACAGTTTGCTAGAGGAACTTCGTGCCGGCGGTGACTTCGAGGGTTTCCATAGTATGGGTTTAGACGACCATGATTTCGATGGGCTTACCCAGGAAGTACTATTCACGAAGATCCATAGTGTTCCCATCGACAATAGCAACATTCGGTACTCTCTCTCAAAACAGCCTGCACGGACGCAATGTAAGGTTTTCTGCTTGGTCGGCCCGGAGTCTATAGACGATATGCACAATCGCCAGCAGGTTTTGGTGGGAATCCAAGACCCAATGGAGAAGCGCCTACAACTATTGACTCTTTACTTACAGTCGGATAAGTCGTCTAATCATGACAGGACCGTCGTGACGTTTGGGCAACTCAGAAAAGCTCAAAACGTCATAGACTCGTGTAAGATTGTCGATGGTGAGACTTCGATGATTCTCCTGTTGTCACAATCTGCCGAAGGACAGCGCGATCTCAGTATTCAAGCGCCTTGGTCTCAATTGACACCTATCACATTACCACCAAAATTATCACTTGCCAATTTACGTAGCCTCGACTATTACGGCAGTCTCATCAATCGTGATGTTGGCATTAGGAGAGCTGTAACTCCCGTGATCGGAGAGATTGCCGGCCTACGACATCCCAAACTACATGGTGTCGTGGATATATTGGATGAGGATACACAGCAACTGCACCAGATCCGTATTCAGCTCCAGCCTACATCCCCGCGAGTTCTAAAAGTTATCAAAGTCCTGCGATCTGCTCTACCAGCGTCCTCCGGGGAAAAGTTAATGTCAAATTGGTGGGAGGTCATCACATGGCTTCGGCAACAAGAAATTGATGTTGTCGATATCGAGTGGTCCGCTGTTGTTATCCAAATTCTCGCTATATATCTGGCTCTCGGCGTTGACGGAACTACATTGCCAGTAGAAGGTAGACCCCGGAGAAAATCTAGAGGCAATCTTAGATCAAGTAGTGGGGCTCATATCGATCTCGGTGACTGGGATACAATGAACACCTATGAGACGCCTGGATCATTGACCCATCCACCTTGGATAGATAGCAAGGCATGGCAATGGATCATGGAAGAAGAAGATTCATCTCCATCGATGTTTCGTCAAAGCTCTGGGCAGAAAAACACGTCCTTCATTTCTTTACACACCAAACACGCCTTAGCGTACATATCTTCCAGTCAAGGAGATACTGCCTTTGGGCAGAGCGGATACTTCCCAACCTGTTCGAAAAATGACTATTTGACTCGAACGCGATATGCCCAGGATGTTTTCCTTGCGCTACATTTGCTTCTAGAGGAGCAGAAACTAGATATTACGTCTTCCCACGCGTCGTCGCCGGGGTCAGTCGATTTACGAGCCGTACTTCTCCAACTCTCCCGATGGCTAAAGTGGCGTGATTGGGTGACTTCCTACGAACTTGAAATGCCGTTAGATTGGCCAGAGCAGTCGTCAGATGCTAATGACATTTCTATCTTGCTCATACCGCCGGAGCCAGCATACTGGAATGTTTTCGACTGGATCCGAACAAGCCTGTCCCAAGAGCCAACCCAATCAACATTCGTACCACCGATAAGGTCGGTTATGATGTACTCAGCGATCCCTCGTACGAAAATGTTTGAGGACCTCTTCAAAATGCTTTCCTGGAAAAGTCGAACACCAATAGATTATGCAGAAGCAATGTATGAAAGTGGCGTTACGTCGGCCATATTAGAATCGCTACCGGAATATGTCCTTATACCCCTTCAAGACGCAATCGCCCGATGTCAACCAGCTCCTCCATCTGAATGGTCAAAAGGGTTGCTTAATCTAGTCAATCGGAGCGACATAGGCTCGATTTTAACGCGGTCGAGTAGACTTCATGTCGGCTCGACTAGTATGCTCGTGAGTACCTCCCCTATTTTATTCAAGCTCAACGTATTAATGCCATCTAGGCTCCTACTCATATTGCGTCGTGGGATTTTACTTCTCTATGCCAGAACGTCATGGAGTATAATGATGCACCTTCCGACGACATCGCGGAGAGTGATAAACAAGCAGTGATTCGTGCCATCTTCAAAGATGACCGACGACTTGATGAGATTAAGATGATGCTCAACACGACAAAACCCCGAATTATGCGATTAGACCCACTTCCTGAATGGACGGAACCATATTACCTCGAACAGCAAAAGGAGATGGTAACGAGGCTTGCTAATAACACCTTGTCTATACCGGCTGGTCGCGGTTTGATGAATTATGGACTACGATTCCCTCTCCTAACGCAGAAGTTCCACATCAACGGTTTTGTTCTTAACTGTACCGTTAGACCCAATAATGTAACTGTAGGAGTAGACAAGACGCTTTTTACAGAAGAGAGAATTGCTTGGGCTTTCTTCCATTCCGGAGTCGCTGGTGGATTGTCCATCTCTCGCCAAGCTAAAGGAATAGACACGTCCTGGATTCTCTACAACAAACCCGGCAATGATTTAAGTAATCGACATGCTGGGTTTCTTCTAGCTTTGGGCCTCAATGGGCATTTAAAAGGTGTAGCAAAATGGGTTGCTTTCAAATATCTTACGCCGAAGCATACCATGACATCTATCGGCCTACTCCTAGGACTGGCCGCATCATATATCGGAACGATGGACTCTCTCATCACCCGTCTACTATCTGTCCACGTCACGCGAATGTTGCCCCGTGGTGCTGCCGAGCTAAACCTCTCCCCCCTAACACAAACAACAGGTATCATGGGTATCGGTCTGCTATATTGCAATAGCCAACATCGTCGGATGAGTGAGATCATGATGTCCGAAATCGAACATGTTGAGCCCGAAGACGACGAGGAACCACTCCGCACCGAATGCTACCGGCTAGCAGCAGGCTTCGCTCTTGGTTTTATTAACCTAGGAAAAGGAACCGACCTAAAGGGCCTACATGATATGAGAGTCACCGAAAATCTGCTGACTCTTGCCTCCGCGACTAAAAAAGCCGAACATGTGCATATTTTGGACAGATCCACCGCTGCCTCTGTAATGGCCATTGCACTCATCTATATGAAGTCGGAAGATCACATTGTGGCCCGGAAAATTGACGTTCCCGACGCACCTCTACAATTCGACTATATTCGTCCCGATATCTTGTTATTACGCACAGTCGCCAAGCACCTTATTCTCTGGTCGGAAATTGAGCCAACGCAGGATTGGGTCCGTAAAAATCTTCCGCGCCGTTACCATACGAGACTACAGCCACCTCCATATCCTCTAGATCATCCTTCCCGTGGTCCGCTCAACTCGACACATCTACCTTTCCTCACAATTCTAGCGGGTCTTTGTTTTGCAATAGCACTGCGCTTTGCTGGTTCGGGGAACGTGAAAGTCCGCGACCTCTTACTTTCTTACATCCGTAAATACTATGCGCAATGCTGTCATCCTAACCCGAAAGCCAATTTCGATGATAGGATTGTTCATGTAACGGCCGGTATGTGCCTTGATGTAGTCGCGCTGTCTTGCGCGACTGTTATGGCTGGCACCTGTGACCTGGAAGTACTTCGATATCTACGCTCTCTTCATAGCCGAAACGACTTAGAAACAACCTACGGCTCGCACATGGCAATACATATGGCTATGGGTGTACTCTCGCTTGGTTGTGGCACACAGACTTTCAACACCTCGAACTTGGCCATCGCTTCGCTACTCGTTGCTTTCTATCCCGTTTTTCCGGATTCGGTGCAAGATAATAAAAGCCACTTACAAGCGTTCCGACATTTCTGGGTACTAGCCACCGACCCGCGCTGCCTAGTGACGAAGGATGTAGCAACGAACGCCCCCGTATCTATGCCCGTCGTCATCCGTCTCAAGAACTCCGAGGAGGAAGACGTGCGCATGACGCCGTGCCTCTTACCTCCGCTGAGCGACATCCAAATTGTCCGGACCCTGTCTCCCGAATTCTGGAACCACGAGCTCAACTTCGAGACGCACCCAGAGTACGCGGGCGCTTTCTCGCGCTCACAAGCGCTATATCTCCGCCGACGGCCTGTTAGCGACAGCCCGTTCGCGACGACGATGCTGACGCTCGGCCGCAACGGCAGCCTCAGCGGCTGGTCTCTGTACACGGCAGCGCAGCCGCTCGAGTGGCTCTTCGACAGCGTGCCTACCTTGCACAAGCTGACGCACGCGGAGCGCGGGCTCGTCCTCGATCGCGGGCTCGCGGGCCCCGACGCGAGTAACGGCTCCGTCAGCGCCGTTGACGCGCGCCTTGTGCTTCAAGACATCGTAAACAGCGGCAATAGAGACGACTTGCTAGGGCTGAAAGGCCTGTTCGAATGGGCTGACTGGAGGGCCGGTAAGGCCCAGGAGGAGCGAGAAAAGGAGAAGGAAAGGGCGAAGGCTAAGGGGAAGGCGGAAGAAGTCAAGACGCTGATCGAGCATAATAAGCAGAAGCAGAAGCCGCCGCAGTGGAGCGGGGAGGGCTGGCTGAGGGAGAGTATCGTCGAGGCTTTGAGGGGCGGGGTGTGGCTTGCTGCGAGGGAATGATGCGCCCAGTAGTAAAGGACCCGTAGAAGTTGGGACATATGGCTTATTAGTGGAGGTTGAGGGTAGATATGCGAAAGAGCAAAGGACTTTACTTTGGTCTGCATATTCGTACGTATATGAGACTATGGACAGAGGGAAAATACGATACGATACGATTACGTCAGCTTATAAACGATGACAATGAGAAAATGGAAAAGTTGGTACTGTTTGTAATTAAACCGTAAAGTGACAATTTATTCCTATCGTTGACTCGTTCAGACGCCGTAGAACCCTACAGTACCTAGGTAGTGATTATAATGCTAGTTCTCGATCGATATCCTCCTTCTTGATTGTCGGAATTGAATTGTTCGTAGGGTCTCCAATCTCGATACTCCCAACCAGCACCGACCCATCCGACGCTATGATCCCTATACCCCCTTTGGGGTACTGCTCATCGGATCTGTGAAATACCACGTCGGTATCTTCGATCCTCGCGAAAAGCCACTTTCCCTTGGCGTTTACGACGATGCTATACGGCTTGTCGACCTCCCATTCAAAATCCTTGCCTCCTAAGATATACGTCTTCTCGTCCACGACTTTGACTAGCGTCACGCCCTTTTTTTCCTCGGACAACTTGACGAAGAGCAGCGCGTAGTACCTACGCAGCCCGTTGACGCGGAACGCGACGCCGTTCCGGGTGCGGTTGAGGCCGGTGATCACGAAGTCCATGAACGCGACGTGGTACTGGTCCCATTCCCTCGTGCCGTAGCTCACGAGCCCCTCGCCCTCGTCTTGCGCGACGACGAAATTTCCGCTCGCGAGCGCGAAGGTGTCGGCCCCGTTGACGAAGGATTGTTTGTAGAACGTTCGCGGCCCGGCTTTCTCGCCGATGGGGAGGAGGATCAGGTTCGGGACGCCGGTCCAGCCGAGGTGGTCTATCATTATTGTGCCGGCGAACGGACCCGCTACAGTATGCTCTGGGTGCTTTCCGTAGGAGATAGAGATGCCTACGGATTGTATGGGCCGACAGCCTAAGAGCGCTGGGATATCCCACGATAAGGCCTTAGAGAGGCCTGGGGTGAGGATTACCGGACCACTACTATAGGTCTCGAGCTTGTCCGTATATGTATACACTCTCAGTATCAGCCTTACTTGTGCAGGCGCCGAATTCTTGGCATCGGCCTTTATATACATCTTCAGAGTCTGCCCGGGGTAGACCAACGGCGAGCAGACCAATTCGTAAATTTCCATAACGCGGACTTCTGGTGGCGCGAAGGTGTCCGTCATAACCTCCACTCTTTCCGCTTCTACGGCTAAGTTAGGAATGTTGATTGCTAGACCAGTCGTGTTATGGATGTTGTCAGTACGCTGCTCGAGAGTTACTTCATCTTTATATTTCTTTCTTTCTTTCGTCACCGTCGTAGGCTGAAATCCCTGAACGCTTCCTGGCAGGGTAAAATGGAACTGCGCGCCATTCTTTGGAGGCGGTAGGGGATCCTCGCCTCCAAACAGCCGACCCATATTTGTGATATCGTACGCGATCCTGGCGGCATTGTTGATCGAGTATCCTCCGTCCGCACTTGATATCAGCGCTCTATCAGCCAGCGGGCCGCGCCAGTCAATTAGTCCACCAGAGCCTCTAACCTTGCCGGTCACGGTAACATCGTCGTCATTATCGAAAGCCGCCAGCCCGCTCATGATAGCGACCAAGCACCCTAGGTTGCCGGAATTGCAGTCCGTGTCCCAGCCGCACGTGTTGACAATATGCATCGCCTCGCCAAAATCCGTCCCGGCATATATCAGCGCCATGACCATAATCGAATGGTTCGGTATAACGTGGCAAAAGCCGGGAAACTTGTGGTACCCGTACTCATCCTCTATACGCTGGCGCGTCTTCAACCAATCATCATCTTCTTCGCACCACGCGCGTACATCGTTTATCGCATGGCGTAACAGGCCGAACGAACCCATATACCGCATGCCCGTGTCGAGAAGGTGATTAACATCCCTTGACAGGAAAGCTTCGGCCTCCATAGCAGCCCACATCCTCGCCGCAGCCAAAGCTTCTCCGTCGTGGCTCACCGACGCAGCTGATCCGGCCAGCATCGCGGCTGCTGCCGGTTGGCCCGGCACCACCATAGCGAAACCATCGATAAAGATCTGAGCGCCAATCTGCTCAGCTATCGTCTTTCCATTTACCCCAATAGCCCCACTCTTCGGAGCCCTGATGCCCTTCTTCAGATTCAGGTACGCGGTATGTTCCGTCGACACGCCGTTCCCGCCCCACCAGAACACGGTGCGGTCTTTGATCACATTGTTCAGCCAGGTCCGGCCCACATCCTCGGCGCCGCGCAGCGTGGGTCGGTGTTCTTCGAGGGCCCGGACGAAGGTGAAAGTGCCGGATACGTCGTCGTCCGTGACCACGAGGGGCGAGAGGATGCGGTCGTTGACGTAGTACCGGATGTGACCTAGTTCTTTGAGGATGCGTTGATGGGTCCAGCCTTCGAAGGGCCGGCCCAAGTACACGCCGATGAGCTTGCCGAGGACGCCGGCGTAGACCCGGTGCAGGTAATCCGGTGGGAGTTGTAGCCTTCTACGTTTGGTTCCTCGGTCTCTATCCGCCATCTTTTAAGACTGAATTGTAGTTATGAAACTTGAGTTGATTCAATGCTTTGAAGTAAAGAATAGGCAGATGAGGGGAGATGAACTACTAGGTAGAGATCGAGTGCTGGGAGTTGATCATCTCCACCTTCGATGCCCCGCCCCTTCCGTCATGTTAAAAGTGAAGTCTGTTGCGGCGTGTTATGGTGGAAACAACAACCTACTCTAGATCTGAAATTCCGTTTTTGTGACGTACCTTGCTCAATATATAGAATAGAATAACGGAAGGTGTAGCCAAGGGTCGAGGTCACCCCAAATTGTCACGTGTTGATGCATGATCTTAGTATAGCAACTGAGGGGTGGAAGATGAATCGGATTCATGCAGAAGCTCGTAGCACATAGCACAAGGAACATAACGAAGAGTAAGCCACTAGAATAATTCTTTTTGCAAATCGATGCTACCTTACAAGTCTACCGCACTTGTATGTACCATGTACCAGAACCCCCAAAACGCCGTTGATGCATGTCGTCCGTCGACAAAACCCATTGGAGGATCTCTTGCTATCCCGATTTTGGCCCATGCGCGCATTATCATGTCTATCTAATGGGTATCATCCATTAAAATATCATGCCTTACGTTCGCTCATCATCTTCACCATTCTGATCCTATCTAGCGACCGCAGCGCTGAGCACTTGCGTTCGGAAGAAGCCGCCCTTGGTTCGTTCGATGACTTGCTGGTAAACGGAGCTGGGAGGGTGGTTCATAACGACTGTGCCCTCCTTGTAGTCGATCTTGGCGTCCACTCTGGTGTCGCGGATCAGGTTAACAATCCACTTCTCGCCCTCATCTTCGCCTAGGCCTAGACGCGCACTCAGGTCCTTGATATCGATACGTGCGTGGATCTTGCAGTAGCTTTCCGAGATCAGGTGGCGCGCAGCATCGACAAAGAGGTCGGCGGCGGAGAACAGAAAGAAGTCGGAGCGTAGGATCTCCTCAGCAAGAGAAAGTTGTCGTTGCGCCTCCTCGAAGTCGAAGTCGATATATAACGCACGGACAAAGTCGGTGACGGGGTCCGTGTACTCGTAGGCCTCTTGCTTAACTATGCGTATAATGTCCTTCAGCTGCTTCTGGTGTTGTCCAGAGTTTCTAGTTCGGCTGCGACCAGTGATGACGGCGGCGGTGAGGTATCGAAGTATCCATGGACAGCTGGTCTGAATGGTGTTAATGTAGGCCGGGCTGAAGAATAGATCCAAAAGCCCGTCGCGGGTACGGTCATCGTTGAAGAGAGGGAACAGGGCCCAGTGAATGAGCCAGGTACGTTGGCTCAACTGTGCAAGAGGGTTGTTGAATAGCTTGGTGTCAATATTCTCCTTGACCTTTTGAAGCTCCTCCACGCTACCCTCCCAGTTCGTAGTTAAGATCTCGGAGGCGAATTTCCCCCACGTCGCCGCGGCGACCTTGTCGTTATCGGTCGAAAGCACACGGAACTGGTAAAGAAGATCGGCGGCGGCAGCGTAGTTTCCGCAGCTGTATTGGAAGTTTCCGAAGTCATAGAGCGCGTTGACCATATCAATTGTCACCTAAGTCGTGTTAAAAGCTGTAGCAAAGTAATACGAATATAAACATCGACATACACCATGTTCCTTCTTGAGGAACTCAAGATTGGCAACCTTGTCGCTTCGTAGGTTTCCGACGACATCTTCGCGTCCTAACAGATCGACTAGCTTGCTGGTACTCTCCTCAAATTGCTCTAATCGCGAAATGACCTTCTGTCTCATATCGTTGAACTCAGCTGGGGCCTCATCGAGACCCTCGAGCTCGGCCTTAAGGTTGCCGACGAAGTCAGTCATATTGGTGGTCTTAAGAAGCTCATATTTAGCCTTGGTGATGGCTAGGACGGAGGCGTCATCGGCGTCTTCGGGCAGTTGGCCGGCTGCGAACTCGAGGAGGGGAAACACGAGATGGCGATCTAGGTGGCCGATTAGTTTCGGCAGGAGATCGTATTCTGCCATGTTTGCGGTATTTAGTATTCAAATTCGGTGTTTATCGAATTATGGTGGCGCTTAAAATTTGGGTGGTGATGGGGTCGTAAGGAATTTGATGTTGACAAAGTTGAAATTGGAGAAAATTATGGCCAAGTTAATTGTTGCAATTCTTTGGCGGGGCACGGAGGTTTGGCAAAGTTTGGTGAGGGCAAGAACGAATAATTCGGTAAAAGTGGGTTGTGGGACAGCCGATTCAAATTATCGATAACCATAGTAGTGCAAAGCATCTATCCGATATTCTACCGACATACCTTGTACATTACTTTATTCATTTATACAGTATAATGAATCATTTCATCCGTTAAAAAAATGGTGATGAGCTTTTGCGCCAAACATCATTGTTCTTTGATCAGTCGAGTTACCTAGGAACTCACGAAGCAATTAGCGTCGTTTTCACGATGTTACTGCCTAGGATTTTCCGCCCCATAGTGGCCCATCCAGCACCTCTATCTACATCATTGACACGCATCGTATTGCCAGTACGGACCCGATATCTCTCCACGACGACGATACAGTCTAACGATCCGATCACCGAGCCTGTCTCTCCTCCCTCCTCGGAATCAGACACACCCGAGACACAGCCAGAAACACAGCCGCAGGAGAAAGTCTCTTTACCCTACTTCGTTGGCAGAAACAGTCTCAACAGTCTATCGGTCTATCACAAGAATAAACGAGGTGGAAATCTTAAACTTACATTGGTGAAGAATGGAGAGGGGGACCTCCGTGCTCTGAAGCAAGATATTAAGGAGGCCTTACGGTTATCCGATGGCGATGTGACTCTGAACAGTGTAACCAAGCATATCATAATAAGAGTGAGCTCGTCCTATTGAAATCGATGGCATTTCATACTAATGATAATTCGCTAGGGCCATAAGAAGCTGCAAGTTCTCGACTTCCTTGAAGCCATGGGCTTCTAAAGAATGACTACGAACTTAAAGACGGGTCTCAGAATTAGAATATGTCGAGCCAACGAATGGGTAAGGCAAATACAGGATGAAAGGGTCTGGGCTGCGCGAACATGGATGCGAATTAAGAGGTGAACCAGCACCAAGGCAACCAATTATACCCCTCTAGATCCAGCAGGATTAGAGCTTTTCACCCGGTGGTGTATCTAGGGGTTTAGCATGTACAAATAAGAATGTACAGATATTCATGAGCCAAAAGAAGCTTATGTCTAAGTTTCAGAAATATACGAAACTGGTCTGATCTGCTATCTTGGATATGTCGTTTGTTTTACTCAATCTTTAGGAATAATCTCTCAAGATTAGCTTACGACGGTACCATATATTCCCTCTGGCCTTCAGTACAATATAGCACCACAATCGACGTTTCATCAAGACCCAATTCCTGCTTCGCGTCCGCACAGGCCCTCTTAAGCGCAGCCAGCGTTGCGGCACCGCAAGGTCCAGCAGGAATGCCACGGGCACTGAGCTCCTGAACTGCATTATGCGATTCCAAGTCACTCACTACCACACCAGCATCCATGCCGTCCCTGAGTATCGGCCACGCTGTATTAGATAGAATCCCGCAGTTCATCCCACACATGATGGTATCCTCCGTCAGTACCGAAACGCTTTTTCCTGTTTTCAGCGACTGGAAGAGGCATGCTGCAACGGTAGCCTCAACACCTAGAACTCTTGCCTGCCCTGAATCATTTCGCCGAGTACTACTTTTAAAATGTGCCGTGACAGCCTCACCAATAGATCCAGCGCCCACAGGCACAATAGCGTGAGTAGCCGCTTTTCCGCCCGTCAGCTCAAGGACTTGGCGGTCCGACTCGGCAAGCATCGTGCTATAGCCTTCGACAAAGTACTGTGGGATAGTATCGTATCCCTCCACGCTAACATCCAGTATTAATATCGTGTTTTCCCCAGCTTTTGCCTCCTCCAACACGACGGGAATCACATCGTCGTAACTTTTATCAAGTGCTATGACCTCGGCTCCCTCGCCCCTTATCTTGGCGCGAGTCTTCTCGTCCATCAATGAAGGGACAAATACTCTCGTCGGGATCCCCATATGCGCCGCTGCCATGCGCGCCACCGCTCTGCCGCAATTCCCCTCTGTTACCGTCACGATCTGCAATCCTGATTCTCTTGCTTTTGAGCCAACTTCTGCAAAAGAAACCCGACCATCTGAGACTGGTAAACCAAGATGCAATCCTATGGCGCGGTACACGGCCCACGATGCCCCTAAGATCTTGAACGCCGGCAGACCGAATCTGTTTGACTCATCTTTCAACAGCACATGTCCAAGGCCCAGCTCTGTTGCCAGGTCTGTCAGGCTATGCAGTTTTGTCTCGTTATACTCCGGAATCGTCTTGTGGAATGCGAGGACGGTTGACTCGTGGGTTCCGCTTTGTGCGCCGTCATGATTATATACCCACTCTCGTGCTGGGGAGTTTAAATATATAAACGGCGACATGGTTTATTCAAATATTGTATTCAAGTAATCGCTTGGGAGTTCCTTATAGTTATTGCAATAATTGCAAGTTAGGGGGGTCTATATAAGTATCGACGACTGTTATATATAGGTACCTATCTTTAAACATCAAATTACGAAAATTGGTCGCCCAAAGCGCCAAAGACCTATAGATCTGACCGACCTCGGATCCCAATGAATTTGGGAATTTGGATGTTGTATCAATGTTGGAGAAATGGGAAGTAGTTAGCGGGCGTTGCCATCCCACCGGCCCGCTTACCAGTCTCACGATTACGGTATTGGAAGTACGCTATCCCCCACCCCTCCTCAACTTAGCAAGAAGCATGGTCGACTACATACAGGTATACATCTCTAGTCGAATTCTTGGCATTTCTCTAGTAGAACATCAAGGGCTAAAACAGAGCGCGTCTCAAACAGGAAGCTATCGATCCACTCCGCTTACTGTAAAAGTATCCTTATATAATATGGACGAGAAACCGATGTTTGCAAAATAACTAGAAGCACGTAATTCCCTACTCTATAAGTCAGGAGAAAACTTGTTCATCCGCACAATTAACGAGAGCCTCTTCCCGGGGTTTTCTCACGAAGAGGGGAACCGATTTTGTCTATATTTAGAATGAAACAAGAGAGACAGAAATGATATTGCACCACAGAGGTATTTTAGTACGAGATTATGAATGCACGTGAGTAAAATATCCCATGCGGGCCATACCGTACCTCTTCCTTGGTATTCCCTATCTCCCCTATCTTCCGGCAAGATCCGGCCATTACCCCCTGACCAGGCCCACCCGAAAACCTAAAATTGACCTCAAATCCCATTCAATATTGCAATGATAAAGCGGGTACATGCAAGTACGTGTATAGGTACCTAGTTAAATGAATATCACAAGAGGGAAAGGAGGATGGTTGGACGTGAGATGTGATGATCCAATGCTTATTAGACAAAGGGCTGCAGAAAAGGGGGCATGTTGCAACTTGAATAGATCGTGCTACTATGTACGCGTGTAATTAATAACACAAATATGTTTACAGGAGAAGTGACTTGAAATAAAACATATAGTATAATATATTATAGCTATAAGAGAGACTCGTCAATACTACTAGTCGTCCTAACTGTTCCTCCCGTTGGTAACTCAAATTTAGAATCCTGCTAAACTCAAGAGTTGAACGGCCATTACATACGGACGACTTCGTCCTAGTTGTTATGGATACTTATCGATACCCTGCAACAACTACATTTGCAGCCGCAATGCCCTTCACATGAGCTCGAGTCGCTGCAGAGACCGGCACAGTAGCCCCCACACCAATCCCTACAGCGATGACAGCATCCATGCGATGGGTATCTAGTTCCTCCACGCCCTCTAATACCTCGACTTCCATGTCTCCTTCTCTCGCCTGAAAGACCAGGAGGACCTCGAGGTCCCTGAGGTCCCTGTACACCTTCACGACTAGCTATGGTCAATAAAAGGGATACGATTATAGCTTCGGAACCAAACTACTAACCCGCGTGGTCCTCGCTCGCCTGCTCCGCCATCTCGACTATGATAACGTAAGTATAAAGCATAGTTAAACATATAGATAGTAATTACCCTGGTAGGCCTGGTGGCCCTGGCGCTCCATCGCGACTATTGGAAAGTCAGTGTAAAAAGTTCGATCACGCCCTCGGAGAATGATACTAACCCCGGTCTACCATCAGCACCATCGAGGCTATGCGAAGGTTAATAAATATAATGAAGCTCTAGGAAGTATGTTCGTACCCCGGTGCACCATCAATGCTGCTTAAAAGTTAACGAAAGATACAATCAAATCCTAAATTGAGTAGACACTTACCCAGGATCTCCAGGCGGTCCACGAGGGCTTTTCAAAAGTCAAAACCTAGAGAGGGCAAGAAGATTTCAAAGGATCATACCCTGGTAGTCCGGGAGGTCCTGGAGGTCCATCGCGACTATATCAAGATCAATAAGAAGACACGACCAATTAAGGAGCCATGTTTCTCACCCTGGCAGGCCTTGAGTTCCATCACGCCTGTATGAAGGTTAAAAAGGGGTCATAACTAAGTCCTGGAAGGATGGTGCTAACCCTGGTACACCTTGAATTCCATCTCGACTACGAGAACGTTAACAAGAAACTACACATCTATGGATCTCCTAAAGGGGTAATACCCGGCTTCGCCATCATTACTTTTCTGAGGTTAGTATTACAACACAGCAAATTTCGACAATGCTAACACTCACCCTGGGGGACCGGCAGGGCCGGGGGGGCTGTGCCAAGATTAGTAACACCTAGAATTGAGCTTTCAGAAAACAATACCCTTGAGGTCCTGGAACTCCATCACGGCTATGGAAAGGTCAGTAAAGAAACGAATGAGGCTCTAAGGGGATAATACCCTGGTACACCTGGAAGGCCATCGCGGCTGCATGAAAGTTAGTGAAGAGACGTAATCGACCAATGAAGGGGGAGTACCCTTGCGGTCCTTCATCACTACTTGAAGGTCAGCAAAGAACGCAATGAAGCTTTAAGGTGGTTTTCTTACCCTGGTTCACCCGGCTCGCCTTGAAGACTATTTGGATGTTAATAGAAAAGCGTGCTCATGAATCCTTGGAGGATATTACCCTTGTGGTCCTGGGAAACCATCTCGGCTATGGAATAGGTCAATGGAAATCATGACGAAATTATGATGGGACAATACCCTGGTACGCCTGGGAGACCATCGCGACTGCATGAAAGTCAATGAAGAAACATGTAGGCCTTTAAAGGGGCAATACCCTGGTGGTCCTGGAGCACCATCCTGACTATTTAGAGGTTAATAAAAGAACGTAATGAAGGTTTGAAGTGATCATCCTACCCTGGTTCACCCCGCTCCCCTGGAGGACTATACAGATGTTAACGAAGAAACACATTCATGGATTCTTGCAAGATATTACCCTGGTGGTCCTCGGCACCCATCGCGGCTATACAAAGGTCAATGAAAGAAGAAGCATGAGTATATCCCAAAGGGGCAATACCCTGTAAGGCCTTGCAGTCCATCGCGACTATTCAGAAGTCAATTAATAAGCCTAATCGTCTTTTGGGGGGATTATCTTACCCTTGGGGCCCTTCAGGACTATCTACAAGTTAGTAAAAAGAGCTATAACTAGATTTTCAATGATTGCTTACCCGATCTCCCCTGGTACCCCTTGCTCTCCTCTTTCTCCTTGTTGCCCCTGTAACCCTCGCGGCCCTACTTCCCCTCTGTCTCCAGGAGGTCCTCTTAATCCAATAGGCCCCCTCTCGCCAGGAGCTTGTAGAGAAACTACGTTAGTACCATGATCATGATATAAAGCACAATGTTGAAAATCCTTTCCCGGAGTAGAATGGCGCATACGGAATCAGGGTCAGAGTTAACATAGGAATTAAGGAGAGCAAGATCTGAATGAATGAAAGAGGGATCTCACGGCCGGGAGGGCCAGGAGGGCCAGGAAGTCCCTGGCGGCAGGACCGGCAGTTGTGATGAGGGGGGCAAGGGGCCGGCGGCGGACAAGGAGCTGGCGGTGGGAAAGGAGTCGGTCCAGGGACTGGTGGGCATGGTGGATGTGGTTTGGAACATTTCGATGATGTCTTCCTGGGAGTGCGTCTTCGGCAGCAGAACCACCAACAAAGAGCAAGAAGCAGAACCGCTATCCCGAAAGTTACACCGAATATAATTAATGCCGTATTAGAGGAGTCGCCACTTGAACCAGCCGGTGGAGGGGCCGAAGTCGTTGTCGATGCTTCTACCGTTGCAGGAGCCGGCTGGCAACAATCCGACGTCTCCTCCTGTTGAGTATTGCCTAGAGCAACAACAGTAACGCATGTGCTCCCATCTTCTGTTATAGTAAGGGTCATGAACTCACCCCTCACCTTGACCTTTAGTTCGTCATCCAATATTCTCGAAGGTAGCTCGGCAGGCGATGATATGGAGATCTCTCCGGATGTCGGTCGAGGAAAGGGGATAGGCAAGCGGGTAGGCGAGCGGGTAGGACGGGTAGGACGGGTAGAACGAACGGATAGATTCGATATAACAGCCATGGTGCTTGATGCCAAATAGCAGAAGAAATTGAAGCAATAGAAACCGTTCTTAGAAGAATCGTAACTACACCTGGCATTGCTCTCTCTTCTCGTACTTCCCAAAACAGCCGGAAAATATCTCGAATTAGCAGAAGAGCGTAGAAATAACGCCGCTACCCGATGCCTCGCTTTCCATCGCTCTCTCCCCACTCCGACTGCGTCTCCCGAATAGCCTCCACAAGGTACCCCATGCTTATAGTAAGGAATTATAGCAATTTGTATCTGCATATTGAAAGCCACAATCTGAGTCCTAGACACGGCATCTTTATCAGCGCCGTCATCGCCGAGTAAGGCTCCAAGACGACGCGAGCCAACCTCAGCGATGCCCGAGTGACCGTCGCCATGCGTGCGATGACTATTCGGAAAAGTGCATGTCCGTAAGGGGCAGTCGTATATCAATTGAGGCGTCGTTGCATCGTTGGTACACGGAAAATAGCAAGTGCATCGTGCATGCCGCACGAGGCCTCGAATCATGTGTGGACCCGATCTGTCAAAGGGTGGTCGCATACAGAATGAATGCGCATCAAATTTCTTTTCGTCTTTCTTTTGCCGATAGACTCGCAGATTTGGAGTCGCTCCGTGACTGGTCGGCGAGCCTCGTTTGACGTCGCACGGGAAACCGCGATAACTAACAATGCCATGGTTTGGGGGGCTACAGATTGCGTGGCAAGCTGATATGTGCGAGATCAAGCCCATTTCCTGGGGACTATGCACGCGGCCGTCATACCCGCTAAATCGGCCAGATGCCATTGTGATCGGTAACAACTCGAATCGCAAACGCCTGAATAAGAACCCCGGACGATCTTCTCTTTCTAGGTCGTAAAGTGCGTTTGCTCCAATCTGCATGGTAAGCGTGATTAGGCATATTATACGAGTATTATACTGAAGCTGAAAGTGGGAGGGAGGGAGACCGGGAAGCAAGCGGCTTGCCTAAAGTACATGCTTGGTTCTATGCATGATAGAAAGTGTAGGTATTTGTAATATGAAATTGGCTTTTAGAGTAAACCGTATGAAGCTGATCGTCATTTTCGACTGCCTATTTCTACTAGAGTACGGCCCAGGGCGTACTTCCTGTCTTCTACATGATACCAACTACGATCCTTCTAGGCGAAATCAATTTTTATTTCTCGATGCTCTGTATAATAAATTAGTTTTCTGAGGAACTCCATTTTCTTGACGATAGAGAACTGGGTAGCTGCTCAATCGGAACTGCTCACCTATGGAATCACAAAATATCAAACCGAGGTGGGAGCACCACAGCTTCGGTTAGCCACCATAATCCTTCTCTAGAAACAGGGAGGGTAAATTTTCTCTGCATACAGTAGCAAGGTAGATTATAATGAGCGATGTAGAACTGCCTTTGTTCATCCTCATCTGGCTCGTGAGCTCTGAGGAACGCCTCGCCAACATCCATATATCCGGGTATATTCTGAGATTCACCTTTGAGAGTATTCAGCCTTGATATCCGACCACGAGCGAGCCTATTCTTCGTAGCGACGAATTGATTCCAGAACTGGCGGCGCTTCGAAAAGATGGCTTCAGCTCCCTCTAACGAGCATACGTGCGTAAGTTGCATACGCGGCACATTCCACCGTTGCGTCGTGTTATTATGGGTGCTAGACATAAGTTTCGAACGTTCGCTGCAGATGCGGCGTCGGGTGTGAATGGCTGCGTAGTCAAAATAGCGGCAGTGACTGAGAGCAGACCCTTCCCGGTTACGACTTTTGAATGCCTTTAAGTCAGAGTATGGAGAATCGACGTAGTCATAAAATTCTGAAAGTTGGGGGATAAAATCGGCCTCGTCTACGGATACACATACGTGGTAGTCCCTAGTGTTAACAACCGTACTAGCCCTACAGCCGCAGGCTGTACCATCAGAACGCTGGACAAAAAATAAATCGTTCAAGTTAGGGAGTAGCCTCAATATCGTCAACAGGTCCGAAGTACCGCCATAAGAATCTTGCATAGCTGAGAATCCGCTTCTAAGGGCCAGCCTCTTGACACGCTGTAAGTCCATAGGACGGAATAAGCTAACATCCCATCCCTCGCCTACAAGTACATTTTCTATTTCTGGTGAGACGTAGCTGATGAGAAGTGTATCTCGTTCGAAATGGAACCATGTCCGTGGTTCGTCCGTGCGGGTACCGAACACTAATTGGTAGCCGTAGCTCTTAAGCATTTCGCGAGATTCGGACCAGACATGTAAGAAGGGCGGAATTGGCGCGGAACTATAGAGAGAGGCACTTCGCGCCATAATCCATGCCACTTTAGGGTGATCTGCAAGCCAGGTTGAGGGGATTTCCGGTGTGTCCTCGGTAGGAACCCAGGGCAGATAGCGGTCTTTGGTGGAAGTGAAGCCATAGGCTTCTAAAAGTGGCTGATTATGTGAGCGTAACCTCGAAGCAATGGCCGGAGCCCAATTATGGGCGAAATAAAGAAGATCAGGGTGCAGCTTGAATTGAATTGGTGTAGTTCGACATGTCTCTGTGAATTCCTCGAGTTTGTCATACCAGGCGGCTGATTCACGTCCGACTTCCTCCACGCACACCACCCGGGGCGGTGTAGCCAAGATGTAAATTTCTCGTCGAATTTCCCGAGGCAGAAGACCAAACAGATGGAATTTGGCTTCACTTTTAGGAGTGACGCCCAGATTGTCAATGATAGGAACGACACGATCCATGTTACAAAAGTCGGATGAAGTTGTAGCTGTGAAAATTCCGTGTTTTCCACCAGTTAATTAATGGCAGGGTTTTGTCAAAGCTCCACCCTCCGCAAATCATTCAGCCACACGAGACCCCGCATATTGCATTCTGAAGAGCAACCCGAATTGTAGAGAATGCTAAATACGATGAATCGAGTGAGGTTCCAAGATGGAACAAATTGGAATGAGATTTAATACCTCAAAGTGTTATTAGAGTTTTAAAGTTATACGCTTCTGCACAAACGTTAAGGCCTTTACGTCATTTGCTTCGGGCCGTGCCGTGCCGGCTTGAAACATACTTCTCTAGGTGCCTACCTAGGGGATTTAGTCAAGCACGACCACGACCTCCTGCATTGACGATGAGGCTCTACTCAGCTCATATCCCTGCTAGCGGATATTGGAAAAACATCACATGCGCGTCATATGTGAAACACTACCATATAACATATATCTATACTTACTTACCTAGGTATTTAATCTATCTCATTGAATGAGAGACCCTTCTCTCGGCACATGCGCATCAAGGGAGGCAGTCTTTGAGCAAAATGTTCTCCTCCGGTGCCTTAGTCGGAGCCCGATCCCAAAGAATCATCTCCGTCTTCTCCGCTGTTTACTGTATGCATGTTCCTAGGCTCCCTAACAGCGGCAGCACCCCGTTTAAGCATCCCATTTCGATAGGGACCTAGGAGATATTCAACGTCGGACTCAGCTAGATTTCCTATATGCCCGGTACCACATATGGTAGCCTTTTGATCAAGCTTTCCGACAGCCTTACCAGGGACCTGAATAGCCTTAAAAAGGCTATTAAGGGGCGATAGCGAGGTCTACGATAAGGAATCTCAGCGATACCATTTCATGGCCCATTCATGAATGCTAGAAATGAAGTGTCAGCTTATGTTAACACCGATTAGGTACTTAATATTAAAATTGCTCTTAGGGGAGCCTAAAGCGTCGTTAGTCGAAATTCGCAGTTAGGCATTCATAATCTAATACGGTGAATAATCTTCAAGTTGTACTAATACCGAGCTTCTTCCATAGGTGAGTCTTGCTTTAGCTCGGAGTCAACACCCGGATAAACGAGATTACAAATGTGCCAAAGTCAATAGTAAGTATGCATACATAGTATATATAAACAACCCATGAGCAAAGTTATAGATATTAATGGATTATCGCTTGAGACAAGTCGTAACTAGGTAATACCAACGTGAGGTTCGACCTCAAGGTCTATAGGCTAAGTACATACAATAGAATAGGCCAAGATCATAGGTAAATGTTAAAGTCCCGCTAACAGGTAGATACCCAGTCCCAGGTATATAACTTGTAAGGTTGCTGGACCTCGAAAGACGTCTTACGGGCGATGATGGCCTCGATGGAGATATTGCTTGCTGCCCGACTCCGCCTTAACCCAAGAAAACTGGAATCCCCCGCTACTTCCAGTCATATCTCTGTTTCTTGAGTGCCCCGAGTATCGAGGATATCCAGACTGTCCAGATGGTCCAGAGTACCGGCAGTGCCCAGAGTACTGAGAGACCGAGTCGTCGGGACGGAGACCGCCTCTCATCGCGGGTCCACTCACCGCGCTCGGCACGTTCGTGGGAGCGTACTGCGAGTTCACCACAGAGCATTGTTCATCGTCGAAGTATTGGTATGCCATTCCAGCCGAATGCGGTTCAGTGTCATACGGCCTAGTCGCTAGCCCAGCGTAATACTCTCTAACTTGATGTACGCCGAGTGGTTGTGCTGGTGCTTGGCCCCCGATCTGGGAATCCCCACACCCAAACTGACTTCCAGCATCTGCTGGCTGAATGGGAGGCATCCTACTTGGCTGATAAGATGGCGTTGCGTATGTTGGAGGCATGGCGGCTACGCTTCCATCAATCGATCCACGGTGACTGCTGTGGTGTCGAGTGCTGCCTGAACTCTTGTGCCCAGGACGATAATTAGGATCATAAACAATCGAAGCCTTCGAACTTCCTTTACGGCGTTCCATGTACATATTTTTTGATTTGTCTTTCTTGTGGTTGCTGTGTTTCGTGCTTGAGCTTCTGTGGCTATCACCACCGCTCATAATGCCCCCGTATTGTGCTAGGTGATTATTAGTATAATTGTCTTAGAAGGTTTAAAATACTATCATAACTTACACATAGTATGAAATTTCCAGTGAGATACCAATAGCTGGAGTTGATGAGCGTGTAGATTTAGCAAAAGGAGAAAGAACATAGCTAGATAAATAATGATCCTTGAAATAGATTTTGAAGCCTCACTGGAAGCAGTAATACAGTCGGAGTGCAGAAATAAACATGAAGATGACTACTATGTGCTCTGGTTATTTACTTAGGTTTGTGATTCACCATTAAACTTGTAGCTTCAAGGGGGCATATGTTGCTGACATCTAGGTAAAATGTCACACATGTAAATTTTTCATGGGACAACTTATGGATAATATGTGAATCTCATACTTAGTACTGCTAGAGTTAGTACATATTTACCTTTACAAATAAATCGTGACTTGATATTTGGAAAGTTGCTTCACAATGTTCAAACACAAACTAACAAAGCTCCCCATTTACCTATAGGCCGATGTTTGTTGGAACTTTTAGTCATCTAAGATCTACCAATGTTTACCACTTATTCACATTTCGTATTCATGTTAAAGATTTTAAATATTTACAATGTTATCAACTAATGACTGCTGACTTGACCTATATATAATTAATATGTTACTTGGGTGATGAGCTGCATAACGTATCATTGATTGAAAGGCAAGAGTTATTCAACATGAATTTGACAGGACGAGGAATATATTTCTATAATCGAGAACCAGGAAGTCGATATGGTGTGTACTTATTGGGAAAAGAATCTTATTCTCATAAAGTACCTCCTACCTAGGTATCTACTGAGATCGCTTAATGTACTAATTCCTGACACGATAAATCTTTCTTAAGGGGTTTGGCTCTTTCCTCTGTTTGTAACCAACAGTACGTCCTAACTAATTTACAATTAGTCAATATCATCCCTCACAAGTTAAAGGCATGCAATAATAGATTATAGGGCACTTTAATCTAATTCCATGTTCGATTTACAGGACAGTTCAAGGTGAATATGTGATGGTATCACGAGAACGAGGGGGAGCTGTGATCATTCGGATGCATGTTATGTTTCATGCCGATACCATAGCTACCTATTGATCATGGGGTATTTCCAGAGTTTGGCTAACCTATGACCTGCCCTGTAGGCCATCAACTCCATAGCAATGCAAAACACAACAGAGATGTCACTGCCAAACGCCAAATGAGATAGCCGTTGCCATATGTACAAGTCCACCCGAATTTGATAGTCCCTATCTCTTGAATGTGTGGCTCTTGCCAGCCTTCTCCCCATGCATCTTCCTTGCCGGCCTTGGGCCCTCGGCAGTCATTCCGTAGGGGTTGAACTTAGGTGCCTGCGGAGTACCGTTAGTTGCTCTCGTAGCATTAAGGACTGACTTCGCTTTGCTGTAGTCAAAAGGAGCACCATCCGAACCCTCGCCTCCATCGTTCGCGGAAACCTCAGCTGCGTCGGCGGCCGCTTCTTTCTGAGCACGCTTGGCTAGCTTCTTAGCTCGACGTTCCTCCTTGACGGCTCGTTTACGAGCCTTCTCGGCGGCTTTCTTGGACTTCTTGTTTTGCCATCTCTGCTCGTCGCTATCGTCCGTATCGGGAACTGCAATTTCCTCGGCATTAAGAGAATCGTCTGGCTTTGGTTCTGGATTAGATGGCGTGTCGTCGACTTCGCCTGAGTCTGAATCGGACATCAGGTATGTCGCTTTACGCTTCAACCCAGCTTTGAGGGTAAATTCCTTGTCAGCAGGAGGCGCAACCTCCGCTGGCTGTTCTAAAGAAATAACATCTTCCTCTTCCGTCACTGGTCGCTTTTCTCGCGTGACTGCCTCTTCTATTAGTTTGCTTGACTTCACAAACTTAGCCCAAGGCAGCTCAAACTGCACAATCCTTGATGACGTGATAGTTGAAGGCTCTTCCCAACGACTGCTCATTGGAACCTTGCCCCATAGTCTCGAAGTCTGGGAAACAAGGTCTTGGGTCCCTAGAACTTCCGCGTCGTCCTTTCGTAGTTGAGGGAAGACAGACTTTGCAACTTCGCCGATACCAATTGTAGATGACACGTTGTTGCTGCGAATGACGTCGAGAACAGAAGGTCCATTTACTCCATCCGCTTTGGCCTTGTTAATGATTTTGGATAAGTTGAAGGCTTCCCGCTTGGTGATGGGCGCCGAGGAGGGCTCGAGAAGGCCGAGGAGAGCCTTGGCATCCGGAGGCATGCGCCTAGCTATGTTGAAGAGTGTCGACATGTTCATGATATATACTGTGCTCTCATCCTCCCGACGGGCTATCTCGTCCCGCCATTTATGCACAGCTCGAAAAACAGCGAATTGCTCCTTTGAATATTTTCCTGCAGAATATCTGATGAGCTGGTTGAACCAGCCAGAGGGACCTTGGCCACTTTCAGCATCATAGCCGAAGGTCTCATGTCGTCTTAAGGAGGTCTCCTTGGATTTCTCTAGGACTTGGCGGATCAAGTCCTGTTCTGGGCCGTTCGAGGACTGCTCTAACAATTCATTGCGCATCATATCGTAGACGTAGAGCAAGTAGTGCGTGTCTGAGCGTGCATAATAAAACATCTCCTCGGGTATTGGACTATTATCCTCGTTAGTAAGGACTAAAATCACTTCAGAGGCGCGATGTTATCGTACCGTATTCTCCAATCAGCCAGCTGATACTTCTTATCCGCATCAAAATCGACGAATCTTTTGAGTAGGTAGGCAAGACCCCTGCTAGGGTATTGTAGTGCCACTGCGGCTTCAAAAGTGTCGAAGAGTCCAACGATATAAATGCCGCAATCTCGTTGTAACCAGATAATATCCATATAGGCACCATGAAGCACCTACATACATTAGTTATATGAAAAATTGCAAATGGTTGACTTGGACTGGGCTAACCTTGAGTATCTTAGGATCAGCGAATACCTCGTTCAAAACCTCTAGCTTGCGACGCCATGGTTGAAGAGTGTCGACAATCCAGTCCTTTTCACGCGTACTGATTTGCATCAGTGACAACAGGCCTGTGTATGTCCTGAAATCGTGATGTTCTGTGTCGATGGCAATTTCCGTAGCCGACTTAAGTTCTTCGAGCATATCCAAAACGCCCTCGAAGGTATCGACAAATGTGGCTGCCGTCGTTTCGACGGGTTGGTATTGGATAGGTTCCCTGGCCTGGAAAACGGTGTCAGGGTATTCATATTCAAGAACCTCGGCCTCATAGGGATGTTTATATCTATATATACCGTTAGCTTACCATACAGACCCAAGCTCTTTAATATATACAGCTGGCGTGTTCCGACCCTTTCTCTTGGTCTCTCTGAGGAAGGAGTAATGAAGGAAATGGCCATACTGGGTTTTCTGGTTCTCATCGTTGAACGTCTGTAGACTATCTTTGAGAGAGACGAGTGCATGAGGCTTAGCAGTGAGTATGGGTTTCCAGGGCGAAGTACAGAAATTGTCTGGCTTGACTTCGAATGAATCTTGTGGTTTGGTTATATCCGCACGGCGCATGGAATTTTCTAAAGTTGTCGATCGGAATTTCTTCGATGATTGGCCTGGCTGTTCAACTGGTGCAGCTTTTCGCTTGATAACACCGGTGTATTCATCTAAGCAAGTATCGGCTTTCTCTAGTAAGGTATCAACCACATCCACGATGCGCGACCATTGAACATCAATCTCGTCGCTATCTTCGATACTCGGGGCTTTTATATCGGTAGACTTGGTAGAAGACTTGAGGAGCGACGAGGCTAATGCTAGCAGGCGACCGGACGTATCGTCTAGTTGCTCTTCAACGTCAGGATTGCTCGTTCGTTGGAAATTAACATCTTCGGCAGCTATTTGGTTTGTGAGTCTCGTAGTTGCGACCAAAGCAGACTGTATTTTATCCTGTATGGACTTGAAGTCCTGAGATGAACCCATGGTGGCTAATCATCAGCCGACAGCGCGACAACAATAAAGTTGACAAATGTGCCGAAGTTGATGATGTTTTTGGGAGTGAATGCGCTGGACTGAATTCAAAAAATTCAAGCATACGCCTGAAAGGTCTTATCGATAACGTAAGTGCTGCACCTTCCTATGTAGCAAGGTGGACGTGCTTTCCTTGTACCGTCACGTTGTGTGTGGATGCCTTGAGCACTAGCGCGATATATATTACCCATTCGTTGGTTGGACTATGGACGTACATGCATACTAAGGTTTTACCCATCAATTCACTATTTCTATCTTACATACAACAAGATATCTTCCCTTAGCTGGAAGACTCAGAACGATTTACACATCATAAAGAATTTTGGTCCAAGTATAACACCATTCAACGAAATGTCCGCTTCCCTTGCACCTGAGTGCAACGAGGTGAAAGAGTAAGCAAATAGAGATTCCATGTCTTATATCCTTTGAGACGTCTCATCAGGAAGCTAACCGGCATAGACGATACGATGCTTGCTTTCTTAAGTGGTATAGTGAGAGTGTGTTTTGAATTCTTATTGTTTCCGTGTTTCTATTCAATCTCACATCGCTTTAGAATACCTCCGAGGCAACGGAAAAGCAGACGACAATGAATGCTCTAAGCTCTTCAAAGATTATCAAAAATGTCTCCAGGTAGGCAGATGTTCAATACGCATATTTGGTCTAACATGGATATAAATCTTGTTCACTTACAAGATTTCGCCACTAACCACGGACTCACTCAATAGGTTGCCCTGAAGGAACGGGGCATAGATAAACTTCTAGAAGAAGCACGCAAAGATACCAAAGAGAGTGACGCTCTCCGCATGAAAAGGAAATAGAAATAGAAATAATTGAGCATCAGAGCCAGGACCCATCAACCAGCCGTGCCGCAGAAGGTGTGCCGAAATTCCGAATCACACCAATCGATACAGAATTAAACTAGGTCAGATTTCATCTAGGATCTTGGAAGTCTGGGCCTGCAGATACCCGCGAGCCGTGAGGCGTAAATATGATCTTGGCCAATGTCATCATCCCGACCAACCCCGCATGGTCAGTCTGGTGGGATCTGGCGGGATATAATCGTCTTTAAATTTGTTTCAGTCGTTGATGCTTAGCTCAGCCTTATCACGCCTGCACGCCGCAGCTGAGAATGGCGATCTTTTACGGAAAAAGATGGGGAAGTGAAGATGAAATGCAGGGCTCATCCACCAGCGTAACCGTTACACGTTAGCGAATTGTTGTAGCCTAATGGAATTGGGAATTGGAGAGCGCTCGTATTCATTACCCTGGGCAACCCTACTCAGCTCTTACCATTCAAATGTATAAAACCACAAGAAGCCCCCGGATTACCTCATAATCAATCCAGAACTCTAAAAACACCAAGAACTTACACGATCAATATATGTTTTGGGGGTTGTTCTTCTATGGTGGTATAAAGTTAAAACAACCAACCTTCCGTTCTATTGTAACTTTTCCGCCCAGTAAAGGCAATAGACTCAAGGCGTTCGATTACCTTTTTATTCATCTCGCTCTTAGGTATTCAAAATGAATCAACATTATCGATCAACAGAATTATACGGGCTTGACAACTTAATCTCATCATTGAAGGTAAAAAGACACGATACATGAAGAAGATTGGAAGCCGCTCCGGTGGTGGTTTAGTGGTTTCTTTAGTGGCACCGATCAGCAAATCAGAGGGCGGAATGGTTACACAACCCACACTTCGACGTCAGGGCCGTGGATCCCGCTATTTAAAACCCAAACGCCCTTTAACGATTTGGGGAATCCACGTATATCGATAATCGATAAACTAAAATGTGTACACGCAATACCGCAATGCAACCTTCTGCAAGTCCAACCCAGAGCAGAACTGCAAGGGGCAGCAGCAAACAACGTCCACTTCCAAGCTTCGACCTCGATTTTAACCTCGATCTTTATCTATTCCTTATTTCCCTATTTCCCACTTCCCACTTCCCACTTCGTACAGGCTACACAGTTCTCACCTCTTCCCTCGTCAACCCTCAAACCTCGTCGCTCGTTACATCTGCCAATCATTACGCGACGCCCCGACGACACTAACACAACGCAAATAACTCGGTCCTCAGACACTATACGACAAGCCCCGTGCGACGACAATTACGAGACCGGCGCAGACCTTGCAATTTTGACCGAACGAGGATTATCGAATGCAATAACAACAATATACTCGGCGATCGGGATAATCCATTAGTTGCGAAAGGGAGGAGAGTGAGTGTAGGCGATGCGACTCGAAAGAGCATAGTTACCGATCTCCTACATGCACCCCTTCTCCATACTCACCCTCGCGATATTCGTAGCTGGCTACATCACTGCTCGATGGGATCTAGTCACTCGACTCTACGAATTGACCATCTTCGCTTGGGATAAGGGTGTTATTGTGAGCAGATCCCCGTCTCCCTCGATGCTTCCGACGTGTTATATGGAGGAGGATGCTATACCGTAGCCCACAAGCCGTGCTGGCTTCGTAGGAAACGAATAAGGATAATAAACGTAGTCAGAAACCCTGTCTAACTCTTTTATAGCTTCGCGCCGGCCAGGGATTTGCCTTCTTAAGTCTTGCTTTCGCCATAATATTCATACCTGTACAACATATCGCTGGAGTCGAGGCCGACTTGGTAATACATAAAATCCTCTTTAACTGAGACATCCCCGACTGACCGATATGCCCGCAGCATCCGCGATCGCCTAGCCTTGGAATTTCGGCTCGAGAACAACTCCGGCGCAGAGGCTCCTTCTAGGCGGAGTGCTCTGACGCTGGCTCATGGTCATGCCAGAGTGCGATGGATTGATGAGGGTATTTTGGCCGATCGATATTCCCACATCTGACGTCCCAGGTGTCATCGTCGGCTGGAGAAACTCAACCCTAGATGTTGTCGTCGTAGCTGTCTTAGATCATGTCGATGTAAGCAGTTCGCTTCTCATCACCCCTGGTCTGTTGCTTATATTGATAATACTGTAGCCAAGAAGTGTTGAAAATGCTTTGAAGACGGGCATTCTACTACGGAGTGCCCCTCATCCAATCCCCCGGATATTCGAGCTTTGCGGACAGTCGTCGATGCATGTTCTTGGCATTACGAATCACATTCCCGATTTCGAGCCGGACCCATCATGGGTACGGGCCACCACAAGGCCGTCGCAACGAGTGCCTAAGATCACCTGTCCAAAAGCGTCGAGTATACAGATTACCTTATTCGAGAGACCAATTCCACTTCGGATGCAATATATATCGCTAAATCCCATCGCGCTCTCGCTAGCTGATAAGGAAGACCGTGCATTGTATCATGCATATGATAGTTCTGAAGCCGAAGACGAAAAACAGGACCAGAAGAATAAGCAAAAGCGGCGTTTATTGGTTGATAAGCTGAATAAACATTCGGTTATGAAGCATGCTCCGTCCCAGAAAGACAGGGCGCTTGGCAGAATTGTTAATCAGATCAACTGGGCATGGGAATTGGAACATCTGCTGCAGAAAAATGTGCCACTCATTGGTACCCGTCCTAAGCGCACTCTCAGCGTATCCGAACGAGTGGTGGAACATGCCACAAATATGAGAGACTACGTGATTCTGTGGATATGGGACATGATCATTCTCTACGCGTTTCCTATAATCCGCAAGATTTTCGTACTTTTCCTCCTTGGCCATCGGATCGCTGCCGAAGCGCTGTTGTTGATATTGGAGTGGAGAGCGCGGCCAAATTCACCTGCGCTGAAAGACGTATCTGCGACGGCCCAGCAAGTGGAGATACGCCTCCAGCAGTTTTGCTATTGGCCTATGCAGTATGTCAAGCTTCGCCTACGCAAGAACGACTGGGATAGCGTTACCACTAGTCATCCGGACTACATACGCTTCTATAATAGTCTTTGGCTTGTCGCCAACGACGTCATTATGGGTATTGCTCTTGGCTCGTACATCATCGACAACGCAGAATGGGTAGCTGATACGATCAGCATGCTCCTAGGAAGGTATACTATCGATGCGCTTCAGAGTAGTATATCGTGGCTTATGGGCTGGCCCGCTGGTCTGAAACTAAACAGTGAACTGGCATTATTCTTGGGCGACTTGTTCCTTTGGGTTATTGATCATTGGTCAAGTTGCATCGGGACTTTACAGCCCTTATTGCCGCATATCGTTTGGTTCATCGGCTTTTCTAGCTTTGGCGGTGCCAGCATGCCTATCGCCCTTTTCTCCGATCTACTCTCAGTACTCACGATCCATATTTATTCCTTCTACCTGGCCTCGGCACGCATATTCCACTGGCAACTTACGATCCTGCTTTCCCTTTTCCAATTATTTCGAGGCAAGAAATACAACGTACTACGAAATCGTGTCGATGCATGCGACTACGACCTCGACCAACTTCTCGTCGGTACCATCTTGTTCACGCTTCTCTTTTTTCTGCTCCCCACTGTTGTCGTGTTCTATCTCAACTTCGCCCTTGCGCGCATGGTCATTATATCGTTCAAGGCTATTTTCGACACGCTGCTTTCTTGTCTGAACCATTTCCCACTGTTCGCTTTGATGCTTAGGGCAAAGGATCCTAGGCGTCTACCGGGTAGGTTCATTTCCAATTCTGAGCATGAGATTGCCTCATTACTAATCATAACCAGGCGGCATTCGTTTTGAACTTCGAGATACCCCAGATAGATTTAGTATTAATTCCGCTACGTCACCCCTACCAGTACATTCGCAACCTACCTCGGTTATCTACCTTAAGGTGTGTAATGTCTTCATCTCCATATTATAATAACGAAGTAATAACAGAGTATAGCCTATCCCTCTTCCATTCACAGCTATGTTTCGCCAATACTTCCAGATGGGTAGCCGTATCCGCAAACATTACTTATCACCCCGGGTACTATTCTGTTTAGTCACTGGCCGATTTGTCCCTCCTATCCATCGAAAGGCCCTATACTCTCTACAATACAGCATGCTTCCTGCGCGCCGAGCCGGTATCATGGAGATGTGGGAGGCGTTGAATTCGCTGCCTGCCAAGAAGCGGCCCGTGAATGTTTATCCTTATGCGTTTCCAACAACTCCGACGCTTAATGGAAGGAGGCACATGAACGGGCGCAGCGGGCGAGGTTTTTAATGATGAACAGGGAATTGGGGCGGCGGGGGTGTGTATAGGGATCGCGGCGTTAAAACGTGTACTAAAATAGGATAGATGGGTAGATCGGGCTCTGGTGACGGGTTATGATTTTTCTTGTATAGATGGGCTAATCCCAGAGCGAGTCTTTGAATGCGATTGATGATTGTACCAGTTTTAACACAAGTTTTATAGAAAAAGCTGCGTCTTGTATGATCCGGGTTCGATGTAAAAAGAAGTCGATGTCCGCGATCGCTCAGCGAAGTATCCATCTTAATTGTCATTTAGGAGTCTTAAGAAACATCTCACACGTCTTATGATTCCTTTTCTTTGCCCCGATGATAAGTCATAACTTTACGAACATACGAACAGCCAGACATTTACTAAGGTAGGTGCACAAAATATTAGGTTTATTACTATAGTAATGTTTGTTGAGGCGAGTTTAGATATTTACTCCTAGCTGGTAATTCCATTTATTACGATATACGTACGACCTTGACATGAAAATCCCATATTTACAGCTGGTTCCTAATAATGAGATCGATTGGCGATTGTGCCTTAGATTATAACACGACGGAAAACATCAAATGAATATCCAATGCGTGGTATGTGTGTAGTGTGAAACGTATTTTGAGTATCATTACTTGGCGCAAACGCCGCCGATGTGTGTGATGAGTTCTTCGATGCGATACGGTTTTGTGGTTACGCCGTCCTATATCTTGATATTAGCACCATCCCTATTCTTGTACACCATGCCTTCTAGCTTTCACTTACCATGCCAACTTCGATAGCACCGCTAACCTGCTTACTGCGCACGTTGGCCGTAACTCCAAGAATCGGGACGTGTCCAGGGAGTTCACCTTCTGCCTCGAGTCTCCGAATCTCTTTGGTAAATTCGATTCCATCCATAACTGGCATCTCAATATCGCACAGAATCACATCAAAGTGGTTATGTTCGTAGGATTTGTCGGTGCCATAAGTTGCTTGTACGGCGTCGAGAGCCTCCTGTCCATGATTGGCAGACTTAACAAGGAAATCCCGATTACGCAATTGCTTGCACAGCACCTTTTGATTAACCAGATTGTCCTCGACCACGAGCACCTTGAGATGCGATTCCTCGGACCCTGAACTGCCCGAGCCCTTCGGAGTCTCCGGGGTGCTACTACTCCATTCAAGTTCCTTAGATGTCATCGGCGTCCCGTCGGGTGTGACGCTGAGTGACCGGTTTAGTCTGATAGCTTCTCTAGGCGTCGGCGCCAAAGGTGGTGTATTGCACCTCCGGGTCTTGACGTAAAACGCAAACGTGCAGCCCGAACCGGCACTACTAGCCATACCTATTTCGCCTCCGAGCATCTCCGTTATCTGACGAGCGATGAAGAGACCAAGACCCGAACCTCCATATTCTATATGTGTTTTTGGAGATGCTTGAGAAAAGCGGTTGAATATCTGAGCTGTCTCGTCCTTGGTTAGGCCCTTGCCCGTATCTTTGACGGAGAAGGACATGAAAACATCTGAAGTCGAGTCGCAGAAGTCTTTGACATCAGATACAGGAGTAACGGGCGCATATCGATGAGGGACGAACTCTACGCCGAGTTCGTTTTCGAGCGGGCGGTGCTCATGAGCAGCTGCCGTGACGACGATCCTCCTCGCTGTTGACGTCTTGGTGAACTTGATGGCATTTGTGACGAGGTTTATTACAATTTGGAGAAACCTGTTGGGGTCGAGGAGAACCCAGTCAACGTCGAGTGTGGAAAGCGAGCTATCCCCTATGATTAGCAGCTTGATATCCGTCATTTTCAGCTCAGCGTCAAAAATCTTCAGGGATGAGCGGACAAGTCCCATCGGCTGGACTGGAATAGGGGACACAACAAGTAGATCAGAATCCAATTTGGAAACCGTCAGAACGTCGTCAACGATCTGCTTTTGATGTTGCACGCAGTATATGATCGTACTTGCAGCATCCAGCGCATTTCCTATCTGCTTTTTGACCGCTTTTTCCTTTCTGGAGTGGTGTGGATTATGGGTTGATTGATGATCCTTGAATTCCCAATCTAGCGCATGAGCAGCTCTCTTCATCGACTCGACTATCTCTTCGCTGCAGTGTAGGACGGCCGATAGAGGGTTTCGAATTTCGTGGCTAATCATGTCCATGAAACGTTCCTGCTGTGTCTTCGACCTGATAGCTTCTTCCATTTTATCCGTTAGGACCTTGACGGCCATTTTCTGCCCACTGATGTCGGTTACCCAGAAATCCATATAGTCGACTGTTCCATCCTCTTTGAATTGAGAAAACCCTGTAGCGACGACGTATGCTCCGTTGGTAACGGTTTTATCACCGCCTGAGATAGTATATGTTTTGTTGACTAGCTGAAACTCGACGGATTCAGGTCCAGGATATTTTTGAAGTCGAGAAAACATATCCTTGTAGCCTTGTACATGGTCCTCTCGAATCCACGGCAGCCATGGGCATGGGCCTTTAGGAATAGTACCCTGGGTGAAGCTATAAATCGCGAGCCAGGCCTTGTTTCCATATTCGACATAGCCCTCACCATCTGTCCGACAAATCCCAAGTGGGCAATGCTCCGCGTAGTTCCGCCACTTCTGCTCTGATTCTTCGAGCTCTTTTGAACGAGAGATCAGTTGTTGTTCGGTCCATTTAAGCTCGCTGATATCCATCGTAAAGATCATGACGCTTTCGACTTCATCCCATTCATTTAAATCCGAATAACAAGCGCAAATGCCTGTACGATGATCCGAAGACATGTGACCTCGACGGAAGGGTTCCTTGGAGCGAATTTGAAATGTCCCCCCTTTCTTCTCGTTGAGCACCTTCTTTTGCCATTCTCGGAGTAGTTCGGCATCTTCTGGAACGACGCTATCGAACCAACTCAGATCTTCCTGATCTGCTGGGCTCAACCCGGAGAATTTATACCATGCATCGTTTGCATATAGAATCTAACAAGGTGTCAGTCTGAGCTCTTAGCCGGCTCACATTAGTATGTTTACATTACCTTGCCATTTACATCGCTAACGGCTAAACCTACGATGGACCACTCCGCGAACCGTGAAAATCTCATATCGCTCCTCCTACGATCCAGCTGAGCTCTCTTAGCTAACTCGTTATGGCGGGCAACTTCTTCCGACAATCGCGCTCGCGATATCTGTGGCGCCGCAACATCTGCGATGAGCTGTAGGAACTCACAAAACTGGGAGCTATACCTCCTGTAGGGATTTAGACCAACGACCACGAACGCTGCTATCTTGCCATCATCTTTGATGGGTACGATGGCGAACTGTCCAGAAGATAATTTGTGTCCCTCGCATTTAATACCTTTAAGGAGATGATGTAAAGACGGGTCGCTAGCCTCTAATATCAACATCGAGTCACGCCGAAGCGCCTTAAGCATGATTGGAGCGAACCCATCGATATCGCACGACAGATCGATATATTCTTTCCCCAACAGACCACGATCGTCCACGCCAATGCTTCCCTCCAGATGGCATGGGTAGCTAGGATTGCTTGGCTGATCGCTGATACTCAGCTGCGCATCCAGCGAATACAACAACGCAAAGGGGATATCTTTATCATTATAGCTGATCCCTGTTAGCAACGTACTCCAAAGATCTTTCATATTGTTCGCCGTTCCGGTATGACGACACACGCGCTGGATGCATTCGTTTTGTCGCTGTTGAATAACCTGTTCTGTCCTGTTGGAGGGGATACCGTACGATCCTCTGACAATCCCGTCATCATCGGTAACCGGAATCAACTTCCAGTCGAAATAATTCTCTTCCTGGTGCCCGTCTGCCCCGATTAGAATCCTGGTCCCTTCACAGGCTTCCGTGCAACATGTTTGACGTTGCTCGGTAATTTTCTCAGCTAACTGTTGCCAAATAGTAGAGAAAACACTACATGCGTCCATTCCCATGGCGCACGGGTGTTTGCTCCCCAACAAGGGTAGATAAGCTTCATTGTAAATGATACAGGAAGACTCCCCCCAAAATAGCACCGCCGGGCTTGTGTCGGCCAAGAGAAAGCGAGACATATGGCGAAGTACCGAGTCCCAATTAGCTACTGGCCCGATGGAAGTCTTGTTCCAATCGATGCACTGGAAGAATTCCTGAATGGGCGCAACCGGTGGCGGACTGGGCTTGGGAATGCCTTGTTGCTCAGTTCCCCGGGCTGCTCGGGATGCTATGGCGAGCGTTGTTGGGTCATGTTCTTGCACTCGGGATGCTTGCCCTCCGAGGCGCGAAGGTGGCGATCCATCCTTCGGGGGCATCACGACACCACCGGGAGTCACAGTTTAGAGGGTGATGACAGTTCTTACTAGCCATCTAATCCGAAAAGGAAGCTCGCAGATAGCATGTAAGTACCAACGACTTTTCCCATTAGAGTATACAAATGAATATATTCAAGATGAGAATTCATTGCAAAGAAATTGCCTTCCTCAGATTCTGTCTTGATGCGGGACCTAACGCCACAAGGAACCATATCGAGAATGGCTCGCGGCCGTGGCAGGCCGAGACTCCTCTGAGATGCTCTTCATTACTCGTCTCCGCATTAGCGACATTGGTGACGCTCTATAATGGGACGAGGCCAATTCTTAGTGCGCTTAGTCGCACCAGAAGGTTCACTTAATAGATTTGTCAGTTGTCAGTCCGGGCTGGTGAAGCGGAGGGGGGCGTTAAGTGGATTTAATACGGAGCTTGATTATGTACCTACCCGATCTTAATGCTACCCGCCGTCACGGATTCGTCATGGACCTAACGTTTTAGGTCCCGCGGAAGTAGGCTGGAAGTTTCCGGTCGATGTCAACCATATGACTGTGGATTTCGTCCGAGTTCAGCCTTCTCGAGGGGACGAAATCAACTACCGTGACTGAAGATCACCGATTCTAGTGGCGTAGATTGTCCGCATAAGAAAAACGCGTGAGAACACTAGCCCATTGTCTTATTCCTATTTTGAAAGCCCATCAAAGACAATTTACTATCGCGAGACAAAAGAGCTAAGAGAGTAGTGTGATATGAAAAAAAAGTTGTTTAACTTTAGCTACTATTATTTAAATAGTACAATAAAGTTAGAACCATCGACGACCCCTCGATCCTTTCGGGATTATCCCTTACCCCTGAATTGCCGATTCTGTTAGCTTGGGTGGATCCTCTAGGAAATAAAAACTGTGTATGAGTCAGACACGTCCATTACTTAGTAATCTAGTACCTGTCTCGAGTGAACATCCGACATAAAGTTTTGATAAGAGGTAAAATAAGATTTAACAATAGGTAGCACACACGGGTCATGGGTTCCCAAGCAACCGGTTTCGATTCTGGCCCAGCGCCACTGCCGCCAAAAGACGTCGTTCTAAGCTTGAGGACGGGAAAGATTAGGCCTTTTGGAGGCGTAAAAGGTTTGTCCTCGGCTATTAACAAGCAGCCTCGAAGCGGAAAAATCCAGCTCACTGCTGGCGGCTTTTCTGGCGACGAGAGGCAGTACATCCACCACAAAAGCCCCGATAATGCCATTCACCAATATGACCCCCGCCACTATGAAGATTGGAAGAAAATCTTGCCGGATCGTGAACACAAGTTCAAGGTCGGCGCCTTTGGTGAGAATATATCTTCGGCCCACCTTTCAGAGGACAATCTCTGCGTTGGCGATAAGTTTCGTCTAGGGCCAGAAGCCATCATTCAGGTCACAATGCTCAGGCAACCTTGCTACAAGCTCAATCACCGCTTCGAGTATAAGAAAATGTCTAGTTTGATCCAGAGTACCGGATACACTGGCTGGTATTACCGCGTAATCCAAGGCGGAGAGGTCCAGGAAGGTGATGTGATAGAATTGATCGAGCGTATTAACCCCTTTTGGTCACTTTCAAGAATACACTATATCCTGTACACGGATGCAAGCAACATTGAGGCCATAACCGAAATCATCCAACTAGAAGGGCTTAGCAAGGAGTTCCTCACTTTATTCCAGAAACGACTTGCTAAGGGGACTGAGAATATGGATGGCCGACTCCTGGGCGATTTCGCAGTGCTTTGGCAGTCATACAAACTGGTTGAGAAGACTCGACTAACACCGAGAGTACAAAGGTTCGTCTTCAAGTCCGAGGACCAAGATATTGACTCGGAAGATTTGCAGTTCGGGCGTTTCCCCCATGTGCGCCTCAGGTTCGGGCCGGATTCCGAGTTTACGAGAGCTTATTCGGTCGTATCAGGCGATATGAGATCGTTCGAACTGGGGATTGCGAAGGACGACAACTCAAGGGGAGGTTCCTTGTTTCTTCACGATGACCTAAAAGTTGGCGACGTATTGGAAGTGGCTAAGGGGCACAATGCAAGCGTGCCTATAATTAGCAACGACCAAGAAAGTGGTTCTACGAAACACATTTTCATCCTGGGCGGCATTGGTGTTACCGCTTTCATCGGTGAGATTGGAACCCTCGAGAAAAAATCCGCCAACTTCGAGATACACTACGCAGTACGGAGCAGAAAGGAGGCTGCGTACCTCGATCAGCTACCAACTAAAAACACTGCCGTCTACGCAAAGGACGAAGGTCGGCGATTGGACGTTTCTTCTATCATTCCGTCACCCAACGATTGTAGAGACGACTGCTTCAAGCCCCTAGTCTACTGCTGCGGTCCATCATCACTACTGACCGCATGCCAAGAAATCACGACAAAGCTGGGTTATCCGCGATCCCAAACCCATTTCGAAGAGTTCGGTGGGGCTGGAACCGGTACTGGCGAGCCATTCGAAGCAGAAATAAAAAACACCGGCAAGGTTCTTCAGGTACCTCGCGAGAAGTCACTGCTAGATATTCTCAACGAGGCTGGTTTTGAGATAGATTCATCTTGCCTCGTAGGGAACTGCGGAACTTGCATGGTAGACGTGTGCAAGGGCGAAGTCGTCCATCAAGGCACGGCCCTCGAGGACGAGCAGAAGGAAAATAGTATGCTGTCCTGCGTAAGTCGTGGTAAGGGGCGAATCGTGATTGATTGCTAGACCAATTATCTTTGGTTTAGAACCGAGGTCTGCTTCAAATGTTTAACCTCTATAGAATAATTCTCATATAAACATACACATTCTATTCGGTAGATTAATACCCATATACCAAACTTCTTTTTAGAATAATCCTAGTATTTATTGATTAAGTAATTATGTTTCTACTTATTGTAGGTAGGTATAATTCTGTGAGTAGGCAACATATCCTGCCAACGACACAATTATTTAGTATTTATTGTACCGAGGTTCGTAGACTGCCGCACCTCGTCCGACTCGGAAGGCGGCAATCTGAGATGACGGCTAAACTACCGCAGTTCATTACGCGCCGCGGAGGAGCAACACCTGTGTTATAAACACATTGCGGCCTAGACTCTCCGCTTGATGATTATCGAATGCAGGTGGCTAATTTATTTATTGTCGAGTTCGACAATTAAATGAACGATGAACTAAATACCCCAACTTCACGTGGCCAAGGAGAGGATATCCTACCTAAGGTATGTATCTTGTCAGTTCTGCAAATAGCAGCATATCCACATCAATTGCAACTGCCATACTCTTTTAATAAGCCGGGATATAAGCCAAAATGAGGCGGCTTAGGAAAAATTCAGGAGCCCCTCCTTTTCCGGCTTTACCCTTTATAAAATGATGCGACATCACCGACGCCCGGCTCCCTACTTACAGGTAGGTATGTTCAGACTAGGAAGCACCTCCCCAATCCCTAGACATCCAGTTAAGTCATGATCTACTCAACTCTACTGCTGGGCGCGGCGCTCGCCTCTTCCGCCTCGGCGGCATGCACGCGCGAGCAGCTCATCGCAGCAACGGACGCTTACATCACAGCGCAAGCGGCAGGAGATCCGGCGATGCCCGCCCTCGCCGAGAACGTGACCTATCTCGAGAACGATGCGCCGATGGACATCACGACGGGGGTGCTGAGCCAAGCGATCACGATCGATTTCAACCGCAGCCTGCACGACAGCGTCGAGTGCGCGACATTCACGGAGATCTCGGCCGCCACTAATGCAGAGCCGTACGTAATCGCCACGCGCATGCTGTTCACCGATGACAAGATCACGACCATCCAGTCCGTCGTTGCGAACAACGGCGACTGGGCTTTCAACGCCACCGGCCAGTTGTATTGGACTAAGACAGAGAACTGGGATCCCATCCCCGAGGACCAACGCGATAGTCGTGATGTCATTAAGGCTGCTGGTGATGCATACCTTGACAGCTGGGGAGACGGGACTGTGAAGGTGCCGTATGGTTCGCCGGTATGTAATATTGAGTGTTCCTTTTTGCCCCCTTAGGGGCTGTCTTGAGAGTGAAAGCTTTTACTCCCGAGATGTGCTTAAAACTCCTAGATTTCTTTCCTAGAGAAGAAATTACTGACTCCTAATGTTGTTAGTGCGCGCGCCTTGAGGGCGGTTCTTACACTGGGAGAGTGGGGTCGACGGCTAACACGTGCACGATGCCACAATTCCCTTCGGCGTTCAAGATTGAGAACCGGAGGTACGTGATCGACGAGGAGGTTGGCGGACTAGACATCTTCAATGACTTCCCGTTCATCGACGCTGACAAGCCGGACGGGACCTCGAGCACCAATTTCTTTAGGATTGAGGGAGGCATGATCAGATACATTCATGAGACAACTATCTGTACGAACCCTAATTGTGGTCGGTAAGAGGTAAAAAGGAGGGAGTCGTATGGAGGACGAGAGGCACGGGAAGACTCATCATCCAGTGACTGCTGTCATTTAGTTTCCCGTCATAATAGCTCGCTAAATCGGGACTGTTTTTCCAATATATGTGCTGTCCCGTGACTTAGTTTCGGTGAATAGACATCGGTTGACAGAGGATATCGTTCGATGTAACAAGACTCCCGTTTATCTCGGGGTTACTAAATAGAAACGAAATAGAAATTGGTAAAACGCTTTGATGTTGATTATTATATGTATTACTTCGGCTTTCCTATCAACCCGTATGTATGATGGTAAGTGAAGCATCAAACAGAGTGGTGGTGAGACTTGACAAATATGATGATGGAAACGGCGTTGAAGAAAGGGATCAGCATGGCATGAGAGCTACGTCACTCCCCGGATCTCGGATCGGGACTTTCCCGACAGGGTAGTACGGACCCTGAAGAGGTAGGTGCCCGCGCATTTTAGTGACAGTGGAGAGGTTATTGGCCAATTGTAGAGTGTCATATGTACCCCGCCGTGGATGAATCTTGCCGAACCAGTCGATAGAAGCGATGCCCCTCCATCATGTGTCTTATCCAGTTTATCGTATGCTTTCTCCAACTTCTTCTTTGCAGCCTTGGAGCTTGTCTTGCCACTTACATGCAACCATTCCATGCAACCATTCCAACCAAACGACGACATAGTGCAGGTGTAATAGGAAAGATCCGCGACGCCATGTTCCGATCATCGTGACCCTTAACAATCTTTATCTACTTCCGCCGGCCAAATCATCACCCCTAGTGATTCGACAGTGACTCCAACGAATATATATGTATCCTCTGTCACCCTCGCCACCATAATTGGTCTCGTCCATCTTCTTCCTCTTCTACAAATCTGGAGCTTCAGATACTAGATAGATAGCAAGGAAATTCAAGGTAATTTTGAAAATACAATATTTCATCGTATACTCGTTATTAGCTACGCGATCATTTCAAAATGGAAACTCAAGTTTTTATCCCATTTAGACCTAATCCTAACCCTTCACCTCACGATTCTCGCGAAATGTCGGATCCCAAAGAGAAATTCTTTCGCTACTTCCAAGCAGAAATAACTGGTGAGAATTGCTATGCCGGCGTTGAGTGAACCCCCTCGCGGACTAACTTAACCAAGCTATCCAGGGCCAGATCGACGACCTAGCAACTATTTCTCACGTAGGCGGAGAGCGACAAGACTGCATAGATACAGTGTTAGCAGGGATCTCCCGTTTGTCTAACGAGGTTATGGACGCTGGTGACTATATCCCTGCCTACGATCAACGAGCGTACTCTCAGGTACCACCCACCAACCGCCTTGGTGAATATTGACCCCGATTCTTATATATAAAATAGGCCATGAAAGCTCTCACCGATAAGCTCAACGAGACCACCGCCAGTTTTGCGCCGAAGTCACGCTTTCAGTTCAAGTCAAAGTCTTCTAAACAAGCTCCCGGTGCAGAGACGCAGATTGACCCGCGACAACGTACCTTCTTTAATAATGTCGGGTCGAAACAGTCGCCGGTCCTCGACGCGGCGAAACGTGATGCGATTAATGCCGCGAATGATGCGACTACGTCCTCGAAGGACTACAACGAAGATGTTGAGCAACAGTCGGGTGTGAGAAAGCCGAGTTTCTCCAACGCGAAGAGCATCTCCATATATGACCACTCCGGATTACACATCATGCTTCCGTCGACAGCCTCGAGGGCTACATCCTCTGGTAGCTTGACCAACTTGGATCGATGCGTTGTAGATATGACAGTCGCTACAAGTACGGGGGCGCCGTTCGCTGGGTTGGCTATGAAGAATATCAAGCAGAGCCTCATTATCGCCGGGCACGTCGCAGGACCTGTACACATAACTGGTCTGCAGAACAGCATAGTCGTGGTTGCCGCACGGCAGGTTCGCATACATGAGTGCAAGGACGTTGACGTTTATCTCCACTGCGCAAGCCATCCCATCATCGAAGATTGTTCGGGAATGCGATTTGCGCCGTTACCTGAGTTCTATGTGAGTGTCTGTAGAGGTTACTACTAACTCCGTTACTGATAATTCTCGGAACAGGCATCCAAGTTAGAAGTCAAAGGTGAGAATCAATGGGACCAGGTAGACGACTTCAAGTGGTTAAAGAGCGAACCATCGCCGAACTGGAGCGTTTTAGCTGAGGACAAGCGCATCCCGGCAGACGTCTGGGAGAATTCGGTGTGCGGGAGCCCGAGTCTTAGCACAGATGATATATTACGAAAAGCAGGCATTCTCGGCTCGCGAGCTTCCTGACGACCCTACCGATATACGAATCCTCGTATCCTAGTACATTGCTACGACTTAATCCGAAATATGATGTAATACACGAGTAAGGGGTTAGCATGGCGTTGGTGTTTACGTCGACTTTTGCTTTTCCAGACTCTGTAATCAACGAATGGAATCGAATTGTGGTCAGAGTGTACTAGTTTTCATCAATAAAAAACCGTTACTCCTATGCAAAATGACCCCTGCTTCTCGTGGTATAATAATCCGAACGCCGTAACTCCCATTCATGCGCCTGTAATGATTCGCCTTTTTTCATCCTACACCATCTTCCCCCTTTGCTATCCCCATCTACCTTCGTACCCCCTATCCCTTTTCCCTCAGGCATCACCTCCGCTTACCCCCCTCAGCCTCGGAGTCCGTCTCGGCTTAGGTTAATCAACAACCATCTTCTCCCCCTCCCCCTCCTCATCCGCAACCGCCAACCGCGCGCCCATCTCCCTCAGGCGCGCGAGCATGTCGCGCTGCCGCGCCAGCCGCGCCTCCAGCGCCGCGATCTCGGCCTCCTGCTCCCGCGTGCCGCGTCCCACGTCCGGGAGGCCGCGCACCAGCGCCCGCGCCCGCTGGAACCGGTGCTTCAGGACGTCGGCCGCGGGCGGGATCTCCTTCAGGGACAGCTCGCCCGTGTTCGTTGTAGTCGTCGCGCCGTTCGCTGTCTGCGGTTGCGAGTGCGGGTGTAGTTGGTGCTGGTTGGAGGTTGGAGGAGGAGGGGGAGGTGGTGGAGGGGGCGCGGGTGTGGAGGCGGCGGCGGCGTTGGGGGTGGCTCCTGTGGTGTTGGTGCTGGTTGGCATGCGGAGACGGTTGAGGAGCACGGCGAGCTCGGTTAGGGTGTCGAGGGTGTCGGGGTTGAGACCCTCTGGCATGGCGACGGGTTGCGGTTTGGGGGTTGAGGAGGGCATTGTGGTTGTGGTTGTGGGCTATGACGATTGGTGGTTGAAGGTAGGAGGTTGGATTCAGACGCGAGAATCGCAACCAGTAGACATCGAATCTAGTAATGCTTGATTGGCGGGAAGATCAAATCTGATATACTGTAATGTATAATGGTGAACCTTGATGGCTTGTGTGTAGTAGGCGAGAGCTGAATGCAGGTTCGAAGTTATTAACGGAGCTAAATGTCGACGGAGGTAATCTCGTTGATGTTGATTTGTTGATTGCGTCGTAGCTACTACAAAGAGCTGGCAGGCTGGCAAGGGTTGCGCTGTCCCGCTATCTCGGATCTTAAAGCGGGTCTCTCCGACGTGCATTGACGTCAAACAAAAATTCAGCCCGGCGCCTCGATAACCTGGTATAGTGGGGTTATCCGTACGTGCAGTTATGACTTGGAGCATTCAACATTCACTTTAGAACAAACTACCTGCGTAGGATGCACAGTAAATTATTTTCAAATCTCATTACCTTGAGATTTATAGTAATTATAGAAATTGTCAAGAAATGCATATAGTCATCTTCAATTGAATATTCATATGCGTAAATAGAGGAATTTACGTACTCCTATAAATGTACTGAGGGGAATAATGCGTACATAATTATCGATAGGCGGATTATTGGACGGAGCATTAAGAAAATCCCCCCACCATAGGTGATAATCCATAGCAGCCCACCATCATGCGAAACATCTCAACACTTACAACTCCAGGCCATTGCGTCCGCAGAAAATAACTCAACATTTCTCTTCTTCTTTTCCCCTAAATCCCCTCATCTTACCAAATAGACTCGCATTGTTAATAGAGAAGATATCAAAAGAATTAGGAAATTAAGAATGACTACACCAAAGCAGAAGGCCTGTTTGAGTACGTCTACACCTCCTGTCTCTTCTGCCTCTTCTGCCTCCCTTGCCCCTCCTGCTCAGATATCTAGAGCTAGACAGCCTGATTACTTCGTTTTTGTTTGTTACATACTCATCTATCTCGAGATCTGCTGGCTAATATTTTACGCCTTGCGAACTTACAGTCGTGATTGACGGCTGGGGCATCCCCTCCGCCGAGTCTCCCAAGAATGGAGACGCCATCGCTGCCGCCAAGACCCCCGTCATGGACGAGCTGTCCAAGAGCGCTACCGGATTCACCGAACTAGAAGCCTCTTCTCTCGCTGTTGGTCTTCCCGAGGGTCTAATGGGCAACTCCGAAGTCGGTCACTTGAACATCGGTGCTGGAAGAGTCGTATGGCAAGATGTCGTCCGAATCGACCTAACCATCAAGAAGGGAGAATTGGCCGGCAACAAGGTTATCAAGAATGTTTTAGACAGAGCTAAGAATGGCTCTGGTAGACTTCACCTCTGTGGTCTCGTCTCTCACGGCGGTGTTGTATGTTGACTTGTTTGAAAACTATGCGGTCGTGTTGCTGACTCGCTTTTCTAGCACTCCAAACAAACCCACCTTTACGCTCTCCTAAAGGCTGCCAAGGCTGCCGGAGTTCCCAAGGTCTACATCCACTTCTTTGGCGACGGCCGTGACACCGATCCCAAGTCCGGAGCTGGCTATATGCAGGAGCTTGTCGAAACAGCAAAGGAAATTGGCATTGGTGAGATTGCTACCGTTGTTGGTCGATACTATGCTATGGACCGAGATAAGCGCTGGGAGAGAGTTGAGCTTGCTTTGAAGGGTATGATTCTCGGCGAGGGAGAAGAGAGCTCTGACCCAGTCAAGACCGTCAAAGAACGTTATGAGAAGGGCGAGAATGATGAATTCCTCAAGCCCATTATCGTCGGTGGCCAAGAAGCTCGCATTAAGGATGGTGACGAGGTTTTCTTCTTCAACTACCGATCGGACCGTGTTCGACAAATAACCCAATTGCTCGGAGGTGTTGACCGTTCCCCCAGGCCCGACTTCCCCTACCCCAAGATTAACTTGGTCACCATGACGCAATACAAGGCAGACTACCCCTTCGAGATTGCCTTCGAACCTCAACGTATGGACAATGTTTTGGCTGAATGGCTGGGCAAACAAGGTGTCAAGCAAGTCCACATAGCCGAGACGGAGAAGTACGCCCACGTCACTTTCTTCTTCAACGGCGGTGTTGAGAAGGTCTTTGCTTTGGAGACCCGAGACGAGAGCCAAGATCTGGTGCCTTCCAACAAGAGCGTTCCGACCTACGACAAGGCCCCTGAGATGAGCGCGGCTGGTGTTGCGAAGCAGGTTGCTAAGCGACTGAGCGAGCAGCAGTTCCCGTTCGTAATGAACAACTTCGCTCCTCCAGATATGGTTGGCCACACTGGCGTGTACGAGGCGGCCATCATCGGATGCGAGGCTACCGACAAGGCTATTGGCGTGATCCGTGATGCTTGTAAGAAGGAGGGTTACATCCTTTTCATCACCGCTGATCACGGAAACGCCGAGGAGATGAAATTCCCCGACGGCAAGCCCAAGACTTCTCACACCACCAACAAGGTTCCATTCATCATGGACAACGCGCCCAAGGGTTGGTCGTTGAAGAAGACCGACGGTGTTCTGGGAGATGTTGCTCCCACTATCCTGACCGCTATGGGTCTTCCTGTCCCTGAGGACATGACTGGATCTAGTCTCTTGATTGTTGAATAAATCGCATGAGTTTCTTAAGAGTCATAGTTGGGGCATAGGGTAGGTATGTGGGGAGTTGGTAGAATTAGAGATGGTTTGGGAGGCGTAGAGATACCAGTAGTATAAAATAACAATAAACACGGCTATTATAATGGACTTATCTGTTTTCTTGTTTTTAGGCTCATAATTATAGAAATTAGGTCCTCGTACTAATGAGCAGAGTGTTAAGACTTCGAGGTTAACTTAGTAATAAGCTGGTTTAGACGCATATTTTCGTTGTTGTGGGGCTATACAATTATTAGGCACGCCTAACCCTTTACAGACTAGCGCGCACAAGCACAAATCCAAAACTTCTTCAACTTCGCCAACTTGATCGATGCCCCACCAAAACCGACTTTTCTCCTTGAACCTCCATCACACCACCGTAAAAGAACTCGCTTCGTACTCAACACCGGCGAGTAACTTGCAAGATGGATTCAGAAGATCCCCAGGAGCGTCCCGAGGACATCACAAACATCATCAACGGCCTCGAGCGGTACAACCCCGAGGCTGTCGGTAACCTTGAGGACTACCTGCGCCTGCAGTGCGAGAACAGATGGACTGATTCTAATGCGAACCGGACGTTGCTGAAGCTGTAAGTCTTGATTTTCGATACGAGACTTTTCTCTAGCTTCTGTGCCTGTGTCTTTGTTGGTTGGAATGACGAACTATTTATACACGTTTCCTATTACCTGACATAACGGCAACACGCCGCTCGGGATGTTTATCTATTTTGCCTCTGACCTTCCAACATGACCTATATTTGCTCTACTCTTGCCTCATCTTCTCCTCCGTACTAGAAGGCACAGACAAGCTAACCACATATCCTCCCACAATCCAGGTATCAGCTAAATAACGACCGCGTTAAGGACGAAGTCATCACCAACATCCTCGTCAAGGCCCTAACCTGCTTCCCGTCCCCGCAGTTCGCGCTGGCGCTGCACTTGATCCCGCCGCACCTGATGGCGCCGAACCCGCGGGCGGAGCTGCCGGAGGCGATCGCGAAGCTGCGGGAGCTGAACACGCAGCTGCAGGGGGCGCAGTACGCGCGGTTCTGGGCGACGCTGGACTCGGACGACCTGTACGCGGACCTGACGACCGACATCGACGGCTTCGAGGAGCTGATCCGCGTCCGCATCGCCACCCTCGTCTCCCACGCCTACCGCGAGATCGAGCTGAGCGTGCTCGAGCAGTGGTTAGGGCTGGAGGGCCAGGCCGCCCTCAAGTTTGTGACTGAGACCGCCGGATGGAAGGTCGAGGGCGGCGTCGTGAAGATCCCGAAGAACCCGGAGAACGAGGCGAAGAAGAGCGAGGTCCGCGAGGATGTTAACGTGGATATGTTCTCGAGGGTTATTCGACGGGCTTGGGAGGAGACTGTTTGATCGTCTAACTAACCAAACGAACCAAACCAATCAATCCGTTTAACCTGCCTACCTAGATACTTGGGCCGGTTTTCCGCGTCTGGGGATGCGGTCATGGTCGGAGCCATGAGTGGTGGGAAGGGGGACGGGACGGTGGACCTACGAAACCAGCATTGGGAAAAGACACGGGAAGATACCACCGTCTTGGGCGTTACGGGTGACAGTTCGGGGGTTCCGAACTTTTGACTTGCTGGATGTGCGGCTTGCTTACTTGTCCCTGCCGTCGGTAGATATACCTACATGGGCGGTTATGAGAGGTGGGAAATGAATAAAAATGATGATATGAATAAATTCGTCTTATTTGATGCAAATCTATTTGCGTGGTCTCGTACTTGCATTTCTATTGTGAGTCTATTTCTAGACAAATGCCTATATTTCTACGCTTTGTAAGTATAGAAATAGACTACCTAGACCACATGAGCGTACGGTCTCTTAATCTACTGATGAAATAAGGCAGTATCAAGAAGTTCACGATTGAATTATCAGACGTTGGTGATTGATCCTCATCTGCTCCGCGGCATAAGACCCTCAGCTACTTACGTCCTCCTATTTCATAGCCCATGCCATGCAAGCCTCACGCCATAACACTGTACCATATGCACGTATTGGCTTTTCCCACTCCCCCTAACCGTTTGGATTATCACTACCGCCGCCCACCAGCACCCGTCAACTCCTCCCACTGCACGCCCGCCCACTCCTCCACGTACCCGACCCGGCCCTCCGCCACGCCCCGCGCCTGACAATCCCGCTCGCACACGCCCACGATAATAGTCCCCCAGTCCATTCCCTCGAGCGACAGCTCCTCGGCCTCCAGCTCCGCGATCGCGTGCGGCGTCATCTGGACCTCGAACGTCCTTGCGGCGCCGCAGTTCGCGCAGCGGGGCATGCTCGTACCCGTGGTCGTTACCCCGTTACCATTCCCGGGTACCGCGACGTGTAGCAGCTTCCCCACGGCATCCGTTTTCGAGTACAGCAACGGCTGCCCCCCGAACTCGTACCGGATGGCTTGCTCCGGGTTCTGCGACAGCCGGTCCGCGAATTTCTGGAACGTGGTGTCCATGGTCGATTCGAAGACCTCGCGGTCCTCCTTGCCGCCTTTGCCGGAGGGCGTGTCGGCGTCGACGTCCATGCGCGTGTTCTGCGGGACGGGGGCCGGGGTTGGGTCGAGGGTCTCGTAGTCGGCTTCCGAGAGGTAGGAGATTGGGTACGGGGAGGGTTGCTGTGCTGCGGCGGGCCAGGGCTCTGGTGGGGTTGAGGGGGGTTGGGATTGTGTGTTGTTGAGGGAGAGGGTTTCGGCGAAGGTTTTGGGGAGGGCATTTATATCGTCCTCCGTTGTATTTGATGGTGGGGCGGACTCGGTCTTAGGTTCGGGTTTTGTTTCCTTGGGCGGTGCCGAGGGACTGCTGAATGGGTTGCTAGAGCTGGCGAAGGGATTGCTACTCCCGGAGGAAGAACCGGTAGTGGAGAATGGGTTTGCGGAGCCGGATGGCGATCCCATTGTTTTGGCGCCGAAAAGGGACTCTCCTAGGTTGGACGGTGGTTGCGATTTTGGCGCTTCTTCTTTCGGCTTTGGCTTCTCTTCCTTTTTGTCCTTGGTGTTTTTGGCGGTAGTATTTATGGCAGCGCTACCGGGTGCTATCCTCACACTGCGCAGACTGCGGATACTTCCCTCTCTTCGGCGACAGCTCTTGCGCCGACAGGAGAAGACGTATAACCGCCGCTCGTGACCGGGAAAGCGTTCCGGTAGCTCGCCGTCTAGTTGTAGTAGGAGAACCATCAAGTCCTTGCATATCTTGCATCTTGCAAGCGCTGCTGATGGTGGAGTGTTCTCATCAAGCCATTCCTGTAAGTGATGTTAATGCTGGTGAAAATAGACTAATAAGATGGATATATCGCATACAGGACGGCCGCCCAGACGACTAATAGTCTCGTCGCCAGGGTCTTTTGATGCATACCCGAGAAGCACATTGGTCTCTGTGAAGTCGTCCTCCTCTCCAGCAGAGGAGTCGCTATCGTACGGCGCCATCTTGTAGTTTCTGCTTGTATACGACAGTGTTGTCGATTGTTTGTTGTCCGTTGTCTTTTTAATGTCGTCGCGACCACCTTTTTTTTCTTATCGACTTTGGAGGGGTTCGTTTCCAAAGTTTCGCGGAGGGGCTTTGCTTATCGATTCGCAATCTTCAGGTGGTCTGTGCGCCAAAGAAAACCCGTTTAGGTAAGCAAGGATTAGATAAATTAAAATAGGGGTCGTGTTTCGGCGATAATGGTCAATACAACTTCAATATGCATATACCTGCGGACCTCACTTTAGGAGGCCTCTTCAAGCCTGTACTAAATCTTAAGCGAACAATCTATCTAAATGAAAACCGAGGTTGACCTATTGCTTTGTACTCCGCCCTTTACTTCCTTTCATCCTTCCCCGATTTTATTAGCCCGAAATACTCTGTTTGTATTATGTAACGATTTTGAACAACAATAGGAACTTAGCGTGACTAAAAAAATACTGAACATAGTTAGATTACCCCATACTTCGACTCACAGTTGGAGTGCGAGGTCATACCTTCGTAGGCTCGGAATGTGACCTCGCCCCCTGGTAGATGGTCCGTCCACGAATGGTATGATGTTAGGTCGGCAGGGCCGGCTATTGAGCCTTATGAAACGGTTAACCAATATCCCGATGGTTTATTGTGCTTCGTCCGGCCACGGGCAAAATTCTTCGCAAGGGATTGTCCTATCAGGGAAGTAAAGTAGCCACATTTGGCCCCTTTCGTCTGTGCCTAGATTCCTACCGAGGTGCCTTGTCTTGATTTGAAATCTCAGTATACACCTATGTGTTGCTATTGTTGTTTCAATGGCTCGGTGGTTGTGTTAACTTTTGCTATAAGTGATCTATTTACCTAGGTACTGTTACTCTGAAACAAAGCCGAAGCTATTGGTATCCAGTCCCAGTTTCCATTGAGTTTAATTCCCCTATACCCTATCCTCTTGTAAACAGCTTCATAGTCTCTTGAAGATGAGCGAATCCAAGAAATCGACCGAGAGCTCCGCATCGTCCACCGACTTCGACGTCATCATTATAGGAGCCGGAATATCCGGTATCAATACAGCTTATTACCTCACTACTCAAGCTCCAAGAACCTCATACACCATTTTAGATGGCCGGAGTCGGATTGGCGGAACTTGGGATCTCTTCCGCTATCCAGGCATACGGTCCGATTCTGACATGGTCACATTTGCCTTCTCCTGGAACCCGTGGGTAAGAGCCGAGAAGCTAGGAAACGGAGAACAAATTCGAGCCTATCTACAAAACTCAGCGGGAAAATACGGTATCGACAAGAATATCCATTTCAATAGTAAAGTACTCGCGGCAGATTGGAGCACGAAGTCTAAGTCCTGGACCCTCACTACGGCAAATAGCAAAGGAAAGTCACGGACGTATCGTAGTAAGTTCATAGTCCTCGGCACCGGATACTACGACTATTCGCAACCCCTAGACACCAAGATCCCCGGATTAAATAGCTTCGAAGGACCGGTAATCCATCCGCAATTCTGGCCAAAGGAATTGGACTACGCGGGGAAAGATGTGGTCGTAATCGGAAGCGGTGCCACGGCCGTCACCATAATACCTTCAATGGCCGAGAAGGCCAAGAGCATAACAATGTTACAGAGGAGTCCGACTTACATCGTGTCCCAGCCGAACGAGCGACAGGAAGGCCTCCTAGTAAGGTTCCTGCAATTTTTCCTACCCGCAAGTCTCAAGTCGTGGTTTAGGAGGGCACGATCAATCATCACCAGCACGATGTTCTACAACTACTGCATGAAATATCCCGCCAAAGTGAAGGCCCTGATGCAACGCGGCGCCGCCGAACAGCTCCCAGCAAATATAAGCGTGAACCCGCACTTCAGCCCGAGATACAACCCCTGGGCGCAACGGCTATGCCTCAGTCCCGGGGGCGACTTCTACGCAGCGCTACGCTCGGGCAAAGCCCACGTCGTCACGGACACCATCTCGACCGTCACTCCGACCGAGATCCAGCTCGCCTCCGGCCAATCGCTGAAGCCCGACATCATCGTCGCGGCCACGGGGCTTAAGCTGCAGTTCGCGGGGGGCATGAAGCTGTCGATCGACGGCGAGGAGTTCGACGCCGCGACGAAGTACACCTGGAAGGGGTCCATGATCCAGGACGTGCCGAACCTGATGTTCGTCATCGGCTACGCGAACGCCTCGTGGACCATGGGCGCCGAAGTCATGGCCCAGCACCTGGTCCGCTTGCTCCGCGTTATGAAGCGCCGCGGTGCCGAAGTTGCTGTGCCCCGGCTCACTAGCACGGAGCCTATGCGGCAGGGTGATGTGTTTAAGCTCTCGTCGACTTATATCCAGACGGCCAATCGGGTATTTCCGAAGGCTGGGGAGGGGATTTGGGATCATAAGAGGAGTTATATCTGGGATATACTGAACGCACAGTTTGGGAGTGTGACGGAGGGACTGTGTATAGAATGAGAATGATTAAGGCTATATGACAGAAGAGATAGAATTGCTTGGAGGCATAATCAAGGTTTCGAGTCAATGACAGGAATCAATGTTAATGGTACTAGAATGTGTGGAGGTATTATAGTAATGGTAGCGACCATATTCATTTGAAAACAAGCAGCTTAGTAACCTGTCTTACGGCGAGTTTCTAGGGCGCAGAGGCTTCGTTCAGGGGGAAGCATAAAAAGTATAACGGTAGCTACCTTGCATAACAGCATAGACGTCGGCAAGGTTGTTTATTTAAAATTATGGTGGCCAAGATGGCATCCTCGGTTCTTTAATAAATTCCAAAATCCGCGTCGGAGTTTAACAGCGAATGCGGCACAGGTAGGATATAGAATCGATATCGACCGTAGGCATTGTCGTTGAGCAAGGAGGGAACTAGATTCCTAGATAAATGTTGGTAGTCCTGTTTTATAGCTTCCTACCTCGCTCGCGTCAGCAACTTCGTCGGCCTTCTTCGCAACTGATTTCTTGAGCTATCCGAGACTGGCTTCCACAACGTCATGTCGTGCTCCCAGCGAATGTTTCGGATGTCCGATGGGCGTCGTGCGCACGCCCCACGTGGCTTTTGGTATGTTTCACCTCACAAGTATAAGCCAGATAGATAAGTGTATTCATGCCTCGACAGATGGTGCTAGATATTATCTTGTGCTCAGATCCGTTACCTACAGCGGCCTCATGAAACACGCCCGAAAGTATCACACAACGTATATCCCAACTTCACCCGCAATTCCTCTTATAAGCACCAGCGATATCACCAGCGATGTCATCAGCGCTATTGATCAAGGATGTTCGTATCTTCGACGGCGAAAATGAAATTCCGTCCGGCAGCGTGCTCGTAGAGGATGGCTTGATCAAAGAAGTGTCTAAAGGAGCATTGGAAGCGCCGAATGCATCGACGGTCGTTATTTCGAAGCCGGGGCATACGTTGATTCCTGGAATTATCGATGGGCACATCCACGCCCACATTGACGAGGAAAACACGGTCCTGGGACAGGCATTGAAATTCGGCGTCACCACCGTCTGTGACATGCATCAGGAAGTCGAGAACCTCGCCGAATTGAGAAACCGAGCTCTCAATGATCCTAACTCTGCCGACTTCAAGACTGCGAGCCAAGGTGCCACCGTGCTAGGAGGATGGCCTGCAGCTGTTATCACCGCTCATGATAAATCTGAAGAGGTCAGCGGCTTTCCCAGACCCGCTACTATGTTTTGCCAAGGCTTACACGGACTCAGACGCTAGCTAAGGTTGCAGCTTGGCCGGATCTAAAGAATAGGGCTGATGTCGAGGCTTTTATTAGGGATCGTATCGAAGATAAGGCGGATTATATAAAACTGATGCACGAAGATGGTAACGGGTTGTCTGTGAAGCCGACCTTGCCGTCGTTAGAATTGCAAAAAGATGTCATTGAGATTGCTCACCGAAACGGCCTTCTCGCAGTTGCCCATGCGACGAGTCTTCAGGGGACGTTGGACGTCTTGCGTCTTGGTATCGACGGGTTAACTCACACTTTCTGCGATCAGCCACCTACTCAGGAGGTTATCGATGCGTACCTGGCCAGCAATGCGTATGTACCTCCCTTGTAATTCGATGATTCGTTGAAATAGGGGTACGGAAATTGATATTCGATTGTAGACATTGCAATCCAACCTTAGTAGCGCTGGGAAGCCTAACAACTGAAGGTCAGCAAGAGCAAGAAAGCTACGCTCACGATCCTCGGGCATCAAAATTCTTGAATTCACAAGGCAAGCAGAACCTCTGCAGATGTATGGCACTTGCGAACGACAAATCAAGGGTCAAATACGCCTACCAGAGCGTCCGAGAGCTGAAAGCAGCGGGGATTGATGTTATTCTGTAAGTATTCTTGGTATTGGAGTATCTAAACCTGGCTAACCTTCTCTCCTCAGTGGCTCAGATTCCGCTGGCCCTGCGCTTGGAACCGCTTTTGGACTTTCCGCACATCATGAACTAGCTACTCTGGTTTCTAAGTGTGGGTTTACTCCCGAAGAAGCGTTGAGAGCTGGTACTTCGTTGGTCGCCAAGAGGTTGCGCTTGAAGGATAGGGGTAGGATCGTGGAAGGGCTGAGGGCGGATTTGGTCTTGGTAGAGGGAAACCCTCTCGAGGATATTGATCATACGCTCGATCTTCGAGGTGTCTGGAAGCAGGGCATGCTTTGTTCCGCATATGATTCTCTCGTGGCGTAGGTAGGTAGTGAAACGGCTCTGGTGTAGGTGCAATCGAGCGTGGATATTGTCGGTTTACTTAAAATAGGAAAGGTTTCGGTGCGACCGGTCGCTCTTGATGAATGGGTGCCGTCTTGTATCTAGCCTAACATCGTGATTAGTATAACAACGCAACCTTCCTGTCGCCGGCGGTGTCGCGAAAGAAAAAGACAATGGAATAACGAAATAATGACAAGCGGACCAAAAGAAAAAGAGGAAAACTAGGGGATTCAAGAGAGTCGCCGCTGGAGTTGCCTAATTAGGCAAGTTCATCGGCGCGTTCACGATGCTCAATCTCTGTCTTAGCCTAGGTATATTGTGAGCAATGGTCTTCTACTTACTCTCCCCTTTATTTTGTGGCACGACCGGCGACGATGTTTATAGAATTATCTATGTAGAAACTCGACTGTGGCGATGCGATATGAGCCTACAGTGAATTAGTTGTCAATTTCTAGCGTCAACCACTGTTTCAGGGCTTTAAATAATTATTTTCCCAGAGCCCCCTCAACTAGTAGATCACGGTCAGCGAGAAACCTACAACCTACCTACATGATGATGGACTTCTGATAAGCAACACAAAGAGAACAAGAATACGTGCTGAGTCGGTGAAACACCCGGAGCTGCTAGGTATTGCTCTAAAGGGGGCCAAGTGGAGAGTTCCAATACCCTCCACATATCAAGTACATATGCACCGATATAGCTATATTGCCTTCTAAGGAGTCCCATTCTCAGCATGACGTAAAATTTCCTTTCACAGTACCTTTAGGTAATCTCCCTATCTAGGTGGGTAATCGCTACTGTCTCCCGTGGAAATTCCCTGATCCCATCTTTCTAATTGGTAGCCCCCTGTTGTGGACACCAAGTGGCCTGGACGCTATTGCCTAGCCGGATATTCCACTCCGGCGACTTCCTTTGCAGATATTCAAACTTCTATTTGCTACCTAGCAGGTAACGAGTGACGTTTTGGTGATTCATTCTATTGATTCGTTGGTTGTACGTTCTTTCATACTTGCAAATGGGAATTCAGATAAGAGCTAGTAGAGTCAACAGTTTCCTTAGCACACTCAAGTGCTCTCCCACATTCCTTGTCATTCATTGGCTTCACAAACTTTAACATCCACAATGTGTCCTACAGGAAGCTCCAACACCACGGCACTGGGATATCCATCTGAAGCTTGACCTTCTCACCTTACCCATGTACATCAACAGGTACTGCTTCGGGTGTTACATGTATTTCAGTTGCTTGTTGAGTTACTCAGCCTTCTGTTCGGATATGATCCGAAATATGACCAAACAAAGCAATACTGTGCATTTCCACACCTCCTCGAGGCAATTTGCGCGGTGATACAGCAGATATCTTGTGCTCCTATCGTACCGAACTCTAACATCTGCTGCTTGTCTTTGATTACCCAGTAGTACTCTACCAAGGGATGTATCTCTGCCGATATTGAACATATCCACATCTACGTAACGCTGTCGGTTTGTACCTGCCATGTGGATATGGAAGGTTATATCTGATCTGACTTGCGGGTAGTACAGCCGGTTACTGACGCTCACGGCAAGAGTGAAGCCTGACTCACCTACAAGGACAAGCAGGTTTGTGGGTAGTTCTTGCATATTTCGGCTGCGATAGAGTTATCGGCAGGCGCTTGTTCCGGAATACTTGGCCGTCTGATGCCACTCCTGCTGTGAATAGTGACACTATCATACACAAACCGGCACTAGACCTTCCTTCCGAAATACTAAATTCGCTCGCCGATATCCGGTTCCTTCCATTCCGAAATCTCTAAGCCCTGTCTTGCCGAGCTGTTCCTTCCCGCCGCGAAATATAAAAAGGGAGAAGGAACGGTGACTGCTACTCACAATCCTCCCTCATCCTCACCACATTCCAACTCACCAATCACTCAGAAGTTCTTTGCGATACCTTTTTTCATATATCTTTACAGCTTCATACTTGATCGCCGACGACCCCTTTTCAACATTACCATCTTCCTTTTCTTCTTCCTCTTTGTTGAGCTTCTATAGCTTGCCGTCGCCATACCGACCATCTACAGACATCATAGTCATTCTACTATTGTATGACTCTACTTCAGCACCTTCTACATTATCTTGAGAAGTGTAATACGAAACTTAATTTGTAAGTGCTCTCCCAACTTTAGGTCACCTCACCTGCCACGCAAGTGTGTCACATTGTCCATATTAAACTCTGTCGGTTACTCTGTTGTATACCCCTACCGATTTCTATACTTTGAGTCACCCAAGCTTGAGTCGTTTGATGAATCGCTATCACTACGTACAAACCTTAGCCATCAAGCAGTATAACCAGGGAAATAACAAGTGGTATAATCTGCTCAAACCTCTCCCACAATTTTCTATATATACCCAGCCTCCCCCCCTTGATTTTCTTTCCTTCTTCCTTCAATACCACAGAATCCACCAAGGACTCACCTCCTAATAGTGGTTGGCATCGCCTATGGTTCCACCTACATATACATTGCCTTCTTAATTTGGGGTCTTCTCAATATTTCTTGGCTTCTTCACCTTCACCTTTACCTTTACGCTGCGTCTTTCCTGCATGCACACAAGGATCTATTCCCATTCAAAGCCAACAACACCCATGAACGCTTTGCTGTAGCCTTTCAAGAGTTATACAACTATTACCACGGTGGATTCGTCAAGTAATTAGGATTGACCGCTCCTGGAGATATTTCTCTTGCTCCACCAGCTTTCATATATCTCCACAACCTTTCTCCCCTCGACGAGACTTCTCGGTCCTGCTTCACACTACGAGCCACTATCAGTCGGCTAACATAGGAACCTTGGTTTCAAGATAGAACAGCAAAAATGCTTTTCTACAACCCCACCGGCATGAAAGCCGATTACAACAAGACCGACGCGAAGCCAACGGGCTACGTCCCGCTTCATAAGCGACCCCGCGATACTCTGGCCGCCGCACGTGCCCGTGCCGAAGTTATGTCTCGTCAAGGCCGTACTTCTCCATTGTCTCGACTCTCCGTTGAGTCGATTCAAAGAGACTTCGAAGAGCTGGCCGGTAAGCCAGCTGTCCAAGCTCCAGCCCCAGCCTCGGTTCCTGAGCAAAGCGCCGATGGGGAAGATCAGCGGCCGGGGCGTTTGGCCACATCTACGGCTCCTCAGCCTACACCTGAGGAAACCATTCTTCGTCGTCAACCATGGACGACATTGGCTACTCGTCGGCGTCAACAGACCGACGGGCCTACATTCACCACTTCCTCAGTGGTGGTGGAGCCGATCCTCGGTGCTGCTGTTGCCGACAAGCAGCAGTTTAAGCACACCGAGCGAGAGGCCTCGGAAGGCACTATCTCCCCTATCCGACCAGTCCTCCACGAGATAACGGCCAAGCTGCAGGAAAGTATCCAGCAGCGCGACGAGTACACCGGACCGACGGTGATCCAAGTAAACCCGCCGCTGCAGACAATCCTCGCCGCCCCCACCGCGCCCGACCAGTCCATGCTCAGCGTAGCGAGCATCATCGTCGGCTCGCTCGTCGCGTGCGTCATCGTCACCTCGCTGGTCTTCCTGTGCTGGGCCGGCCGCCTATATAAGCAGCGCAAGGCCAAGAAGGCCGAGGAGGAGGAGAAGAAGAAGAAGGAGGAGGCAGGTGGGGGCGGCGCCGGCGCCCAGGCCGCGACGCAGCCGGGACACCCTGCCGCCGCTTCCTCGGCGGCACACGCGCACGGCATGGCCGGCGCCGGTGGCGCGGGGACGAGGGGTACGAGGGGCGGCGCGCGCGGCGCCACGGGGGCTACGGGGACCCCTGCCCCGGCGTCCAGCGGGGGTGCGGGGAGCCCGTCGATGGGTGGCGGGGGACATAGCTGAGCGCCACGGCTGTGGTGCGGACAAGGCGGATCTCCACAGGTGGTGGAGGGAGATGGGGAAAGGGGGAGAAGATTGGGGGGGGGTAATTTTCCTTTTTTTTTTTCCTTTATTTTCCTTGTGTTTGCGATGATTTATGATACGGTGGAAAACAGCGGTGGCCGGAAAAACGTCAAGCGGGCATATGGGAGGTCGAGACCGCTGGATAAAAGATGGGGAGGGTTGATATGGTGTTCGGAGTATTTCATGGGATTTCAAAATATTTCAAAAATACTGTTTCGGGGTATTCGGGTTTCGGAGTGAAGGCGTTTGCGGTGTCTTTACTATATCACTGCGAGGTTCTGTATGGGAGTGGTATCCATGTGGTCTGAGACTATTCAGACTTGATTACCTCTTACCTAGTTGTCTACCTGTCTAGAGACACATACATATTACCTCTTAATTACCAAATAAAACATAAAATCTTTTGGACTTGACTGCTCTTATGTGATAACTGGTGATAACTTGTGCTTGCTTTACACTTGCTGGTAATTTGGAACGTTCATCGTGCGACTTTCACGGACAGTACTATTACTATCACATGCTTGATGTTTCACATTGGTAGACGGATCTAGATCCGTACGAATACTGAGATCCTCTTGAATGACAATTAGCGATATGCTGCTTGCTCCAATTCAGGGGCAATTTGTAGAAACTTTAGCGTGCTATTAATAGTGGAGGGGTCGCTAACTGCCGCCCGATCCAAGAAGCACATACATCCCTGCCGAAGATCTCCCCGGATCTTAGTATTTCCTTTTGGAGTTAGAGAGGAGGTCTTATCTCCGCTTTTGCGGGAGTAACCTTAATTCCAGCCCCTTTTCTGTAACGGTTCCAGTCTGTCGGGTCGAACCAGTTCTGTAGATTACCTATATTTGATGTCTAGAGGACATAGGATATTGGGGAGTACGAAAGCTTGGGTTCGTGCGTGTTCCTACGTTATTATTATCTACTGTACCTAGGTATTGAATGATAGGTCTAATATAATAAGCGTTCATCCATACGTACTCCTGCTGCGGGGTAACGAATTGGATATCGAATCCAATGGATCGGCGATCTACAATCACATGGCTGGGGAAGGTTCCAGAAGTGGGTTCGGATATGGATGAGTGTTGATATGTATCTCCTATTCCGAACAGGTACCTGCCAAAATCTCTGGCCGAATCGGAGAGGCCTCCAAACATAGGTAAATTTGTGCGAGTGGAAGTGTGCGCGATGACAAATTCGCCGGTTCCCTCAAAACCTCCACCCTTCATTTTTTTCTGATCCGTGTCGGGGAAATCTCCTTGCAGCTCAACAGTTGCGCATCAGAAAATGCCGAAATAGTTCAAGAAACGTAATCCACGCACATTCTAGATATGCGTTGTTCATCACTCGGGTCTGGCGCTTCCGTCTGGACTGAGTTGATGAACCAGGTAGATAGTGGTAGGTTAGCCCAAACGGGATAAGATGGTGTTCATTTCAGCAGTCAGACTCGCTTGACGTGTGTCGTGAGTGTTCCTCGAATTAGTAACGCTTGCAAGGACTGCAAGAGGCACGCTGTTGGGTCCGTTCTTATACGTCTCTAAGTGATAGCTTCCGAGGCTTTTCTTGTCGGCGGAATCGTCCGTTGCAGGATTATGAGTAAATTGGTGGCTCGGTTTTGGTGGAATTACACTGGAGAGAAAATTATCTCATTAGGAATGCTGCGAAATCGCGGTAGCCTTCTATCGGGTGTGAAGCGACTAACCCATTATAAACTGCCTTGTTTGAATTTCCAGTCATGGCTCTAGGAAGAAAATGGCGTCTGGAGAAATGAGCGGTGCATATACTATGGGTTCAGAGAGATTCCAAGGTTGAATGTTATGCCCGTAGTTTTGTTGGATTTCTAAAGTATTTGGCAATAGCGTAGATTCGTTCCATAGCGGTTATCTAGGCAGGTATATTCAGGGGGGTTCCTTTCTCAAGCAGTCCCGACCAAACAGGTTTCCCTAGTTAGACTGAACATGTGTTTTTGAGCCGCAAGTAGCTTGTATCTCGTGTTGTGGGTATACCCTCAATTGGATACATTGTAGTCGTAGCGATAATACCTAGGTGCCTCGGCATAATATTGACGAGGCATCCAAAGGCAGCGACGCCACGGATGCATGGTGAAATGCATATCTGGTGTTGTGTGAGACGAATTACTGCGCTGGTAGGTGACTTAGACGTTAACGTTACGGGAAAGCCGGCAAAACGCCGTCCGATGATGAAGCTCCCTAGGTAGCTATAATTTGCCTTCTGCCTGCTCCGCTCGACCAGATCCTTGTCAGCAAATTTCGGGTAGTCTTGAAAGAATTCATAGGTCTTACCTAGTATCATATAGTAGCAACGAAAGTATTATATAACCAATCACCGCACATGTTTCGATCTCTGAAACGCGTGTAATAAACAATTCGATTGATTCTACCCTAAACGGTTCGATGACACAGAAAATGATGACAGAGTTTTACAGTCATGACTGTCATGTATGAACTGGAAGGGCCTAATAGGCATCCTTATAATTGAAACATTATTTTGAAAGACGGAACATATGAATAGACTGACCATGTATAATTCAACACAAGATTTGCTATGAATTATAGGGTGCGTGCCTGTACCTGTCAAGTTAGCTTATGGCTCACTTGAGACATGTCATAGTAGGCGGGGAAGAAACGATGATTGTTTCCAAGACTTTTCAACGCTTGTTGTAAATAGGCACCCGTTCCCGATACTCTTATTAAGGCTCTGGCGAAATGCTGTAGTTACCTCCTTTGAATGGCGTCAATGCCTCAGTAGGATGGATCTCGGTGTCGGGGCCGTACAACATCATGCTCCAAGTGAAAGCTAGCTCCGCTAGCAGGTTCTGACCGAGCAATCCATCATGTAGAGCCAGAGTCTCTACCCCGTAGTATTTCCAGGCGTATCATGCTGCTACGGGCATCATAACCCCGCACCGAGTTGATTATAGGGCAAATCCGATAGGAAATATGGCTCGATAACCGCTCAATCTGCCAGTCAACAGTATTTTGTACGTCTATATCCACGTTAAGTAACCGTCGCAAAGAGTAGCATGCAGTCCAGCTTGTCGATCGTTGGAGTTTGGATTTGAGTAAGCCGCCACCGAGGCCTCCGCCGTGACAACAAATGGGAAGCCGGTTTGTGAAGACAGATCGGGTGTTGTGCATTAACCGGTCCGTATCAATTACAACAATGTGATAGTCGTGCATTAGCTGTCGCCCGGCTTGTTAGGGAGTAATGAGCCTTGGTCGCCTGGCTGGCGAGGTGCATTATTAGAACGCGCAATTAACATGCGATGTTGCGAGTACTCGGTATCGACGATGACTTCCGATAGTAACCGGAAAGGCGGTCTGACACGTCTCGTAGATGGTGGGTAGCACAAATTGGATGCAAGTCTGCCTTACTATTGTTGGCCATCAGTTCTTCCTATACACACCGAAGTAGTTGACGGTCCAGCGCAAGCAGTGTCGATAGTCAGGAGCCTCCTGTATCAATGTTATCATCGGCGATAAAGAGGCGGATCGTGGGTTTGGCCGGCTCCGTCGTGATATCTAGTCACGTGAGATGGGTTCTGGTCCAAGCACGGTTGGGTACCTATCAGATTCAAGGGGCTGAGAGATGTAGGTGCTCACCTAGGTAGCCGAATGACGAACATACTGTATCCATCTCTTATCTTGAATGGCACCGAGTTCGGCACACCTCAAGAAAATGCTAGATGGGTGAGGTAATTGAAAACACAATGAAGTGGTAATTTGGGGAGATTCTCGGTGAATAATTACCAGAGAATCATGAGTTGCGACATGATTCAACTACTGAATTGCTGAAACTATCTCGCGGAGCCGCCGGTCGGCGCATTGGTTTTTATATCAACGTCCATCACGGTAATTTACCTATGAAAGATAGCCGGCTTCGGGCGGGCTGAAACGAAAATAGTTAGACTGATCATGAGGCTACCCGTCCAACGCAAGAAAATGTCTAGTGTGGTAGTACATGTATCGGTAGAGCATGCCACAAAATGCCGCCTCCCAAGTTTTAAGTGGTGGAACTGAGCCTCATACACGAATTTGACCTGCGCTCACCTCTGTTGTATCCAGCTAAGCCCCCAAAATTGGTAACCATTCATAATGCTTCGGGGACCTCCTTCGGGGACCTCCATTACAAGTGTACTACTTCATCATGCAAGACTCTTATATATCCCTACGCTGTCATGTTTCCGCATCCACAACGCCGCAGATGCAATTGGATCTGGATTCCTACACCGAAATTTTAACATCCAATATGGATTTAACATTTCAGACCTACATATTCTATCACGTTTATGAAGAACCTCTTCGCGATCAATAGAACGCAAGCCACCAACTGTGATTAAATTCTAAATGCAGAACCTGGGTTGTACTAGGGGTCAACTACTAGATGTCATACTCCTAACAACCTAATCATAAATCTGTGTGGAAACCGTAACTCTACCATATACTCTCCTACCTCAATATATAATCAATTTTTTCCCTTCAGCGACTATAAATCTCACATTGATTGAGAGCACTTATACCTAATCCTATCATTTCCAACGACGTTTTGGGCTCATGGTGTAACAAGTGGGGCTCGACGTTTATGGTTGATGTAGTGTAGGCAGAGGGCTAGCCGATGGAGGTTTAGTCGGATCGTGGTTCGGCATTCGGCTCATTGAGGCTCCGGCTCTAGGACAGTGCAAAAAGAGACCATTGTTTGTAAAGACGTACACTGTGACCCTACCTAGCCTTGGCACTTCAAAGCTCCTCGCACAAAAGCGTGATCGTCAACGTTTTCGATTAAAACGAGCCGAAAGTGACTTGACTTAGCAGAACCGTGGTTTAGGGGACCACGACATGGCTGACGAGGAATGTACCTGAGTATTTTAACGCCAAATTCTTCGGGAAGTCGTCGGGGATGAATTATTACCTAAATGAGTATCCCGATAAAATCTCATTGGATGGCCGCTTAGGATTAGGTTAAGGCTCGATCCTTACTAGCGTTATCAATATCCTAGCACACATAGATGGAGCACATGCATCATCAACCCACCTACGTATGCGACGAACTTTAGCAATAAGCAATGCAGTTGAAAGTGAAATAACTGGAGATTCCGAAGAAATTCGAAGAAAGGCGATATTGCTATAGTACATTGTGAGGAATTTCAACACTACCCAAGTGAGTAGGCGAAGCATCGGGAGGCTTTCCACGCTGAAGAATCGCGTACGGCACCAGGATCTCGAAAAACAAACTTCGGTAGCTACATGTCATGTGACATCCTTAGTATTAGAGAACACCTTGTTGAACCTTAAGTTACCTTAGAACTTAGAGAATACAACATCAATTCCACCACTTATAGCAGCCTTCTGGCTACACTACAATAACGGCCCGCTGCGATCTTGCATTGCCGAGACCCTATCTACCTAGTTATGTAACTTCAACTCCCGCCATCCGGTAGAAACAACCGAACTAGTTCCCAAAATAGAATTGCAAAGGCTCTTATAGCACAGGTAGGTGATATAACGACATAGTTCGGTCAGTTATTATTGGCTCAATCTGCTGGGTTTAAGCTGTCGATGTGTTTCCCCAGAAAATCTAGGACTTTAGGGCTTACGTGCACGACTAGTAGATTTAGGTCCGGAATAAATATGGGGTCGACAAAGGGATTGGATATTGGATGTGCATTAACATATCGTGAACCGCTAAACACCACAGTTCCACCACCTGCATTAAACTAGGCCCCGATGATTGATCACAAGATTCGATCTCGAGATTTTCATTGAACAACCCATTGCTCTTAAGGTAACATTCGGCGAGGCTTCAAACGTGGGATACTTTCGCTATTCATAATAGTATCAGTCCGCAGGGTTTATGTGTATGAAAAAAGGTAGAAATTATATATGCGTACCTTTCAGTTCCAAGCCGAGTAGATAGCCGACTCTTGAACAGAGATATATTAGCTGGTTCCGGCTTGGCTGCCGGTCACACCACTGCTAGCGGTATGAGGCTGAATAGTTTGAACATGTGCCATGGATACGTTATCAGGTCCATTGACGAACTTATTGAGGCGGTAGGATCTGAGGCTTTGCTCATTAGTCGGATGAGGAGTTGGTGGGTTTCGAGAGAAGAAGTGTTGTGGCTTGTGCGGGGTGGCACTAGACGTCGAAGAGACATTCTGATTAGGAACGTCATCAAATTTAGGTAGTCTTTTGGCAATAAGAGCTCACCCATGATAGACAGTTACGTCTGAATCTGCCATGATTTAGGAGAGGATATGAGGCTCGATGGGCTCTATGAATAGGGGGAATATCATTGATGATTAAATGTCAAGTTCGAAAACAATGTAGGATACGGTCAACTGGTAAAACGGCTGGAACATGTTGTGATCTTTATTTCAAAGCTTCTGAGACCGTGGAAGACTCCAGCGGAGATTCTAAATACGTAGAAACCTTTTACGATGAAGCCAGCCTTTCGATACTGATGGAAACTACAGTCGAGCTGCCACGCGCCTATCATTTCCACCATCGCCACGATCCTTGTCTAGAAATTCCAGCGTTGAATTGGGCAGTTGAGACACATCGAGAAGGGCTAGGGGCGTGACGTGCTGCGAAGACGACAGGATGCATGATGGTTGGATTCGCACGTTATGGAGTATTGATGTAAGTTGCAGGATCAGCTAATGGTAGCATCGGGGATATGAATCGTAGTCCTATAATGTGGATTAAAAATCAGTTGTTGTATAGAACTCCCTCCATCTAAAAAGGCTTCCTTGAAACTCGGCTCGATTCCAAGTATCCTAGAAAGTGAAGATGCGGGTCGTAATTGAGGATTTCGCTCAATACTACCTACCTATGCACCAGCGCACTATTCGATGCCCTCTTGAAGATAGTCGTTCTTTGGTAACACAAGTACCATTGTGCAAAAACAACCCATAAGGAATGGTTAAAAATAGGCAAGACATAGCCAATGCCAAAATCGATCCTAAGTTAGTCCAAGTATGAATGGAAGAGAAGTACCTCATGCGGACTCTTCGAGCACTGTGTTCTATTCTCATGAATCCATGTGTCGGTAATCAAGAAGCGTAGTGCAGAGATAGTCAGTATTTCACCGAACGTGAAGTCATTAAGGGGAACAAAATGGGTTAGTTTTTACCCACATACATACCGGTTACAGCTCAATTGTGATGCTGTGCGACCTTCCCGCATTATCGTTCGCCCTTCTAACGAGAGAAAGAGCACATCTTTCGGTAAATGATCCATCAGGCCAAAGCAGGCATACCCAATATTGCAGGGTTCTCTCGTATCGACAATCCTTCTGGGTAACAATAGTAAAATGCCCCTCGCTCAAGTGTAGATCGCTAACATATTGGCAACATCCTCTGAACAAGCCTATCCTTTTTCTCGCATTAGGTCAGGGCCAATTGACGTTCGGTGCCGAGATCCATCAGCCATCAAGCATCCCAGGTATCACGTGTGACTGACTGACTGACTTGACCGATCCATTTTCTTTTGTCACATAACACGCAGTGAATTCATCTGTGAAGTAGCATTAGCTAGCTGTAGTCGTCAGGACCTCATGTAATGATACCCATTTGTCTATAGCGAAAGATGTCTAGTGGATAGAAAAGGGCTATTGGGCCTAGGTATTGGTGGGGGACAAATTTAGCAACATACCATAACTCAACCAACTCCCACGTTGGAAAGGGACCACAGGTAATTTAAGATTGTGGTAAATAGGATGGTATACATTTGTGAGTGAGAGAATATATAAAACCAACAAAAAAAGGGGAGGATGAGGGTAGTTATTTATCTGAGGAATTGTAGTCGGGTGAAGGTCCGTCTCTCCTTGAAATGTTCAATTGTGACACTACGATATGTGAGAGGACGGTTTAGGATGGAAAATCTAGCTGACAATTCTGCAAATCCCATGCACCTAGACAGTTCAAGTTATGACCCCCACTTTAATAATCTTCCTAAGTCTTTGCCAAGGTAACACATCCCAAGTCACAGCCGGATCAGCGACCCGAACAATAAAAGTGGATCAAATTGCACCCTACGGCAGGTATTGACGAGTCAACAAGGCGAAGCGAAGGACAAGTATGTACGCAGTAGGAATCTACAACCTTAACTACATCAAATTTAGGCCCGGATAGATCACACAAATTCAGCGATAATAAGGGCTTCTAAGGTCAATGAATACGATTGTTACGTCTGAGGTTAGGCCCGGTTAGACTAACGACTTTCCGAATCCTCGCTTCCGATCTGTCCCCACTCCGTTCCGTTCCCCAACCCGTCATGTCCGATATCCCCACTGTGGAGTGTACCGATAGATTGAAGGTCGCGGAACCCGCAACATTGTAGCAGGATCGCGCTTGCTTCACCGACCGATCTCTTTAAATCATAAAGCAGAGGAATTGTGACTAAAGGTTCATCACGAGCAACTTAATTACCTAAGGAGATTCCATCGCGAGAACACGAATGAGAAAACTACACCGGTTGCGTACTAGAGATGGGATAACTTCTATGCCTAAGATCATACGCAGAATGAGAGCCCATGTACCTGTGTTACACAATAGTATAGGTAGTAATGCTGAGTGATGGTGATAATTTGGATTCATTGCCGTAAATGGTATTCTGTTACCTACCTAACATAACCTCGCCGTAGCCTCATGCCAACCTCCCGAAGCAAGCTATGCTAACTCAGGTCATAAGCGTATACAGATATTACTACTCTTAGTACTTATGATCCATCGACAATTTATATAGTAAAGCTCATATTACTAATCGTTATCCAAGACGAGATAGTATAGAATCCAGCTCAGCGGCAACCTTTGCTTTACGTAGTGCTTGAGTGTTATTCGATGCAGAAGTCTCGGTATGCGGTAGAGGAACACTGTCGGATTCCTTCCTGTAACTCTCGAGGCGATATTCTCTTAGGCTCCGGTCGTCCACAGGATGAGAAGTCGGTTGATTATTTGAAAACTTGTGAGTTGGCTTAGATGGAGTCATCCTATGGACACGGTAGGTGAGCAAGAATACTTCCCTTCAGGATCACCCCCCAGCATACCAATCCGCACAATTCCTTATGGAGATATAACAGAACTTACCCGTAATAAACACTATTCTTCGAATCGTTTGCCATGGTTGCAGAGACAAGTAAATGTCAGTAATAGGTAGTTAGGAGAGATGTAAACGATCGCGAATAATTCTCAAGAGAAACCACTGTGCTTAGAAACGATATATTAATCATATATTGCGTAGAGGTTATCTTCAGATGATAAAGGTTTTACATGAGAGGATATCTTGGTACTTAAATACGAATAATTACTCCGGGGAATCGTTTTCAGGGGCTAGCAAGATTACGGTCTACGAGTGCTTCGGTATAGTAGATGAGCATCAAAAACAGGATGATATACCACCTGGTGCTACCCATAACATGAGGCCGCCCTCTAGCCTGACCAGCAGATTTGGTAACGATGTATCAGCTAGAACATCAATTCTTATAGAATTGCAAATATATGCTGAGCTGCAGGCTAAGGCAATGAGAAGACAGCTCGCCTTGAGTGTATTGATACATGTTTCCTCCTCATTTATTTGCGAGTCACAATGTTAATGATACGAAAAAGCTTCTGTGTGTAATAGCTGAAGAGCCTTGCTGGATCTCCCGCCGTTAATTTATCATAGGTGGCAAGACGAAAGAGTGGCAATTCCAATTCACATTAGCCACAAGAATGATATTGGTCGATGAAGAATAGGATTGGTCAGACATTTTGCAGTCGTAAAAGTAAGACGGGAGGTTCAGTGGGAAATCGTGATCACTATTAGTGTGTATACCTATCGAAAGAATAGCACAATCAATGCAGGAGATAATATACTTGCAGTACCTAATCTTGCTAGCTATGCCCAAATAACCACGTAGAAGCATTCACCTTGTTACCACAACTGCAGAGACGACACAAGACAATAAGTATCCTTAGAGATGCTCGACAGTATGGGAGAAGTATCTCGTTTGTGTGTGGGTTTTATACTGATTATTGTAGGGACGTATTACCCAATAGTCTTCGAGCCGAAAATTTCGTTCCTATGTTTTACTCGGCATGGTGATAGTAATTCCAATTAATCTTTACAAGTGTGCAAACATATGCCTTAATCTCAAGTCAGATTACGAACAACAAGGAATTATCAATTCAAGTAATACAAAGATCAAACAGGACCTTAGGCCTATAAAGCCACTTTATGAGGCAACTGGTGGACAATATCATCGTTTCCTACGCACTATGTTACGTCTGAGTATCAACAGGCCGGAACCAGGTTAAAGAACAGTATGTATAAGAGGAGTTACTTGACTTGGACTCAGGCTCGGTGAGGCGTCGAACGTCATATTAGTCTTCGGTGAGTGTGGCGAATGAAAAGGCGGAATTGAACATTCTGGATGATTCGGATATGATCCTGGTAATGGAGTGTATATGCAGTATGTATTCGCCGGCACTGGCAGCCCGATCCATTGGAAAATAATCCGAATGCGATTGTGCTACCCAATGCATAATGCTGCCCTGTGGCGATGAATGTTAGATACGAAGGTTCTGGCCAAAAGTTTGGAAACATTAGCTAGGGCATTACATAAATAAAACAATTATTTAGTTTGTTTTTGATTGTTTGGGTTAGTTAAAATAAAACAAGGAATTTTTCTTGTTTATTTATATAAAATAAGAGCCTATTGTTTTGTTTGAGTGGATATTTATTATATGAGGGTCTTGTGCCCCACATATATACTTATTTCCCCCTTATTTTTGGTGTTTAGGTCCCTGGCCATCCCCTGGGACCCCCCTAGTATACGAGATAGTAGAGCCGTACGGTTACCTAGATGGCCGGAACCACCCTTGCTGTTGACGTTGAAGGTATCGTGGACCTTGTTGCTTAGTTATTTTATTTCGAATATTTGGATTACCTTTAATTTGGTTATCCTTTTTGTTCATTTTATAGTTTAGTTCTTTTTATTCTTTTAACTTTTATTTTTGTTATTAAATTTTTATTATTACTTTTATCGTTGTTTATTATATTTATTAATACCTTCGCGTTATTTAACGGCCCTTCGTTATATAATTAATTTATTATTCGTAAATTAATTACTTATTTTAATTTAACTTTCCCTGGGAATGTTACTTAATATATACTTTTTAAGTTTAAGGTTAACGGTGTTAATTATATTATTTACGAGTAATTAAATAATAAACTTATATTATTAATTTTTAAATATAATAATTATATTTTATTAATTATATATATTAAAGAAAAAAACATTTAAATTAAAATAAAAAAGTAAAAAAACAATAGTTTTATTATTTATATAATAAAATAAATTAAATTAAATTATTAAACGGTAAATTTATTTTAACCGTAATATATTATATTATTAATTAAAGGATTATTAATTATAATAAAATTTTTCGAAATAAATTTAACTTTTTTTTAATTAATAATTATAAGGTTAATTTTTTACTTAATATATTAAATTAAATAAAAAAGTAAATTAATAAAATATTACACGTTAAAAATATAATATTAATATATTAACGTTTTTTAATTAAAATGTTTATTATTTATAATTTAATAAATATTATTATCATTAAAAAATAATTTAAATAATATATAAACTTATTTAATATAAAATTAACGGAATAATTATTTTTAAAAACGGTTATAACCGTATATAAATAAATTTTTAAAACTTTCGAAAAAATATAATTAAAAATTAAAAAATAATTTTAAAATTAAATTAAATTTAAAATTTATTTTTTTTTAATATATAAACTTTATTTAATATTAAAAAAATAATTATTATAATAATATATTACGTTAATTTATAATTTAAATTAAAAATTTATTTAATTAATTTAAAAAAAATTATTAATATATATAATATTAAAAATATATTATATTATTTTATTAATATTATAAATATTTATAAAATTTAAAATAAATTAAAATTTTATATTTTAAATAATTATAATAATAAATAAATTAATATATAATAAGAAATTTATTAATTATTTTTTTTTAATAAATAATAAAACTTTAAAACTTTTTTTATATTATTATTTTAATTTTAAATTAATTATTATTAAAAACTTAATTAAAAAACGTTATATTCGTTATTTTAACCACGTGGTTAATATTATAATTAATTTTTTTATATATAAAAAAAAAAAAAAAAATAAAAATTAATTTATTATAATAAAAATAATTAAAAAAGTTTAAAATATAAATAATTATATTAAATAAAATTTATAACAATAAACGGTTTTCCGTATAAAAATTAAAAAAATTAAAATAATAAATTATTAATTTATAATTAAAATAAATATTAACAATTATATAAACGAAAATAATAACGAAATTAATAATATTAATTTTAATAATTAAATATTTAAATTTTATAAATTTATATAAAATTTAAAAAAAAAATAATTTAAATAAATTAAAAAATTTATAATAATTATTAAAAATAATATAAAATAAAATAATATATTTATTAATACCGTTTATAATATTTTATTATTTAAAAATATAATTAACGGATTTATAAATATTTATAAAAAGAAAATTAATTAAAATAAACGTATATTATTATATTACGATTTTATTAACGATAAATAAAAATGTTTTATTTAAGTTAAAAAAATTTTAAAATTTTTTAAAAAATTAATTTTATTTTATAAAAATAATAAAGTTAATTTTTTTAATATTACGTTAATATTAAAAAAATTAAAAAACCATTTTTATAAATATTTTCTTATATATAATTTATAAAAATAATATAATATTAATTTTTTTTTTATTAATAATATTAATTAATTATTAAAATAATTTTAAATTTTTTTTACTTTTTTTATACTTTTAATTAATAATTTACGAATAAAAAAAAACAATTAACTTTAATTAAAATATTTAAAAAAAAATTAATATAATATAAATAAAATAAACTTAAATAAATTAAAAAAATAATTAATTTAAAAAATTAAAAAAAAATTATTATATATATAAAAAAATTTATAAAAATATATTTAATTATTAATTAATTTATTAATTTATTAATGCGTTATTATTTTATATTTTAATTATTATTTAATAAATTTTAAAAGAAAAAACATTTAATTAATTTTAAAAATAAAACGGTTAATTATATAATATTAATAAAATAATTATTTTAATTTAATAATATTTTTTTATAATATTATTATTATATTAAAAATATTAATAATAAAATAATTATTTTTCTTAAAAAAATATTAATAATATAATAAAATATTTTTTAAAAAAAATAAATATAATAATATAAATTTTTAAAATTTATTTAATAAATTTTAATATTATTTAAATTTAAAATTTATAAACTTTAATATAAATAACGATTTTTTTATTTAATAATAAAATAAATAAAAAAATTATTTTAAATTATATTAATTTATTTTTAATATATTATTTATTTTAATTATATTAATTAAATATAAACGAGTTTTTAATTAAGAGCAATGCTAGCCGCGCAGTATGATGTTGCTTATCTCCGCCGCGCAGTAGAGCTAAAAAAGCGCGTCCGAAAGAGGTATAAATCGGGTACCTTTGCCGCCATACAAACCGTCATACAATTAGCTGTACCTTTGTAACTCCTATACACAACTATTTTTCAGTCAACTTCAATCAATTATTCTTCGCTCAACTCAAGCCTAAATCTCTTATAATTACTATACTTTAAGAGCCCTTAATCTACTTTATATACAGCCCTATTTGCAGGACCTAAAACAAAGGTTTAAAGGAGATATTGTAAGGTCGAAATGGAGCAGTGGTTAAATCGCGGTCGCAAGACTTGGAATTGCTTCAATCCGACCGATCTTTTCAACGCTTAATATCTCTTCAACACAACCGTTCCAGGTCCTGCAAATGGAGCTGTATATAAAGTAGATTAAGCGCTTTTGGATTATTGTAATTGTAAGAGATTTGGATTAATATTGAGCGAGAAATAATTGATTAAACCCAAGTACTGCGTTAAAAGGTGTTCTACACACCGTTCGAACGCGCTAGCGCCATTTTAGCTGTACTGCGCGCCGGAGATAAGCCCCGGCATACTGCGCGGCTAGCATTGCTCTTAATTAAATTAAAATAATTATATTATTTTAAAAATAATTTTTAAAAATTAATTTTTTTAAAATAATTTAATATTTTAAATATTAATTTTTAAATAATAAAAAAAAAATATAAGAATTAAACGATTTAATTTAAAAAAAATAAATTTTAAAAAAACGGCGGTAAAGTTAATAATAAAAGCGTTAAAATAAAAGTTTAAAAATAAATAAAAGTTTTTTTAATTTATTTTTTTTTATTATTAAATAATTAAAATAATAAATTTTAACGAATAAATAAAATTCTTAAATTATTTATATTTATTTAAAGTAATTAAATAAATTATAATTATTTTATTTATTTTATTTATGTAATGCTTTAACATTAGCCATATGCTTTACTTAATGGACGGTGCGTAATTAAATACATAGGTAACTATAATAATAATTTATCCCCTAGGTTTTAATGGACAACCGCTTCAGCTTAGGTAGCTCAGCCACTGAAAAAGGCGCCACACAGTGTGAGCGTGCTCCAAGTCACACGAGTTTAACCCATCACAAAAGTTTACAAACTTTTGACCAGAGCCTTACCTAGCGCGTTCTAGGCGATGCCGGCTTGAGAAAAGTCCCACAGTCGAAGTCTAATTTCTGTTATACAATGCCGAGAATAGCTAGGCAAAAGAGATTGATTGGGAGGGACTTCGTGATGATCAATTATCATGCTGTAGGCAAAGAATATTTCAATACATGATTAGGTTAACATGTCTCCTAACATGCCACATGGAAAGCCGTCATGTGCACGTGCACGTCGCAAAGATGACGAAGGTCAGCTCAAAAATTCGCGGATTAAACGATAATTAGAATTTAGAAAGAAAATGTTCTAAGATAGAAAAAAGATACCCGGGTTTTGCTCTTCGTTGTAGTCCTCGTTTTGTTACTTCATTTGTCCTCGCAGGACCTAAGGCGACAATTGTCGATGGATTGGAATTGCTCTTACATTGGGCTATGGTGCTCCCTGGGTTTCTTAGACTGAGATATATCAGACTAAGAGGTCTCCAAAATATGCTTGAAAAGACATAGGCGGTGTTAGACTATGGTTGATAGTTGGACAAATATGTTTGCTAGTTCAAGTGGTGGTTCATAGTCGTTGTTATTAGTCCAGGTGGCTAGTGTCCTGTGGCTAGTGGCTGGTAGGTTGGGACAATGGTCCTAACAGTGGTTGTATAGGTGGGTAACCTAGTTCAAATTATATCACCGAAATGTTTAGAAAATTGAGGCGAGCTTTAAGCAATTGGAGATTATATCCATATATATTCCAGAGACTGTAGTTTATTATTTAGTCCTTGTTGGAGTTGATTCCCATGGTGGATACTTCATAGAATACCCCTTATGTTAGTACGTATATAGTTATGTCCGATATCTCCATTTGGGATGGATACCCCTCTTCTATTTACCTAGGGATAGGCTGCGGAAATGACCCGCCCGCCGCCAGTAGAGATATCTCTTTGGTTGGCATAAGACTACAGTCTCCACAAAACCGGTAACTGTACATCGGCGATAGCGCAGGCCCTTTGGACCTGCGAGCGTTGAGGCTCTCACAGTGATCTTCGGAGGCGTCTAACTAACTAGAAGTAAGCTTGTATGGGTGCCAGTGGAGCTCAGGGGTTGCTGAAAGTACAATTACTAATTGTGGTGGAGCTGTAGTCTTATGCCAACCGAAGGAGTACTTGATGAAAACCATTAATATTCGAACAGAACAAAAACATGAACTCTACCAGGCGTGATTTTAACTCGCATAAAATTGACTACTTCCCATATTTGGTGCTACCCTAAATAACGAATATCTTTCAAGCCTAGGTACGTAGCATAAACTCAGTGCAAGGAAGCAAGGTATCCGCCATCTTATAGGCCGCAACGTAGAAAGCAACCAAATTTAAGGAAGACGAGGCAAAATAGTGTTGAGCTCGGCGGAAATACGCGCCTTGTGGGCCGCCTTGATATCCTTGGGGTCGAGATCCGAGAAAAGAATGGTACTAGGAGGGCCGTTGGTAAAAATCCCCAAACGGTCCGCTCGGAGGCGGTATTCATTATCGGTAGTGTGCTGGGTCTGATTTTGGGTTGCTTTCGGGGACTTATAACTACATCATAGTGGAATAGATGAGCTCCAGCTTCTTTAACCCATGTAGAAATTTCGAACAGAGAATTCTAGGTCGGCTTACTCATTGGTGCCAGCATTGGTGTTCAATTCGGAGGACATCCTAAAACGAGTAACAAGTAACAGGTGTGTAACAGTAAAGTTGTGTACCTATAACCTAATGAGATTCACGTTGTATGATTATTTTTAGGAAACCTAGGTAGGTACTCACTCAAATAACACCGCGTGCTCGTGAATATAGCTTGAGTGATCATAACTTAGCAGAAATCTTCAGGCTAGAATCTTGAAAAGTATAAACACGGTGAAATATTTATCTACTTTATAGACATTTTCTTACTTATAGTCAAACCTAGCAAGTAATGATCCAAGAATTGCTAATGGTAGACCGAATAGACTGCTACTTACAGCAAAAGCCTTTTACTTATGATTCATGCCGATACACCCAAGACACAACATTCATGACTGTAGTTTAGGGAACATATTGGACCTTGTTTCCGATGACTATATCGGCGTGTACGAGGCTTGGTAAGGAAAACCTAGTTTCCACACGCTACGGTTGCCAACTTGTTTACAGTGGCTATATTAATTCAACTTAGGTATGTAACAAAAAGGTTATTCATGTAGGATATCATATGATGGGTTATACGAGAAGGTTTTAACGGATAACTCCCCCGAGAATTTAACTTCTATTCCAGTTAGTTAGTACTGCTCTAGCTCATGAAGTAAAATAAAAGTAGGCTTGTTTTCAAGTATTCTTATATACATTATGCTCAGCCTATCGTTAAAACATACTAGGTAACTATAAGAGAATTAATGAGTTAGGTCTGTGTTAGCCTCTAGGCCAGACCGAGTCCCATTTATTTACCGTCTTGTTTGGTGCAGTTGCAGTGGTTTGGTTATACGAACTTAACGTTATGAGATGTGGGAGCTGTATCTAATTCATCCAATAGAAAGATTTGTATATTTAATTCAATTTCCTGGAAGATTCTAGCCCAGGATGGTTCTTGTTACATGGTACGTACTTAAGTACATACCAATCTAGCATACAAAATCTCCAACTGGTTTCTAATTACGGGTTTAATTTAAATATATATATATATATATTCATACTACCGAATTCTCATTTTATATCCTTTGAAAACAAGTGAAGTATTGCAATGAACTTACTTAAAACGCTGAACGCATGATACTGAAAGTTTTAGTAAGTTATGAAAGTTTTGAATTTCTTTCTTTCTAGGAAACTACTTAGTTGCCTCCGGTGAGCTCGTTTAAAGAGATAAATCTTGACGTCACATAGTGTGTCATGTTGGGTGTATATCCGATGCAGTGGTTTCTATGGGAGTCGGGGATACGGAGTATGTGATGTTTCTTTCTATCTGTTCTCACTAGAGTTAATGGTGACCCGTCGTGTACCAGGATAAAGCATTCCGTGAGTAATATCTCCAGTGCTAATTCATAGGTAGCGAGAAAGGGCGGGAATTTGCATGAACTGCTTCCCTTGGCTACAAATACAGGTAGGCGATAGTTCGCATCGTATCGGCTATGCTTCTCGATGAAAAGATAGCTAAGGCCTCACTATACGTATTAGCATCCTAGGTTACACCTTAAGTGTTGTCCTGCATGTCCTGAATGAGATTTGACCATTTTTAGCGTGATGTGTCACTTGTGACATTCTGATCTTGAGAAACACCGGTGAATGTTTTCGTAATTTTAACAAAAGCAGCAAGGCACTCTCTGTTAATCCGGAACTTTTATACCGGTATGAAATATTGGAACTGTGTTGAGGATCACAAGAGTATGTCTTCGGACCGATTTTTATCTTCTTGTTTTAATTTCGATGACGACGTGTTGGAGGTAGCTGAGCCTGAGTCATGGGTGTACGAAGTGAGGGGGTTCGGGTCTTTTGAATTAATGATTTTCTTTGGATCGACACGACTTACGAAATGCTGGGATAAATCTTCATCATACCGAGAAACTGATATAGCAGATCGAGGACACTTGAGCAATTTAACAGAAGTTAGAGGTAGGCAAATTCATTGAGAGGAAGGTAATTCGAATGCGCATAGGAAAGCTGAAATCAACTTGGCTATTTTTAACATGTCTAAAGGACACCCTTTATACAAGTAGTTACATGCCTATTTATTCTTTAGTTGGGGGCGGATACACCAATGTGAGATGTGTACCCCCTGAAGGTAAAGATACACAGCCATATGTAAACACCATGTAATCTAGGTAGAAGCTTTAGTAAATCAAAAACACCTTCTATAACATAATATCAGGATGGCTTACTATTAATACCTACCGTTGGGTATTTGCATCCATCTCCATAGATAGTAGGAAGGACTATTAATGCGACACGGTCATTGTTTTCCGTTTCTGAATTTCCTCGCCCGTCGATATGGTCTGTGATACTTGTTTCTTGTAAATATGTAGGTACCTAGGTTGGAAGTACCAAACAGAACGCTTCCTTTCATGAACTCCAACTACATTGTGAGATTATGATCACTCACCAAGGGGATAATTTCCTAAGTAAAATTTCAATCAATATTCTATCATTATGGTCAGTGTTCCATTCAAAGCCCCAATTCAACTAGTTCGTTCAACTCTTTCTTGAAGTTTTTTGTTCCGAAATACTTCCAATGCTCTCCTGCGATTGTGTGTGTCAAATCCTCTTCATTTGGTCTGTTTACACCCGATCCTCCATCGTTCTCCGCACTTTTTGGGAGCCCAACGCCTTGTGCCGACTTGAAAAAGTTGTCCTTATCCCACATCTTCTTGACACGCCTCAATTCCTGGCGATTATCCCCAAAATATGCCCGCTCATGGGCGTTTGCGCCCAGCGCTCCGTCGGGGAAATTGATGAACGCAGCCTCTCCCTTTAGGGAAAGGGGCCTCAATTTCTTCTTGACATCCTCCAAGAAAGGTCTCATGTCCGTTTCCATCCATTTATCCACCCATTCTACAGTGACATAGGTGTGGTATACAGCTTCACGCCAGAAGAAAGCCGTGTCTGAAGGTTTCTTCTCGGTCGCCTTTCCACCCGAATGGATCCATGTCACTAGAAACTCAACCTGTTCCCCAGAGAATCGACGTCGGAAGGCCTCCATATCTTCTCGTATAATAGATGTTGCTCTTTCAATAGTGATCCTATCATTTTTGAAAATGAAGGAGCTGTAGATGCTATAGGTATTGTTGCTCGGAAAAGCCTTTTTAGTTTCCTCTGTCCATTGAGAAACGAGCGTCTCATGAAGGAAACGTGTGGACTTTTCAGGTAGGGATCGCCTTTTGAGCTGCTTCGATAGTTCTAGGTTTTTGATATATTCGTCGATAACAACATCAAACTCTTCTTTAGTCCCATCATAATATATCAAGAATCTCACTCCGTCAGCTGAAGAACGTCCTCGTAGATCGCACATCCACGTACTGTCGATGGTCATCCGGTTAGGCCAGCTCGTCGTATAGAAACTGTTCATCGTGGTCATGAAATCATCAGTCATTCCCGACTTGGGAAACCACTGATATCTCCCAGCTATCACAATGCCATCCTTGTTGCGTAGTCTCCGAACCTGTAGCTTCATTTCTACCAAGACTCCGAAATTACCACCTCCTCCACCGCGGATCGCCCAGAAGAGCCTGCCTTTATTAGAGTTCGGGTCATCACTATCCTTGACGGTGACCAAGTTTCCATCTGCGGTCACTAGGGTAGCCTCCGTTAAAGTGTCGCTCCCCATTCCGATACTCCTGGTGAATGGGCCGAGACCACCCCCAAGAGTAAACCCCCCTACTCCCACAGTGGGACACCTGCCGCCATTCACGACGAACCCATCATGTTGGCCGTTAACCAAGGTCTTGTAAACATTGCCCCACTGGCAACCAGCTTGTATAGTGACACTTTTAGATTTGATATCAAGTTTGGCCGTGTTCAACTTGCTGAGATCCAGAGAGATACCTCTGAAGGCGGTGGAATGTCCCGCGTATGAGTGGCCCCCGCCTTTGATGGTTATTTCGAGTTTCTGCGATTTTGCCTGCTTGATTATATCTTGGACTTGTGAAAACGTCGTGGGCTGCATTACACATTCCGGCCTCGAGAAACGGAACAGAAGGTTTGATGTCGCGACGGAACGCTCATACTCCTCCTCTCCACGCTCAAATACGAGTACCTTTTTAGCCTTTAGACGTTTAATGGCCCTGTCCATTGACTTGGAAGAAATGGTAGTAGTAGTACCAAACTTCAATAGGTCTTCTCGTTTTAATAACCAAGCCACTTGGTTTACCGAAGGAGGAAAGCCGGATTGAATATCCACTTGTTTAGAATTTGCGAAGTTTTAGACTTTATTGCGTATATTACCTAGGTAACTTCTTTCATTTACTAGATGGCGAGGAGAGTCCTACTATATACACGTTCCTATAAGGATAATATCATATCCGAATTCAGCCTCCTAATCATTGGCTTATCTAGCGTGAATAATGACCACGATACTAGCTGAGTATAAGTTTGGTATGAGCTATAAACGCATTAAGATATTCAGAAACTTCTTTTATGATGCTCGCCCACACCGGTCAGCTCTCCTTTGCGATGAAAGCTGACGATCAATAAGTCACACCACACGGTTTCATTTTGAAAAGCAAGCTGATATATCCTACAGGATCCCCGATTGGTTGACCGATAATCTATGTACCCCAAGATGTGCTTTTCGTGATATTGGGTCAGAGGGGGTGAGCAAATACCACCAAGTGACGTTACCTGCTTGAGGAAATATCGTCGGTGAGGTAGATAACGAGTGAGGCTCTACAAGATACCTGAGTAATCGGGCTGTATTCAATACCAGCTGTTCATTTATGTTTGGTTCTATGCATGCGATTAATGTATTGCGATCCAAGCGCAAAGACATAACCGCCCAAATGACACATATCACAGCCTTCAACCTCCTAAAAACAATCATTATGACTTTTGTACCTTTGCACTCATACACCCTTAACCCACGCCGTTCTAGACTAAGAATTCAGCTCAGCCTTACCTGTGCACGATAGTACATTTATATCCCCACCCAGAGGAGAAATACAGTAAGATACAAGGATATGGTGTAATCTGTACCTAGCCTTACTCAATTATCCTGGAAACGCGCATAGCGAGACACATAATTATCAGAACCCGGATGGTAGCCTTCTGGTGTAAGTTTATTCGTACCTTAGAAGACATTGAATGCCCCTAGATACTGTAGGTCGAGAGTTGGGCATAAATACGGCCGTGCAGCCCGATGTGACTCCCGAGAATGTACTTGCGATCAGCTTTGATAAGTGTTTTGAGCCTCAATATTGAGGGTTTGGGGAGGTCCCCCCGACTTTTGGGTAACCCCTGAGCTCCTCGATCTAACTATACTGAGGAATATAAATACCTTATCTTTCCATAGCGCAAATATTCCACAAGGCTTGCCAAATTCAATCACATACCTAGAACTACTACCAACTAGGAAATCATCACATTTTATATTATTTTTTTTCTTGTCCACACTCAAGAGTTCATCCGAAACTTTCACCATGGGAACTCGCGTAAATGCTCGGCGTGCCAACGGAAATCCAGATACCCTCAATGAACGAAATCCCATAGATGGTCTGACACCGTTAGCTACTGCGACCGTTGTAGGAGATGCTGAGAAGGTCAAACGGCTCCTTGATAAGGGCGTCGAAGCAGATGCACGGTCTAGGAATGGCGAAACTCCATTACTCCTTGCTGCGTGGAAAACCAGCTATAACCGCTCTCGAATCATCCAGCTTCTCCTGACGAGGACACCCTCTAGTTCCGTTGATGCAACGTGTGATATCGCCGATAACAATACACCGTTGATGTTTGCTGTTACAAAGGGCGACCTAGAATCTATAAGACTCTTGCGGAAGGCCGGGGCTTCTATAGAGTTGGAGAACGACAGCCATCAAAATGCGGAAGAGATGGCTAGAATGATGGGAGGCAGAGTTCCTCTTGCACTTCATCCAGAGACTGAAAGAGGGGCTCTTGGGAAGCTATCTAGCCTCACCTTATCTTTCCTGCTCTCGGTCGTTTCCTGGGTGAACATCCACGTCGGCGGCGTTGTCCGCCGGATCTTTGGACTAAACCCCGATCCAGACGAAGATATTGACAAAGTAAGGTGGCATTTCTTGACTTAACACCCGTTTAAGCAGCGGTTCCACTAACTAGGCATCGCAGGAAATGGACATCCTCGAGGAGCCTAGTGGAGAAGAACTTGTAGAAAGTGTCGAGAGATTCGTCGACGACAATCCTATACTACAACGGTTCTTCAAGGGGAAGGAGGATTACATAAAGGAGTTGACACAAAAGGCAGTGGACTTGAAGAATGATACGAGCACATGCCTAGGCTGTGAAGAACTATTGCCTAAGACTATCAATGTTTCTTTGCATCAGCAAGTCTTATACTGCGGTAAGATATCAATTATTAGCACCTGCAAACCTCTGGCTACTCGTATCTAATAACAGATGTATAGACGACAGCTCCTCTATGAGGAGGGAGGGCCGTTGGGAGTCTCAGAAATGTCTCGTCGAGCGAATCGCTAAGATCACCACACGAATTCTCCCCGAACACGAAGGCGTTATGCTACGTTTCATCAATCAGGATATGGAGCATTCTTCGAACTTAAACCTAGAGGGGATCGGGAAGGTCTTCGAGTTAATATCCTGGCAGCGGGAAAATAGCCATACCAAAATCGGCACTTATCTAAAATCGAAGATCCTCGAGCCGCTAGTTTACAGCAAGCTAGAATCTGAGGATGGCGGACTTGAAAGACCGCTCCTTATCTCCGTAGTCACCGACGGCATGCCTACTAGAGAAAGCCCCTCTGAGTTTGTGGAAGCGATCTTGGAGTGTGGTAATAGGTTGGAGCGGGCTGGGTATCCTCGCAAGAGTACGTACTAATGCATCATTTCGTCTCGTATTAATAATCCCATCATCTAACACTATCATCTCAACTTATAGGTGTGAAATTCATGGTCGGCCAAGTCGGCTCTGGGAGAGATGCGGCAAGGTTTCTTGACGGACTTAGAGGCAACGCTGAGATTTCTGAAGTGGTTTACTGTACTACAGGTAGGTCTGATACTTGGCCCCTCATGTTTTCTATCTCAGTACCTACTAATGGTCTAACACTATCCAGATCAGCTAGATGCCAAATTCACGGAGTTTCGTGAAAATGAATGGGATCTTGACCGATGGGTGAGCATCACACCGACTCCTCAACTTCTGATTTAATCGCCGACTTAGGCCCTTCTAACCTATCTCATCTAGTTAATTGAAACCCTATTCTCTCCTATCAAAGGTCCCGAAACCAGCGAAACTCGGTAAACACTTTCATATGACCAAATCTATAGGAAGGGCAGGACCAAGAGAGAGTTCAATATGTTAATCTTCACATGGTCCTGAACTTCGATTCGGAGCAGATTGGAAAGAAGGGCAAGGTTCTATGAGTCGACGGCGTCTTTTCTTTTGTTCTCATAACAAATACATACATCAAGACTTACTGATAGTCTATCCTTAATCATACCTTAGCATCAATTTTCATTATGTTGAACTCATGAAAATACTTTCTCCTATCTATTCACAAGTTATCAAAACGTAAATTCGTTGGAATATTTTTTAATCACGAAGGTTGAGCCGACGGTCTTCCTAGAATCGAAAAAGGGGTTAGGGGTAAGGGGTTCAGGGGTCAGAGAGTTTAACCGTCTTATCGATAGAGGTACCCAAGCTCGGACCACATTCAATCCTGACGCAGTCAACCCACGAGAATTTCCAGCTTCATGACGACGTCCTTGAAAAAATATTGAAATTCAATTGTGGTTTCTCGTCAACTTCTAAAACCTACCGCATTTCCGATGCCCCCTCACACAGGACTGCGCATTGCGCGCGTCCGTCCTCTGTTCCTCAACAATGGCACCGGATCTTGCACACCCACGCTTGCGCCTCTCTTCATCACGACCTATAACATTCGAGCTCGAAAGCGGTTAGCTCCACCACAGCCAAGCTCGAGCTCAAGCTTAAGCTCTCGACGCACCGCATCAACGGCATCGCAAGCCAAAGAAACCAAGACGAAACCACCTCCCACTATCTCCGAGCTCGCCTCCTCTCCAACCCGGCCATCCTCTCCCCTCCCACCCTCCTCAACTCTCAACCCACCCGCCTCGACCCGACCACCACCTCTAGAACTACCCACGCGCGACCCCGCGACCTCGATGTTCACGTACTGGTACCAATACGGCAAAGCCTACATGACCTTCTACAAGACCGGACTCCGAGCCATCCTCACGAACCGACGCCTGCTCTCCCAATCCACCTCCTCCATATCCACCACCAACCCATCTCCCTCAGACAACCCCACACGCTCCGACATCCTCCTCCGCGAACGCGTACACCACGACCTCTTCCGCGTCCCGGCCTTCGCGCTCCTACTCCTCGTCTGCGGAGAACTAACCCCCCTCGTCGTAATAGCGTTCCCGCGCTTAACACCCTACACCTGCCGAATCCCGAACCAAATCTCCGCCTTACAGCGGCGTTCCGAAGCGCGGCGCGCCCGCAGCTACGCCTCTCTGAAACACGCGCAGTTGACGGCGCATGACCTGCGCGGCGGCTTGGCGAGCGGCCACGTGTGCCGCGCGCTGGGGCTGACGAGTCCGCTGTGGGACCGGATCGGGATCGACTCGCCGTTCGGGTCGTCGCTGGCGACACGCGCGGTGGTGCGGATCGCGGAGGACGACGCGCTGATTAGGAAGGGGGGCGGCGTGGATGCGTTGGTTGATGAGGAGGTTGTGCTCGCGTGCGAGGACCGAGGGATGGATGTTCGGGGGAGGGATGTGGATCAGCTGAGGGCCGAGCTGAGGGATTGGTTGCGCAAGGCTGCCCCTGCGAAGGGCGGGAGCCGTGAGGAGGCGAGGAAGGAGGCTGAGGATAGGATTAGGGGGTTGCTACTTGGGATAGACGGAGCGGACGGCAAAAGTTGAGGTTCAGGTACGAATAGAATGGACTGAGAATTTAGTCCATACTAGTAGGTATTAGAGTCATGTGCTCGGAATTATACGTGTAATGATGCGAAGAATTGTACGATACGATACGATACAATCAAAAAGGGGGGAACGGGCAGGTCAAAACAGCCCGGGGATCAGACAAAACTTGGCTCACTGAAAACAACACGCAACAAGAGGCAACAAAGCCCAATTTAAGTAATCCATTATCATCGGTGTGATGATTTGCATTTATGCTATCAAGCCTATCTCAGAATTGGAAAGCTATAGCAAGGGCTAAGGCTGATAAGTCCCTCGTGCGTACACATTAGTACCGTAGTGAGAAAACCATCAACCCAGTCTTAGTTCAAGAATTCCACTAAACTTCTAGTAAGCACCTTTAGCCATGCAAGAAGGCGTCTGACTAAGGACAAACGCTAGATGAACGGGGTCCATGTTCCAATGAGCGGAACGATGAAAAAGGCGCTTATTACAAAGCTGTACCCTGGGGCGACTTGCTCACTGGCGGTATCGAGCTAGTTGTGCCATGATAGTCTGCACATGTTGGTTTGGATCGCCGCCTTGGGCGCCTGGCACTCCTGGTCCTCCGGGAGCGGGAGCAGGTGGATAGTTCGCGTTGTATTGTCGATTAGGACCAGGCGCATAAGGATGATTGCTTGCTCCGACGCCAGGGTAGGCTGCATTCGGATCCTGATTAACAGGGGGTCGCACAATTGTCTGACTTGAAGCATAAGCCTGGGGCGCATTAGACGGAGTGCCTTGCTGACTATGAAGACTTCCAAGAATCTTTTGCAAGGTGGCGTTGTCTAAAGAGCCCTGTGTGCCGCCAATAGGAGGAACTGGTGCACTAGGATAGGGCTGGCTTGGATACGAAGGAGGTACGTAAGTAGGCCGTGGAGCCGGAGGGTATTGGGTCGGGGTCGGCGGATACTGTACACCACCATAGGGAGGGATATGCTGGACCTGGGGAGCTTGAGGCTTGGCGCGATGAACAAGCTGGGCCGCGATGCTGGGGGCAAGGTCTTGGTATTGATCATAGCGAATACTACCACGTCCGCCAGAGCGATTGAACACCTGTAGTGAGACGGTGCCGCTTCGTTGTGCTTGATAATCCAGTTCAACCACTGCATAAACGCCTTCCATCACCTGACGCTGGATTACGGCCTCTCGGGAGAGGTTAGAGTGTAGGAACATGACCTGCACCTTTAAGCCTAGGTCGAGAAAGGAGCGCTCAACCCAACCAACGAAGTCTCGTTCGACTTCTTGGATAATAAGGAACTGCACATCCGGGATATCTCCTCCGTACCTACGAGGGATATCGAGTTCTGCCTCGGAAATTTGACGCCGGTACGGGCTAGGGCTTCGGTGTCGATAGCTGCCTGAGTCGCGTCTTCCGTAGCTGGGAGACCGTGAACGACCACGACCACCATAATCATCATAATAGCCACGGCCACTATCGTACGAATTCTGTTGGCGATGACTGCCTCGGCGAGGAGATGATTGGCGACTAGGGCGATAATCATCACGTCGACCACGTGCAGCATCGTGACGTTCATTATCACGCTTGCTCTTGTTGCTACGTTTGTCACCGTCACCATCCTTCTTCTGCGTGCGGGAAAATTCAAGGTCCGCTCTTTGTTAGAAGATGAACAAAATCATACGATAAAAGAATGCACTCACGAATCTTACGGCCTCTAACATCGATTCCCTGCAGATGATCCATCGCAGCTTGACCTTCCGCCATAGTGTGGTATTGCACGAAGCCATATGCCTGCTTGAGAGAAATCTGCGCCAAGCGGCCATATTTAGAAAAGAGGTCGAACACCTCTTTCTTAGAGACTCTGTCACTAGAGAGATTTCCTATTGGAAAAACCGATAAGCGACCGATATATGTAGGAAATTATGGAACGGAACTTACCAATAAACAATCTCGATCCTTCCGGAAAACGGTCCCACTTGGCTTCGGATACGTAACGGCGTTCCTCATGCAAAAATGTCTCCCATTGTTGAGACTGGTCGCTGGGTTGCGATCGGATGCCTGTCGCAGCAACATAAGTAGGATCAAATTGTGCCACTGGGAAAGGATGGGCTGGCAGAGAACTAAGAGAGGATGAGGACGGCGGGGGTGGGAGAGTATTACGAGCTTCTAGAGCCGTCCCAGGAGCGCCGACTGAGTAAGTGCCGGGCGGAGGCGGCAGAGAGGAGGCAATGCCGGTGGCATGGGGATAAGAAAGGCCCGGCTGATAGTTGAGACCAGGAACATCTTCTAGACGCACATGTGGCTGGGCTAGGGGAGGTTGCTGAGGCATAGGCGGTCTGGGAGGCAGGGACACAGATGGCGCGTTGGCAGAAATCTGCTGTACCGATGACTGTTGGGCAGGTCCAGTGGAAGAATTACCTATGATCTTGTCCACAATGTCCTGGATATCAATATTATCATCATTGGCAGCACTTGATAGGGCATGACCTTGAGTTTGGTTCTTGTTTTCAGTCTCCTCAGCGGCAGTCTCTGCCGGTGGCTGAGGTGCATCCAAGGTATGGGCGATCGACGAGGCGACTACGGCCTGTTCTTGCGGCTCTTGAGGTTCTTGGGCCTCTTGTGGGCTCGAGCGGCTCGTGTTCGGAACAGGCTGGTGCACATGTTGGACAGGGATATTGAGAGACTTAGAAAGATCATGTGAAGTGTAAGTGTTAACTTCAGAATGACCTGTCTGCGATTCAGACAGGTCAGAACTAAGAGCTGATGTGTTCGGCTGGGATACATCTTGCTGGGCTTCAACAGCACCATTCTGTTGATCATGATTAGGGTGGTCGGTGTTTCTATCATCCTTAACTAAGGTTCCTTCTTCCTTGTTGCCGTCATTGTCATCTCCGAAATAGCTCAAATACGGAACGGTGGCACCGACGCCACCTCTGCTGTTGTCTTGGTAGTTGGTCGTTGCCGTGTTGCCGTGGTTTTGGCCTGCTGCTAGAGCTACATCATTGGTCTGGTTCGCAGCAGCCGTGGGAGGGACTTGGTCGCCGTCGGAGAGCGACATAGTACAAAGAGTATCGGCTTGATCCTGAAGAGCCGGCACTATAACTGGTGATGAGGGGTGAAGGGGTGCTGGCGATAGGGGGGTTAGATTGGCAGTCGCCAGAAGTGGAGGTGACGTCCCGGTCATCCAGGTGGCATGGGAGGTCAGACAATCTAGAGAACGTTGGAATGTTGCCTGCGGTACCTGGGTATGATAGTTGGCAACCTTGGGAGTTTTGGAGCTGTATTCGAAATTTACCTAGGTAAGTTTCCGTTGTGCTGATAGGTATGCGATGCGATGGCAGTTCAACGTTGATAATGGTGCCTTTGAAGAAGATTGTCGGGAAATGGCCTGTCCAAGCTGGCAGAAATCACAGGGCGCGGAGAGGAATAAGTAGAGACCCATGTGTTGTAGGTGAAAAGCGAGGTTTAGAAATTGGAATAAAGGTAACAGGGAAAAACAGAAGCACCTGGGACAGTCAAGTTTTACTTGAACATGTGGGATGAGTGTAGATTAGCACGCGTAGTTTTGCGCGCCTCTGCGCTCTCTGCTGATTGGTGCCAATGTGAACAAATAATTGGCAGCGATTGCTCAGTAGATCACTCGGTATTGACACAATTCTGTTCAAGGGATTTCAACAAGTATCAATGGCATCAATGAAGAAGAACAAATCATGTCGGAGAAGATGATGAGAACGCAAAGATGTGGAGGGGGTGGAGGGTGGGTTGAGGCTTTGCGAAGATGCAAGGTGCAAGGTGCAAGGCTGGGAGCTGGGATGGGGGGGGAATGGGAGAGTGGGATCCGACGATGAAGAATGCAGGAAATTTTCTAGAAAGGAATTGTCCTCTAACAAAGGTAACTAGCCAGATTGCTAACGCCATTGGCTGCTTTAAGACTATACTACGGGCTATAGGGATATAAAAGAGCGCTAACGGATAGCTGAATATATCCATATTTGTTTTCACGGATAAAAACTTGTCCTGTTTTAAGAACAATTCAAGGTTGAACATCCAAAGGGTACATACCTATGTAGGTACCTACTCCAACACAAAGAAATAGAATATGATAGAATTCAATCAATCCAATGATACTTGTTTCAAAGTATCTGTTCGACCAGAAGTTCTCCTTCTAATGATCTAATTCATGCTATTAGCCACGTAATAAGTGGACAACCTACTAGGTAAGAGGTTAGACCCAAACTTATATACTAGTAGTAGTAGTAACCAGTACAAGAACAGCAGCTGATGTACCAAAGCGAAGAAGCAGAACACGAATGATTATTACCCAAAAACCATGCTTCGGTCCCTATCCACGCGCTTAACTTCGTCTCCCATATCTAAGTATTTTGGAGCACCGCATTCGTTTATGCGAACTGTACAAACCCGAACTCATGATACTGATTTCGACCAAGAAGAGCTAGCTGAAGCCAGGAACTGGCATGCCTCATTTAATTCGGACAGCTTGCCAAAGGGTCATACGAAATATTCGAGAGCTAGCGGACCCGGGGGACAACATGTAAACAAGTAGGTAAATATTCTTAGTCTCTGTTACTCTTAGGAACGCCTCGATCTGATGGTTCGGCTAGAACCGAGAGCAAAGCCACAACAGTGTGGCCCATCGAAGAACTGTCCAAGAGCCTACCCAAGTTAATGTGTTCCGCATTGCGGTCTTCAAGATATTACACCAAGGGGTCCGACTCCATCACGATTCATGCTCAGACACAACGGAACAGGACCGCAAATACCCACGAAAATCATCACAAGCTAGCCGACGAACTACTGAAGTTATACAAGCAGCATATACCTAAGCAGACAAGCCGCGACAAGATCAAGAAATATGAAGACTTGTAAGTAAGAGTTTCCTTCCATATGTTTTTCGAGTTCCAATGACGACAGGTTGTAACTGACGATTGGGAAACCAGGGAGAAATCATACCACGAGCACAGACTGAAACTGAAGAAACATCAGAGCTCAAAGAAGGCGTCGCGAAGAAGTCACGACGAGTAGACACTTGTCACTCAGTTTTGCTGCTTAACCATCTCTTCATAGCACCGCCTATCGGGCCGTTCAGCTAACAGTCTAGCAAGTCAGAGCTCGTTTGACATTGGCTGCTGCACGATAGGACAACTGGACAGTCGTTACTGGTAAACAGGTGACCTGGCTTGAGGGTTACATTGGTGACATACTATCACTCGCAAACTTATCCAGCGTGTTAACGGAAACCCTTATAAGGGAAGGAACTCCAGGTACCTCATACCACACAGTCCTACACATCTTACGGCAGCTTATTTGAGATTTTAAGCTAAAGGGGAATGTTATGTTGCGATACTCAATATCCCCTCTGTATACAGCATGTCCGTGACCAGATTTGTGAGAAACTGGAGTAGACATTTCAATTTCATACAGAGGAGGTAGGTAAATATATGAATATGGATATGGATATGTGAATATTGTTTTAATCACTAAATCTTTCGTGGATCCCCCCGCTATCACGGGCCTTTTGTGTCCTGCTGCTGACTAAAAGTCGAATGAGGGGCAGTGTTCAAGGTTGCGGGAAGTTTAAGAAAGTTTGGGAGGTTTGGAAAGGTTTAGGAAGGTGGAGCGACGAGCTGAAATCTTACGGCACATCTGTTCCGTTTGATTCGTCTCAGCTCTCTTCATTCATAGAAACTTCAAAGTTACAAAATATCCGTCAAATTATACAGATTATTCGCATTTTAAGTTGTTTAGTTCTATTTGTACCCAATCTACGAGGTTCGCGCGTATAAAAGTCGATTGGACCCTTAGCAGACATCCCCGCAAGGCTGATTACCGTGCGCCATACCCGATCATTCGCACCCGATCCGACCCCCTACTCGAAACTTGACTTTACCTATTCTCTTGTCTGCCTCCCCAGCAGCTAAAGTCATTGTTATAAGCCCGAACTTTTAACTAGACTTATTTACCTGCTCTTATATGACAATATATTCTTTATATTATCAGTTGTTTCGAACATGTGGGGATAATCCACGAATTAGTGACGAACATCTCTGACCGAAACCTGGCGATTATCGAATCACTCCCTCCCGTCCGCTTACGAACAAAGACGTTGTTTAATCATAGGCGGACTGTCAGAGACTGCGCATTATCCCACGACTCAGGATATATACCTCTGTTCCACCCATAGAAGTCATTCAAGTCTTCTCAACCGCGAGGTCTCATTTCCGCTTTTTCCACAATGGCCGCTACTGCGAACCACGCCAGTCACGGCTCTCCTCGTCCGAACCCCCAGATTCAACCATGCAGATACAAAGTGGGAAAGACATTAGGCGCTGGCTCATATTCTGTCGTAAAGGAGTGTGTTCACATCGACACCGGTCGATACTATGCTGCGAAGGTGATCAACAAGAGGCTCATGGCCGGCCGAGAACATATGGTTCGTACCCTTCTCTCTTGTACCCCCTCTCTATTCATGTGTTAGGTTCTACTTGCAGCCTTGAACCAGTTCATGTAACTAACTGTTAGATTTATCTTATTAGGTACGAAATGAGATTGCCGTCCTCAAGAAAGTCTCGATGGGCCACCAAAACATCCTAACCCTCGTTGACTACTTCGAAACAATGAACAACCTCTACCTCGTAACTGATCTTGCGCTCGGCGGTGAGCTCTTTGATCGCATTTGCCGTAAAGGATCTTACTACGAATCCGACGCAGCTGACTTAATCCGCGCAACTCTTTCTGCCGTCGCGTACCTCCACGACCACGGCATCGTACATCGTGATCTTAAGCCGGAGAATCTACTCTTCCGCACACCCGAGGACAATGCTGACCTTCTCATCGCCGACTTCGGACTATCGCGCATTATGGACGAGGAGCAATTTCACGTTCTAACGACAACCTGCGGTACCCCCGGCTACATGGCGCCCGAGATTTTTAAGAAGACGGGTCATGGCAAGCCGGTGGATATTTGGGCTATGGGCGTGATTACGTACTTCTTGCTCTGCGGATACACGCCGTTCGATCGCGATACCGACTTCGAGGAGATGCAGGCAATCCTGAATGCCGACTACAGCTTCCAGCCAGCAGAGTACTGGCGCGGCGTTAGCGATCACGCCAAGGATTTCGTTCGTCGATGCCTGACGGTCGACCCCAACAAGCGCATGACGGCGCACGAGGCGCTGTCGCATGCCTTCATCGCCGATTATAGCCTAGGCGGTGACGGCGACAGAGGCCAGAATCTGCTGCCAACTGTCAAGAAGAACTTCAACGCGCGCAAAACCTTGCACGCGGCTATCGACACGGTGCGAGCGATCAACAAGCTACGGGAGGGCCAGGCGCAAGCTCACCTCATGGACGGCAGCCGATCGGCGGAGCCAGGGCGGGGTGCCCCGCCGTTGAGAGACGTGGCTAAAGGCGACTCGGGGTACTCGAGCACGCAAAATGGAGACACGGAGATGGGCGGCATGGGTCCAACGTCAGGGGTACCAGCAAGCTTAAGGCCCGGCGCCGCTGCGAATAGAGTCGTAGAGACGTCAAAGGGACTATGGAGCGCAAGCCAGCCGCAACGGTGAAATGGCACAGTATTAGGGGGAAGAGACTATGCTAGCATAGTTGCCAGAGCGACGAGGGGAATTATCTTATTATTTAGAATGCATCTCAGGAAAGCGAGCGAATAGGAACATAGGTATGTGACCAGAAAGGATTGATATCAACTTTATGAAGAGATGAGGTGGATTATAGTACATAAAGCGTCTGAGCAGGAAGGGATATAAGCTCTAGCAGCAATCCGTATATCTGAGATGGGTGATAGATATGCGGAATTTCAGCAAACAAACTGATGAGGATATCACAGACCACAAATATTGCGACGAAGGGATGATTGGAGATTATCTAGGTAGCACGTAACCTAACCTAATTGATATAAACGACCCAATTCGAGGGTGAGATGAACGGTTCGAGATGCTGATCTTGTTACCTGCATTGCTTGGGTTTTGCCTGTCTTGGATTCAAATCATATTACTGCCCATCGCCGATGTACAGTAAGACTTAAGATCGATGGTGTCGTGGAGCACGCTCCGGAACAGGGCTTGCGAGACATGTGATGCGCCTATACGTATCCCTGTCATATGACGGTAGATGAGAGGAGCTTGTTCGGCTTGGGGCTGGGTCAGTGGGTGCACTTCTCGGCGCCGGTTCCCTCGTTTCTATGGAGCTGTTTTATGAAGAGCTGTACGAATTTACGATGGTGGATGGCACCAATTTATTCCATAGCTACCTATATTTCAGCTACGTCGTTAGATTTTCTCTAGATCATATCCACTACTTACCGACCGTCCGAGTAATTATCTAATGCCAACCGGAAAGATGAATAGGCCAAATTGGGACGGTCACATGCAAACATATAAGCAGTTAGGGTAATTCAAGGCAAGTTGTGAACCCGTACCAAGCTGCAGTGTGCTCCGTGCATCATCGCAGCTTGTCCTACGCATCTCGATCATGTACCTGGGCTTGCCTGAGTAATGCCAATGCGACGGTGCTCTTCACCTACATTTCATGAGTCGCGAGTTGGCTACCCGTACCTAGGTAGATTGGTAGAGTTAGATGCAGACGTGCAGACAAGACAATAGAGCTTGATTTTTAGCCCGAATGTCTCGGGGGGCCAGACAGGCATTATATGCCGATATTGGGCATGATCGGAGGCATTAGAGTATGCACGCTACCGGTATCTACAGAATAGAGGATCGAAGTAGGATCGCCCGAATCAGATCCCAGCCTCACTTTTTTTTCTTTCATAAGATCCTTATCCTCATCCTCACCGGTCGTTCTCGTTCTCCTCGCCCTATCGGTATTGTCAGCCAACATTTTCCAGCGTTTCCAGAAGCGTGGCAGCGTGGGTAAGGCTTATAAGAAATCGTTGAGCAAAGCGCTCGGGCAGATGTTGATGTCAGTTGACAATATACTAGACGTCATTTCATGAAGAGAAAAAATTGGAAGAAAAAGAAAAAGAAAAATTAATTACAAGTGCCGAGGTCTTCCTTGTAATGTTCTAGTAGGTACAGTACAATCCATGGATGTGCACATTTAGTTGGTTTAGTTGGGATTTGCTCGCGTGCTACTGGCGAACTACTGGAGAAGCGATTCAAGCGATAAAAAGCAGAGATGGATGTATCGAATGTATTGTACATGTGCAACCCAACAGCCCTTTCCACGTTTAGTTAGGATTATGATTAGGGTCGTTACTAACGTCCGGACTTGTGTAACGTCTGGCGTTTTCGGGATTGTAGAGGCAGTTAAACCCGTCCTGCCGTTTATTTTGTCCGTTGCTGCCGAATTGTGAGCCATCCTATCGTCGCATCGACGGACACGGGATTCTCAGATGTCGCGTGATGCGAATAGTGCACATGCCGTCAGGGAGCCAAGGTCTCAAAGAAGAGATAAGTTATCGAGGTGCGGTGGACCGGACCATCGCGGGGAGAGTAGCATTCTTGAAGCATTCTGGTCAGATCTTCGCATGGTGCCACTTTGTCGCTCTGTTGCTTCATACAGGTCCATTTCCAAGTCTGTCCAAGTCTAAAATACGACAGTATGAAGGAGCCGAGACTCGGATAAGAAAGGTCTGTTTTTCAATCGTTTTAAAATTCGAAAAATCGCACGATCCCTCATTCTAACTTCGTTCCGTCAAAGGGCCAACTCCGAACCCCGTCGCCCGAGATGAATTGGTCTACCATTTTCGTCTATTATCTAATTCTCTGCCTTTTGTCGGTGAATCGGGGGAAGAGCGGATACCGAGACCGAGCAGAATGCGGACACTCGCGGCTTATGTCCACTTTCTCTGTCATCTCTTATCCACTCCCACGCGATTCCGTTAAGTGACAAAAGTGACTCCGGTAATTGTTACCGTTTCATGGAAGTTGGCCCCTAACTACGCCCATAGGTTCTCAACCTTTCCCGTCCCTTACCTGTTTGGCGAGTCGCAGATGTGCAGATGCATCTTGATCCATCCATCCAACCTCATTCAATTGATAGGAACGACAAGAGCATCGAAATCACTCACACGACACATTGCCTATAAACCGCGTAAATTGCAATAAAAACCCTCACGTGCTCGTTCTCCATTCCGGATATTAAATTGTGGTTTGTAGGGGCAATAGCCCATGACATATACGCGTACGCAGTAAGATGAGTGTGACGAGAAGCTCTATGACCTTGAAAAGGTGGAAAAGGTGAGAGAGTGGACTCTGCCAAGAGCCTGAGACTGGTCCAACGTCTCAATGCCAAGAGACGCTTGCATCGTAGTCGTTGCACAAGCGCGCAGAAATGTAACTGTACTCTGCCTCGTACTGTACTTCGCACTTCGTACCCGGCTCGTCAGCGAGGTACTGTACTTTCAACATTCTGCTTTTGCGAGTGACTCTTCCCGTCAATTGAATCCCGTACAAGATTATGCACATGTACACTAATATCCAATTCTTGCCGCCCGATTCCCGACCCTTCCGAACGGGCCCGGCTCTCGACTGTGCTGATATTAGTGCTGACTGATTCGAACGGCCAGCTTCCACAGGATTCTCCGGTATGGTTATTCTGATCTGTCGGAATCGAAAATTGACACCATTTCGCAAAACCGTATATTTATAAAGAGTATCTTTGTAGAGTCCATTGCCCAGACCCTACCGATATCTGACATGAAAATCTGACCATGGCAACATGGGAAACTAACATTTGGATTTCTCTTGCTAGGGCTGAAGATTATCTGATTCATCGATTATGTCATCAAAGTTTGACACATCCATAAAGTAACCTTGATCTCCTTGTTTTAGATGACTGCTTCCTTATGAGCGATAGCCGGTTATCAATCATAGTAATAATCCATCAACTTAGAACTGGTTGCTGTGCTCACAAGCTTCGACCAAGCTTGATACCTAGTATGTACTCAATATGTAATGTACTTTTAGGTACTTCGTGGGTAGCAGATTTAAGGTTAACTTAAGGCGAGGCTAGCAGTTTAGGGCGACAGATAACACTGCCAGGTGAACATCAATTCTATCAAACCATGGTTGAAATGACTTAATAAGTGAGGCTTTAAGGTGTTTAATACATTTGCAAATTTGTTGTGTGCTTATAGGTACAGTTATGGTTGATGGGGTCCAAAACACTACTATGCGCAATCAATATTTGAAGTGTTTGTTACGCCTGACCCTTCATATAATAACACATACAACATGGTTGAACATGTAGCTGGGCTGCTGGGCAACTCAATCTGCCAAGATGCCTTACATGAAGGAGTTTTAAGTAGCATCCATGATATTAAACCAACAATCGGTTGGTCAACCTTACGGCAAGTGCATGACCAGGCTCCAGGCTCCAGGCTGCAGGCTGTAAGCTGTAAAAGTATTCAGCATTCGGGTAATACCCCTACAGCCCTGAGATAGCCTTGGCACAGAAAAACAAGTCTTCAATAATGGAACTTTGTACAGGTACCGTATTTCGCGTACTGCGCGTATAAAATTGACTAATAATGTCAAGTTGCGAGGTGTTACGTGAAGAGATCCTGGGCTTATCTCAGTCACGTTTCTGCGTGAGAAAGCGTATTCGGGATGGTTCGAGGTATGTAGCGCTAACAAGGTCGAGTAAGTGACCAATCCCGGGCTGTTTTCGAATTTAAGGTTGCGGTATGGCGCTTGCGCCGAACCGATGTCTGAGAAATCATGGTGCACTATTAAGGGGTCACATTTTCGATTCGCCTCTTGATCTTTCCGTGATGAGTTGTAAGCAATGCAATGTATGTACTGTACAAGAAGTTGGCGAGCTGTACGTGTACCTAACTACATGGAACCCGGATGCGCTAAAAGTTGGGATTGGCCCGCTAAGAAGTGAGTGCTTGCATGTACAGTACTGGGTACCGCCAGATGGGTGAATAATTCTTAGCGTGCTTAGTATGCCTAGCGTATTTTTTGCCGGGTGTTTTAGTGAATTCCGTAGCAGCGGAAGAAGTACTCGAGTACCCAAGTATCCATATTACATCCATTGTATGCAAAATCCATTACTCACAAATACCAAATCCCAATCCCAATCCTTAACGGTCCAGGCGACCCCCACAATAAAAAGAAAAAGAACGATCCCTATCCAATAATCCATGTCCGCAGAGACCACCTTCTACCAATCAGCCAAGCTCGTCTTTTAACATCCCTGCCCCCGTTATATCCGGATGCTGAGTTATTATGTACAGCGACAAAGCCCTTGGCCTTAGGTCGGTTCAAGGTTGGGTTCGGTTTCTTTATTATTAAAGATCATGTACCTCTCCCCCTTCCCTCTTGCGCTCTTACATTCCTGTCGCATGATCTAGAAATTACGTCGCGTATGTGATTATTCAAAGTCAAGCCGGCGACCTTCGATATTTACCTTGGACGGACAACTCACCTCAGTATTCCTAACCACCCCGTCTTTGGTTAGCTGGGTGATCTTTGGTACGACAGCGACTAATAGAGCTGGGTCAAAGCTCTTCCCCCGCCATCCGCAATCCACCATCCGCAATACCGTCGTGCTGTTGACGAATACGACAATCAACTGTGAGGGACGACACACGAGAACTACAAGAACTACTCCGATTGTCGTATCTTCGTCGCACGAGACGAAAGGGATCCGATGCGGCAGACAAGCACCACAGTTGTAGAAACGGAGACACAGCTCCCTCTGGGATGGCGTGAGAGGTTGAGTCCGTCTAAGCTCAGCACGATACCCGGTCGTTACAATCTTCCTCGAATGTTTAGAAAATCCGGCCATTCTACAAAACAGATGCGTGCACATGTTCCGACGAAGAGTATCGCTGCTCTCAAAACATCATTTAAGATCACGGATACCTTCGAATTATTGAGGACGAGGAAATGGAGCGTATTCGACTTGCAGTATGCTGTGGTGACCGCATTATGCATCTTCTCCATATGGATCGTTGAGCCTTCTGCGCCTATCATAAAGACCGCCGCCGGTCTTGGATACCTTTTGCTGCTTTTAATGCCCGCAACGAGTCAATTCTTTCTACCTTCTTGGCCTATATGGACTTACCTCCTATTCTTTTTCTCCAGCCGGTAAGAAATCTCATCTCATTTTAGAACGCCTGGAGCAAAACGCTAGATTAGCACTTTGTGGCACATCTACTCCTATATCGCAGCTCAATGAAGCACTTGGTACATAATGCCCCCTGATAGAATCATCACACTGACTTCAATGACCTAGATTCATCCCTTATGATGTTCGCCCAGACATCTTCGTAAAAGTTTTGCCAGCTTTGGAAGATATCCTATACGGAACCAACTTCTCCAACTTCTTCTCTAAATGGACGCACCCTGTCCTTGACGTTATCGCTTGGTTCCCATGTAAGACATCCCCATTTTTGGACGGAGGGTTAATTCCTTCCTGTGTCACATCCCTTGGTCGGGCCCTTCGTTAGGTCCTAGTAACTAAACAGATTCAATCGAATTAATACGTTTATAAGAGCAAACACTAATTTCAATCTCACTAGATGGCATCGGTCACTTTGGTCTTCCCGCTATTTGCTCGGCGATCATGTTTATCTTCGCCGCCCCTGGCACCGTCCCGATGTTTGCGAAGAGCTTTGGGTGGATGAGCACGACAGGAGTAGCGATACAGCTGTTCTTCCCTTGCACACCTCCATGGTACGAAAGGCTGCACGGTCTGGAGCCCGCAAAATATGGTATGCAGGGTTCCCCCGCCGGCCTAGCGCGGATCGACGCCCTATTTGGAGTCGATATGTATACTACTAGTTTTACTACGGCGCCCGTCCCCTTTGGAGCCTTCCCGAGTCTTCACGCCGCCGACGCGATTCTCGAGGCTTTGTTTATCAGCCATTGCTTCCCGAAGTTGAAGGGTTTATGCTTCTTCTACGTCTGCTGGATCTGCTGGGCTACGATGTACTTGAATCACCATTACGCTGTTGATTTATTAGGCGGCGGGATTATCGCCTACTCGATCTTCTTTACGGTTAGGAAGTTTTGGTTACCCCGGCCACAGGCCGGTAAGAAGTACCGGTGGGATTATGAATACGTGGAAGTTGGTCAGTCGAAGAAGAACAAGGCGTTGGATGAGGAGCTTGGATACTCGTCCATCGGCGCGGGCAAGCGGAGTGAGGATTGGGGCGACGAGTTTACCGTCCTGGACAGCTTCATGCACTCCGGGTCGTCGAGTGGTAGCTCGAGCCCGACGTCTACTGTCCGCAGCGACAGGAGTAATAGGCGGACCGATTGACGATTGGGGTCGGGGTAATGATATGGATACTATTTAATTGCATAGACGAGACGAGATGCCTCGGATATTATGATACCACGATACACTACTAATTACCAGAAATAAAAACAACAAATAATGATACCAGAGCTTCTGGCGAGATTATTTACTGGCTCTAACGATTTCTGTGAGATTCGCGCCGGGTTAGAAAACCTGGTTTCCGATGCGGCGTAGCTCGAATCAGCGCTAGGTCTGCGACGTGGGTCGCGATCGGTATATACATGTGTTTTAAATCACCCTTGTCCTTGCGATGTCTCACGTCCGAGCTTTCGTACAATTCGGGAAGATGACGCGCGTCTACTTGTGCTCGTGCCGCTCGATCAATGTTCCAACATTATCGATTTGGTGATGTGCAGATATATGTTTATTCGGCGGCACGAAGGATCTGACGGCAGTAATCTAGAACCTACCGCTAGCTGCCTACTGCGACCATTATAAATCACCGGACGTTTTAACCCGGATGAGATAACTAGGTATCTCAACCTGTTTCAATTGCGTACGCTATTAACATAGGTCGAGGCATTTATATCGCCGCGTCGGCTCCGGCACTGGTTTGTCCCACGGCGAACTTCCGCTTCTCGTCAGAATTCAAGACTTGGGGCCCTGATAAACCTTCCTCCGCTTGACCTTCGTTGTCGGAATGACGCGTGCTGTCTTTTTCGACCGGGACTAGGTCGCGAACGACGAGCCACGTAGGGAAGGCGGCGAGGACTGGACGGCGTTACATTAGTTGGTGAGGAAGGCTTAAAATTGAGATTGTAAGAGTAGAAGGATTGGTGATCATGAGCAAAAGCTTACATAGCAATATCGTATTTACAGCTAGAGGCACTCGTCCACCAACCCATTTCTTGGTGTTGAGGCCGAAACTGACAGCTTGCGCGAAGCTCTCCTGTCCTCTTAGGATACCAGAGAGGCGCGTCAGGTCCGAGATGTTGTCTGTCTTGCAAGCGACGAGGTAATCTACTAGTAGTCAGCATCTCTTGCCTAGTAATCCGTGCATCCATCTACTCAGGTAGGTAGGTACCGGTAAGTAAGTCAGTAGATGGTAAGCCACTCACAAAGCCAATTCTGCAAAGCCTGCCTCGCAAACTCCCACAATATCAGCACGAAGAAACCCTCCACGAACCCCCTGTCCTCCCAGTCGTACGCCGGCGGGTCGCGCGTGTACTTCTCCTGCACGACCCAACCGTACGTCCACGCGACGACGTGCCACACCACAACCCACCAGAACCCGATCTCGACGCGCCGCTTCACGGCAAGGCCCCTGTAGTCCAGCAGCGCGGAGACCAGCTGCGAGGAAAGCAGCGTGCCGAAATTGCTCGCGAACCCGACGAGCGCGCGCGCCCGCACCCCGAAGTAGTACGTCTGGAAGTTCCCGCTATACTGGTTGAAGTACGCGGCCCAGAAGACGGGCAACAGGAGCAGGACATCCCTCCTCCCGCAGCTGGCCCAAAGCGCCCTGCATTCGGCGGCGATGCTCGGCTCCCGCCGTATCACGACCTTAGACCCGTCGGACCGCCACACTTTCTCCGGCGCCGAGAGCAGGAGCGCCAGCGGCGCGGCGACGCACTGCAAAGCGATGAAGACGAGGTACGTCTGGTACCCGACCTTGCCCTTGGCCCTGGCGTGCGCGGCGTCGTGGTTAAGCGCGAGTACGATCGCGCCGCCGACCAAGGGCCCGCCCGTCCGGAACCACAGCCAGATATTCAAGTAGCGCCCGCGCTTGCCGTGCTCGGGGTATCCGAGCGCGACGGCGCCCTCGCTCGCCCAGAACAGGCCGGCGCTCACGCCGCAGCACACGGCGCCGACGAGAACGAGCCAGACGGTGCCGTACCGGTTGTTCGCGTACAGGCCGGCGGAGTAGACGGGGTAGCCGACGGCGCCGAGGAACAGGGTGCGCGGGAGCCCGATGCGGTTCGAGAGCGGCGCGCCCAGGAGGCAGAGGATGCCCATGATGCTGAAGACGAGGGCGTTCGCTGCGTTGACGAGGTACGGCTCTTGCGCGCCGCCGGCGCCGAGGTTCGACATCGCGTTCCAGAGCCCGGGCGCGAGGAACCCGACGGCGCCGATTACGATGGCGTTGAAGAGGGTGCTGTGGTGCCATGGCCCCTTTGGCGACGGGGATACTGCTTCAGTCGCCATTTTAGTGGACTGGGGTGATGCAGTGCTACCAATGTCTTGAGATTGGAGCTGTCCTATCCTGTCTTATCGAATACCGCTATTCGCGCTCGCTCGAAGCTGACCAAAACGAAAGTTCGCGAGATCTGACCTAGTTGTGCTAGCTCCATCTTCCATTCGGGAGACGTAACGTTGTTTTTGTATTACTTGATATCGTCGAAGTTGGCTCTCCCCAGGCTTTGCGCGATGATACCCTCCGATTGCGACATCTATATTCGACCCACTATCCCGGCCTGCAGCCAAGACGTCGAGCACCGGGATGCCCATATCTTCGGCTCGCCTAGCCAGATATGGACGGTACCGGGAATGAGCTACCGATTGTGGCCGTTGGCTGGCAAAACACAATTAATGGGAAGAGGCGTACTAAAGATGTGAGATAATAACGAAGATGTTCGCCGTTGAGGATTACCACTTTAGAAAGGGGAACAATTTACCACGATGTTGAGAACTTTTAAGAACCATCGATTTATATGTCTTAGGAGTCTTCCATCACTACCTAGAGGTGGTAACGACAATATCCTACCTATTCAAGAAGAGTTCGCCTAGGCCAAGCTTTAGCAACCTTGAGCTCATATTTCCTATGTCCTATGTCACCAGTAACGATAGGCTCATGGTAGCATGGTTCCCGGATGCTTGGAAGACTAGGTATATGAAGGTAGACGGACACCAACATAGATCTAAAGTAATAGCAGAGGCTTGCATTTTTTGTTAAAACCAGCATGTAATTCTGTTCGTATGGATTCGTGACGAAGTACATACCCGCTTGCTCCTAGCTGTTACCGCTACCTGTAAATCAGGTTCCAAACAAACAATAAGCCAACAATCCCCCAATGTCGCTGCGATACAATAGCCATTCCATGGCGATTTGGCCGTGTTCAGCCCTAAAATCTCATCAAAAGCACCATTTTTAATATATGAAATCCCGACCTTGTAGTGTCTTCCATCCCCTTATTTCTCGTTGTCTAGTTGTACGAGGTTGATGCTCCTCCTGAACTCGAACTTGACGATCTCGCACCAATTATCAGTGTCGAACGGCCAGGAATCCCCATATACAAAGGCCCAATAAAATAGGGACCATGATGGCGGTGGAAAAGACCCTGAAGTCCCAGAATGTCTCTGCCCTCGGGATGTAGACGATAAAGCTTCCAATGGATAATAAAGGAAGGAAGGTGAGAGTCATAAAGAGCAAACGTAGACCTGACTCAGAAATGCCGGGGTCTTCCTCGGTAAATATACGAAGGGGTTCGGGTATATCACAGGTTCTTTGCAGTCGGCGGCCAATTGCTACTATCGTAGCCCGTTGTTCAACGATTTGTCGGTCGACGATGAAGTTGTAGGCCAACCGAAAACACCTCATAAGCAGTGTTGATATCAGGATCTGCATGATATATGTTACGAATCCCATTGTGACGTTGAATCTCTTGACTCTCACGGTGTGTTTTGGAGTGATTCGTCTTGACGGGAATAAAAATAGAATAGCAAATGTGGTTGTGAGTTACGATGTGGTGTCGGGTGTCTGCGGACTTTGTGAATTGATGCTATGATGATATTCGAACTGAAGCAACTAAGGAACATAGACGAGTTGTATTTAATCAAATGACAAGTTGAGATGATGGAAAATATCTGGTAGAAGTTAGTAGAGGAGGTCCAGAAGGGATTTCCCTTTTCAAGAATGTGCTTTCCATATGATACCTATCCTCCCAATGCCCTTACTTTCGATTGATCTTGATAAAGCTTGTCGATCATGGCTGAATTGGTGTATTAATCAACTAACATTAAGGCATTTGCTATTTCCTGGTCGTACTTTCACACAAACCTAGCCATTGTGTGAATGTTGAGCAAGGGGAGGTCCCTTCCTAGATATACCCGAATACCACCACTGGTTTCCCTCTCTTTCCCCTTCGTCCCTATCCTTCTCCCTTTTCAATATAATTATTCCTCGTTCTTCTTTTCATCAACAACTTTCCTTGCCGCAGCAGCGTTATCCAATGCTCCCGGTAGGTCCGAGTGAATACATATACTGAACCCTTGCCGGTCAACCGGTATATCTACCCTTTTCCCGGACTTGCTATACACCTGTCCGCTTTTTACAAACATACTAATTCTTCCGGCAACTAATTGCGGGATGGCAGGTACCGACTCTGCGACTGACATAAGTTGTGCTTCGTCGTCATAATTAAGATCCGCGTAGAACTCGGGGATGAGCTTCAACCCAAGCCTCTGGCAGTCTTCGACCATATGCTTTGTCGGAAGTCCATAAATAGGCACGTTGAAGGCTTTCACCGCGCATAGCACGGCGTTGCGGATGTCGGCGTCTCGCTGCACGTAGAAGTAGAGCTCGCCGTGCGGTTTCACGTGGTTCAGGGGCACTCCCTCCGCCGCGAGTATACCGGCTAGAGCTCCGACCTGGTATAGCACTGAGGCGTACATGTCGTCGGGGGCAATGTTCATCCGCCGCCGGCCGAAGCCGAGGAGATCCGGCATCCCCGGGTGAGCGCCGACGCGGACTCCGTGCTGCTTGGCGAGACGGACGGTGCGGACCATGGTTGATGGGTCGCCGGCGTGGAAGCCGCAGGCGACATTAGCTACGTCCACGTAGCGCATCAGTTCTTCGTCTGGACCCTGCGATTATTATTATGTGTGGTGAACAGGGGGCAGGTGAATAGCTGCAGGCTTACCATCTTCCATCTTCCGAACCCTTCCCCCATGTCGCAGTTGATCTCTATCCAGCGTGGCTCGGCCATGGCGTGCAGCTTACTGTGTGTTCTGCATATAGATCAAAATTCTTGTCTAGTTAGATATCCTTATTGATTTTAGTCATGCCGATGTATGATACCATAGGAGAGTATGTAGGTCCCCCGGCATAGACGTGCGTGCCCCGCAGATATGACTTGCAGAGGTCTTGTCTCAGTGGACCAATTTTTGATGCATGCAGTTAGCCGTATCGATTCCGTACAGCCGATCGGTATTGGAGTCCACCAATCACTCCTCGAGATAGTTATCATGAGAAGGCTTGGTGGATGTAGTTCGTTGATCGTTAGTATTCCTTATCGACGTCATAGGTCCCAATTGTGCCAAATCCTCAATTGCAACTCTCGAAATACTAGGCAGTGTACCTGCAAGGAGAGAATAAAAAAAGAATTAACTTTTAAGGCCCAGCCTAGGATCTGTTGATCGGCTCCTAGCTACTGCGCCCCCGCTATTAGGTATTTCTTTGCAACCCTTTTTCAAGGTCCTAGAGGATGTGCAATCTCTAGGAATCGAACCCTAGACCACCCATTGCAGGGGGCCGTTAAAGCAGGAACGATGATGTTTCTGTGGCACAGACCATTCGACCATTCTGTATGTGCAGGTCGTGGAATTGATGCCGCCGATGGGAATCAGTGGCCATGCTGTGCTATTTAAACTTTGTTTCGACGCGGGTGGCAGACAAGACGCGTTACGCGTCTCCGCGGTTATGGTTAGTTGGCCCAGGCGTTCATATACGTGACTCTTAGTCATGAGAGTCAAGAGAACCCTCTGGCAGCGCTTGAATGGGGTTCGGTAGACGGTGGCTCTTATTTTCTTTCTAAGGGCTTAGAGGATCAATTTCTAGCTGACTTTGAGACTTATCTATCATTATATGGTAGTCTATGTTTCGCCCTACGCAAGGGGTCATACTACTACTTATTAGGCTTATCAAGAAGGACAAGATGCGTCCCAGGCGACACTAACGTCCCTTCCTGCACCAAAAGCTCCTTAACCACCAAGCCGTGATGAGATTCATCCGCAGGAACCTCGATCTCCATTTTCATAGCCTCTAGTATGACTATGGCCTTACCACTTTCAATGATATCGCCGGATTTGACATTGAGCTTCCATACCTTGCCTATCTGAGGAGATGCAACCTTGATCCCAGGCGTCGAATCGTCTATCTCTCGAGCTCGAGGCGCGCTTCCGCGGTTCTTCTCCTGCGCCAACTTCCACTCCGAAAGCAGCTGTTCTTCGCGAATACGCATCTTCTCCCCAGCAGCAGTTTGCTTGGCGCGGAATTCTATCGTCGTAGGCAGACGGCTAGCTTCGTGTTCTTTTGCCAGCTCCGCATGAACATCGAAAGTGGTTTCCTCAACCTTTATCTCGTACGTGCCAGCCTCGAATTGTCTCAATATCTCCGTGTACTGTTCGAGGCTTACCTCTTCGAACTCGATCAAGTCGAAGGGTTCGCATAGCCAGGGCTTGGATTCTCGGAACCCTGGTCGCAGTGCGTACGTATCCCACACCGGGATTGACCTGGCGAGCATCATGTAGCCGCCTGGCTGGTCTGCTGGATATACGCAAAACAGCCCGCCACCTAGAGCTACAGTACCGGGCGGTGTTGTGATCCGAGTGGGGTTGTACTTCTGAGCAGTCAGGCGTGCGAGAGGATCCAGGGGCCACATGATTGGCAAGCCTGTCATGAAACCGACCGTCACGACAAGGAACCGCGTCTTGCGAAGAATGTCGAAGACGTCGTCGCGAGATGCGAGGCCATTGTTCTCTTGCACGTAAGTCACGTTATCGTCGGTATAAACGGCCTTGTCACGTTGCATGGTGGAGTAGCGCTTCTCTGCTTCGCGAATGGAGGGGTGGTCGAATACGATGGGTAAGATGAAGCGACGGGCCGATACTGGCTTTTCGAGATTGCTGCTTTGCTGGTGCGCTATTTTGATCAGGGCGACTACGTCAGATTGGGCGATTATCTCCGGCTCATATTCAACGTTTATTGCTATCAAGAAACCTCAGTTAGCCTGGTTGGGAGTTAGGTACGGATGTATGCTCACAGTTGATATTCACGTGCACGTATGTCCCTGGCGTGTTGCTGCTTTGAATGGCTCGCGCGAGATTATTTGCAGCGACTGAGGTATCGAGACCGACTTTTTGAGAAGTTAAATCTACATTGATGAGGATAAAACGATCGCCGCCCTGGAAGTGGTAATGCGATTAGTAAGTGCGTATCTAAGTCAGCGAATAATGGCTTACTTGACGTAAGGTGAGCTTCGGTCCTGTAGCAGAGATACTAGGAATAACTTCCAATATCGCGTCAGTATCTGAAGCTACTTCCTCAACTTCTAGAAGTGAAAGTGGACTATCGTGTTCCAAAGTGCCGTTGGATATATGCTCTTGAACAATACCGAGAAACTTCGCCTTTCTCTCTGCTAGCTCTCGGGCAGGTTTGTAGGATATGGGTGTTAACGTCGTCTTGTCTCCGGGCTTGAGCTTGCCTAACTTCCACATATTCGCGGAGACGACTGTAGAGGAGCATACGAAGCCACCTAGTCCGGGCGCATCCTGCGGAAAAATCACAGGGCTGTCACCGGTCCAGTTCACGCCACCAGGAGAAGGATAGGGGTAATCCACGACATTACTAGGATGACTACCGCCCTCTTCTCCGTGTGTTCGTGCCCATTCTATCTTTGGGCCATCCAGACGGATACCAGTTCGATTGCAGTTATAGTCAACAGTCCACTCGCTGGAATAGATAGTCTGCCGACCAGCTGCCGTGATAAAATCGTCGGAGTCATGTGGACCATGCATCACATAGATGTTTTTCGCATCACTAGGCGGAATCAGGGTTGACGGAAGCTGGTAAGTACTGGGGATGTCAGATTGTTCAAGGTGCTTTAATTCGAAAAAGTCGCCCCTTCGAAGTTGTCGACCCTGCGTATAGCTTCAGTAAGTATTTTCGGGTTTCTTCCGGAATAACGCGGAATAACTCTTACTTGAAGACCTCCTAAAGCAAGACTTGGTGTAGTAGACTTGGATCCAAGCCATTCTGGCCTAATTGGAAGTCAGCATTTGAGTCACTGTCCACCTCTTTGAAAGACTCACAATCCTGGAAATCCCCCATTTATGGCGACGTAGCATCGGCCACCCGGAGTAGTGGATACCCCTATCTTGAGGGTCTCTTTTGGCTTGACGATAATTCTGGACCACATATCCCTTGGTTTTCCGCCAACCTCTATCTTAAATGGCGAGCCCGCGACAGATATTACGCTTGCGCTATGGAAGAGGAGTTCGGGTCCCTGAGCGATAACCTCGAGACACTCAACATTCTCCGAATTCCCCACTAGCAGATTTGCGACTACCATGATGTAAGTAAAGATCCACGGTATTTAAGAATTGGACATACTTCGAGCTGAAAAGTCGTCACCAGGCCCGCTTATCGGTATTCCGTAACCTTTTCTCGTTCGGGGTTGGGCTTGCTGAACAGTGGTGGAAGCCCCTGGCTTTATGACCTGCATACCCGTAGGATGAAAAGTAAATTGAGTCTCTAGGAATGTCGTGAGAGTTTTTCCACCATGGAATTCTGTTCAATAAGTGAGCAACAAAGGAAGCTGACTATAAAGGCGCGGATTTATCACTCACCACTCGAGTGAACGATGGATTTGAGAAAGGCCAAGTTCGTGACCAGACCACCAACCTCTGATGCGTTCAATGCTTTCTGCATAGCGATAATAGATTCGTCTCTCGTAGGCGAGTGAACTATAACCTTTGCTAATAACGAGTCTGCCAAGTTAAGTGTTAGATATGTTCTATTGGGAATATATGGACTTTACTAACCGAAATAGGGGCTCACGAAAGACCCCAACTGTATCCAGGTATCGATGCGGGCAAACTTATCAGGCCAAGCGATTGACTGAACATGACCCGAGCTAGGCATAAATGAATCGGCTGGATTCTCACAACATACACGCAATTCGATCGCCGCTCCCTTCGGAGCTTTCGTCTGGATTGCCAAAAGTTCATCGGAGGGAATGCCGGATTTTCCAGCGAGTTGGTACTCCGCCTGCTGTAGCATCAATGCTACAAGATCGACATCATAACAAAGTTCCGTGACACCATGCTCAACTTGTAGACGAGTATTCATCTCTAGGAAGAAGAAATCACCTGTTTCATCGTCGACGAGAAATTCTACAGTCCCGGCTGATTGATATTTTATCGACTGTGCTAGTTTCAAAGCCGAGGCGACGAGACTGTTGCGTATCTCAGGCTTATCCACTAAATAGGGGCTTGGGCATTCTTCAATGACCTATGACGAGATCAATACGAGTACCTATATATGAATTACCTTTTGATAAGACATATTTAGGGTGGCCTACCTTCTGTCGGCGCCTCTGAATGCTGCACTCTCTCTCGCCGAAATGTATCACATCAGCTCCATTACCAAAAACCTGAACCTCAATATGGTGGCTCTTGGGGTAGTATCTCTCCATAAAGACACCAGAGTCGCCGAATAGTGCTTTTGAGCGGCTTTCTACATTAGCAAATGCCGCCGGAATCTCGTCCTCGGACCAGCAGGCCTGTTGACCCATACCCCCACCACCGCCAGAGGCTTTGAGCATTATCTATATAAATCGCGAGTTAACATAGAACAATTCAAATAAAGGATAGAGATATATCTGTACTGACCGGAAATCCCACATCTCGTGATACGGCTCGCGCCTCCTCTGCACTTCCGAGTAACTTCGATCCTTGAATGACGGGAACGCCTGCAGCAACAGCTAGATCCCTTGCCACATGCTTGAGGCCCATACTACGAATTGCCTCGCTATCAGGGCCAACAAAGACCATCCCGGCATCGTGGACACGTCTTGCGAAGTCAGCATTCTCGCTTAGGAAGCCATATCCCGGGAATATGGCTTCGACGGAATGCTTCTTGCATATATCTAGAATGACGTCACTTCACCAACGATGCATCAGCGATCTATCATATGAATTCGGCTGTAAAAAACCTAATTAGGTTGGATTTACATGTTCGTATACGCTTCGGGTCCTTCATTCTCGAGCAAGATGCTTCTATCGGCGAGGCGAACGTGAAGGGATCCCGAGTCAGCGGGTGTAAATATGGTGATACTTGTGATTGACAGCTGTTTGCATGCGCGAATGCATCGTACCGCAATTTCACCGCGGTTCGCGATGAGCACACGACGAAGAGGAGACATCATTAACCATAACTCATGACTTTAAATTCAAGATTAATGTGTAAATCGAGTTACGTTTGCATAGCTACCTATATATCGATGAAATTATTTAGGCCTGTCATCACTAAGCCAACGAATAGGAACGGGTGAGGGGAACTGATAAGGCCTCTTCGGACGTGAGGGAAGTAATTGGAGCTTAGTGCGATCCCGATAGGCTCTCCGTATGATAATCCTCAATTCTTTGCCTGGAAAAGTTAAGCTTGGAACACAGCCGAATTCTTAGCATAGAAACAGGATCCGATGTCTCGGCAACATATGTGATCTTCATGGTCTAGACTGTAAGGATAGATCGATGATTAGGCATGTGTACCTGACTATGAGCTCTATTAGTAGTCGTTTCTGAGGTATTCTGTATCTATGAGTCTCTATAATTTCGTGCGAATGTCTCCCTACAGTACCGATCTGGCCGACCGGGACCTGGGAAACCGTCATAAATCTGCCTCCTCAGGAGCCCAATCTAATCCTTTCTGTTCACCCACCAAAGTTAACATCTTCCCCTGATCAATCGCCGCTTGCAAGTTCTTCAGCACAAGTAACTCCATATCCCGCTGTGTCTCAATGGTGCTCGTTCCGAGATGGGGTAGCAAGAAAGCTCGGTCACTCTTCACAAGGCCTGGGTGGACCTCCGGCTCATTCTCAAACACGTCCAAGCCCACCGCAGAGACCTGACCGGACTCAAGAGCAGCCACGAGATCCGCTTCATTGATAAGAGCGCCACGCGCCGTATTCACCACCACGACACCCTTTTTCATCTTCGCCAGCTCCGGCGCAGCAATGATGTGTCGCGTGTTCGCATTCAACGCCAAATTCAGCGACAACACATCCGACCGGGCGAGCAACTCCTCAAACGAGACGTACTCCGCGCCCTTCTCCAGCTCCGGATCCAATCGCCGGCGATTGTGGTAGATGATCTTCATGCCAAAACTCCGCGCCCGATGCGCCATCGCCCGGCCTATACCGCCCATCCCCAGGATCCCCAGAACCTTCCCTCGGGGATCATGTCCTAGCCGCAACTTTCCCTTCCACCTTCCCTCGCGCAGCGCAACGAGCGGCTCATGCGCCTGGCGCAGCGCGCCCAGCAAAAGCAAGATACCGACGTCAGCGGTAGCGTCGTCGACCGCCACCGGCGTCGACGAGACGGCGATGCGGCGCGCGCTGCACGCCGCGACGTCGATGTTGTCGTAACCCGCCCCGTTGTGCGCGACGTACTTCCAGGACTCCGGCAGCGCGTCCACGAGCTCCTTGTCGAAGGGCCCCGTGAGCGCCGTCGAGACGTTCGATCGGTAGCACCCGCGCACGCCCGCGTACGTGCCGTCCCGGCAGTTCGCGAGGAACTGCGCGCGCGCCCCCGAGCGGAAGCTGAGGAGCGTGTATTTGCTGCTGAGGGCCTCCCATTCCGCGGTCGTGTGGGCGAGGGTCCCGATTAGGAGGACGCTAGGGGGCGGTGGTGACATGGTGGCTGAATTGTGTGCGCCCGGGGATGGTGTTGGGTATTGAAAGGTTTCCTATTCTATATGCGTTTAACTAACTGTAGAGAATGATTATACTGTCTCTTCTTATGGTGCGTGTGTGCTGTACTGACTGTTTTGGGGTAGATGTTCGAAGGTGGGTAGCTTAGCCGAGGTGCCGATTTTCGGAGTAGTTTCCGGCCGAGGCCAGGTCGATCAGGAGTTCATCCGTGATATGTAGGTAACCTTTATTAAGTGACGCTGAAAATAGCGTAGTCACGGGTTGGAATTGTATTGACCTGTATTGAATGAACTCGAATATGGGCAACTACCTAAATACCTGCCGATACCTAGTAAGTAGCCTTAGATATTTAACATGAGTACGAATAAGAGAAGTTACTTTTCGATATTTCCTGTGTGTCTTCCTCTTACATAGGAAGGTATGCCATTCTTCCGCAGTGCCTGCATACATCTCTGCAGTTTGGCTGTGGAACATTACCCTAAACGTTTGTATCATGAATACTGTTCCTAATCCTAGCTTTGACCCGAATACACCGTCAAGGTTCTAGATTTTATGTCCTAAGAGGACTAATATTGCGTTGATTCATAAGGATCCTTAAATAGGGGTAATACTCTTGCCATGCTAATAGCCTATATAATCCATTGCGTCGGAAGCACAGCATGAATTTTAGTCCCGATGAGTCATGAATGATTCACGCGTAGGGTCGATTTGAATAAGAACATTAGAAAGTTGGATCAATTAACTGGATGTATCTCCACTGTTTTCGGCTCGCTACCTAAGCAACTATGCAAGCTACATCGTATCCAGTTTATTCGTCCATTCCACATTCACTCGATCTTAATGACGAGCTTTCCGAAATGCTTCTGGTCCCACTGTTGAACACAAGTTAGCAACCTGCGTTGGATTTTAGGTAAAAAATTGAGTTGAGTCCCACGTACCATGTAGCTGTAAGCCTCCTTCGCCTTCTCGAAGTCGAAGACCTCCTTGTCGACGACGGGATGAATATCATTAGCCTCAATCGCGGCGATCATATCCTCCATCAGCTCCCTCGAGCCAACGTACACACCTCGCGCGGTGCAGATGTGCGTCAGGGTGTCGAGCACGGAAGCCTTCGGTTGCGCGCCGCCGAGGAAGCCAATGACGCTGATGATTCCCTCAAACTTGACAGCCTTCAGACTCTGTTCCACGGTACCCTGGCCGCCAACTTCAACCACGTGGTGTACACCTTGCCCTCCCGGAGTGAGCTTCTTCGCTGTCTCGCCCCAGTTGGGGTCTTCTCTGTAGTTGATGACGTGATCCGCGCCGAGTTTCTTCAGCGTCTCACCCTTTGCTGCCGATGATGTGGTAGCAATCACCTTAGCACCCGCGGCTTTTGCAAACTTTGGAAAGTCAGTCAGTCGTACAAAATTGGCGATCTATGAATACTCACCTGCAATGCGAAGATGCTCACACCTCCCGTGCCTTCTACGAGGACCCACTCTCCGGGCTTCAATTGCTTCAACCCGTAGAGCGCATTCCAACTTGTTAGGGCGGCGCAAGACAGAGTGCTAGCTTCGACGTGGCTAAGATTCTTAGGTGCCCGGACTAATCCATTCTCATTGAAAACGCCGTGTTGGCGTAGAGCGCCGTCTAGGACGCCGCCAAGCCCGGTGACAGAAGAAGCGAAGTCAACAGGGCCGTATTGATGGCCTTGGTTGAACAGTGTGACTACCTTGTCGCCCTTCTTCCACTTAGAGACCTTGGGACCAACCTCAACCACCTCACCAGCGCCGTCGGACGCTGCGACGACGGGAAACTTCGTGGCGAAGGGATACATGCCCTTCGGAATAATGAGATCTCGGTAGTTTAGGGAGGCGGCATGAAGTTTGACGAGGACGTCATTTTCTCCGATTTTGGGGATGGGTGCTTCGGTCAGTTCAAGACCGTCGAACCCTTTATCTTTTCCAGTGATGGTCCATTGCTTCGTAGTTGACGGCGCCATTTTCAAAGATGTCAAAGATGTGATTAGAATGGGTAGGTAATTTGCCGTATTCTCAATGATTTTACGAAGTCTGGCGATATTCTGAACTTTGATTTGAATCCAGACAATCCGGCTGGGCTGAGTGGTATATATAGATGCCGTTGACCCCTGATGGTTGATGTTGAAGTGACGAGCGTTGATTATTAAGACGGGGTTACTAATATCCTTGCATGATGAAACGGGGTTAACGTCATGGATGTGTCTAGTATGACAACAATGCTCCGGAATTAGAGCGACACTGCTTCTAGAGACACCTAATGCGGGGCTAATTAGTAACATTAGATCGTGACTGTCGTGCCATCGTGGGAAAGGAGGGTATACTTTATCCCTTATAATTACCTAAAAACTTCCAATGTTCGATTTCTAAGCTTCCAATAGGTCGTTAAGATTCTGTGGTATGTGCTCTCAAGGTGCCAGGGTTCTTAAAATATTTTCCCTGGCAAGGTGGGGAGGATGAACATAGAAATCTATGGATCCTGTTCTGGCGCGGAAAACTTCATATTTCATCGAATATGCTAGCGGAGGGGTCTTGGCTCGGCTGAACTTGCGGCTAAATGGAGCTAGACACGTTCTCTTGGACGGAAACAGTAAAGACCAGATATGAACTACCGATGATCTTGCTACGCCATCAATATATCAGAAATGAAGATGCAGTATGAAGCGAGAGATATGGTCTCGACCGTCGATGATCGCTCGTGTTATTGGCTTGCTTAAGCTGCGAGATAGTAGACCATCTTGGATCGAGGGGAAGATAACTATGGATCTAGTTGAAAAGAGCGAAATAAAGACATGACTTTCCGACGAGGAGCTCCTACTAATCGTAGGTAGGAGAACCCGATGTGTGCATTGCAGTCACGATGTTGCGATCGATCGTATTGGTGTCATTAGCTTTAGTGTGGAAGCCGGATTACACAGCGGCTCAATCGTCAGAGTATGAATACGTTGTGGTCGGTTCTGGACCGGGTGGTGGGCCGCTGGCAGTGGAACTAGCGAAGTCCGGGCACTCGGTACTTCTTCTGGAAGCTGGATCCGATCTATCGGATGATCCTATATACCAAGACACCAGCAGAGCTTCTGAAGCGGCCAATGATGCCAGAACAAGATGGGACTTTTTCGTAAAGCATTCCGACGATCCAGAGAGAGAATTGAAGTACGAGCACATGACTTGGCGCACCACGAATGGGTCGTTCTACGTTGGACTTGAGCCCCCTGAGGGCGCGGAACAGCTTGGAATCTATTATCCACGCGCTGCAACTCTCGGTGGATGCGCGATGCATAATGCGGCCGTCCTGCACTTACCTAGCGACAAAAATTGGGATTATATTGCGGATATTACGGGCGATGATTCATGGAGGGCGTCTGAGATGCGAAAGATCTTCGAAGAGATCGAGAACTGTCATTACCTAGAGAATGGAACTGCCGGCCATGGCTTCTCGGGTTGGTTGGATAGCAACCAGGGCAATGATTTCTGGCTGAGTAATGCTACTGATGGAACAGCACTTCTGAAAGCCGTGGCGGAAGCATCCGGTTCGGTAGGAAACAATACTGGCTCGGCAATATCTGACGCTGAGTTGAGGAACCTTTTGAATAGGGACATCAATGCACTTGATCCAAACCGCGACCAACTTACTGGGATCTTCGGCATGGCAACCCATACCGACGCCGCTGGACGCCGTTTCAGCCCCGCGAACTACATCAAGAAGGCGCTGAAAGAAAACCCGGAGCTTCCACTAACCGTCCAGCTCAACTCGTTTCTCACAGGCATCACGTGGGACCAGCTACGAGACTTCGAGCCTCCCGCCGTCATGTCCATAGACTACGTCGTAGGGCCCAGCGCGTACAAAGCTGACCCTCGGTACGATCCCAGTCGGAACACCACCACTGGCTTCTCCTGGGTTGGTAAAGAGCTCATCATCGCTGGTGGTACTTTCAACACCCCTCAGATTTTGAAGCTCAGCGGTGTTGGCCCAGCAGCCGAACTTGAGAAACATAACATCACTGTAGTAGCAGATCTCCCGGGGGTTGGCGCAAATCTCGGAGATAACTACGAGGGCGGTGTCCTGTCTCTCGCTTCGAAGCCCTTCCAAGGTCTTAGCGGCCCCTATGTCGTCCAGTTGAAGACATCGGTATCGGACGGAAATCGAGATATATACGCATGGTGAGCAGATCTTCTCTTTCGTTGAGCCAAGCCTTGCCGCCAATTACTAAATAATCTATAGGCAGTTAAACTCCGGCTTTGAAGGTTTCTGGCCTGGGTGGCCTGATAACTTTGGACCGAACGTCTTAACAATCCCATTCGTTCATATGGACCCGCGTTCAAGTGGCAAGGGGACGGTCGAATTACGCTCCGCCGATCCCTTTGAGCCACCTGAGATCAATTTCCGTTTCTTCGAGGGAGATGGCGAAAAGGATCTGCAGGCTATGCTTGAAGCCGTCAAGTTCGGTCATAGGTTGAAGAGCCTTCTCCCGGAAAGCTCGGGTCTAACGCCTTTCGATGAGAAGCATCCGTGTAGGGGAGATGACTCTGCTGACTGTACCGATGAGTCAATCAAGGAATATCTGAAGTTACAGGCTTATTCGCATCATGCAAGCGGTACGTGTGCGATTGGGAATGTGTCCGATCCAATGTCCGTTCTAGACTCGAAATTCAGGGTGAAGGGGGTGAAGGGTCTGCGCGTCGTTGACGCGTCGGTCTTCCCTAAGCCGCCTGGAGCGTTCCCAGTGCTTCCAACATTCATGATATCGATGAAGGCGGCAAAGGATATCTTGGGAGGTGCTTGAAGGACGAATTTGTAGACGAATAGTGATAATTAAACTCTGTTTCGGTGACTTGATTGAATGAACGACGTTCGCCATTCGCGTTGTGTCCGCCCTTCAGCCCTAAGAACATATCGCGAAAATGACGCGAGCGTTTCTTACGTGAGATTTGACTCAGAAATGAAAAGGTGTTGATGACATAAGATCAGACCGCGGGGCAGGATGCGGGGTTAGTAATTTCTGCTTATGTAATCACTTGCTATCATAGGTAAAGGGGTAAAATTACTAATCAATCTTTTCCTTTTCACATTTTCGCGCGCATTTCTAAGAGCTCTGCTATCCTATCAAATACCTTTTATTAAAATCATGTGTATATAGTGATTAAGTCACCTATGCACTAGAACTATGCTCGGTAAGCTGGATCGGGCTCTTGTTGAAATCGCTACCCCTTGCACAGGCGTCCATCACCAGCCACCGTCAGTGCATCCGAGCCAACGGCCGTCGTAGCCCAGAATACGTTATCAGGGTCGTATTTATGTTTGATGTCGAGTAGCCTTTGGTAATTGCTGCCATAGAACTGTGTCTTCCAGTCAATTTTAGGCGAAAAATTTACTTCGTTCAAGTAGGCCCCTGTATCAACCGGCACGAGGGAGTCGATACGCCGTTCCGCAAAGTCAATGAGTTGACTTTCCACCGCCTGTTTCTCTGACCACGAAATATTCGAGCGGTATTCACTTTCCATGAAAATTGTCTGAAGAGCCGTACGCCAACCGGGCATTACCGAGTTTGATGCCACCGGCTTGCGCTTCGAATTAATCGAAACGTCTTGAGCGGTGGATGCGAGGTTAATTTGAGTCTTGTCAACAATATCGCGGTAGACACCAACGACTTTCTCAGGTGAAGCCTCACTAACTGATAATGGGAGAAAACGGCCGCTTGTCAACCCGCCGACGGGCATTGTGCCCCATGGCAAAGGACCGAAGTACTTTTCGAAATGCTCGACATAGGTTTGACTAACAGAAATAGTAAGGTTATATTTCAACCCAAGACTGTCAAGGCCTTTTGTGAAGTTTGACACAAGCTGACGAATCTGCTTCTCATTACCGTAGTCTGGAAGAGTAAGAGATTTAAGATCGAACCATATCCCCGAGATGCCAAAGGCAGTCTGACCACCAGCCTTATTGAAATCAGGGAGAGCTTTTTGGAAATATGTGATTGCCTTCCAGAAAGTATCGTTTCTGACACCGCTACGGTCAATTGATAAAGAAGCACCGCCAATTGGGCCGTCAGGAAAGGCTTGGACAGTAGCGGAAATGACGACACCAAATGTCGAAGGACCGGCTCCAGCAAGCGCAAAATACAGGTCTTCATTCTGCTGGGGAGTGGCAGTAATGAGGGTGCCATCTGCAAGGACAACCTCCCATTCAAGGACTGTATCTGCAGCCATACCATGCGCACCAGAGAGTGGAGAGTGCCCGCCGCCTTGAATAAACCCACCCGAGAAGCCGGCCGTGGGACAAGCACCGCCCAAGACTCGCAGACCAGCATCACGGGCAGCTTCGATTGCTTCTGCACCCTGGACCCCCGAGCCGAATTTCACTGCGGGGCCCTTATACCATGGCTCGCTGTAGTCCTTTTTCACTTCGATGCTGCTCAGATGGTGCGTCCATAGTGCGAGGGAACCTTTACCAGTTGATTTCCCCAAGTAATCATGACCCGTATTCTTTATAGTTAGGCGAATGTTGTTCTCGTGCGCGAATTTGACACCAGCGACAGCGTCCGCTGAACCAGTCACATTAATGGCGTATTCGGCAAGATTCCCGAGTTCACATGGAAGCTTCCTATCTGCCCAAGGATCGCAGCTGGAATTCTGAAACCAATAGCTCATTGGGGTTGTAGGATTGTCCACGTAGATCTTTGGGGAGTCCCAATTCTCGCGGAGATAATTGCACTGCTTCTCGTTGTAGTAAGGATCGTGGCATACGGCGGCGAGCGGGAGAGACGCGATGAGCCTCCCACCAATAGTTGAATTCAATTGTTCCCATTTCGTTTTCGAGGGCCAAGCCGTGTCGCCAGGCAAGGCTCGACATTTCAATTCCGTGTCGGAGGTCTTCACGCGTGACCTAATGCTTGAAGCGACAACCGTCACGATAAATATTCCAAGGGCCAATAATTGAACCATTGCTTATTGCGAGAAACGTAGACAATAGGGGAGGCTTGAGGAGGATTAGAGTATGAGAAATTCAACGACGAATTTGTCTATTCATGACTTGCTGTGAGCGGATAGAATTATTGCAGTCATCTGGCAAGCGCATGATCTTATACTAAGCCAAATTCTCTTAAGTCATTGTATGTTTTCGAAAGCAGAGGTCATATTTCTCTGCCCAATACTCCTGCTGGTTTATGGCGCCTCACCGTACTTTCGGCACCGCGTTTTAATGAGAAGTTAAGACAGTAATTACCTGAGATAGTGCTCCGCGCTGTGTAGGGCCTCCTATATACCTACAAAATATTCAAATCAAGCACAAAAAGTACCAGAAGAGTGAAGATGCCTCTACAATAGAGATTCTATCCAGGCCTAATGTGTTGATCAAAGTCTAATCAAATACTGAGTGCTTTTCCTCTTTCTTCTACGTATCGAAGCGCAGTAGCGAAACTCGCATATGAGCGTCCTAAGGATCAAAACTGGCTTGTAATAACGACTCTTCATAACCAGAAATCGAATAATTCATATGTATCTAAGTATTATAGGCGGTTCTTTTTCCTCATTGGATGCGTCACAAGCCATGGCGAGTAACGGACGTAGGAGAGAAATTCAATATTTGCGCAAGGGCTGCGTGTCAGATTTATTTTTCCTTAATACAGATCTGGAATTCACCGACACAATTCAAAATATGGTCAAGTTATTCTAAACCAATCGCCTACCTGGAATTTCTGATATTAATGGACTTACCGAATCTATTTGTAGAATAAATTGATGAATTTTTCGAGTATATTAGGTTTCTCAAAGTATATGCGTAGATACCTGTTCGTGAAATTTGGTTCAATATATCTTTCTAACTACCCTAAGTGGGTGTTAATCTTACCCTGTCAAGGCAAAAACTATCGTAGGCTGTTTTGAAAGAACGGTGGTAAAAACAACGAGAATGGGATACAACCTGGCAGGGTACAGCGAACACTACCTTGGTAGATAGCCTGGCCTATGCTGACTTTTGCCAGCTCGGGTGCCTAGCGACCCGCCACCAGCACCTCAGGTATTAGGTAGCTACTGAAAAGAAGAAAAAAAGAAAAGACGGCCTTAAGACTACCAACAAACGGCGAGCAAAATGTCTTTGTACAGCCTTCCTGTTGAGATTCGAAACAATATCTTCTCGCGCCTCGATAACCAGGATGAACGCCAGTATGCAGACAATGGGTATCCCACTCTTTGCGCGCTTGCTCTTACTTACCGCCATCTTTCGGAAATAGCCAATGATCTTCTTTACTCGCATATCAAGCTGGAGATAAATGGAGAAACTGCTAAAGACCTAGGGAGGATGGCGACCCTGAATAGATGCTGCCAGGAGTTTCCATATCTTGTGAATCGCATCGGTTCCGCGGAGCTCCGTTGGTGCTATAAGGAGGACGTTGAGACATACAACGAATTTCTTGGCCACCTGGCAAAATCAACCTCTCTTACGAAGCTGACGTGTGAGCTATGCCATGACCTATCATGGACGGCCATATCTGCTTTATACAACTATTCGGATGGTAGTTTTACTCATTTAAAAGACTTGCAGATTGAGCTCAATATAGCGGGAAGCAAAGAGGTATACGTGTCCACCGAACAGTTTCTCAAGCTCTGCGAGTTGCCAAAGCTGGAGGTTTTTACGGTCTGCGCGCCCATAACTGGTTTTGGGAATGGAACTAGGTCAGAAACCATACTTGCCAAGTTGGGGCACCTTCATTTCTGGGCATCGCACCCTGTCCCCATTTCAGCTTTGGAGTCGATATTACCCAGAGTTCCCAATTTGACATGCCTACAGCTCAGTGCACCTGGAGAAGGCACCCAAGTCAATCGCATGTTTGCCAATGGTTGTTTTATGCCTGGATTCAACAGAGATGAGCCTTTGCGCCCTTCCTTTTACGGAGATTTGTTGGCTCCTGTCGCCGCTAGCCTCAAACATCTAGTGATGGATGCTGACAACGTCGAGATCCCTTCCCACGATGGATCTCACATCGACCTGTCGCGCTTTACCAACATTTCTCGGCTGGAATTGAGCTCCTCTTTGCTCTTCGGCTCTGGTAAGCTGGTTAGTAGCTACGCGTGGGCGCAAAGAGTCTGGGAAATTCTGCCACCGCACCTGGAAAAATTTCGTCTGCTTTTTGACGGCGACCAGGGCCTATTCTGGTCCGTGGGCGACATGCGACAACACGCACGATCCAAGACGTTCGACCAGCTGTGGTCAAGAACGGTCAATAATGGCTACGTCGACTGGCTGTTCGGACTGCTGGACAGAAGTCGCAATAAGGCGTCCTATCTCGTGTCCATTACGATAAACGAGCAACCCATTATAGATAAAGACCAGAATTGGAAGATTGTGCAATGGCATATGACAGACGATCTCGTCGCCGCTGCCACTGCAGCTGGCGTGAAACTCGCCATCAAGCTTCGTGTGCCTCGGATATTCGAGTCTTCGGCGCTCGCGCTGGCCGAAGATTCGCTGGCTTACGGTGCTGAGGGAACAGTGAGCTACGAAGAGGATGATGCTGAGGTGTCAGCTAACGAAGCCGAGTGGTAGCGTAGACTAGTGGCATCTTTTCTCTATGGGGGCTCATTTTACAAGAATCTTTTTCTAACACTTAAAATTTATGAGAAAATCTACATCTGGACCCCTGAGATAACCCAGCCCCTTTATAGGTAATCACCATTTTCGGTGCTATAGACTCTTGAGCTTCCGGGGGGCGAACAGATGCGCAATGCCACCAAATATCGTGATGAACTAAATTTTAACTTTAGCAGACATTCGATATATTCTTTTATGACTAGAAACTAACCACTTCATCGAAGAATTGGAAGTATAACGGTAAAGCGAGATATGTCTCCCAATCGTAAAACACCCTCAAGAGGTGCCAAAAGCCCCCAAATTTCCCTGTCGAAAAGATGTCGTTGAAGAACCTGCAGTGATGTTCAACAGGGCGAGCGCTCATATACGACCTTTCTCCTTCTCTCCAAAGATATGGACCCCGCGACCCGTAATTGAAAACACTACTTACATGGCTTTGTACATGCCCGCAGGCTCAGGTCTCTCACGGAAAACGAGCTCCTCACCTTCGAAACTCTTGAGACTATGGACAGCTCGGCGAGGCACAAGTAAGGCCGGATCACCTGCCTTTAGAATGATTTTGTCTCCGTTCAGGGTCACTTGGATTCTACCCTTAAGAACGCTGAGATGCTCCGCATGGTCCTAAGAAGGTAATGCGCATTCAGTATCTATCTATCACACGTTGGGTATTTCGAGAACACCATCCACTAACCTTATGCCAATGTCCCGGGATGTAAAGAGTTTCTTCACCGGTACAAGTTGTGTCCATAGCATATCTGTTGATTGAATCTTCTGGTTCGGTTTCGTCTACGGTGATGTCCATTGTGATGCCCTGAGAGCGTTAGCTGTGCATATATCCGTCAAATTTTCAACTTTTTACATATTTGATCATGTTCTACTTACCTTTCCCACGCCAAGGGTTTTGATGACTTTGATAGAACCCATCTTTTTCAATTTCTACCCTTTCTACCTAATACACTTACGCGGTACTAGCCACCTGTTTGATTGCTTATAAGTCTTCCCGGATGAAGATTAGGTTATCACATCTAGCTAGAGGTTGTATTCGGAGCCTGAAGACGTAAGGGTCGTTGATAGAGTGTATGTAAAGCTTAGAAATCGCGATTCTGAGGATATTCAAATGCCTGAGCATACTACATACCTAGGTATGTACGAACTGAAGTCGGCACAAACAAACCTACCCACATATGCAAGGGCAGGGGAAGCGTGTGATTGATGAATGCAACAGAACTATGTAACGTTAGGAGATCCTGCTAAGGCTGGCGGGTTTACGACCGTTATTAGGTACACAAAAGTTACTCTCTTTTCAATGTCACGTGTAGTTCTGCGTAAACAGTCTTTGAACTCCTGTTTGAATTATACATCGCGATAAGTACTTGTTTATTAAATACAAAGGTTAACGACGGCCTGCTCGAAGTCACCCTCAGGCAAACAGAAAAACAAATAAAACGGGGTCGATGACTAAGCAATTCTACTGTATTGATATTACATAAGCGTACGTGTCTTACATAAGACTTCCAGGTTCCCTGAGCGGAAAATGAGCGCCCCACATTTATACAGGGCTGCGCTGCAATTATAGGGCATGAAGCTCTGTAGCTGTGTAGTTACTGTGGTGACAGTGGTCTATATCGCTATACGTCATTGGATTTAGCAACTGCAGTATCTCAAATCGCTTCAATTACTCTCTAGAAGAATTTTCATCGTCATCAAATGACCGTTTTAGACCGGTTTGATGTACGTGTAGTCTCTTGATGGGTTTGGTCGGAACATCCAAAGCGCCATATTGCAGGAGCAACTTGAAAACATTGGCACGTCCTTATTAAGAGGCAATCTGCAACGCATTCGTCCCATCATTCTCTTCCGTATTGGCGTTCGTGCTGCTGGCGACATGAGGTTTGATGATCCCCACCCGACCCTATTGTACTACATTCATCGGTGCCGACCAACCAACCCCTTCTCCAGTACCAAGTTCTCCCTTACGCTGGAAAAGAAGGAGGATCATGCCTGCACATCCATTACATGTTGCTTGATAGTAAGGGAGTCATTTTGATGATTCAATTGAGAAATTAACCTAATTCGAAACAGCATAGCACTGTGCTTCGGCGCTTAGGTTCTTTCTAAACTAGTATGGCTTAGGGAAGCGTAAATTCGACAGCCACTAACATGTTTGTAAGAGGTTGTGGCTCGCGAAGGTATATGGTAAAATGAGCAGAGAAGTAAATAAAGCAGGAACAAGACCAAGACGATTTAGTTCAAAGATTTAACTTCAGATCAATTGTACACAATGCATCGCTATATTATCTTTGTAAAGTACTATGTTCCTGGTAAGTTGTTGTGGCTTTGTTGTAAAGGTCTAAACTGGCAGGGCCATGCCCAGTGCAGAGGTCCACTAATATTTAGTGGATAATCATTATGATCCCGGGGGCTCAGCCACTAAAAAAGGCGCCTCACAATGCGGAAGCATCTAAAAATATACGAAATTTTCTAACCGAAGTTTCTTACATCCTAGGTACCTAATGATAAATTTTTCTACCTTGGGGTATATGAACCCGAAGCCGAAATATTCTGACTTACCCTAGTACCCTAGGAGATGGGTATCGCCTGGCTCGGCCGCAGAGGAAGAGAAGGAGTACCAGACCTATGACGACTATAGAACCAACAACAACAGCAATGATGGCAGGGGTATCAAGAGTTGTACCAGCTGCTTGTACCTGATCTTGTCGCGTCCAGAATTTTACCACGCTACTCAAGACACCATCACTGGTTTTCTCCCATCTAGGAGCATCATCCAGAGTGAGTACAGGCGCCCCAAGCGCCATAGCCATAAATGAGAAAATAAAATAGAGTGTAGGTGAAGACATATTGGTTGAATAGTTATGAAAATGGGATAACTATCGTGATTCTGTGATCAGCGTTAAGCCTATCTTATATATATTCAAATGTACGAAAACTTTTGTGGCTAGTGACAAAGGCATTGTGAATTATTCGGCTTTGACGATGAAATGGGATGAGACACTGAGCAATAACAGTATGCTTTGTCCGCTACTATTGCATTGTCATATCTCAAACGAGGTACCTGATAATCGCATTGTCTCCCGCAACCTAGGATTATGTTGTACTTGTAAACATGTAGCAGTAGGTTTCTTTATTATCATGGGGTAATTACCTACCTTGTTTACCTAGGTATGCAATCCATGATTGGATCATCACTTTAGGAACTATCCCCCTTGTGAATGGTGCCTTTTGTGTTATAGTGACTAGGAAGACACATAGGCAAGTTGCTACAAGGTCTAATATTACCTGCCTAGTCACATAACTAGGTAGGTACCTATGCAAGATTTGGAATACAAATACCAGTTTTCCGAATTCAAGTGGTTCAGGGCCCTAAGATATCAGAAATAGGTATTTATTTAAGGTCAAAGTTTTCTAATATTTGTTCGAATATGTTTCAACATTTACCAATACGACCATCAGCTCCGCTACCGCATTTGATTAATTCTACTCCGCAACATAGGACGTAATGAAATTCCTCAACTTCATTATCCTTGGCTCTTTGGCCACCTTTACCTCAGCAGATGGCGGTTATGCAAGCCACTGCAAGAACATGACCCTCGTTAACGAAAATAATCAAGCAGGCCTGAGGGCTTACTGCGAAGGAAGCTCCGGTGGCTCCCAGTGTAGCATCCTCCCCCTAAACCTCTGCTACTCTTCAGATGCGGGCATAGTTAAACCGCAAGACAGGTAAGCTCGAGTTGTACTTACTTAAGTCTTTTTCCAACCACTGAATATTGAAGTGCCGGAGCTAACAAGTATTTCAAGGGGAGACCTTAGCAAACGATGTCCTCCCAAACGCGCCAAGCTTAATAGCACAATACTAAGCAGTGGATGTCATAAATGGGGATCCAGGAAGACACACCTGATGTGGACCGATGTCGACACCAGTAAGTCTTATTTTTAATGCAACGTCCTCGAATTTAAAACAATGCTGATATTTGCAGATGAGCTTATTATTTCAGAAAATGGTATTCTGAAATGCTTTGGCAACCGGGCCCTTACCCCTCCTGACTGCGAACAGAGACCGGCGGGATCTGGTACAGAAGGTAATGATGTGCCCATTGTCCTAGTCGCTTTCTTATGCATTTTATTGCCAGCGATCATGTTGTGGTGAGAGAAAGCGAGAAGACAGAGCATTAGAAGGTTCGTATGATGTGGAGTAGCTTCTTATAGATGGGATGGAATGACCAAAGGCCTTCCTGCGCTTGGTAGAGGATGGATCTGCTTTATTTTCCGATCACGGATATGGAACGGATGCGTAAGGCCTAATAACCTAGGTAATTCTCGATGGCAATGAAAATGATCTAATACGTTCTTCTTGGGAGTATTGAGATATGACTGTTGCGTGGAGAATTATCAAGACGGGGTCCTCTCGTAAGAATCCCTTATCATATTAAATCCAAGAATCCTATGTTATGTTACACAACACAACCCTCCCAACCCTCTAAGCTCCATGATGTCGTCGTTGATAGTCTAATTTTCCATATACTTATCATCCCCTTAGTCGTTATGACCAGTTACGGCTCCCCAGATGTAAGACGCCCAACCACCTAGAAGTAAAACGATTAGGAGACCGAAGGCCGATTTTGATATCACCATATTCCTAGTTGCGTTTTCGCCGAAGAATACCTTCTTACGTTCAACCAAGAGATCTTTCCGAGAAAGTCGTTGCTTCCTGCTCCATTGAAGACTCCTAAAGTCCACGGAAGTGTAGGTGAGCAATATCATAACGCAAGACACGGCCATGGAGGCCGCTGCCAACCCCACGTAGAGAATTACCACGTGGTTGTAGGAATCATTATCAGCATCCTGAATAACGCCTGCGACGATTCTCACTATTATGTTAATTCTAAAATATGAATGAATTAGCAAAGTTCACCTCAGCGAGACTTAGACAAGACATACGAGTTGTTCATCATGATCTTTAGAGAATATGCCGTTCCAAAAGTAGTCTGCTGCCATAATGAAGTGCGCATGCTGTCAATGATCGCAGTGGGGCTGTAAGTAGAGACGATAGCATAGATACCAAAAGCCGCTGCCGTGCCCGAAACGGTTGAAGCCCAATTTACCAAGGCCATGGCAATGAAGGTTCCAAATCCGCATGTTGCCACTATAGCTAGTTAGATAGGCCGTCATCCCTTTGCTAATAAGACTTACTAAGAGTTATTCGTTGTCCCAATACGTCAATCATCACGCCAACGACGGGGACCAAGAAAAATCCAGCATACTGCAACAAGGCAGAATACCAACCAGCCGTGACGGCGCTAATTTTGAACCTCTTCTCGGCAAGTTCCGTCGCGTTTCCCTTAAAGATGACTGCCGTGGAAGTAGTAAACAGGGAGTATGCCATAATAACCCAGAACACCCACGGGAGTTCGAGGACCTTGCGGACCTCAAGTTTCTTCGCCTTCGTCACTAGCTTCTCTCCAGTTGCGGGATCCACACTATGTCCGAACTTGTGGCTAGTCTTCTTGTTGAACCAGAAAAAGGCTGCGGAAACTATGTTGGTGAAGAAATTGATGAATACTGCGATCCAGTACACCCAAGCGAAATTTCCAGTATTCTGGGAAGGATTAGTTAGCCCCGATCTATTAATCGTGGGCATCATAGATTGAACTCACGACCGCGATCACATTCGCGGACCCCGTCCCGGCCAATGCTCCTAGCTTTTGAACCATGAGTTCGAGCCCGAGGGTCGAGCCAAATCCATTGTTCGGCGCAAACCAAGATGAAAACACTTGGTACTGGGCAATCTGGGTTGCGATGTCGCCTATGGCTAGGATAACCCTACCTCCAATCATGAATTTGAATGATCGCACTTGAGCAGCGGCGGCGACTAGGATTGATCCTATGGAGTAGACGATATTGCCGTAGAATAACGCTCCAGCGCCTCCGAGGCGGTCGGTTAAGAGACCGCTGAATAGGATCAAGACGGTGACTATGAAGTCCTCACTGGCTTCGAGTAGCGCGTACTGGGTGTTATTGATGTGTAGTTCCTTTTTCAATGTTGATTTCATGGCGCCGGTAATACCAGCACTCCAAGAACCTCCAAATCGAATGAGCGTTACAAGAACAACTGCGGTGACTTTCCAGGGCCATGACGGTTGTGGTTTCTCGCTTAGAGATGATGTTGATGACGATGATGGTAGGGAGGATTCCTTGACGTTTGTCTGGGCGATATTCTTTTCCGCATCTTCGGGACTAGTCGTAGGTTCGATTGGCGCAGTCATCTTGATGGTGATTTCAATAATGGCAATAGAGACGACAATGACCAATTCCTCACTGAGGAATATTGGCCGCTATATGAGCTTTCCATCTTATAAACTCTCAAATCTCGGCGTTCTCCTTTATCGGCCTTGGCGTCGTAGGGAAAGAACGATATTTACGTGTTTCTGGGGCGCTCTAAGACCAGAAGCGACGAGCCCCGAGAATAGATCTTCGAATAATTGATTATCTGATCGATCGATAAGATAAAATCAAGCATAATCAGATGTGTATTCCATCGGTCGGCCCGAGTTACCCATCTTATCCTTGCTGTCGGGACGACCTAACGAGCTGTGGGTCGACTAGCGGCGCCTGATTAACTCACTTACGAAGCCTTTGCGATGAAAAATTCTCCTTCGTCCCATCAATATGGTTTATTTGTGTCCTTGGCGCTGGAGGTTACGTTGGCATCATAGGGTCTAGATCGTGGGGTCTATATGCTGTACCACAACGTCTTATTTTTAAATCGAGAATGGTTTATTTAAGACATGAATCTCCCTAAATGCTTGAGTTGGACATATCTGTCTCTGGGTTTTTCGTCAAATAAGCGCCTTGTGATCAGATTACCCACGTCAATTTGCATCACAAACCTTAGGTAATACCCGCGCAACCTCCTGTTAAAGGACGTACTTACTTGTATAGGTCTACATCATATCCATTTCAGGCTATCGAAATACCTTACCTAATCTGTTCGACACTCAATAATGTTAGTATAGTGTTAAAAAAGTGTCATCACGAGAAGTAACATGCATTGACTTCAAGACCTAGTAACACCGCCACATCAAAGATAGTGAAGGTCAAGATTAGGGTTAGTGTACCTAAGCAATTAGGTGTTATGGTTGAAGATTAGGTATGTAAGGAAGCACTTTTCGTCCTTCTCAGCTGTTAAAAGCGAATGTGTTTGGTTGATATATAAGTACTATGATCTATACTCCCGTAGCGACAATCACAAGTCTTCATATACGAAGACGTAGCTGTATGCAAATAATCCATCATTTAGGAATTCCTAATCCCGTATGGGGGAAGCTCATTTCGGATCCGAAAACTTCCACAGGCTATCTACCTAGCTTACTGGTGTCTTCAATCTCTATTTTCAGGTAGTCCATACATCCACCAACTAGGAATTGGCTGAGTTGAGTCTAGACCGACCGTCTCAACTCCACACCTGCCAAGTTCCTGCACGGGCGTCAGAGTTTCGTCTCAATGGTCTCTGATCTAGAGTATAGGAACATTGGCCGCTTGTCAGGGGATAATAGTAGAAAAAGCGTCTTATATATATACCTAGGGGGCTTTGCCTCTTAGCTCTGTAAAGGTTTGTGCGTTAATACGGTCGATTATCTACGTACACCTAGGTACCTGCAAACCACCGACGAGCCTCTTGCATCTATCACCTCTCACTTTATACCAAGCTAACAACTAAGGTTTCTATAACCGATACTTTTATGTATGTTATGATTAGGTGGGAAAAACTGTGCGCCCCGGTGCCTGGGTGCTACTACATACCTAGGGAATATAGCAGCAGGAAGCCGAGCTGTGCCGTCATTATGCCTTCTTATTATCGGATAAACCTCGATCTAGGATGACAAGCCAATTCGGAGTTCAATTAAAAATCTATCTACTAGATCGGGAACACAGTATCAAGGTAGGTATGATGGGTATGATTATATGCATGCATGAACCACTGGACTAAAAGTATGCGTCTTAAAGAGTTATCGTCCTTTCTAGACTTTTGCAGCCGTGATTTCAAATCGCCAAATCGGCGCTTCCAAAAACAAAAGAATATGATTAAAAGGTACTTAAGGTACTACTTACCTAGGGAGGTACCTAGGAGGTAAGAAGTATGATGTCATTGTGTCGAATAAAGGGTATCACGTGATAGTCTAGGTCACGCCTTATAGCCGTATACCCCAACGGCTTTAAATAGATTATATGTAAGTAAGTATGCAGGGAATCAAGAAATTGAATAAGAATCTATTCATATATCTAAATCAAGAGGCTACCAAACCGGCTTAATCATGGTGTAAATGGTGTAGGCGGGTTGTTCATGTAAACCTGGAATGTAGAAGCAATTCAATAAAAAGCTGTCTACGTATGTAGGAGTGAATATATACTCATAAGATCTATCTTCAACAAATAACACAGTATTAAACAAGTACATCCATAACCTGCAACAGTCTCTAAAAGAACTCTAGTCGCAGCTAATCCCTGGTCTAAGGCATATAAAGCATATACCTCAACAGCCTAACTACAGCTTAGGCAGGTGATACTGTTAGCAAGCATTTTACCACTCTCGCCTAAAACCCAACTCCAGCGTGGAGATCTGCACGTTTGCCGACGACTGGCGTGCCTGTGGTCTGGAGTAACGTAGCGTTGGTCATGATTCCTACCAAGTGCGAAATGGTGTCTAGAGTGATGGCCACAGTCTGCTTGCTCCATCCCAATTCGGTGGGGAGGCGCTCATTTCCTAAAAGATAGAGTTAGAAATAGGAGACATCGGCGATTGTGTAACGGAGCGAACATACGGATCCAGTATTCGACCAGAGTTCGGTTCACCTTCGCAGCCTGAACGTCGCCGAAAGCTACAAAAGGAGCAATGACTTCTCCCAAGCTGAAGTCGTTCATCCTGGATGTGAATGTATAGTTAGGGTTGGTTGCCCTAGAGGTGACCTGGCGGGCCACCTTGCTGTTGGCGATCATGTTGGCATCGAGGATAGGGGCGGTCCAGTATTTCAGCGTTTCCGAGAAGACGGTCTCGTTAAAGATGTGGTTGTTTCCGAAGTAGGCATCGGAACGGCTATGTAAATGTGTTAGGAATATGTTTGATTACTTTATAAAATACTCCCGGAGGAGCTTCTGTTGGAAGTAACGCAGGATATGGGACGATGACCTACCTCAGACTTGCGTCATGCTCCAAGACGTTGTGTACGTTTAACTGGTCACTGTGATGGTAGTTAGACGTCGAACTTGTAAACAACTGAAATTCCTGCAAAGCTGAAAGTGATGGTCGTCTGGATCCACTTACAGGGTGAAGAATGTGGCATTAGGCTCTGGGTTTGCGATAGTCGCCATTTGGAACATGAGCGTGGCAAGAGACTCGTTAAAGTTGAGTGCCGAGCCCAACGCGTTAATCGTAATATTTTGAGTAATATTTTTGCCATCGTGAGGTAGAAAGCCGTGGTTCGCTAGGGTATTCAACATGGGACAAGGGCCACGGACTGTATAGTGTTAGTATTTGGAGACGAGAGATTCTTATGTTCTACCATACAGTCGTTCGGCCCAGGAGCTATCCAGGGGTGACCACTTGGAGCGGCATTGTAACCAGAAGCTGCGGCAGTAGGAACAGAAGCGATGGTTTTAACATATGTTGGTTTTGTTGCTAATGCAACACCGAAGACGATGGGAAGGGCAGTGAGCTTCATGTTGTAATAGTTCAAAATAGTATCTTGCAGCTATATGTTTTGAGTAGGCAGGTAGTACACGGGCCAACGACGATCAGCGGATGTCACATAAGTTTTCCAGAAGCACGAGGAGGGTAGTTAATTTAAGTAAATCTGAATATCTACATGAACCTCCTTTCCCCAACTGAAGCCCCAAATTACGCAAGCGTATTCCAAGGTAGGCGTTGGCATACTACACAATCGCGCAGAATCTGGCGATCATCATAATAATTTCACATGTCGCTTGTTGCTAGCGCGCTGCTGCCCGAGACATTAACAAAATCGACCAATGATAATTCAGACGTTGTTAATATGTTTCAATGTACGAACAGAATGCGAATGTTGCGAATTGTACGAAGCGGAGTGCGAGGCTACGATGCTACGAATACGCACCCTATTTATACGAGCCATTTCCAGTTATCTCCGGACCGGCAAAGCACCGGCATGTTCCGTCCGTGCCTCTCGCCGTCATTTTCAGGGACGCAATGCCACTTCAAATGCCGGATACCTGTTGCCGTCCGCGAATAGAACGTGCAGATTTGTGGTCGTGGTCGTTGGTACTTCAACCGAGATCATGCGGGGTTCTAACTTAGATGTTTACCTAGTCCCCGGTAAAAAGGAGGTTTAGGCAGACAACAAAACACACCAATCATCAAGGTCATGATTAATTATTTCTCGATGCGAGTGGTCGTGCTGTTAACTAACTAACTAACTCAGCCCTGTCTATGGATCATTGAGGCTATGTGTGCAGTAAGGCCTAGAATTCTTCGATACCGATACCTGACTTAAATTCCACCGTTGTTATTCCCACTTAACTAAGGGTTTCTTGTCCGAGTATCAGTTGCGACGGCTTGTTTGCCTACATACCTATTGGTCTTCCGACCGATGTTCCATCCCTAAATTTTCTCATGCACCCCTTTTTCGTCTATTAGCTAGGATTTTGGTCAGGTACCCATCGATGCAAGAAAATGCTTGTATTAGATTTTGAGCTTAACTTACACCCCTTAATCCCACGACAGTCCAAGGACTAGGTAAGTTCATTCATGGACTTGAAAGCTAAGGTCAACGGCAATGCAAGCACTATGGATTGCTCTGCTGCGCGATAATGCCAAGCTTACTAGATCTCAAAATCCAGACGCGCATTTCTAAGTTGATAAACATTCTAGAAAATGCCAATGTCCCTTACCCAGGGAATTATCTAGCGTCCCTTTGCTGGGCCAATGTGGCGTGTACCTGCATCGTAGGTTGGGGTAGGCGTAGGCTAAAGTTTCTAGCGCTTCTCCGCAGTTACTCGGTAGTCATCTGAAGTTGAGGTGGGGGTTCAGCTGGATGCCAATCATCTCATTTAGTCTTTTTCAAACCCGACTTCATTGGAGGAACTGTGGTTAGCTACGTATAATGGCACGACTACTGATAAACCATGTCTCCCAGCTGCGGTGCTTTGCTGCTCATCCGCAGATGACGAGAGTAGCATCCCGAGTCCCATCATTAGGGCCGAATCGCCATCATGGGTTTTCAGCTACCCCTCGTCGAAATATCATGGAAACGACGGGCTTCACGGAAAGTCAGATGATGGTAAGAGAAGCAGTCAGTTCCATATGTTCCCAATTCCCAAACACATACTGGCAAGAGCATGATCAGAAGGAGGAGGATCCCGCAGAGTTCCACGCTGCCTTAGCTAAGGGGGGTTGGCTTGGCATCGCGTTGCCAGAAGAATTGGGTGGGTCTGGACTTGGTATCGCCGAAGCAGTGATGATGATGCAAACAATCACCGAGTCAGGGGCCGGCATGGCGGGTGCGCAGGCCATCCATGCGAACGTCTATGCAACACAGCCCCTAGCTAAATTCGGCACGAAAGAGCAGTTAGGAAGTTCAATACCTAATATCATCTCGGGAAGGTGGAGGACTTGTTTCGGCGTAACAGAACCAGATACGGGCCTGGATACACTGAAACTAAGAACCTTAGCCGAGAAACAGGCGGACGGTTCGTACCAGGTTACTGGCCAGAAGATCTGGATTACTTGCGCCCAGGTAGCCAAGAAGATGATCCTTCTAGCGCGCACGACATCCTTGGAAGAAGTAAAGAAGCCAAGCGAAGGGCTGTCGCTATTCTGCATTGACTTAGATAAGGATGCTCCCGGGTTAGATATACGGAAAATCAAGAAAATGGGTGGGCGCGCGGTAGATGCGAACGAAGTATTCTTCGACAGTTACAGGATCCCGGCGAATGCTCTAATCGGGCCAGAAAACCGAGGCTTTAAGATAATCTTACACGGGATGAACGCCGAGCGCTGTCTGCTCGCGGGGGAGGCGCTCGGGCTGGGCTACGCCGCTCTGAAGAAGGCGGCGGAGTATGCGCGCGAACGCGTCGTCTTCCAGCGACCTATCGGCGCCAACCAGGGCATCGCCCATCCGTTAGCGGACTCGTACATGCATCTCGAGGCTGCAAAACTGGCTACCTACCACGCCGCACGACTTTATGATAGTAGCAAAAATGACGAATCAATCAAGCAAGATGCGATAGGGGTAGCTGCTAACACTGCCAAGTATCTAGCTGCTGAAGCAGCATTTACCGCGTGCGAAAGGGCGGTCATGACACACGGCGGAATGGGATATGCAATGGAGTACGATGTTGAACGATGGCTGAGAGAATGCTTTGTGCCTCGTATCGCGCCCGTGAGTCGAGAGATGATCATGAATTATATCAGCGAGAAAGTGTTGCAGCTGCCGAGGAGTTACTAGGCGTTTGTGTAATTGGAAAATGTTCCAAGATTTAGCTTTAATACTTTCATTGATGGAGCAGCTGAGGGGCATTGCTTATATCGTGCATATTAACTAATCGGTGCTTAGTCACGTGCAGGTTGTACAGTAAACCTTGGCCATAACGATGCTCAAAAAACACCACTCTTATATCGTTATGTGAAGTTATCGTTATGTAGGGGTATCCACCCGAAATGTGGGCTGTGTACCTTATAGGTATCCTTGAGCCTAGATTATTAGCAAGAGTACCTTGGAGATACTTAAAGAACTTTTGATTGTTCTTTGCCCCGAATTCTACTATAAATCTTGTCCTGGATATCTCGTCGATTTGCTCTTAATCTGTCAATTGCTGGTTCCAAAAAAAGAAAAAAAATAATATAAAAGTAGAATTAAATACTGAAGGTAATATTTTACTTTATTAGTGCTATTTTTGGTGTTGTTTAATTGAAAGTTGACTTCCCCATAACGATTGTTTTGGTAGGAGGCTCAAAAGTTAACGATATTTCGTTAAGGTAAAAATATCGTTATTTTACATACAAAATCGCAAAATCCCCTTGACGATATCGTTATATAAAAATATCGTTGTATAGTAGAATCGCTATGGCCAAGGTTTACTGTATTTGTTCATGCATATAAGCCCAATACCACCTTATCACAAAATGGTATGACATCACCTATCTTATGCCCAACAATCGCGCGCTTGAAGACTCCAACTTCTATCGTCGTATCTATCATACGCCAAGGTAGGCTATGAATTATGACATCAATCATCTGAACCTCATAAATATGTGTTTCTTCTACGGTACTATTGCAGCATTTTAGTTTACGATAAGCGTCGAGCCTGTTTTGATTGTTATTGGAGCCTCTACAGACCATTTAAAGCCTTACAGAGAACAAGCCGCTCGTGCCAACACCCCCACTTCAACATTTTCAGACAGCACATTCGACATGGAGGATGATAAGCAGGACTTTCATTCATACGAAGAGATTCATAACAGGACCTACCGGCAGCCCAATGCGCGTAGACGATGTCGCCTTGCGTTAGTCCTGGGCCTAGTCTCAGGGGCAATGCTGCTACTGCGTTTCTGTGGACCCAAATTCACCACGCTCCTTGATTTAATATGGTCACCCACAGTGAACGAGAATAACTTCGATTTATATAAGCACTTAGGGCATCGATCACCCTATTTCGTTCCTTCAAACACCCCGGAAACGCTGCTCTCAGGCACACCCCCTGGCTGCACCGTATCCAAGGCGTTCCTCGTTCACAGACACGGCAGTCGGCATCCTCACGCTGAAGAGCTTCTTGTTATTCAGAACCTATCATATTACATCAACAATAACAGCGCTCTATTCTCGGACCCCCAGTCTCAGCTTCCAGATGCCTGGTCTTTTCTAGCAGATGGATGGAACAGCACTTTGGGCACAGATGACCTCACAGCCTCCGGTCGAAAGCAATTATTCGATCATGGTGTCGCTCTAAGATTACACTATCCGGACTTATATACCGAGACCGAAGTGCTAGCAGGTGATGAGGACCGAGTTGTGGAGTCGGCTAGATGGTTCATGGATGGCTATTACGGTCGTGGCTCAAATACCACCGCCTCCCTGAGTATTGTTGGCGAGAACGACGATACGATCAGCTGGATCACGCCTCACTATACCTGCGAAAAGTGGGATGAAAGGTCTGGCGAAGACAAGTTGTCTACGTGGCGTTCCATTTACTTACCGCCCATTGCCAGGCGTGTCAACGATACGCTTGCTGCGGCCTATCCAGGTGTCCAATTTACCGAAGAACATATTCACGGGATGCTATATGCTTGCGCGTACGAAACAGCTGTCTACGGTATTGGCTCGTCTCCGTGGTGTAACGTCTTCCTGCCTGAAGAAATATTGGATAGCGAGTACGAATCCGACCTCCAGATGCGCGGATTTGCCGGCTACGGATTACCTGGCGAGATGGGCAGTGTTCTTGGCAGTCTATTAGTCAGCAACGTGACGAATTTCCTGCAGAAGGACGAAGGTCCAAAACTTTCGTTGGGATTCGGTCATGACAAGACTATCGCATTGGGGCTGACGGCATTGGGGCTTGCGTTTGATAAATCATACCCGTCCACGGGTCCAGCTGATCCGAATAGAGGCTGGCAGTCAGCGAAACTAATGCCCTTTGCTGCATCGATGTTTTGGAAACGGTTGGACTGTGGTAGTGAAAGAAGGATTCAATTAATAATGGATGGCGCGAATTTTGGTTTAGGAGAGACTGGTTGCAAGATTGACAAGTATGGATCGTGCGACTTTGATGACTTCGTGAGCACGGCTGCAGTACGAGCCGCCCTTAAAGTTACCCATGGCAACAAGAGGTGGAAAAGCGCTTGTCGCTGTATTTGAATATTCTCTAGGTACGCTAGGGAACGATGATAGAAGAAAGTAGATACCTAGGTGGGTAAGTATTTATCCATCTATAGGAATTGTTTCTAAGCCACTAATTACGTCAAGGGCCAATGAGTGCACGATCAGCCAACTTCTTAGCAGTTAACCTCCTAGTTAGGGAGCTGGATATATCTTTTAATAACTATAAGCTATCCACGGCAAGTTGTAACAAAGAAATATCCATTAGATATTAAATCATGGCAATGAAATTTTTTTTAGAACTTCGAGGCAGTAATATTTGGAAGCGCCCAGTTAGCAATAAGGGGGATCTACTACCTATCTAGGTACCAAATAGGAAATCTACATCTATCTGACAACTCAGGCAGAAAAGGATGCCAAGGCTTTATAACAACTAGATTTCCCTGTTTGATCATGAACCAATTCATAAGTTCAACGACTGCTTATAAAGGAGGTACCCATCGTAGGTACCTAGGTACCTACGTGTGTACTAGGTAAGTTTCATCTTCCGGTTGACAACTTTAGGTAGATACATATTGTATACCCCTTGATAATGTACCTAGCATTGATGGACTTTGAGTTCACAGTAGCATCCATGGGTGATTTCTTATATGTACCTACTTTTTTTGTACCAGTAGTCATTCATTGGCATCATGAAATTGATCGCCGAGTACAGCATAATTCGGGGACATTTACCTATGTTATCTTAATACGTAAAGTTTTGCACATTTGATCAACCTAATCATAAGTGATGATAATAGCTTGCCATCGGTTAAGGAAAAAGGACAACCTATATTTTTATTGGTAAAAACTACCTAGTAATGCTTTACTTTAGATAACGCACTCACATTGTAACATGAAGTGGCTGCATACCTACATACAGCCTCCTGCGTCCGTAGCATTTGCGTCTTCGGCCTGATAACTAAAAAGATTTCATGTAGCTTATCCTTTTCACTGCGACGTTGGCGAGGCTTCAACTTGCATACCTCTATGGTATAAGTAACCGAAATCGGGGGAAGAATCCTTACCTACCTACCTAATTAGTTCCCATGAATCCCACGTTTATAAGCAGGCTGTGATATGACATACCTAGGGAAGTACAATACATATATATATTTAAGTGTAATTTGTATTATCCAATCAATCATATTTTTTTTAGCTCGGCTAACGTAGTTCCAGCTACATAAAATCGGCGATCGTAGGGACTTGATAACGCTGTTAACCTATCGTTGATCAAATCGTGAGGGATCAGCTTTTGTGATATCTTAAACTGTAATCATGTGGCATGCGATCGGACTTGCCGTCGCCTGGTTATCTTGCATCTCCGGTTCAAAATGCAGCCAGAAACCTCTGAGAATTTTTGGGTGTTTTGCTCTTTCCCCCCACCCCTTCATCCCATCCCTTCTCTTATATCTTCCTCATCTTCTTTCTTCTTCATTCATCTAACAACATAAAGCTCAGCAATATCTCACATTCGCTTAAGGACTTACACATTGTTTCAAGCTCCCGCGTATCCTAGATACTAATCTTTTTGTTTACGAACATTCGTTCCCGGCTTACTTACAGTAGCTTTTCAGGTGCTCGACTAAGTACTTGGTCCAATAGGTACCTATGTAATATCCTCAATCAACCATATACTCCATCAACATACTAATAACTTTAAAGACCTCTCCCAATAGGTCATACGAATACTTGACTCCCAATGACATTCAGGGTGGTATTTCCATGGATGTAGTTCAGCATTCTCCTGAGCCACCAGGGTATGTGCTCTCTCTTGACCAGTTCTTGCCTCTCTTATATATACTGTTGTTTTCTACTGCTGATTCCTGTTAGGGACTTTTTAGCAGTATTCATATCCGAGCCAGACAGTCCATATATCGAGAAGGCAGAACCATATATATGCGAAACTTGCCGCGGGCATGAGCAAGTTACATTTTGCACAGAATGCGGATTGCTTTTGTGTCCCAACCATTGGTTAGAACAAGGTGCTCATAGACCGGGAAGGGGCATCAATCATGAGAAGTCAGACCCTCGAGATGCCAAAATCGTCTATCAGATTCTTAAGTATCCGCTTCCTTCCATTCTTGGCACAACGCCTAGGGAAGAGTCTATTCAATTAGACAGTTCAAAGAACATGTGGTTTGGCGTCACCAAAAATGAGAAAAATGACTATATGTTAGGTGAAGGGTCAGCTTATCATTCTTTGCTGTTAGAAGATTCATTCATCAATCCTCTAAGCACACATCCCTGCATGGTTTCATTTGTGGGTGACACAGGTATAGTTTACATGTACCCAACCGAAATAACTATTATGTTTAAACTAAAAGTTCACAGGCGTTGGCAAAAGCGCTCTCATAAATTTACTCATCAAAGTCAGCATCACACCCACTTTGATGTTAGACTAATATTGAATATTAAATAGTTCTCTGCCCATGATCGTGAGCAAGCGACCCCCATTGTTGGTAAACGAGATAACTACCATTCTACATCTGCAGACGTGCACTTGTATAATGACCCTTCCACCATCTATTCTCCGGATCCTTTACTATATGCGGACTGTGAGGGGATGCATGGCGGTGAAAATCCCATAGCAGCCGCTAGTAATGAAGCAGAAGCAAATCGGCAACGGCTAACCGAATTCAAGCCCAGAAAGGTTGAGTGGGAAGGTTCCAGAGATGACACCAAAGGTCGGCAAGGCATCGCCTCAAACCTCTACCCACGAATTCTCTACATCTTTTCAGACGTAATTATCTACGTCATAGAGAATAGACGGTAAGAGTGCCTATCTGGAATCTAATCATAAAAATCATACTTACCATCAATTATCACTTAGGCGCCACGTTGATGCTTTTTACGACCTTATCAATTGGGCACACTACGCAATGGAGCAATCTTATAACAAACCCGTCTTACCACACGTAGTTCTGGCTTTTAACAGGAGTGAAGATGATGTTGAGCTAGAAAACGAAGACAGTGAAAGAGCCACGAGATCTATGATGGATAATGTCAGGGGGATCTACGAGGAGCCCAAATTCCGCCCCTTTCTTGAATACTGGAACAAGAAGAACAAGAAGTATATGGATAATCCCCAAACAGAAGTGCCGATTATCAATTCCGGAGAGGCACTTTTAAGATGCTACTACGCCAAGATCACAGTGGTACACTTCTCTAATCAAAAAAAGCCGACTAGACTGCGCAAACAGACCGAAGGACTTTACAGAGTGGTGAAAACCGCCTGTGAAGAATCACACCAAAAAAGAGCAGCGGTTGGCATGAAGATGAATGCCGCAAAACTGCCTCTTTACGTACGAACGGCCTTAAACCAGTTTGGTTCCAGCCTTGATAAACCATTCGATTTCAGCGAAGCTTGGTTTGAACTCAACCCTGTTTCATTTGAATTCAGCAGCACGATCTTCACTTTAGCTAAGCTTATACGAGACCTCGGTAAGCTCAACGGTATGAGACTTTGGTGCAAGCTTGGCGATTTTGTGGCTTCGTGTTTTTACTTGAACATCTATAGGAACAATATGATAGGCGGTATGCGTACCTTCCTCGATAGACAAGATTGAAATGTCAACGTAGCTAACAGTATAATAGTGAATGAAAATTCGTTGCGCCGACTATGGCCTGAATGTAAAAAAGCTGCAGGTCTCTTCTGGCATAAATTCTGGCCATGCACAAAAACCAGCGATGTTGGTAGCTGGCCTTGTTCAAATGGACCAGACGGTCATCAAAACCATCAATACAAAAATGGCAAGGGCCATGATCCGGGAAAGCACTCATCCAGTCATTCTGAAGAGGATTTTCTCGCAGAACTAGAAGGTATAATTGGAAAGAGGCTGGAAGACCTAATGAAAAGCTTTAGCACTAATGAGATGCGTCAGCGTTCTGACTCTATCAGCAGAGCCTCGGAAATCCACCAACAAAACGTCAACAAGTTTTATGGGGAGATGGAAGGCATCGATCATTGTATCAGCCACTCTGCCTGCCTTTGGTGCTTAGATCAAATACCTGAACATCCACTTCCATGCGGGCACGTCATTTGTAGCTCATGCCTAATGGCTGTTGCTAAGCCTTTGGGAAGAGGGGGCTTTTTCTGGCTGGAGTCCTGCCCTCTCGCCAGCCATAAGTCTTGGGAGAAGCCATGGATTGGTGTGATAAAGCCAAACCAAGCTGGTATACGGATGATGTCATTAGATGGGTAAGCATTAAGCTCTACTCAAATGTGAAATAAAGCTAATCTGGGAATTATGATAGGGGTGGAATACGAGGCGTCATGGAATTGGAAATATTGATGAAAATTCAAAAAAGCCTAGGTGGAATCCCTATAAGTGAGTTCTTTGACTTGCTTGTAGGTACCAGGTAAACCACTAGCCACGCCAAAGACCTCTAAAAAGTTATCTATATCCGCTAATAATGTTGATAGTGCTGGAGGGATCATTGCTTTAGGACTGGGTCCCGGAGGAATGGGCGTCGAGAAATGCAAGGAAATGTTTGAAGAATTCTCCAAGAAAGCATTCTCGACCCCTCGGTTGTCGAAGCTTCCATTGATTGGTCGAATCAGTCAATTCTTCTTTTGGGGATGGAACCGTGGAAAATTCCAGACCGAGCCGTTAGAGACGGCTTTCAAGGACGTGTTCGCCACAGATTTACTGTTTGGAGGCACCAAGGATCACAACAATGTTCCTCTAAAGGTGGCGGTTACCACCACAACCCAGCGAGGTCGAGTTGTAGTTTTAAGTAACTATAACCGAAAATCTACGGAAATCCGTAAGTCATCTATCATGAAAATATTTTGTTTGCACATACCTAAGTGTGCAATTTAAACCGGTTCAGACTGACAATAGTTAGCATTATACCATTTTCAGCGCCCTGAATTACCAAAAAAGGAAATCTTACTATGGGAAGCGTATGTCCTATTCCATTTTCATTTGATATTTACTTATGCTCATTATTTTTCTAGTGCAAGAGCAACATCTGCTGCGCCCCTTGCTTTTGAACCGTTCTCTCACACACTATCTGGTCAAAAATATGTGGATGGTGCACTTTATCATAACAACCCAGTCATCATTGCAGACATTGAGGGCAAAGCGATATGGCCAGACAGCCGAGTTACTCGTCCCGATATCTTGCTATCTCTTGGGACAGGGTCCGAAAGGCGTGATTCGAAAACTTCTTCTTCTATTGATACATCACAAGTGCTGAGAAGTACGGAACTCACAGAGGACCTTACAACGCGCCCGTATTTCATGGAGTTAGCGAGATTCGGCTACGACCATCTTATGAACAGTATGGATTGTGACCAGATATGGCATCAGTGGCTCCAAATACGGTCTCCGGATACGCCTGACAAACAGCGGTACCGCCGAATCAATGTGACACTGGATGATCCGATCCAATTGGATGCTTTCAACAAAATAGATAAGTGTTGCGAAGCAGTCGAAAAATGGTACGACGAAAGCGACGCCGAAATCCAGAATATCGCGGATCAATTGATAGCATCTTGTTTCTTCTATCGTTTTGACCAAAGCGATATCAAGAAGATTCGTAGGAATGGGGAATATGAGTGTATTGGTAAGCTTTCTGGCTTTGAAACCATTATCTGAAAGTTAACGTGTTTAAAGGCACAATTGAGTGTCGATTATTACCCGGGAAGGGCAACAGCCTTTCAAAGCTAGGGAATGTATTGAAGGGATTCCAACAACAGTCTTGTTCTCCAAAATTTGTCATTCAAGAAGCACATAACCCAAAGCAAGATTTCGTTATAATTTCAGACGAAACCTTGTCAAACATGATAGAAAACGGTGAATTCCTTCTTCAACATACTATTAGAATTTCGCACGAACTTGCCGAAACTGAGGTCTTGATGGTACTTCACAAAGAGAAGCAATTAAAGAAAGAACTATTTCCTATTAGCGGATTCCCGAGGAAGCTACAGGAAGATCATCAAGGTACCCATATCCCAAAATCTTTGATCGTCGACTACCCATGTATAGAATATTACTAATACTCGCTTTTTTCAAGTTGTCCAAGAAGACACCAGTCTGAATTTTATAGGTTCGAGAAGTTTGAGGTTTTTGGGGGTAGAATTCCGAGAATTGGTTGGCCAACGATTCCACCGTCTAAATTTCCTCCACCTTAGGCGTTGATCTTCCCGTCCGCGATAGTCTACTTGCAGGTTTGTAATGATTGATTTGTTTGACCCGGTTATCTCAGTATAAACTCCTCTGTTTACCAAATTTAAATAAATTTTTTTCTTTTTCAATTCTTATGTCCGAAGTGGTGAAGTGAAATATTTGGCTGTGCCTTTTAACCGCTCTCCTACCTACTGCTACGTGTTTAATCCCGGTATTTCAGCTAGACCATACTGAACGGGACAAACTATTATCCTCTTTCCCCCCTCTATTTCTCCACTGAGATATTAGTCGTAAATCGCAACAATACCAAGACCAAAGAGCTTGAAGGAAGAAACCATAACTGTCTTCCCTTAGTGCATTCTAATTGCCGAGGATGAGCGGTCTTAAAGTGCTCTCCGACTCGGCCGTGCATCGGTTGCTCATCGGCCTTTCCAAGAACAAAATAATCACTTTCCAGACTTTACTCTCAGGATGCCTCCGGGAATTCTCTGTAGGTACTGTGACAAGGGGAAGAGGCTTGGAATATAGATTCAATTCATATAATAATTCTCTAGGGGTCTTAAGTCCTTGATCCTCTCCTCTTCTTCGGAGGGGGATCGTCCTGATTATTTAAGTTCAATCTGCTATGCCTAAGATCCGAACTTTAGCGCTCTAAGCGCCTATAAATATTCTATTAGTTGATCCTGCATATATGTAGTAACTTGGTAACTATTCCTAATAATTAATAGGCTACTTATTCTAACCTAACAATCTTGTATTTTATGTATATTGGAGGTGTGGCATTTATCGCTGTGTAATACTAGTTCCCTTTTTTTTAAAGCTCGTCCTTAAGCGTTAAGTTATAGTTTATTTATTTTAAAGCTTATTAAAATGTAACCGGTGGAATGCTTTAACTACTTTACGTATACCTTCGTTAATTATATGCTTATATAATTCTTAAATTTAATACCTTTTAATTAATTAACTTTCTTATTTAATTAAATATTTTATTTTATTTTAAACTTTAATAAAATTTTTTATTTTATTTATTTAATAATTTTTAAATTTTATTAAGTTTATTTTTTATAAGATTTAATTAAAGTTAAATATTTTTTAATTATTAACGTAATAAAGTTTAATAAATAAAATATAAAATAAGTTATAAATTTTTTAACTTATAAATAAAATAAGTTTAATAATAATAAAGAAAATTATTTTTTAAATTTTAAAAAAATTAAATATTTTTTTATTTAATTTTTTAATAAAGTGTTTAATTTTAATATTTTTAATATTTAATATAATTAATTAACTTTATTTATATATAAGAATTTTTTAACGTTATTTATTAATTTATTTTTTTATATATTAACGGTTATTTTTTAATCGTTTTTTAATTTATTTATGCATTTAAGTTATTTAATAAGTATATAATTTATTCCTTAAGTTTTAAAGTATTTTATTTAATAAGTTATAAGTTATTAAATAATAATTATAATTTACGTAAAAAGGAATAATATTAAACGAAGTTAAAAAAATATTATTATAAATAAACTTAATAATAATAAGTAAATTTTTTTAATTATTTATTTTATAATTAATAAAAACTTGGAAATAAACTTTAAAAATTTAATTAAGTTATTTAATTTAACCGTTAATTTATAAATGAAAAGTTATATTTATATAAAATTTAATATTTATTAATTTAAAAAAGTTTTTTTATAAATAAGTAATAAACTTAAAATTTTAATTAAAGATTATATTAAAAAGGACGTTATATAATTTTTAATATTACTTAATAAAAATTTATATTAAATTTTTAATTTTTTTTTTTTTTTTTAAAAAAAATAAAATATATTATTTTTATAAAAATATTCATTATTATTTATATAAAGTTATAATTATTTAACAACGGTAAGTTTATAATAAAATTTATAATTATAATTTATTAAAAAATATAATATAACTTTATAAATTATAATAATTTAAAAGGAATATAACGTTAAATTTTATTTTATTAATAATTTAAATATTTTTATATATAATTTTTAATAATAAATTTAATGTTTAATTATTAAAAATTTTAAGTAATTAATTTAAAGGTTTTATTTATATTTATATACTTAATTATAAAAATATTATATTTTAAAGAAATAATTTTTTTTTAAAAGTTTATTAAGATTTAAAGGTAGTTTTTTTATATATAAAATTTTATTAATGATTTTTATATTTTTAAAAAATTTTTTAAGTTATAAAATATATTTTAAGTTTTATTAAATTATTTCTTTAAGTTAATTAATAAATTTTTTAAATTATTTAAAGGTTAATATATTATAAAATTTTACCGAAGTTATAAAAACGGCGGGGGATAAAAAAAAAAATAATCTTTATAAATATAAAAAATATTTTTTTTATAAGACCGCTTTAATAAGTTAATTCTTAATTCTTCCTTTTTTTAAGGTAATATTATAATAATCTTAATAAAATATCGGCTTTTTTATTTTACTTGCCCGGTTAATAATTTATAATAAATTAATATAATGAAAATTTTTATATTTAATACGCTTAATATTAATTTAAAATTTTTATAATAATAAAATATAATAAGTTTTAATAATTTAAATAAATTTTAATATAATATTTAATTTCTTTTAAATATTAATACCATTTATTAAAAGTATTTATTATTATTAAAAATTTTTTATCGTAAATTTTATAATTTATTTTTACCGGTATAAACTTTTAAAAATAAAAAATAATAAATTATAATTTCCCATTATTATCCTTTTAAAAAAATATTACATTAAAAATATAATTAAAAATATTTATTTTTATATATATTTATTTTATAAAGTTAAAATATATTATAATTAAAATTTAAATAAAATAATATTTAAAAGTTTTAAATATTTTATTTATTTCTTTAATTTATTTTTAATTTTATTTATTACCTTTATTTATTTTAATAATAAGTCGCATTAATTTAAAAAAGTTCTTAATAAAATAATAATAAAAGTTTATAAAACTTATAAATTATTAAAATTTTTTTAAGGATTTTAAGGTTTATTAATTTTTAATATATTTAATTTTATTTTATATTATTAAAATATTATTAATACCGATAATATATTTAAAGAATTTTACTTTTTATATTTATTAAAAAGATTTTTTTAAGTTTATAATAAAGTAATATTCCGAGAATTTTTTTAATATTTTTTTTATAAATATATTATATTTTTTAATAATGTTAACATAAATTAAAAAATTGTTAAAATAAATAAATAACCTTACGTTAATAAAGTTTTTAAAAATATTATTTATTATAACTTGGAAGGTTATAAGTATATTAATAAATTTAAAAAGCATTATAAAATATTCGAATAAATTATATTTACATTAAAATATTATTTTTTATTCGTTACTTTTTTTAATTTATATAAAATAAAATCCGGACTTTAAATTAATTTTAATATATCATTTAATAATTTAAAATTAAGCTTGGAATTTAATAATAAAAAAGATAAAATAATAAATAAATATAATAATATTATTTAATCTTTAATAATTAATAATTAATTAAAATGGATCCTTTAAATTTAACTTATCGATAAATATTATAAATATTCCGTAAGAAAAAATTAACCTTTTAATTTATTTTATATTAAACATTTCTTTTAATTAAAGTTTTAAAATATTAAATTCTTTTTTATTTATAACGTAAAAAAAGTTTTATAAAGGTATTTTTCCTTTTATTAAATTAATTAAATAATTTTAAAGTTAATAATTTAAGAATTAATATCTTACCTTTTTAATTATAATGTATATAAATTTATAAAATTTTTTAAATATAAATTTTAAAGTTTCTTTTATTTTAATATTACATATTATTATAATCTTTTATATTTCTTAAAAAGCCAGGTTAATATAATTTTTTTAATAATATTTAAAAGCAAATTTTATTTTTATAAGGTTAATAAAAAAATATACCGGTTTATAAATTTTTATTTATTAATAAAAAAAAATAATATTTATTTTATTATTAAAGTTATTTAATTTAAAATTAACTTATAAGAAATAATCCTTTTAATATTATAATATAATAAGTTTTAAAAAATATTTACCCGCATTAAATATAAATATATTATTAAAAACTACCATTATTTTCGGGGTAATTTTTTTAATAATAAATAATTTCCATTTTTTTATTTAAAATAAAAATATTAAAAGAATAAAATTATTTATATTTAATAATACTTTAACTTTATATTTCCTATAATTATATATAAACGTTATAATTATAATAAATCTTTTACTTATTTCCGGTTTACGGGGTTTTTTTTTTTTTAACTTTAAATCGGTTTTATTATTTAATTTTTTAATAGTTATAAATTACGTAAATTTACTTTAATAAAGTTATAAATTTTAATGGGGTGAATTATTAAAGTTTATTAAAAATCCGAATCGAAATTATTAATTTTTATAATTTAAAGTTATATTATATTTTTAAAAGCCGCATTAACTTTTACTTTTTTATTTAAAAAAAATAATTTCTTAATATTATTTTTTTATGGTTTTTTAATAATTAAGATTTTTTTTAAAAGTGGAAGTAATTTTTTATTATTAACATTTTTTTTAATAAAATAAATTAAAATTTAATAATTATTTTAATTATAACGTTAATATACTTTTTTATTTTTTTTTTATTTATTAATATTTTCTTAATTAATTTTTTTTAATGTTTTTTTATTTCCGGATTAATGCTTTTTATTAAAATTAAATTTATTATCCGGTTTTAACCGATTTATATTTTTTAAGGATTAATTTTAACTTAAAATGGAATAATTTTAATTATAATTTTATTAATTTAATTTTAAATATTTTTTTATTAAAATAAGTATATTTTTTACCGATAAAATACTTAAATTAATTAATATATTTTTATAAATTTAACCAGCTTTTTAAATAACTTATATAAATTTATTATTTATAATTAATAAATTTTTTTATTTAAAATATATTAATTTAATGATTTTATTAAAAAAAATTTTAACAATGTAAATTTAATAAATTATTTTAAATTATTTAATTATTTTATTAAAATCTTGGAATTTTATAAAATATTAAGTTATATTCTTTTAATATTTTAATTTAATTATTTTTTTATAATTTTAATGTTTTTTTAAAGGATTTTTAAACTTACTTTTTAAAGCATTAACGTAAACTTTCTAGGAATTAATAAATCCTAACTTTTTAATTTAAGTTATTTTTTATTAATATTAAAGTTATCTTTTTTTTATTAATAAAAAATTAATTTAATTAATCCGTTAATAATCTTTTAAAAAGTTTATTACATATATTTTAATATACGTTTTTACTTTTAATTATTAAATATAAAATTTTAATAAATCTTTTTTATTATAAACAAGTAATTTATTTAATTAAATAAATATAATAATAATAAAAGTAAATTAAATTAATTATTTTAAAGTTTTAATTAATCATTTATTAATTCTTTAATTACCATTAATTTTATTTATTAAAAAAAATTTTAATAAAAAAATATCGTTAAGTAAGTTTTTTTTATAAAGTTAAAAATTATTATTATTATTAAAATCATTTAAATCCAACTTTAAAAAATCCGGAAATAAATTATTAACAGGAAATTATTTATTATGATTTTTATTTTTATTATTTATAGTTAAATTATAACGCGTTTTTTAAAATTAAACTTATACGGTTTCCGAAATAATTTTCGATTAAATTTTTTAAATAAAATCGGTTAATAATAAGTTTATATTATAAAGTTTAAAAAATAAATTTAAATTAAAATATATAAATAATTTAACGGTTATTTTAAAAAGGTTTTAATTATAAATTAATAAAAAATTTATTATAATTTTTTTTTTAATAAAATATAAAACCGAATTAATAATTATAAGTTTATTATAAATTTAAAACTTTATAACTTTAATAATAACGTTTTTAATATAAGTTTATAACTTTTTAAATTATTTCTTTTAAGCTTTATTTAATTTATTAAAATAAATATAACATTTAATAAAAAAATCATTAATAATTTCATTTATTTATTTTTTTTAATCGTTAATTTATTAAATAATAATAATAATATTTTTCATTTTTCTTTTAATAATAAAAAAAATAAGTTTATATAAATAAGCCATTTTTATAAACTTATTAATAACTTAAACTTATATTTATTCATTTTTAATAAATTAAATTATTATACCTTAAACTTATTAAAAAAAAATATTATTTTTTTTTTTTAACTTTTTTTTTAAAATTAAAAATTTATTCTTTAAAAATTTATACACTTACGCGATTAAAAGTTATTAAAACATTATATACTTATTAAATTTAAATATAATACTTTTATAACTTTTATTAATAATTATTAAATAAATATATAATTTTAATAAAAATATTAAAAACTTTAATTATATTAAAAATATTATATATTTTTTAATATAATTTAAACATTTAAATAAAAAAATTAATAATAAAGTTTCTTATTTAATAAATAACTTTACCATCGCGTATAACCATATTAAAATTTTAAAAATTATATAAAATAATAACGTTATTATTATTAAAAATAAAAATTAAAAAATCATTTTTTTAAAAGTTAAGTCCTAAACTTAATCTTAAATTTATAAAAATAAATATATTAAATTATATATTAAGTTTAATAAAAAACTTATTCCGTATATAACGTCGTTTTTTTATATAATATAATTAAATATAAAGATTTAATTAATTAATAATATAAAATATATCCTTTAAAAATAATAATTTTAAATTAAAATATTATTAAAATATTAAAATAAAAAGAAAAAAATTAAAAAATAATTCACTTTTTAAATTAAAAAATATATTATTAAAAAATTTTTTAAATAAAAAAATCTTTATTAATTCTTATATAATTTTTTAAATAAATAAAAATAATAATTTTAATTTAATTAATTAATTTAAACGATAATATTAAAAAAATATTTCCGTAAACTTAAAGAATCTTTTATTTATTAACGAAAGAAAAAAAAATATATCGTTAAAATTTATAAAATATTTTTTATGAAAACCTTAATAATATCCGGAATAAATATTTTTTTAAATAATTATAAAAATATAATTTAATTTAAATAAAATATAAATAAATATTATTTTAAGTAAACACGTATAATAATCCGGAAAAAAAATTTATAAACCATTAAAAAATTATTTATAACAAGGAAAAAAAACTTAAAATATAAATTTAATTTATATAATAATTCTTTAAAAATTTTAAGTTTTTAATCCTTTTTTTTTTTTTAAAAAAAGATCGTTTTAACTATTTAAATTTAATTTATTATACTTAAGATCCGAATTTTAACACTTTAAGCGCCTATAAATATTCTATTAATTAATCCTGCATATATATAATAACCTAATAATTATTCCCAATAACCAATAGGCTACTTATTCCAACCCAACAGTCTCATATTCTATATATGTTGGAGGCGTGGCACCTATCGCCGTGTGACAGGTACGGAACGCCAATATCAACCCGGCCCCGGCATCGTCAACAGATCAAATGGCCAAAAGACTCTATTTAGACTTTTCACATCACCCACGGCAGTGGGCACAAAGACTATTGTCGACCCTGCGCCGACAAGCGGCGGCAAGAAACTGCCGTTGCAGGGAATCGTGACGATATGCGATGAGAATGGCTTACCAAGAGGGATCATCAATGCTAGTGAGCTCACCGGATACCGCACCTCGCTAATTGCCATGATCCCCTACATATGGCGGCGGAACACCGAAAACATCGTCGTGTACGGTGCCGGCAAGCAGGCTCTCTGGCACATCCGACTTGCGTTGGCTCTGCAGGGTAATGAGATTAAGTCCATCATCGTCGTGAATCGTTCTGAGCCGAGGGCGAAAGAGATGCTTGATAAAGTCGCGCAGGAGAACAGCGCACGCTGGAAGTCCTCGGCTACGATGAAGTACCTCGACCCTTCCGGTCCGGAGTTCGACCAGTCTTTGGAGACAGCATTGGCAGATGCCGATGCCATCTTCTGCACAGTGCCCTCCTATAAGCCCTTATTTCCGGCCAAGTATATTTTGGGCCAGGGGCAAAGGACGAAAAAGCCGTACGTCTCAGCTATCGGCTCCTGGCAGCCCGACATGATAGAGCTCGATCCGGACCTTGTAAAAAGTATTGTTGACGATACCGAAAATGGATTTCACCCGGAGCGCGACTCAGCAGGCGCCATCTTAGTTGATGATCGGGAAACCATCCTAACGCACGTCGGAGAAGCTGTGCAGAGCCAGTTGAAGTTAGACGATATGGTTGAAGTTGGCAAAATCGCCCACTTGCGAGAACACGATCCCGACCAAGCTCGGAAAGAGAAATTAAATCGATGGCTCGAAGAAGGTCTCGTCGTATACAAGAGCGTCGGCGTTAGCGTGACAGACCTCGCGGCCGGGGAGGCAATCTTGGCACTGGATAAGGAGAGAAATATAGGGTTTCATTTACCAGATTTCTAGATACTTCTATCTAGCGTAAATATCTGTCTTGATTACCCCGAGAGAGTCCTTATGATCACCAATCGTGTCTAGTGAGTACCTAGCTGAACACCTAGCCAAATCCGTGGTGCTATTTTAACGCTACGGGGCATCCGATCTCCACCCCTCACAGAAGCCCGACATAGTCAAACAACATAAATAAAGCTAGGCTTATTCGCCGGTAACCGTAATTTCGGCAGTTGATATGTGTTACGCTACGAGTTAAATCCGTATTTTGTACGACGTCTTTTGTCACAATCCCGTTCCAGTGACCTAATCTCTCGTAGAACAAGGTGGAACTTGGACATCTTAATTCCACAACGAACACCATGAGACCATCATTTTCAACATCTCATTCATCTATCCAGAGCTTCCCAAAAGCGCTAACTCTATCCTAAAATAACTTTTCATAATATCATCTACTTCGGCTCAAGCAAGCCAAAACCACGCCTTCTCCACCCAATTCCTCGGCACGGGCTCCACGTCCGCCGCCGACATGTCATCCATCTCCTTCTTCCCCGTCCAAATATCCACGTCCTCGACCCTCCTCGCGAACTTCGTCCTATGCACGATCTTGTGCCCGAAGTACAGCACCAGGAAAACCGGGATCGTGATATACGCCGCCAGGAACCCCGACGCGCTCCACTGCGCGGGAAAAAAGACCTGGAACCCGTTCGTCAGGGTAAGCAGGCTGACGAGGAACAGCACGGCGTACGTGGCGCCGGGCTGCAGCGGGGTGCGGAACGGCAGCGCCTCGAGCTGCCCGTGGTGCTGCACGGCCTTCCGAAAACGCAGGTACGTAATTAGGATCACGATCCAGGCGATGAAGCCCGAGATCGTCGAGATGTTGGTGAACCACGCGAACACCTGGGCGCCGGAGTTCGAGACGTTGAGGAAGGCCAGGCAGGCGATAGCCAGCGTGAACAGGACGGCGACCCAGGGGACGCCGCGCCGCGTCGTGAGGCCGAAGACGCGCGGCGCCTGGCCGTTGACCGCCATCGAGTACAGCACGCGCGAGCCCGAGTAGCAGAAGGCGTTGCCGGCGGACCAGGCGGAGGTCAGGATCGCGGCGTTGATGACGTGGTTGAGGCCGCGGATGCCGGCGCGCGCGATGCCGATGACGTACGGGCTGGCCGACGCGTTGGAGTCGCCGGACAGGAGCTGGCCGTCGTCGTTCGGCACGATGACGCCGATCGCGAGAGAGCCTAAGCCGTAGAAGATGGCGAGGCGCCAGACGAACCGGCGCGCTGCCTTCGGGATATTGCGCCGCGGCGCCACGGTCTCGCCCGCCGAGAGCGCGATCAGCTCGGGCGACGTGATGAAGGAGAAGCCGGCGCGCACGAAGGCGGTCCAGTACGCGAGGAAGCGGCCCGTGCTGCCCGGCACGAGGTACGGGACGAAGGCGCCGGGCGGGTCCTGCCAATACCGGAAGTACAGGGGGTCGTGGTTGGGGCCGCCGCCGAAGAAGAGGACGATGCTGAGGATGATGAGGCCGATGATGGTGATGAGCTTGATGCTGGCGAACCAGAACTCGGCCTCGCCGAAGAAGGACACGGCGATGATGTTGAGGAGCAGGATCACGATGAGCTGCAGCGCGATCCAGACGGCGACGGGGACCGCGGTCGTCCAGTACTGCAGGATGATGGCCCCGGCGGTGCATTCTGCGGCGACGAGCATCGCGTACGCGTACCAGTAGTTCCAGCCATCGGCGAAGGCGAGACTAGGTTCGACAAAGCGGCCTACGAAATATGGTATGGAGATTCCTTTCAGGGGTACTGCGCCGATCTCAGGTTAGCGAGACATAACATGAGAAAAGCCTTCGAAGAGGATTAAATACGATCTACGGGTATATTCTTCCTTGGGGTTGGGCCAATGTCTGGGAAATGCTCTCATTGACAGGGAATATGGATCTCAAAATAACTCACGGTACGTGACCATCTCAGCCAAATCGTTCATTATAACCCACACGATGAACATCATAGACAAGTACGCCATAAACAAGGGTGCCGGCCCCGTGGTAGCGAGGATCTGACCCGAACCGATGAACAGACCGGTTCCGATTCTAGAAGTGCGCGGATCGTTTAGTAAGCACCGCCGCCAATTGGACAGCTAAGGATAGCCAGAGAACAGATATGCGACTTACGCGCCTCCGAGGGCAAGAAACTGGATATGCCGACTTTTCAAGCCTCTCTTTAGCTGATGCCCTGTCGCGAGGTTCATCTCCCCAATGCGATTCGACGCGGTCCGCTCAAGCTCCCCTTTCGACTCCGTCTCGGCCTGGCCGGAGTCGGTCGCATAGGCCACATTGTCGCCGCCGTCTTGTCTCATCGTCCACCTCTCCTACACTGCGAAAAGGTTTGCGAGAGAAAAGTTTGCTGCTTCATGCAGCAACGAAACGACCTTGTACAATCCCCGCAGCTCTTTTGTTACGCGGAGAGATCGTCGTCGGGGACTACATGCAAGTAGGTAAGATTTATGTGAGTTGCATGTAAGACGAGATAAGAAAAGCAAAAAAAAAAATTCTGTCAGACACGCGACTCAGCCTTGCGGTTTTTAAAACAAACATCCGATTTGCCTTAAAGAGGCAGGGACGCAGACAGATCCCCGATGGATGAGGCGGTGGATCTTGCCATTCCTCTTACCCAGGCGTATGGGGCGTAGGTGGCGTCAGGTGGATCCTCATGGCCGGTCGGACTTCCTGAACGGTGAAGATCGGAGTTGAAGGTTGCCTCTTGAGGGATAGCGAAATGCGGAGAATGGGGATCAGGATTTCCCACGTTATTTCAATTCGTTATGAGAGAGATAAACCAATGAGATTATTACTCTTACCTTTAGGTAATTACACCTAGTCTGGCAGTCTGAAGTCTAGACTTTGGTATCAAAAGGAAACTTGAATGCCCTCCTAAGGCTAAAGGTGTAAGGCTTAGACTCAAAACTACCGGCATTAGAATTTAGGATTAAACATTAGTGAGAACTAGAGGCTAAAAGTTTAATTTCTTCATTACTGGATATTTATCTTTTTCATAATCAGTTGTTCCTAGGTAAGACGATTGTGTTATTAGAATTGATAATACCATAGATTGGCAGTGATAATATCATTATCTGGGCATCAGACAACTGGAACATGATCTTTTTTGTTCGGTATCTTAAATTGGCTTAGGCATATTGACAATACAGCCGTTTCTACCCGAAATCCATTTGCTCGGGCTGAACGTCGGCAAACTTCAAGTCCGTGTAACGTCGGCTTAGGTAATCGTGTATAGGACGTTTCAAATATTGGCAGTGTGGAAGTATGTATGAGGACCTCGGATGCAATGTTATGTCTCAGGTCGTCTTCTGCAGACATAATCTACTTTTAGCGCGTTGAGAGGACTCAGAATGGCTTGGTGTTGGTGTGGGTGTGATTACGACGCATTACCCCAGTCGCTTGCGTGGAACATCCAAATAAGTAGCCCTCAAGCCCATCTGCTCCGCGCTTCCTGTAGCAAACGGGAATCTTGTAGAATGAATAGGTACCTTACCCAACAGCAAACGCCCGAACCCGACGCAAATTTGCTCAACTTCAAACGCCATTACCGAATTGTTTTATTCCTCTAATCTATACAAAGACCACCGATGTCGTTCTAAGCCTAGCGGTTTTTTCACCCAACCTTTCATTTAAATAGGTCGCTTGAAAGGATGCGCTTCTGTGTTCAACACCCACTCATCCAAGCTAATAAGGTTTGGATCTGAATAACTGCGCGAGCTGTGAGCAATTTTCAATTTCATCAATCTGTCTTGAAATGGGATCACTTACAGCAGATAGAAGTACTTGAGGGTTTCCGCAAGCCAAAAACTCTCCATCGCGTCAGTCTTATCCGAATTCGGTAACAGAACATTGTCGATAGCACTGTTGCCCGCCTCGGTCCTGGTTTGGCTAACGATAGCATTAAACATCTTCCATCCTTTGTCCTGCCATGTCGTATCGCCCGTGATGCGGTACATGTACCAGACGGACTCGATAGCTTCTGGCCTAAGAGAGAGTATGGGTTAGTCGGACATCCGAGAGTATTACAGACATCTTACGCATAATGCGGCGTCAACCACTTTCACTAACCTGAGGATATAAGAATGATAGTGGGCACTGACGAAACCAGGCGGGAGGTTCTCTGCTTCAATGCGGTTCCCTACGTACTGTTCATGGGACATCGGGCGCTCCGGTTCCGGGTATTCGATATCGATTTCTTCCTGCGTAAGGGGAACTTGATCGACATTATCACGGACAGAAGCAGCTACGGCATCTTTGCCACCATTGATATCAAGCGCATCTTCCAAATTCGCCGCCTGAGCCGACTTTTTAGGGGTGATACCGTTGTCAACATCATTAGTCGAGGCCCCTTTCGATGGTGGTGGTGCGGGCGGCGCCCTCTTCTGCATTCCAATACTCCCAAGCCCAGTCTTCTGAGTGGCCACCTGCGAGCTGCCGAATTCCTCGTCAACGAGACCAGCGGAGGCCGTCCCCCCGGATGCCGCGCCAAGATTTTTGTGTCCCTTCATTTTCGCCTGTTGAGCTTTTTTCGATTTCCAGTCCTTATGCTGTTTTTCGTATTCCGCCATCTGCTCCATACGAGTTTCATAAAGAGGATCCAAATACTGCCAGTATAAGGTCTCGTTCCAGTGACAGTTGTTGACTTCGGCACAGGGAACGACAGTTGCACCCTCTGGCATAATACCGCTAGGTGTGTTTTCATAAGCCCATACGCAGCCATCGGTGAGTCTCTTTCCGATCTCTACGTCTTCGGGGACATCAAATATTTTCCCGCCCATGCCAAACATACCGCCGATGAAACAAGTGAGATGAGTGACTTCCCACTCAGTTGTCGCGTCGACCTCCGGATTCCCTTGAGTGTTGATTTTGGCGGAGAATAAGATGTCACGGTCATCAGGAATCATTGGCCGGAAGAGGAGCCATTTTTTGACAGCTGCAGTTACTTTGGCGTGCAGGGTTTTATACTTGGGTTCTAGGCCCCCGAGGAGTAGCCATTGCTTAGGGAAGTACTCGTACGTGCTGTCTTGACTTCCACCCATACTATACTGTTCATTTGAACTCCACGATCCTGCTGTAAGGCCTTGTGGAACACAGTTGTCCTTCTTCTTCTTAGGTTCGGAGTTGACAGAAGTGCTGTCATGATTGTCCACTGTGGTGTCATCTTGATCCATGTCGTTCTCGTCAGCAACCCTCTTTTTCGAGGGTGCGTACATTTCCTCCCCGCCGTGTTCGATCTTCACTTTGTTGGTTCCGTCGTCATTAGGCGTCCCCACGGCGCGGCTTTCTAGGCGACTCGTCTCGCCCTTAACCAATTTACCTTGGCTACTTCCCACTTCCACGCCCTGTTTGCTACTTTTAGTATTCTCCGGATCGTACGCCTGAAGACCAATTTGCCTTAATTTCTCAACCTCGGCCTCCTTGGCGGCGATCTCTAATGCCGCGGTTCTGTTGCATCCAGTCGCATCGACGCGCTCAGGAAAGATACCAGGGATTGTTGTTCCCCGCTCTTGCCACTCGTAGAAGGCATCTGTGATGCGTGCTACAGCATCATAATACCTATTTTCCTTTGTGATTTGGGCAAGTCGTGTGAATTCCATGGCAAGAGAGCCTAGCTCCGCCACACTTACCCCCGCTTGAGCTCTCTTCGGTAGCTTCGCGAAGGCGGGCTTCCAATTATAGTACAGCACAGGCATACGATTTGGCGTATCAAAAACGTCCATCAGAATTTCGGCAAGTTCGATAGCCTTCTCGAGAAGTATATCATACCCTCCAGCTTTACCACCACTAACATCATAGGCAGCTACTAGTCCACCAAGATATCGAATAGTGGTCTCGAAGACGGGGATCTCAGTTCGGAACTCAGAGGTGGTGAAGTCGATCTTCTCGACCTCGAGAAGTGCCTCCTCGAACTCATTTTTCATTCCCATGATCCATAATGTGTCGAGTGCGTCGACCAACGTTGCAGCCCATCCGCAGAACGGGTCACGAAATTTCTTGGACACAGGGCTTAATTCATCGTGTCCCTTGGCATGGGTCATATAACCATTCCAACCACGCACCATCTCGGCCTTGACCTTAGCAAGACGATCCAGGCGCTTTTCCCGAGCTTGAGCCGATTCTTTTTCGAAATCATATTGGATCGGTAGTATAGGTTTAGGCTTCCCCGTCGGAAGGGGAATTATTTCGTCTTTGGGGACGGGGAAATGCTCGGGGAATTTCTTCCAGTGAATTGTAGTGGTTGCGCTCTGGGTCTTAGACTTATGCGCACCAGGTGCGCCGTGAACACCTTTACCAGGAGGCCCTCCAACGCCCTTGGCGCCTTGACCAACATTCTTGTCTGGAATACTGATTAATGGAGCAGTGGTGGTCTTCGCAGCCTCATCTTTATCGTATACGCGTACTTGACTCTGGTTCGTCGCGGTAGCCGTGTTCTGAGAGTCGAATTTGCCACCATCGTCTTCGCCGGTCGTTGGTTTCAGGTTAGGAATCTTGACTTTTTCGGGTTCTTTGCCTGGTTTCTCTTTCAATTGTACTCGAGGTTCGTCATCTTCACTGGTAAACCCAGTCTCGCTCTTGACAGGACCAGGTCGGGTTTGCTTATTAGTCAAGCCGAAGCCTCGCTCAAGAGACGACTTAGGTGGGGCTTTGGCTAAGGGAATGGATGCCGAGACGGATTCCCATTGCTCATTATTCTGAGTGACACGATACAGCAGGAAGACGACAATGGCAGCAAAGAAGACATAATAGCGGTATCTTCGAAAGCGAAACATGATTGCAATCGCATGTAATATATGCAGGGCAGCTACTCAGCCCTAGCCGAGTCCCGAGTAGCTGTGAGGCTGGAGGCGGGATGTGGGATGTGGGACGTGGGGCAAGGGAGAGACGAAAGGCAGTCAAGCCAATGTCTTGATCTCACGAGCCTGGAAAGAAAGCGGAAAGGAACAACACGAAGTTCAACCAAGACTCAATTCTAGCATTTTTATCCAAGCTCTGGTGCATAAGGAGCGTAGGAAGGTTGAAGTGCTGGATCAAGAGCGACTTCGAAGCACGGTCGAGCTCAGTCGATCCAAGCAGAATACGAGCCAGCGAGCCCAGACAATCGACCGAGGCTAAAAAGCAAACAATAAGCTGGAACAAGAAAGGGCGATTCGATTTACTGAAACATCTCCCTTTCTCAAGATACCTAGGTAGGTCTAGGTTGAAGATATCTAGGTAGATAACATCAAATAGCGAAAAGAATGAAAACAGGAAAGTCAATTAGAACATTAAACATAGAAGGACAGATGGTCGGCAAGGCCAATACCTAGTAATAATTGCCGTGTCGCAGTTCGGAGGAAATATTGACAAATGGAAACGCCAAGTGCACTAGGGGTCCCGAATGTACAGGTGAACGGTTAAGGCCAAAGCGAGTGCTTGGCATCTTCCTTCATTGGGCATACTGGTCGTAACCAAGGAAGTCATCAATGGCGTCGGCGGCTTACTCTTGGCATAGACACTGACGTTGCAGTGCTTAGATTGCCAAATTGCCATGAATTGTGAATAAGATCTGACGGAGATCCAGACGGTTTGATGGTTTTTGAAAGGAAGAGAAATGCATGTATGTAACTATTTCAGGTAAGTAAAGTATAAGATGCACTAGAAACACGCACGACCGTACGACGTCAGATCTACGTGGATATATGAAAAGGGTAGTAACAACCCCAATTGAAGGTACAATGTCTCAGCGGTGCTACTCCTCCGTATGAAGTAGCTCCGCTTTAAATAGACACCCACCTTCCACGGTTATGGCACAGAAGATCTAGACCTATCTTAAACTCCTCCTTCCTCTTATTATCTAGGACTTTCAATAGCCTACAGGTTTTCAAGATTTATTATCGATTTATCATCATAAACCCTAGTCATATACTGGCACATATTATGTATACCAGATATGCATCCATATCCTCAGGCACGTATGAGACAAATGTTTGTGTGATAATACCAAACGTACGAAGTAGGACTATGTCACTCAAATTGTGACGATCAATTGTTACACTCGTCGATTTTGCTACCAACTAGCATCGCCCGAGTTGGCGATCTTTGTGGGGTGCATAAACCCATGCTGACCAAATCATTATCCGAGATCCCCATAACTCGACTTTCCAGATTAACCCTTTCCGAATTCAGAAATCGATACAACTCCTAATATTCATTACACCTATTACATATGTATGTATATCGCCTCAAAAACACCCATAATATGACATACACCGTACGCGTATCGCTATTTTTTGGTACGCAACATCGGTGTGCAAGGCGGTGGGCCTCCATATCGTATTTCAATGTCTTGCGCCTTAAACCCACACCGGTCGCAGATCCCCATGCCTCGCATCCCAGCGTCCAGGTAACATGGGATGTCGAGGCTATCCGCCAACTTCGTCGCCCATTCCATAAGCGCCGATGCGTATCCCCTTCCTCGGTTGCTCGATTTTGTCATGATGAGCTCGATGACTGCGTTCAATGTCACTTCAGCAAGCTATTGACCGGTCTGTATGTTTAGCTGGATAACTTACACACGTGGCCTTCTTTTCCCACAACTAGATAGTGAGCTCTGGCCAACGGCTCAAAGAACTCGGCGAGCTTCTCTTCACTCATACCCGGAATGTCATCACATCGCGTCCATCGTGTCTTCCAAGCATCTCCCGAAATGCTCTGACCCGAATGGACAATATGGACAATTGCGAGCGCGACAGGTTTACCTATTCTCCTTTGTTAAAACGTGACTGAAGTTTGAGCTAAGTTGTTTAACAGACTGTTGAGATTCCTGACGACGGCAACCTTGGACTCAGGCTTGTAGTAGGACTTCTGGCCTAGGAAGTTCTCGAAACTCCGCTGGAGCCACTTGCGTCCGCCTTCTGTCTGTGGGAACACTACTTCCCCGGGCCCGCTGAAGGCTTCCCAGAATATCTCCACGAGGTCGGGGATATCGTCGGGTGTTGCTAGGCTTACTTTTCCCGCCATGTCATGTACCTTGTCTGCCGTTTGCAAGCCGTACGTGGTAGAAATCTAAGCAGTCCGTTCATTGTGAAATGGGCGAGTCCTCGGTTCTTTTATTTCTGTGGTCAATACGAACCATCTCTTTAGAGTTCAAAAATGTCAAACTTGCCGAGCCGGTGTCAATTGTCAACTCTAACCTTACCCGCAATAAAGTTCTCGGCCCTGTCCGATATGGGCATTTAACCTATTTCCCCACCTCAAGTTCGGATGACAGCTCGTCATTGTGAATCATGGACTGACTACCATCACGCCTGTATACGAGCCTAATTCGTCAGCTCCAGTTGAAGTCATCTTTCACATGATCGAGGTTGATCCTGTTCGAGCTACACCGAGCCAATAGGAATTAGCCGTGCATGGAAGTTGATGAACTCTCTCGGTGAATGTATGTCCCGTTGTCTACTCCGATGAGCAGTATATTCATCTAGGTATATGATGGTACTTGGGATGCTGCTCGTATGGATGTCTTTTGAGTCACCATTCCGTGGTTGCCCCTAGAAACTTCCCCTAGGACAGGTACCCCTATTGTGAATATATTGTTGAAAGACAATGTTAGGAACCAGGAATGGAGCTTCTCATTTCATACAGAGCTTTTTATTTTAATCGGCATGTCCTAAACGTCATAAAAATTTACATCTATTGCTACACGTAATCGTCATAACTCTCCCGGTTCACATTCACATTAAGGATCGGCTCACCAAGCAAGAAGTAAGCCCAAGATCAACAACCTCAATACCCTGCCCAACCCCCAACGCCATCGCAATCCCCTTGACGATGTAGCAGCACTAGACGGTGATGGCTCCGCGCTCGAACTAGAGCCCGAATCCGCACTTGTAGTCGTGCCTGACGCCACGTACGACACCGGCACCGTAACCTCCGCCACGCTCACACCACTCGCCGTGTTAGCCCATAGACACATCGGCGACCCGGAAGCGCCGTACGTCGGGGTGCCCCAACCCCACAAATCATTCGTGATAGTGGCCGAGAGATCTCCGCTCACGGTCGCACTCGCGCTTACACTAGCATAGGTGACCGGAAACAAATCCGCGTCCGAAGCATTCGTCGCGGCTAGGCTAGCCAGCGGGCTTGCTAACGTGCCGGGTGCGCAGGAAGTTCTTGCACTAGAGCCCGGGATGGGATTGAGCGCTTGCGATTGCACCCCGGAGATGGGGCAGCAGAGGAGGTTTGATAGGTCAATTGGGGTGGTAGTGTTAGTGTTCGGGACGGAATACGGGAAAAGCCAGTTGGAGGAGTTAAGTGAAGAGTACAGGTCAATGGAGGTATCGACGATGACACCGTCGCAGCATATGCTGATGAAATCTTCTTGCTTGACGCTAATGCCTGATTCCGGGCATATGAAGAGTGATTTGCGCTCGGATTGGGGCATGAGACACCATTCCGGAATAGGGCCCGTGGGGATGGATGTGGTGACTGATGAAGACGACATTATTGATGCATGTTTAGGGTAAGTGACTTGAGAGGATTTGTAGAGGCAAGTATTATCATACCTAGTCTCTGTGTGTTAAAGTTGATTAAAGCTGAGAATGGAGGATGAGGTGTGGTCGTATTAGGTAGCCCATATTGAGTCTAGGTGCCCTGTCCTAACCCCTGCGAAAAGCGCCATGATACCCTCCTAAATGATTCGAGGTTTTTTCTATTGGGGTACAATATACCTACGCGTGCTCGCAAAATCAACATGGTTAGAATTCTAGACTTAACCGGGGATCAAGTGGTAGTCCTTCTTGATAGGTAGTAGGTATTCAGCTGGCTTATCTGGCCTTCCATGTAATGGCTGATCCATTGACCCAAACCTGTGCGGAGGTTGCTGGTCAGAGTTATGATGATTATCAGAGGCTGAGCTGAGGAACCAATGCTCTTGTTCGTGATGCGGGGGCACGGATGTACGGACGAGGCGCCACTCGCCATTGCTGACAAAACCTCCCTGTGCACACTACCAGTGGAGGATAACCAACTCCACCTCACCTTAAAAACAGGTCAATCGGAATTTTCACAATACACTGGCTGTTGGACGGTGCACTATCTACAATCACTTCGCTTTGCCCTCGCATATCCTCGTTAGGGCCGCGTATGCTGCACATTATTCCAGTCCAGTTGGAGTGTTGGTGTGAAATAGAAATTCAATCCGTAGGATTTCACTAAACGTAATCCAATCAATACCTACTCGCGGTCATGTTGGTTTCACCGAAGGCCATCGGCTTACGGATGTAAGGCGCGATCTAACGTCAATGGTTGGCATATCAACGCATCCCCTAGTCTCGAGACACCTAAATTATCTATCCTACACCCAATTACTCGCCACGCTCTGGGTGCGCAGATCACAAGGGAGGAGAATAATTAACCTGAGAAGAGTTGCTATCAAAAGATACCTAAGGTAACAAGGGAGTCTAACATTCTTACCTAAGGTTGTTTACCTTTATTATTACGATCTCAATTCCCGGCTATATCTTACCTATAAATCATATTAAGAAACATAGATTACAACATGGCCAACGCCGAAAGGTCCTCTATTGATTTTATCGAAGCTGTGCAGAACGTCCTTGACAGCAAAGATGAGGCAGCTCGTAAGCAAATGCTTGGGACTGCCACACAGGCGATGGCGATGCTGGAAACCCCTGTTGACGCCATCTGGAGGCTAATCATGTCTGTAAGTGTTAATATGAGACTAACGTGATCAATTTCGAAACATCTTACCTAGAACAATTAGCCGCACGCTCCCTCTGCGCTGATGGCCCTGATCAAGGCCGGCGTTATTCAAGAGATTGCCAAAACCGACTCTTCAACGGCCGACCAGCTTGCTAAAACTACTGGAGCCGACAGACTCCTGATAGGTGGGTGTGAGAGCAGTCTGAGGTGTTATTAAAAATATTAACGTCGTTAAGTGCGGCTCTTGCGGCCCTTGAATGCATTAGGCATCGTGAAAGAAATAAGTCCAGAGGAATATGCTCCCACTGCTATCACGAAGGCTTTGGTAGACCGTGTCCTACTTGGAGGATATCAATTCATGTAAGGTGTGTTCTATCCATGCCAATAAGGAAACACTAAAGTAGAGGTGCGACAGGTTTTCCGCCGCGACACGATCTTTAGCCAATCTGCCATTCTATCTAGAGAAAACGGGCTTCAAGAATGTGGAGGGCTCTCCTGGCCCTTTCCAAGATGCACATAATACACAGGATAATATGTTTCCGTGGCTAATCAAGGACCCGCCAATGATGGGGAATTTCAATGCATTTATGACAGGCCAGCGGATAGACCGCAAGCAGTGGTTTGACATCTTCGATGTCGAGGATATCTTGCTCAAAGGGGCTAAAATAGACCAGGACGCTACATTGATGGTTGATGTCGCTGGAGGCGAGGGCTATGATATCGCCGAATTTCACAAGCGCTATCCAGATGCCCCAGGACGGCTCATTGTCCAAGATCTTCCTGCCGTTATAGACAGCATTCAGGATCTTACTCCCAGGGTCGAACGTCAGAAGCATGACTTTTTCCAGCCACAGCCGATCAAAGGTATTATAATAAATGTCATATTCCACATCACATATGGCAGAGTAGATGGCTAATGCGTAGCGATAGGTGCCAGGTGTTATTATTTCCGCTCTATCCTCCACGATTGGCCTGATGCCGATTGCATCAAGATCCTCCAGAACACAGCAGAGGCTATGACGCCGGGATACTCGAAATTACTCCTGTCCGAGTTTGTATTACCTGCCAGCAATGTTTCACTTTACCCTGCGTTGCTCGATGTTAATATGATGGGTGAGATTCCCCCTCTCGTCGCCAGTTTATCTCAATGTTGGCTTACTATGGTGTGATATGCTGACATATTCTTGACCAGCCGTGCTCAACGCAATGGAAAGAACAGAAGCTCAATGGAGTAAGCTACTAGATGCTGCTGGGCTGGAAGTCGTCAAGTTTTGGTCTTCAGACGCGGAGACTGAGGGCCTCGTTGAGGCTGTGTTGAAAGATTGAGTCGTTCAAATTAGGGGTGTGCGAGATGCCCCCAGTGCCTTCATTACCTAGGTTGGACTTGTGTTTTCCATTGAATCGTATGAAGGTCTTATACGAAGTTTAATCCACCATTACAGTGTCCCAAAGCTATGCTAACTGGAAGCATTAGAAGCTTCCTAGCTTGGATTCGCTTTCATTTTATTTTGCGAGTTCGAGATATCTTTATTAAGGATCTCCCCCTTCCATTAAAGGGTTACTCCTTTATTACGTAATTTATCAGCCCCTGCCAAGAAACTCCTATTTAGGTACCTACTGGAAAGGTATGTAAGGGGTATAAGTCTCGATTTTTATTGTCATATTAAATTATAATCAAAAACATAGGTAATCGGAAGCAAACATCTATCATATTTTACGCTTAGCTCGCTCTTTATAATATCATGCCCCAAGCACGAGCAGCAGCGTTTCGAGAATAGTTTCAACTTCCTAATGGACCGATAACGTCATGAATTGTCACCGCCCTTGCTTTCATCCACTCGTGGACCGCGTCCCAATCAACACAGACAGATTCTTGGGTTATCTGGACTGCAGGCTTGATGTTGCTATGTGGAGTCCATGTGAATGTGTAAAGACTCAGGTCAGGTCTGCATAATACCTGTGTGCGAAGAGCTTCTAAACAGTGATCGACATGTATGTTTATGTCATCCCAGTCTTGTTCCCCTTGGCTATAGTAGTATTCCGGGTGGATGTATTGCTTGATTCGTTTCTAGTGCGAATATAATGAGTCAGCTTGAGGAAATTCACCATCTGCAATAGGTATTGTTGAAGGCGTTTCTTCAGGGAACTCCCTATAAACCAAGAGGGTGAACGTAATTACTTACTAGGCAATGCAATGAGTGCATAATGCCTAAGCCGCCAATGTAGCCGCCACCTTTGAGATGTACAACATCAGTCGCCTTGGCTAGTAACACATCTTCTGCGGATAGACGTATGCCGGTGCCATTAAGCAAGTCATGCCACGCTGTATCTAGTTCTGGTCGCGGATCGCCCATGAATTTTGAGCTATTGAAGTCACTGGTTAAGTTCCTATTCACGTATTTCACCGGGGCGGGAGCTTTACATCGATGTTCTTATCAGTGCAATTATTCTTTCATTCGTAATGGAGATTTTACTTACAGTATGGCTTCTTTATATTCGGCATTTCTAGTGGACAACTTGACGAGTCCCGGTTAAGAATATATAAGAGACTTGCAATAAATAATGCAGTGATGGACATTGAAAAGAATAGAAGGGCATAAAATCTCCATCGCCAGATGCGAACGGCATGAAAACCTCTCAAGATGTCTGGATCTTCGTCTTCAGATGCAATAGGGGCATATTCCGATCCAGCCTCTGTTGTATGTACCATATTTGTATCTCTTTCAAGTTTAGTGTGAGTTGAGTACCCCATGATAGAGAAGTCGGATAATTTTGTAGGAGTATGTGCTGTTTGTAGAACAGAGTCTTAGAGCTTGTGAGAGTAGATTCAAGTAGGCGAGGACCCGTATTAGTGAAAGCGAGAGACTTTAACGGCTCTCGTCGTTCTGGCCAGGCCGGACTTTGGTCACCGGTAAGATAGATGGACGGCATGAGCTACTGCTTGCGTTCAAGTCATATGTTGCACCGCATGACTGTCCCAGTCATTCTAATTGAATTCCTATGCAGATCCACCAGGAAATTGGCGGAACCGGCGGGGACTCGGATTTTCTCGTTGGTCAACTGATAGGTTCCTTTCCTAAAATGGATATCCGTTTGGATATCCTCCAGGTATAAGATCATAGTTGGATCCGTTTGCGAAAACCTTTCTTGTAGTATGATTTACTCTGTTGTCTTTAACAATATTAGGAACAACGATACACATTGAAAAGTCACCACCATGAATATTATCATTATCAACATGGTCTTTACTTTGGCTATTGGAGTGACTGCTTTGCCGGTTATAAGTGAGTACCAACGTTCTGTTTCAAAAGATCTCCATAATTGCCCTCACTAAACCTCTACATCAGACTCTCAAGTCCACCCACAAGTGAGAGACACGGCGGACAAAGATGGCACAGATGGCGATTGGGTGTTGCTGAAGAAGGCTAGCATCTCGGGAACCGAATTCTGATTCATGTCATTGAACACATTGTAATTGTTTCTGGGGGTACTGGTACTATTGTGGCAGAAAGTTGCTTCGTATCCACAGTCAATATAGTTAAGAGCGGCACAGCAACTCTCATTCTACGATTCTTGGGGAAATCACTTCTCAAATGGTTGGATAGATGCACGTCTAGTTTGAATTGGAACCGGATCTAAATGAATATTGGCCATTATATGCTGCAGTCATATGCACCACAGAGTTGACGTTGCCATAATGGATGCGAGCAATAACGCCGACTGGATGCCCAGCTGTTGTGTAACATGTTGAGGATGACACAGCCATCCATGTAACTCTACGCGCAGAACCTTGACGCCGATGTGACCAATCGGCTGGTTCGAAAGTGATGCCAGCCATGTAGATATAGTCGATATTCCCTGGCTCATTTGATATGTAGGTAGGTAATGAGACGTCATCCTTCGGGTTTAGACGTTGTCCGACGACTAGGGAGTTTAAGTAAAGATAAGAAGGTAGGAACTAAGAACCAATTAAAGGCCAAGTGGGTAAGAATAAGTGAAAGTGAAGTCGGTCGATACCGAATTTGAAGTCATTCTAAGGTTAGGTACTTGGCTACCTTAGGCACCTAGTTACCTAACTTGGAAGTATCTTAGGAATGATATTCAAATGGCTGCCTGAGTAGTAGTAACTGTAGGATCCAACCATTGTCCGAAGACGTTGGAATTTAGAAAGAAGGTAATTTGTGCTAACTTGTGAGTTATCCGCCAACCCGTAGAAATGAGTGTATGAACTAGCTGTCATCATCTATAACATGATACATGTAGGTTTACTTCGTAGGAACTGGGTCTCGCTTCATGACGAAACCATGAATAGGGCATCCAAGCTTCCTTCTTGTTTCCTCGAATTCCTCGCTCGGATTCTCCACATGAGCGTCTAGATAGAGGTCGTCGATGACATAGAATCCGCTTTTCTCATATACTGCACGGGCAGATTCGGTAGATTCGACGATTATCTCTAATCCTAGCTCGTCGGCTTTTTTGGTCCCCCAATTCAACATCAAGGTCGCAGCGCCTTGTCTTCTGTGTGCGGAATGCACAAAGCAGAATTCTATCACTGTTGATGAATTTCACAAGTCAGTAATTGCATTTCGTCGGAAGCATAGAGCAGGACTTACGAAGATGTGGTTTACTTGCAAAGGTAGGACGCTTTGACTCCCAGGCAAGCATGAGCTGATCCCCAATCTGTTTCAAGGTGCCTGTCATGTTCTAGATTTGAGTACGTCTGTTTTACCTGATGTGGGGTGCTTCCTCTCTAGACATACCTTCAGGTAACCAGTAAGCCGTCAACGGGGTCCGCTCAACTGCAAATGGATTCGTCTTATGAATATTCCATTGTGTTCCGCCAATCACTTCGCCGGTCGCTTCATCGGTAACATAGACCCAATGGCTAGTAGGGTCACTCTTATGCCACGATAGTTGACGGGAACAGAACTCGTCCTTCGAAGAGCCTTTCAAGATCTCCCAGACGCCGTTCAGTGGTTTGCTGTAAGCCTCATGTTCTACCTCAACCATCGGCTTGAACTCCTCATCACTGGCTAGTTCGTGGAGCTTTAGCGGCGGCATTGTCTGTAGACGCGAGGATACAATTTAAGCATGTATAACCAAATCAAACGGCAAACTTCGAGAGCTATCTCCTAACGGATTATAACTCTTATTTCTTTCTTACCTATTTATCTAAAACTAGATATCTACCTACGCAGGCAGGTATCGCGTAATAAAGTGTCCTTGAAAGCTATCTAGGTAGGTACCTACCCCCCTCTATGTATGCCCCTCGTTATCCCACCTGCAACCTCCCTTTTCGTACACCATATTGCAACGTAAGGGACGTGGTTTGTATCACCAACTAACATAAACCTCCCTACTAACCATCTGTATCGATTCAATCGGGGTGAAGAAGAGGGGCATACCGTAACACAGAACCACCTTTTCACGACTACGTCTAACCTTACCCCTATTCCTATTCCTATCCCTATTCCTATCACCGTTCCCATTAGGAAGGCGTGCGCCTGAGACCGGTCTGGACAGGCGCAGTTTTCAGAGGAAGAATGATACATTGATTGTAGGCACCTACGAAATGTAACAGGAATCATTTTATAGGTTCAGCTGGGTCCCTTCTCTGGAAAATTAATGCGACATTTCGGATTCATGACCCTCGTGAATGGACGAGGACCCCGGTCTTACAGCTTGACCAGGGTGGCTCAGTATATCCACCCACACTCAGGCTCTGATTAGCTTTTCGGAAGGATTTTAGGTTCCATTGCATGTTTATGAGATATCTGCAAGTAATTATTAGTCAGCCAGCAATACCTACCTAGGGTAGCAAGATGCCGGGGTGCGAGTCTTTTTCTTCATTTTTTCCCCCGTATCGTATGGCGGCAATGGCTTCCTGATATATAAGTCGTAAGGAATGCAACCGCCGGCAAAGCTCGATACGTACAACATCGGCCAGATGCGTCTAAAAAGTCATAACTACGTAATAGGCCTCCTAAATTATAGTAATGTTGGTGTTGGGGTAACCGTTGTATTCGTGTAGTTACACAACTGTTTGACTCGGTGGACACGCGCAGAAGTGTCATGGATGGTAGGCCGGGTGGCATTGGTAAAGCTTGATCTTTCTGGGCGAACTATTCCCATGTTCCTCCTTGCCCAGGTAAGGAGTAAAATGGACGTAGGTACATACTTATTTGGGAGATATGTGATCTTCTCATTCTTAGTCGAATATCGAGTTGATGGTTATATCTATCTGCCTACTGTAAATATGTAGAGCCTACATTGTTTAAGAACTTGGCGACTTGGCACTTGTCCAATTGATGAAACTCTCACCCTGAAGCAAATTCTTTTTAGATCCAGCAAGAGAATACCGTGAATCAAACTTCAATGAGCTCCTCCGATACGAGTATCTCCTCTCAGGGCAGCCCCGAAAACTATGGAACCGTAGTAAACGTTGTTTCTTGGTTTCTCCTTATCACGAGCTCCCTCACTATTCTTGTCCGACTTGCGATGAAATGGGTGCTATTGAAAAGATTTCACACGGATGATGGACTGATCCTAGTGTCGCAGGTGGGTTATGCCACTGTTTCGAACATTCTCATTCCCTCCTAATCTTTGTTAGGTCCTTAGTATTTCGCAGACAATCGCAACGTCTATAGAGGTCGCGAATGGCTTAGGATCACGATTCGACACTCTGAGTAGCGACAATGTCACAGCCTTCCAAAAGGTATTTGATAGGAGCCCCTCGATTTTCCCATCGAAAATGTAATTAGGCACCCAATTTATATGCTAACATTCACATAAGTCATTCTATGCGGCAAATGTGCTTTCTGTCGCAAGCCAAGCAATGTCGAAGTTATCTCTAGTGTTCTACATTAGAGTACTTTCCCCTATTAATCTACATAGAGCATCATGTTGGGTACTCATGGGGGCCACATTACTTTGGATGTTGACTTCAGTCATACTATTGCTATTCCAGTGTAGTAGTCCGACGTTCTGGGACTTCATAACCAACTGGTGCATAAACCGACTGGCTATTTGGTATTATATCAATGTCGTAAACATCCTCATTGATATCTGCTTAATAGTATTGCCTGTGACGGTAGTATGGAAATTACAGACTCAGTTTAAACGCAAGTTGGTTGTTATCTCATGCTTCACTACTCGAATCCTGTAAGTCTCTAAAGGTGTAATGAATTAACGCCCTGTGTGCTAACGTACAAAGGACCATCGCCGCAACTAGCTGGCAGATTCATGGGTCCCAGAAGCTAAACGACTACGAAGATGCAACATATTCATACTGGTCTTTCGTCCTCGCCATGACACTAGCCCAGAACTTAGGCGTTATGACAGCATCTGTCCCCTATTTGAAACCATTCCTCGACAGTCTAGAGTCAGGCTTGATACGGAGCGACGATATGCGACGACGCGCGAATATTCCAAAGTCAACCGCTGGCTCCGGTCAAAAGCAAACAGATAGTTCTTTCTCCTCGAACCCTCCCAAGTCTACCCGTGGTGTGACATCGCATGAGTTACAAGACCTCAGGTATGACAATTCTAAAGCTACCGTGTCGATAACTGCTGGGAGGGCAGGGAGCTCGGCAGATTGGGAAAGCGCAAGTCACTCTAGCGAAGCAAAGCTCATTAAGCAAGTCAAGACATGGGGGATCACCAAGTCTGTAGCTCCAGGGAGCGGAGTTTAACCAACAGGAAATTCAGATACTGTAATTAATCCAATCATACTCAAAATTCTATTCCAGCAACACATACCTAATACGCCTTGTTTTGAATTGAAGCCATTGTATGATCTATTCATGTCCTAATTTGGAATTATCCTGTGTAGTGGCTTGGAAGACCGATCGGTTAGATCCGCCGTACCGTCGACGGCACCTTGCCGCGGGGGCCTTCCCGCACCCCCAGCTTTCCAGTGAGTGATTTTCTTTCTGATCCCTTTAAATTAGAGAATCAGCCCACCCATAGAAACTCACGTTTGTATATGTCGCATATGTCGCTTATCAAACAAGCTTCTCCTGTTCTACAACAGGATGCATAAGGACGGCGTACAATAGGAATAATTTTAAGGTGCTACAACATTTCGGGCCATGCACCTAACTTACAACGACCTCCGTTTATCTGTTTTATGTCCCCTAGTTATCTTCGTTATAGGGAGGGTAGGGACATATGATGCTTTCGGTTGATCTATCATATTAACAAGTATGGTTACACAGCAGGATGTGAGGGATGTCCTCGCATTCTCTTTCCTATAATGATATTTATCAAACGTTGCATTGACGGCCATGTCCAAACTCCGATTTGATCCTATCCAAAATGCAATATCTAGGTAGGGGCTGATCTTCCCCTAACAATTTATTTTTCCCTACCTCGTCTTACTGCATGCGTCTTCTAGATCTCTCTTCCTGCTGAGAATACTCAGCACTTCTGTTTTTGATGATAGACCAGACTTGAAAGTAAGACGAGCATGACGGGAACCTACGAAATGGAGACGCCCAAGGGCGACAACAATGGCCCACAATCGACTGAGCTCAACATAGAGCGGCTCTCGATCGAGTCAATATCACGACGAAAAGATTCGCAGATCGAGGGGGACAATCGAGAACTCACCCGCTTGGGGAAGATACCGGTCCTTAAGGTAATAGAGAATATTCTACCATTCATCCTCGATACCCGCATTTTGATATTGACCTATCATCTTCTGCAGAGAAACTTCGCTTTCATGTCCATGGTCGGCTTCACGTGCACGGTTATGAATACATGGGAAGGAGAACTACTGTATGGCTCATACAGTTATCTAAGTCTTGCTACAAGATCTAACCCTTTGCAGGCTCTTTACACAATCGTTCAGTAACGGAGGTTCCGCGGGTTCTATATATGGCTACATAATTGTCTGGCTTGGCACTTTATGTGTCTTCGCAAGCATGGGTGAACTAGCATCAATGTAAAGCGACGTCTCTGTCAGCACGGGTTCCAAAGAAGGAACATGAAAAAGAAAAAACTAACATGTCTGGAAGGGCACCGACGTCGGGAGGCCAGTATCACTGGGTATTCATGTTAGCTCCCAAGAGCTCGCGAAAGTTCATGAGTTATCTCATCGGTGCGTTTACCAGTATAACTCTTACTATTTACCTGGACTAAATCATGTCGCGTTATATTAGGATGGTTGACGGTCATCGGTTGGCAAGCTGCTGTCGCAAGCCTCGGGTTCCTCTCCGCTCAACTCATTCAGGGGTTAGCTGTGATGGGCAACCCCAACTATGACCCATTGGCTTGGCAGAGAACATTGCTTTTATGGGCTTCCATCGCCTTTGCAGTATGCGTCAACACAGTCATCAGCACAGCTCTTCCAAAAGTGGAGGGCTTGGTCCTGATTGTCCATGTCCTCGGATTCTTCGCTATTCTGGTTCCGTTGGTTTACCTGAGTCCCCATAATAGTACGGAAGAAGTCTTCACGGTCTTCCTCAACGAAGGTGGATGGCAGACCCAAGGCCTCTCTTTTATGCTTGGCATGATAGGTGCCGTATTCAACTTTCTTGGTACGTAGCCCTCTCTTCTGACGTATTATCTTGATATAATCATTCTAACAAGAATGCAGGTGCGGATGGCGCTGTACATGTCAGTGAAACAGAATGAAGCTCTCCTGTAAAAACTGTGATCGTTAATAAGTTTCTGCAGATGTCCGAAGAGATCCAAAATGCCGCCGTTATCGTCCCGAGAGCCATGGTCTTCACTGTCCTCCTGAATGGAGCTATGGGGTTCGGCATGTTGATCGCGGTCTTATTCTGTATTGTCGATATAGACGCTGCTCTCGCATCTCCGACCGGATTTCCATTTATGGCGATATTTGAACAAGGGGTCAGGTCAGAACGTGGAGCCCAGACAATGGCTTCGATTCTCGTAATCTTGATGCTTTGCGGGACTGTGTCAGTGCTTGCCTCAGCCTCTCGTATGACTTGGTCTTTTGCACGCGATAGAGGTCTGCCAGGGTGGTTTTATCTTAGCAAAGTCAGTGCCAACTTCAAGAGGGTCAGCGTGATGGCTATGCTAATATATAATAATAGGTTAATCCTAAGACGTCAATTCCCGTGTTATCGATCGCGCTTACGACGGTGATCTCATGCCTGCTCGCCCTTATCAACATAGGATCGTCTGTAGCATTCAACGACATTGTCTCCTTGACGATAAATGGCATGTATACGTCTTATCTTATAGGAAACAGTCTGCTCCTCTGGCGCCGACTCACTGGAGGTATCCGCCCTTACAATCGGGAGAATACAGGGTTGACCAATGTTTCGCATGAGCAACTCTCGTGGGGCCCTACACAGATACCGGAACCTCTCGGAAGCATTGTAAACGCATTCGGTTGTGCATACCTTCTTGTCATGGTGTTCTTCAGTTTTTGGCCGACCCTCATCAACCCCACAGCGGAAACGATGAATATGAGCTCTGTCATGGTCGGAGGCACGATTATTCTATCATTGATATACTACGCCATTTGGGCACGGAAGGTCTACACGGGTCCAGTCATAGAAATAAGTTAGATTAAGAGACAACTATGTAATACGGGGGTAATTGGACATCAAGAAGACATTGAGGTCGGCAAGTTTTACCCCTGAGAAAAGCATTGTAATATACCACACCCCTTGTAAACACGCACATAATCACGTCCATAACAATCATAGAGACAAGTACTTCAGATGCCAAGAACCAAGATGCCATTCTCTTCATTTCTTCATTTCTCTTCTAATACAAGAACTTATACACAGTCCAGCCCGGAAATGTACCAATCGGTATGGTTCATCCGAATACTCCTCCGTTCGCAAATCAGTCGTCCACCAGCATGCTCGATTACTTCGGAAAGTTTCCAGGCCTTCAATCAGCCATCGTCCCTTCATTAATGACCCGGCCCTCGTATGTCTTCATCGATTGGTATCCCGCTCCTGTCAGCCATTCGTATCTCTTTTCCCGCGTTAAATAGGACACGAATTGGATGAAAGAAGCGTCGTAGAGTAGAGTTGACGAACCCAGCCAGCTTAAGCAGGACAACCACAATAAAGCCGAATAGAGGAGAAGAATAAAATAAAAAGGCACTAAAAGTCATTATTTCGCCGAGGGCCGCCTTCTTTGCTAACTCCAGTTCCCAGATGCTGACCGATCAACAGAAAATGTTCGTCGCGTTCTTTAAAAGCGGCCAAGTTGCCTTTCCCATATAGACAAGTATTTTCCCCCCTCGCATTCATCGTCCTGTTATTTTGTTTCGTTTTCCAAATGCATGTCATAAAACCCAGCCGAAAACTCTCTCCATTTCCCCCCGGCTCTGTGCTCTCTCTCTTCAACTCTAATCCGCTAGTTGCGAGAGCACCCTGATACTTAATATCATGACGAGCAGGCCGATCGTGACGATGATTAGGAGCGTGAAGCTGAACCAACCCATTACCATGGCACTGGTTCCGATTCCTGATAACACGCTGCCATTACCGAAGTCCTGCGCTATAACGGACGCGGCAACTGACGCCGTGTGTTGCCACAGCACCGACACGAGCACGAAGATAGATGCGATGAAAATAATAGCCAGCGCGATCTGCGAGACCGGCCTGCTGGGGAAAGGCTTGATCTCGCGATCCGATCCCTCGCTGTCCTCCTCCTCGTGCCAGCCGGGGAAGGTGGCCAGGAGCAGGAAACATACGAAGGCGAAGATGATAGCGATGATGATCAAGTAAGGGAACACGATCATGTCCTTGAACTGACTCGCCAGCCAGATGAGGTTCAGCGGGTCCTGATCGACTGAGACCTCGTTGGCTAGCGCGGTGGCGTTGTTGCTGCAAAGCCAGGAGCCGCCGTCGGGGTTGATGCAGATGCCGAAGTAGCCGACGCGGGCCTGCAAATGCGCAGACCCGACGATGTTGCTGATGGCTTGGTTGACATTGTAGTCTACTTGCGACGTGTCCGGTACGGCGGTGTACTTTTCGTAGTAGATGGAGAGGAGGAAGATGTCGGGGATAAGGGGGGAGGAAGATGAACAGCCTGCTAGTAAGAGTGCTGTCGGTCGAGAATGTTAGTGAACTATTCTAGCCGTAGGTTGTAGACGAGAGGATGGAGGAATGTGAACACGTACATAATAATATTATGGCGACTGCTATTAGAATCATCAAAACATGGTGGTATCCTAGGAACGGTATGAACCCTATGGCCCTGTGTTAGTATATTGGCAGGCGACTCTGTTTGTGGTATCCGAATACTTACGATACCAACCGACTTGGAATTCTCCAGGCATGGTTTCTGATTATGTTCCCAAATTCCCGAGGTAAATGTCCTCTATCCACACCCGTCCTCCCGTGGAGCGACGGTGTGATTGGATGATCTCACGCCGCAGCAGCGCTGGAATGCGAATGGGTCTCGGCGGCGTATATGGGACACTCGAGATGGAATGCGGATGCAAGGCTGATCTCGAAAATCCCACGGACGTCTCGTTGGAATGTGATCGTAATTCGCTCACTCGTCGTCAACGTATATAAAGAGACTCGTCTCGTCGTTACTAGATATCGTAGACCTTTTCTTTGCTTGTCAGATCAACTTCCTTGAACAGGCACGCTGAGGGTATCGTGCAAGTGCTAGTGATTGATGGGAGATGAGGTTAGGTTGGTTGAGGTGGTGATGTGAGGAATGAATGGTATGGTTTGGTATGGTATGGTATGATGGTATTGCAACTTAGAAGTTCAATGATTTCCTTCGGACAACAGCCCTTTGCCCGTTCGGAAAGTCTAGAAGGAGAAGAGGAAGAATAGAGTAGATTCGTTGTCATGTGTCTCTAAGTCTTCCCTTCCCTTTTTTTGCCCTTCGGGTACAAGAATTATTCTGAGAATAAAAAAGAGGTTGGTAGGTTGCGAGATCGATCGAATGTATGATTCGAAAATTGCGGTGCATGAATGGTAAAAGGTTCTGCAATTGGCCCTGCCACCAGGATTTAGACGATGAGATATCGGTCTTCCGTCAGTTCCAAAGTAAATAAAAGATGTGGCTGGGTCCGTTGCTGCAGCGATGCCGCTAGTTTTACTGGTGCATGCTAGCTTGAACCCAGATGTAAAAGTGGGGAGCTCAGCTAGCCGCCAAGAATTTGGCAGCTAAATGGCTACTTCGTTTTTTGGTGGTGGTTGGTGAATGACGGAGGTACCTGAGTGGCTCAGGAACCATGCATCAGTGGATCTCCTCAGCCAATCAAGATTATCTAATGCAGTGTTATGCAACATAAATGACGTGGATTGTCCACATCAGCGTGCTAATGCTCGTTGCCGAAGCTCCGCCCAAGTAATTGGCTTTGTGCCTTGAATTAATCTGAATTAATCTGTTTTCTCCACGCCAAAAAACGCACCCCACGAACGTGCGACTTTCACTTTACCATCTCTATCTCAGCGCATTCGGTGCATTCAATGTTTGTCTATCAGTCTATTTACTCATTATGGCCTGCCCTATGCGCCTATATAAAGATCCTTCTCCACGCATCGACAACGCATATATCACGAACAGATGTGCCTCATAAACTGGAACTCACATCGTCATACGCAAACCACGTGTGAATATCATTTGACCGTGTCCAATAAATTTCATAACTCTTGGAATAATCCGACACTGTGCATCAACACCCAACCTTGGAACTATGAATACCTTAATAACCCCCTATTAATGTCATGATCCCCACTTGGGACTTTGTTGTTGCGGTCTCGCCGGTTTTCACGCCTCGTGTCCCCCGGCACAATTTACTGGATCGCCTTCGTCGCTGAAGCAACAGCTTTCACCATTATATGAAATATCTTGCATCATCACAATTGGGGTCTCGTTCTAAGTTGTGATCGATCCATAACTATTGTGGCGCATATAATCCGATTAATACTGACATTCAATATCTGGACATCAGATCCCGGCTATGGAACGGCATATTTACATAGGATCTATATACTACGTAGTAGACATGACCCCGAAAAGCACACCAAGCACGCTGCGCATCGAAGAAATAAGGCGATCAACCTAAGCCCAGGCATTGAACCATCGGATGGCTTGGAAGAATGCTTCTTCTTTCCCAAATTTCTGCTTCGGGTCCGAAATGTTCGCTCGCACACCAAATCCGTGCTGGGTACCGCCGTACAGCGCAAGTGAATAAGGGTACCCGGTTTCGAGAAGCAAAGCCTCAATTGCCGACCTCCTTTCAGCAGGTGTCATATCATCTCCGTCTAAGATATGAAGTCAGCTCACCGAAGAAATACGGGAGTTGGGGAAGGTTAGATACTTACCTGCGGCGGCAATGCTAGCAGGACCGGTGATGGCGGAGATCTCGCCGTCCTCTAGCAAACTCGGATGAGCGGCGAAACCAGCAGAAACACCCTTCCCTTCGGCCAGCACACGGAACGTGTAACGACCACCAAAGCAGTAGCCGGTAGCGACTACTTTCTTCACTCCGAGTTCAGTGCGCAAGAAGTCAATGGCTGTCGCGATGATCGGGTCAGTTGTCTCGGGGTCATGGTCAGCCAGGAATTTCGTTGTGTTGAAAGTTGGCGTCCCATTGATGTCCCCGGGAGCCGGTGTCCCGTTGAACATATCCGGCGCAACAGTAAGATAGCCAGCTCGCCCGAAACTATCCGCAAGCCTTCAATCATGTCAGGTAAGAATTTATACACGGAGTGTGAGCATACTAACAGCTTATTCTCGGCCAATTGGATCCCAAACACATCTGTCAGATACAGAACACCTATTTCCGACGTGTTGCCCGTGACATACATGTTGACTAGGCCAAAGTCAGTGTCATCTTATCCCATTATCGCGCATGTCAAGGTACGCACTGTCATTGTAAACCTGCTCCTTTCCAACAGGCTCACCACTGTGGGCGATGATCGATGTTCCCGTAGCAGGGCAATCTGCCTGACCCAATGCCACGCCAGTCAAAGAGCTGGCGCTCCAAAACGCAAGTAAGGACGCGACTTTTAACATTTTGGACAATCTTTGAGATGCACCAAGAATGAGATAGGATGAAGGAGAAATTCCAGAGTCTAGCGTTTCCCCGGGGGGATCTTGAGAAACTGGATTAATTGGAGACTCGATCTCGTAATCTGGCCGCCAAGCGATAAAGTTCGATAACTCCCCTTTTAAGCAAGTTTTAAGCAAGCCAAGGGCGGCAGATGTGTGGAGAACCGCTCTCGGATGCTCTATTCGGAAGTTGGTGTGCTTGTCGGCTAATTGTCGATTCGCAGATATTCTGGGTATATCTGCTCCATTGGCTGTGTCGGCTTTCTTCCGTTGCAGGCCGGTTCCTTGAGTTTCGTCAACGTGGCCGCACAGAGCATTGGCATTGTGCCCTGTGGAGGGCCTATGGACTCGCCCATGGCTACGAAGATAATTTCATTTTAAAAATCCGTGTCGTTGAAACAGATTTGATCGGACTCAAATCTCATGCCGACTTAGTCTCGCCGAGAGCTCGCGGTTCGTCACAGCCCAGACAATAGTATAGGCCATCATCACAGCCAAAAGATGTCCTACTAGAAATTTGGCCCATGCCGATATGCCTACGACATAATCCATCAAGGTCGGGTCCCGAGTGTTCAACATGAGTTTCCGGTAGGAGTCGGAGCCCAGGAGATGGTAGACGTAAAGCTGGAAGAACGAGCGCTCGGATGGAGGCATGGCTTTCTACGATTGGGATATCGCGTTAGCAACCAATTCATCTGAACTTCAGCACAGACTCGTGCCGAGCTTTCTCGGAGCTTTGGCTTTCTCGATTCACAACCGTTTTACAACGCACCTGCAGGATAGTATACACATCATTAGCTATGATGTTCGCCTCCCAGTCTCCCAATTCGCAGTGTCTCTTAAAAGCATCCCGCAGCTCTGGGATCTCCGCTCGGTATAGTTCTATTCCACGCCACAGGAATTTGCTGGAGGCTTCTAGGTCGACTCCCCGGTAAGAGAGGTAAGTTCGGATCCAGTCCCTCACGACGGACGGTGAGGCCTGTTTTCCCGGGCAGTTCTTGATGATTTGGTTGCGTCCTATTGGATATTGTTCAAGGGTCACCATCTTAAAAACACTACCAGGGATGTACTAATGAGAAGTCCCTATATGACATATGGAGCGATTCGCTTATACACCGAGGGCAGTATGTTGTATGTTGATAGCAAGGTCATGTAGGCGCTATTGATCAATGGCGAAGTGCTTCATAGAATAACTTCACAGTGCTCTATCCATGAGATCCTCCCGCGAGGCTTTGTTAGGGTTATAATGTAACCATGTGTGGCTTTACCTCGTTCTTTGCTGAATCCGGGCGCCTTCACAAAGCCCTCTATGGATACGATGTTAGCTATTATCCCCACAAATAGATATAACTCGACAATGACTTATAACGTCTATGAGTGGAATATTAAAGGACGCAACTTTTGCAATTGCCGCTTTAATGTTATGAAGTGAAGTATGATCATAATTCTCCAATGAAGTTACCACAGGTCGTGGGTCTCTTCAAGTGCATACGGCTCACATAAGGTATGTCTCTAATTAGATTAATCTAATTAAAATGCAGTTTTATGTCTTCGTTTACATTTTCTTAGGGCATCAAGTTATGGAGCGTGATATGGCGCATTTAAGCTTAGCCCATTATTATTACTTTATGAAATGCAAAGATTTAAATGTGAGGTTCCCAATGATATCCAATGTATGATTCGTTTTGATTCTATTAATCAAGTACCATACAAGAGTTAATAGGCTCATATAAAATTCTAGTAAGTAACCTAGGTAAGTAGGTACGTATAGGCACCTAACTAAGTAGACATGTCGGGCAATCAGGAGTAAAGGGGCGCCGATGTGCCACGGGCTTTTAATCAATTCCATCGGCATGCAAACGCCGGAGGTTGCACAACTTCGATTTCTTCCATGAATGAGAATCCACCTGGTCGTAATGGGCAGTGTGGCCCTTCAAGCACAGAAGTTGTTCTCATACGATTAATACAACGTGTGCATGTAGAATTCAAGAGGAAATATGCAGTGTTAATATACTCTCTGCTTTCTTGATATCATAGAAGTGTCAAATGACACGACTTGGTAATAGAATGCCACGCATATCTATAGGATAACTAGGTATATTTCTTCTTTCGTCCAAACAGGATCATGAACATACCCATCCATGTTTCAAATGAAGTACATGAAGTTGTGCTATTGTAGCAGGGATATCCAAGGGCTTCACTTCGGTCGAACATCATGGCAGCGATATTGTTCGTAGGAGTTCGTGCGAAATTCCCAGATCGAATGTGGTAAAGTTTACTTCAATTCCGATGATAATAGAGTGTGTCTATTATTAGAATAATTTTTCTGGGGTTTTTACGTTGAAAGAGGATGGCTCGTTATTGTAGCCTCATTTATCTACAATTTTGGAAGCTCAACCCAAATCCGGATCAGGGGCGGCGCTCCTTCGCATCCTCACAATTTATTATTCTAGGCCACTAAAACCCTGAAGACTGAAGAGAATCGTGGTATTCATGGCGATTGCGAATAAATCTCTAGCAAATAAATCTGTTTTTATTATATTGATACTTCGGGAGGTACCTACCTTGTTGGGCTGGAAACACTACATAGACAGCTAAGCTGTTATTGGCGACTCGGGATCTGAATAAATGAGGATTTTAATTCGAAAAATGCCCCAAAGGATGAGTGTTTCAGCATCCGCCTTCCGGTCGACTTTACTAATGGGTGTCATGTGCACCTCTACTGGTCAAAATGAAGCTCGGCGTCTATATATCTGGTGATATGTTGCAGTCGGTACTCATGGAGTTTCGCACCCCATAGGTAGTCACCATCTTAGCCACCTTGCTCATAATGAGAGCGTCCATTCATTACTTAGTTGCCGCACTGGTTGCGAGCGTGAGCGCAAAAGACGAAGGAACGTACGCCGTCCTACGATTCAACAATGAAGCCGGCCAATTCTCCACCCAGGGGCAAATGGACCCTATTGTCAGTCCTGGAGTTAAGTCAGCGCATATGCACGGCATAATGGGAGGAAGCAACTTCAACCTCATAGTCACCGGAGATCAACTGTTGAAATCTAAATGTACCAACGCCAAAATTGCCAATGACAAGAGCAACTATTGGGTACCTACTCTATGGTTTCAGTCTCCTGCCAATCAGACTCTTAAGAAGGTTCCTCTGTATTACATGAATGCTTACTATAAGTATGATCCGTACTAGACCTATCGCATTCGATTGGTCCTAACCATGTATTAGGTTCGATGCTACTAACGACGAGATCAAGGCTTTCCCACCAGGCCTCAAGATTGTTAGTGGTAATGCCACGAGAAGAAACCCGCCAGCTACAGGCGCCTTCCAGCTCGACCCGACTAAAGGAGAGATACAGCCAGTCCAATGGACCTGCCCCACTCAAGACAACAGCGTTGCGCGATACCCACCCAATTCCGACGGCACTAAAGCGGGACTGCCCGACCCGGGGAACCTCGGCAGTGGGGCCGGGTTTCCGGTAGTCAACTGCGATGGGTACTCTTCACCCCTGAGACAGGATATCCACATGCCATCTTGCTACAACCCGGAAGCCGGGCTGAACGACTACAAGAATAACATGGCGTGGCCGACTCCGACAAGCGACGGAAAAGCAGAATGCCCCAAAGGCTGGACGCATGTCCCTCACTTATTCATTGAGGTCTACTATGACACGCCTCAATTTCAAAACGACTGGGATGTAAACGGAAAGACCCAGCCGTTCGTATTATCAAACGGCGACAGGACCGGTTATAGCTCGCATGCGGACTTCATTTCGGGCTGGGACGAAAACACTCTTCAAACGATCATCGATGGGTGCAATGCCGGATTTGATGGCATGGACAAATGCCCAGATATACCAGGAGGGCTCAACACCGAGACTTGCCAGATGGATTCCGCGTTTCCTGGTCCAACTGCTGATTGGGTTAAGCAGCTTCCAGGTGACAATCCTTTGTCTGGTTGGGGAGTGTAGTCACAACAGTTACTCTTTTCCTGTTCAATACTTCAAGCATCTGTCTATCGCTGAGCTCTTACATGCCACGGTTCCATTCTTGTATATAGTATTTATATATTTCTTTCTTCGATATATACCACTTACAGGAATTCATTGGTTAGGTACCCTTAGGTAGGTAGCTATTTCGAGAAATCATGAGATCGAACTTAAGTTGAAGTGTAATTGAAAGCAACTCCCGATATTCCGTACTGTCCTCACTGTTTCAAAATCGAAATACATTGAACGTAGTAGGTTCTTCTATAACTAGGTAGATACCTAGCTATCTAAGAAGAGCTGTCATACATTATAGCTCACAAAGTACCTACCTAATATTACACTAATACAATGAACCAGACGGGAGTATGGGGTATTGTGACAAAGTACCTATACAAGGCATTGGCTTATTTCTTTTCTGGAATGATTGCTTCTATTAAGTCTCTCCGCTACTTTGTATAGGTATCCTTTGTATGGAGTTCTTTCATCCTTAAGTATCAGTTCTAATTCATACCTACTACATGTCTTTGACAGAATATAATGCCAGTTTCATGTCATGTTTAGAATGAGAAACAAACGCTTTGTATTTCTTGGTATGTCTTGGTTGTCATGCATACTTGGGTAAACACCATAATATATAGGTACCGGCATATAAGTTGACGTACATTATTGCAGGACATCTATAATCACACGTAAAGCATTGAAAAGAAACCCAACATCTCCATAATCGAAAATTATCCATAATGGCATACTCCCCGACTAGCCCCATACGCGTTACTTCTGGTAAGCGAAAGGCTGACGAAATCACTGGCTATGAATATGAGGAAGGAGAGACAGTAAATTTTCCAGAGGAGCCGGAACCCAAGAAGGCCAAGGTAGACCACACAAGTACTGCCAGTAGGCGTTGGGATATTGGTATGGAAATGCCACAGGGGAGACGACGGCCCCATTTCATCAGGAATGACAGCATATCAGGACATTGCACATTAGACGATCCCGAAATTCTATGGCTTGGGAAAGCACCACTTAATGCCGAAACGAAAAAGGCAAACGAAGACATCGCTCGGCGAGCTGCTTCCCGCCTTGGCACAGTTACTCATGTTTACATCATCTGTGGAGCACAGTCCAGTAAGTTCGTCGACAGGGACGGGAAAAGAATTCACTTATGGCATCCCGACAGCATACGTTTCCATCATCAGAAGACGGCAGCAGATCCCCATATGTTTCTAGCCTTTGGCACCAAGCCGGATCATATAGTCCTGTACGGCTACGTCAATGTCACAGTTGATGAAGACGGTAAGCCAACGGACTTTGCAACATCGCGGAATTCGGAGTACATTGTCGATGGTGATGATAGGATCTTTGAGCTTTTCTCATATGAAGATGAAGAACATGACTGCAGTTCCTACTGTCCCAGACACAAGAGTGGTGAAGAATTTATTCATACTTGTGTAGAGGCAAGGCCTAGAGGCTGCCCTCTTCACAGTACGGAGAATCTTCTCGATCATTTTTGTCATGTAATGACTCTGAAGACCGAAATACTTGGAGACCATTATTGCCCGTGTTCTCACGACAAAGTTGGATTACTTGATCACTATTGCCCTTGCTCGCATAAAGGAATACAGTCCGTGGATAGACAGTCGCATCATCGTCCACGCAGGTTTCCAAGGAAGGTCAAGTTTACTCATCATACTCGACGTCCATTCTGAAGTATCTGCTTATCTACCTACCTACCTACCTACCTACTTACATATACGTGGCCTACTGGTGGAAATATATAATGAAACATATTCAGAACCTTTTTTTATAGCATTTGGTACGTTCGGTTTATTGTTTACATAAGGCTAAGAAATAAATATCACTAGCTGCTTAGAAGATAGCATGAGCTATATAGATTCATTTCCAGTTCATTTTTTGACCTTGATGTACTAGGTGTCATGTACTCCCAATGCGCACATGAGCACCTCGTTTTCTCCGCGGAAACTTGTAAAATAACTTATCTTAGGTTGTGTTCTGTTTTCGTCACTGAATTCTAATATTTGCGCATTTATAGGAATTCCAGTGTGGTAGGAGGTGTCTCAAGCGGCAGTGATCAAATGCCTAGGTACCTAGATAGGTAAATGTAATCGAAGTTGGAGTTTGAGAGTTGATCGTAGATTACCTACCTAGGTAGACTGTTATAAGTTAAAGGTAAGGGTGGTGAGGTGGGGATATTTTAAGACCTAAACGTCTTTTGTAGGTGCCTAGTACTCATTTGGATCATTAGGACGGAGGCCTAGGTGATTGTATTAGTCACGCTGTAGTCCGACAATCGAACCAGCTAATGTAATTCTTCAAAGGTATCACTCGCTTTTATTTGTAGGTATCTTGTTAAAATCAACCGCCCCTTTCACGGACAGACCACACTTGCTTCACTACAATACCATTAGGTGCTGCCGGTAATGACTGCGAGTGCACACTACCCCTATTTCCCGTACTGATAACGGTCCGTATACCCGTCTGGAGGCCCAAGCGAAGATCGGGCATCGTTTCCGAAAAGTCACTTTCGGTACTCTGTTCTAACCCCGAGGATTTGGTGCTGTGTAGTGATCTCATATCGTCATCGGCCTTCCGTGATTGCTCGAGGTCTATTCGGTTAAGCTCCGTCTCGCTTCCTTCCCTGATGTGAGTCCTCAATAGACTTTTATCCCGGTTCGTAGTGTGGCGTGAAAAAGGATTGGTTCCGCCGCATGTGTACTTATGTGGGGTGGTTGATGTCTTCTTCGATGATCTAAAGCGGCGAGAAACTCGTCGGATCAGTGGTCCTAGGGCGATTAAGGATGTGCAGATGAGACCTGAGGCTGACTCAGCCTCTCCCCAAGCTGCAACCGAGACGAGGTTATAGGACAAGTCCGTCGTGAGCCTAGCGAAGAAGACCATGCGACATATAGATATGACACAGGTGCTGTATATGGTTAGAGGTGTGTTTGCTCAGGCGAAAAGAGGGCTATAGTAGGTACTCACAAGAATCCTAGACCAAATATCGCAATGACTGCCCACTTCCGCCCCTTTTTCAGGTTCAATCTCCAAACAACAGGAATCGGAAGCAAGAGAATGACGACATCGGTTACGAGATTGCCGATCGCGTTCATCCATCCGAGGAGCTTACTGTCGAAGCATCTGCCCCCTCCACTACGATCCCAATAGCTGTAGATCGGGGTGCAAGAGAAGATAAGAACGAATTCTTGCGCGATGACCCAACCGCCGACGAGGAACATCACAACAAGATAAAATAATCGATAATGGGGAACCTCCTGCACCAGCCGGTAGTACTGGAAGAATAAACTGAATTTAATGAACATTAAAGTCGTGGCATAGGTGAGGGTCAAGAAGTAAAACAACTAGGTACGCGATATGAATTAGTACGTCGCCGAGTCAGTCATGTTGGAGGCATTTGTCCTTACTTTCCAGAAGTGAGAGAGCGTCTCTTCGTCTTTTATGTCCCACATATGAGACCCAAGCCCATACCTCGTATGGAAACATTGCACCAGGCCATTCGAAATCATACTAAGCTGTGGAATACGGTTAGAAATAGGTATCCTTGGTCAAGATACAAGGTAGGTGGTTTTCAAGCGACTTACCGTGCCAGCCACTGCGAAATAATCATCAATCCAAAATTGTTTTAATACGTAGCGTCTCGTGTATAGCCGAAAGCATACGGCCGTGGTGGCGAAGAACATACACAGCACCACGGCCATTATTGTCTGGCCGGCGCGGTTGTCATGGGGAAGACGGGCGTATGTGGCAGCGTCTAGCTCCCAATAGGTGCTCATGCCGGCTGCTTGATGCACCGGCCCCATTAGCACCTTGCTAAAGGTCTGAAATGTTTAGTCGAATCCGTTTCCATAACAGGTCGACCTTTGAAACATTATATAATTCAATGGTTGACGCAGTCTACGCGACAGAGAGGTGAAGACAAGGGAATACCAGAAGTCATTGATTCGTGCGCTGCCTGGGCTGTTTTGTCTCCCAGATATGTGGAGTCCCGCTGCTCAGTCCGACTTAGTTACTTAGTATACCTAGTAGTAATAGTAGACGTATTATCACTTTTTCACAGGCTACCCCTGAGGTGATCCCCGAAGCTAGCGCGATTGGAGGGCAGAGCGGAAATATAAGAAACGGCATAATGTACGTAGACTCTAGAATCCGAACTTCGAATGTGGAATCCCATACGACCGGAGCCGATGGCCTGGTTACCATTCAGCCATTGTGGAGCAAGTCCAGGGTCACAACGAACGGGTAAAGACAGAATTTTGGCGGGGACCGTAGTAACTTGGCGCTCTGGCGCTGCAGGCCTAAGCTACAGTCATAAAACAAGCTATGCCGTTTACGGGTCTACGCCGACCGATCTTTGGTCGCTTTGACTGAGGCTATTCGCATTAAGGCCTAGCTTCAGCGGTGGCAGTTTCGAACTTTTGGATTTTGTTTGTAACCCGCACACAAACCTACCGCCTTTTTCGTGAGATTTTGGTTAATCATCTGTGCCAGATTAGAATACATAGGTAGTAATTACAAGAATAATTACAACGCAATCTCGAAGATTGTTGGATATACTGAGAGACGGCGTAGTATGTAGTAGTAAGTACCCAAGTAAGCAACTTGCTTACGCACGTAGTTGCATATCTCAACCTATAACGGAAGACGTTTACTAGATTAGATGTTCTTTCCAGATGCCCGTAACACTGAGAGCTACGCTGAATGATACTACGTGCTTGAACGTATTATCACGAAACATTTTTCGTCACCCATTGGCCTGTCAAAAGTACCACGTTGGCTGAGTGGAAATTCTCCTAGAACGGGGAAGCGGAGAATGCAGTAGTTAAGGGGCAAAAGGGGACATTGCGGAAACAGCCTCATACATAATTCACCAGCTAAGCTTTTCATTCCGACGCTCTTATGTAAGTGACTCTCCACAAGCAGATGACGAATCGCTTGCATGATGTTATCTTACTTGACAATCATAGCGGCTTGGTACCTATATGCATGCATACCTACATAGGTACCTATGGAAGTTCTGAGATATTTGAACCAGAGACGAAGGATAGGCGGCTCTGTAGGAGGGTTTGCGCTTGGATCTCCCTTGGTGGGAACAGAGACTTCGTCAGCTCGCCTTGGCCGCTTTATCCATGTCTCTCCCGCATAAATCTGGAGAGATCTTCAATGGTTCAAAACATGATGGGCGAACTACTGCATACTGTGTGTGCTCATTTCCACCCCAGCCCTATGATGTTCAAATGCTAGTACGCATTGACTCCTAGAAATACATACACTAACCCTGAGTGGGCATAGACTGGTGTCAGATACAATTTCATAATTTTTGTGTTATCAGGTGGTCCGTGTGTTTTGATGCCTTGATGCCTTCAAATCTCTGGTTTTCACGTGATCTCCTTTGAGACACGATATGGAGACCATTGAAGATTTTGCAGTTAGTCTTGGCCAGAATCTCCTAGATTAAGAAGATAGAATTTTCTTTACACAATTAATTGAATTATCAAGTCTCACGTTATTCTGACAACTGGCGGTACCTGCTGCTGTGTTGACAGGGTCTAATGCCTTCTTATCGTCTTCATTCAGGTCTATTCTCCATTCTCCATGCGAGAGAGAGAAAAGTTCGGACTCAAGCATCGTCCGATTATTTAGGTGTTATGGAAATGTCTCCATCGTCTTCCGAGTAGGGAACCACTATCGGCCGTAGACTAACTCGGGAACGGAAAATAAGTTTTGCTCCAAGATAATTTCTAATTCGATTGAAGAGGGCACAGACTCACGTCACGCGACATATGAAGCCGGTAAAAAGACGCGGCACACTGTCACGGTCGCAACCAAGCTGCCGGCACCAAACTACCCTGACCACATTTACCGGACATAAGTATTTTCCCTATTGGTTCTGTCCCCAGATCAACATATTTACACACCCTTTTCTTTTCCTTTTTTCTTCTTCAGTTCGCTTATTCCATTATCTAATATCCGATCGGGTTTTCTCTCCTGCTATCCTAACGATTGATAAAATGATAATTTCTAGAGCATCAGAGAAGCGGGCGTGGCATCGATGAACAAACGCCCCAGGTATGAGTACCTACCTACCCACAGATGAAGTTCTCTCTCATGATCGTCGGCCAAGCAAGCCTATGCATTTCGACTGATCTCAACCAGGAACTCGGCTCGCGCATCACTCAAGACTCGCCAATCTAGTATTGGCAAGTTGATGGAACTTCAAGTCGCATCAACCACCATCGTGTCTTCTACCCCACAATGATAGCTTACTACTCTTATACATCCCATCCCAAATTATCCGACTATTCACATCATCTTCCATTAATCTACTATTAAGGAACTGTCAAGAGATGTTTGCCATCCACCCTCCTACCACAGACGCTCGTACTTCTTTACCGGTCTTCGTATGGTATCACTCGAATCATATGCTCAATACTTTTAATCCCCATCTCTGGTACCTATGATACCCATTTGGCTGATCTAATATCAAATCCCATCAGCACTCAAGATTTCCTCACCGTTTCAATGAGGACTCCGGTCCTTTAACTGTAGCCTCATTTTTCCAACACTGTTCCCCATCTCTACCCAGTCCTCTCTACTAGCCCCCTCTTTTCGTCACGTCTTCCATTGGCTATCTGCATCTCAATCATAAAAATACCTCCTTAACTGCCCTGATTATATCCCTGAAGAACTAATTCGTACACTATTCTTCAGATGAAGCTTAAGACCATCGACCAACGTGACACCATTTCTGCGCTAGCTAACTCTCATTTTACTAAATGTAAATGTCTCTTGTCTATATAAACACCTAGATGGAATTAGAAAGGAGAAAGGGGTAGGTGGAGAACTATCAGGCTGGTTCTATTAAGCGTGTCTCGCCCCCATTTTGTTCTCATTCTTGATGCATCTCATTGTCACAGGGCAATTAGGTAATCCATTTATATAGGGATTAGCCCTTGATTATATTAGCTGAGCGTGGGTATATCTAGCACTCCATTCTATAGGAGCAAAGCTCCCTTTTACTTAATAGATCATTCCGCTCACTATGCTAGAGATCCGGCACCCACAGACTGTGTGACTCTCATCATTTGACTTGTTCCGTGTCCTTTGGCAAATCAGATCCTTTCCTCTCCGTCACACTGTCGCGAGAAAGATATGTCATAATACTAGCAGGAAGATAAGGGGTTGAATGCCGGATAGTCCACGTGAATATCCTGATAAGCATAAGGCTCACCTCAAAGGCGTAGAATGGCCTTTCAGTGCTAATCAAAGCCTCGACAGAGTGTTCCACGCCATGGCAAACTGTGCGTATCAAGATGAGACAGATGCTTATTATAGTGTAGTGAGATTCTTCTGGATACCATGGGCCTTTGCAATACCGGCTTGAACACATCATCGATGAAAATAGTCGGCTATAGTTAGGAGAGATACGATGACAGTGCTTTAGAGGGCCAACGCCAACCACATTAAACCATTACCCACTGTGGGGTTGCTCTTCGGTTTGCAATGAAAGAGACGGCGATGCCATAGATCCCTTCGACAAGTAACCATGGACAATAAGGCGAATGTGGAGAGAACCCTTCTACTGTAGGTTCTATGGACAAAATGTAAGAACATAGTAGAAGAAACGGACAAGTGGATGTCGTATCTACCAGTAGTCAATAATAGGAGAGGCCTACATTGTAGTTTCCACGTTGATACGCTTTGTCCAGGGATTGCGGATGAATATTTGGCATACGGACTAACATAAAAGAGAGCAACGCTAACCATGTAGAAACCCAGCTGATCATAGTTTCGAAACGTGACGTTAATTCTGAATGAAAGCCCAACGACATAGATGAAATCGCTAGCGACGAGTAGGCCCGTTACTTTGAAGCCCCTGTAGCTACTGTTATCATAATACAAGTCTCGGCCACTATCAACGCCCCCTAGCTCAACTTACCAGGTAATCATAAGAGACAGGATCGGAAAAGTTTTACTAGCATTACAAGAGACGTACTTGGGCCGAGGCGAGAAACATTAGAAGGAATAATACCGCCATGTCCTGGTGAGGAGCGTATATCCAGAAGGATATACCTTCTTTGTCAAGAAAGGGGAGATAGAGTAGGTAGCTATCAACCAGAATAGTACGGCAGATCAACATGACGCAACATAATGTATGTCTTAGCCATTACGGTTCAGCTTTTTAGGAGCAGGCCAAAGGACAATAAGGAATCTCTTGTATAAACACGTTGTGTGCAGATATTTTAATCACGTCTTATTCTAACATGCAGGCGATGATAACTTTAAGGGGTAAGTACGAACTATGGATCCTGGGGTCTTTCCAATATCGATTCTTTTCTTCTACGGTACGAGTCTTTTCTTTTCAACGTCGTCGGCTTCCCAATTCAAGTTGTCTTTGCCAAGCCCCTTGAACGCCGCTTGTATGTCACCGCCACTACAGGACCTCCTGAATCCTAGCCTTGGAGGCCTGCGGACCAGATTCAATGCCGGGTAGCGGTGCCTTTCAGTAGATCAAAGAGCTATATAGGCACCTAGGTAACTCCCGGAGGCCGAGGCCGCTGCCGTCATATCATTTGAACTCAATCCGCCTTACATAAAAAGACTAGGAATTTACACCAAGTACCTGAGCATGGTTACCTACCCAGGTATGTTAAGGATATTCAAGACTCAACCATGAATTCTCTCGCGGGTTACGGTTCGGAGGTCTTTCCAAATGCGTCCATTGTTCCCTAATGGACTCTGTCAAAGTGATATATTAGAAGGTGGCATGTTGAGAAATACAACTCTACCCCATTATCTGCAATCTACGGTCTGTTCGCTCTCAAGCTGTGTTCAGGCCTCCCTATTTTCTCCATAAAAAGTCGGTTTGGTCCACAAGTACATGTTCAGGGATTGCTGTTGATGTTTCGATCGCTTTCAATCTGATATGTTGCTCAGGAGATCATATCTAAGTATCATCAGCGATCTGATCATCAGCACAGCGGAGAGTTTGAAACCTGTAACCGTTGCTTTTCGTAGTTGGTGGGTCCATGTCATAGTTATCGAAAGCTCTTTAACGTAAGAATCGTCAGCGAGGTTGATTCTGTTACCACTATAAACATCGTGTGTCATGGCCTTGAGATTTGAAAATGGAACCAAATTTCCATTCTCGCCTTGTGTGAAGACTTTATCAATGGAAGTGTAATCCATCGTAGCGCTAATAGGAGCGGAGAATACAAGGATAAAGATCATCGTTGTTATTACGAGCACCACTGCGACGATCGAGTCTAGGGACCAGACAGCAGTAATTGACTGATGAAACTTTCCGCATACTAAGGAAACAAGAGAAAATACATAGGCTCTCTTTGGGGAAGACTTACCATCATGTCTGATGCATGACAAGAGAGTTACTCATCGATATACCAGTGTATTGCGTGAAAATACGCCATGAGAACATGACGAAATTGCCCTGTGCAACCAATGGCCCAGATTATATCCGACGGTTTCGCCACCGTGAAATTGAGCCCCCCTAAGGCTCTAACAACCTTAGAAAATCTAGAGGAGGATTACCACCTTGGGACGTGCTGGTTCCGTGGTGCTTGTGTAAAGTTAAGTGACTTTCAGTTGGTAAGTAAGCCCATACCAAAATCAGAGCGATCCTAACTAAGTGCCTAGAAATAAAAGAACAAGGGGTTCTACGATTGCCTAGAGTAGAAATTTCTAGGGCAGTAATGTTATCCCACAGGTCGTTCGGCGCTGTAACTTCAAGAAATCCGTACAGCCGCATGCAATCAGCTTTTAACATGGATGGCGGAGATTGCCGCACTAGGATTCCACCCAACTAGGGGACTTGATAGGCACGTGCCGCAATTCACTTGATGAGGCTATTTACAAGGATCGAGCTGAAGATATGTGGTTTTACTATTGCGAAGGGTGAAATAACAGAAACCATAAATGTCTTTCTAATGGGTATGCGAATCCAGCAAACCACAGCAACACTAGCGAAATACCACATCGCCAGGTGCGACTTGCGCGTCGTCTCAGTAAATCAAGCTAGTTACTAAAAGACCTGTATCCCCGTGCCAAACCCGCGCGTCTAGTCGCCTTTTACCAAACTCTGCCTCCCAAGTCCACAATAAAGGAAAAAAGCACGCCGATCGTGAATACATACCACATATCTCATGCTGGACCCCATCACACAGCAACTCCGCCTTTAGCAGATAACCCCGCGCCCAGAAGATTCCACCTCTCTTACTCTTTACCCAAATCGACTCTGCATCCCTCAGCCGGCCTGAGAGATATCGTGATCGCCTGCTTCTCCTGCCCGGTCACTTGGACCTGCTCGCCGGCCGGGAGCCTAATGGACGGGAAGCGCTGCAAGATACGCACTATGGCGTACGCGCCTTCGGTAAGGGAGAAGTCCACTAATAACAGCTGGTGTTAGCATACGGAATTCAGAAAGATCAGGCAGGCAGCATACTCCCTAGACACGTCCTCGGCCCGCCACCGAACGGCAGGAAGATCCAGCCCCGGTGCGTCGCGTCGCGGGAGCAGAGAGGCTCTTCGTTCCATCTCTCGGGCCGGAACACCTCGGCGTCCATTCCGTAGAGGTCGGGTCGCCGCTGGATGCAGTAGGCGCTGTAGAGCACGCTCATTCCCTTGGGGACTATGATCGGGGATTTACCATCGGGCCCGCCGCCCGTCGGTAGCGCCGTGTCCCTAAGCGCCGTGCGCGAGATTAGGGGGACTGGGGGGTGGAGTCGCAGAACTATTGAGTAGGTATCGCGTTAGACTAGTCCGGTGCGAGAACTATCTAGGTATCTTATGGAGGTTGGGGCCCACCTTCTTTCACGACATTCTGCAGATGCGTCATCCGAAGCAGATCCGCGCGCGTTAGCGGTGCGATAGTCTCGTCGACCTCGGCGATTTCTACGCGGAGTTTTTCCATGATCGCGGGGTGTCTCACTAGGTGGAAACTATTGACATGTAAGGACGCTTTTGGCTCCGGACAAATCTGGTTGGAGAGAGGATTGCTTACAAGGCCCACGCCAGGAAAGTCGCGGTGGAATCTCTGCCCGCGGTAAGGATGTTGATCGATTGGCCTCTCAAGATGTCTCGGTCTGGGAATTGCTCCGCAACGGTCTTTAGGAATGGGGGTTTCTTCGAACTGGGCGCATCGTCGGCGGTTCCCGCGAGCGTCTTTTTGATGATACTATCCGCGAATTGGTGGATGATATTGCAGGCCTTTCGCAATCGCTTGCCGTCGACGAGCCAGTATAACTTTTGGAACTTGAGTCTTTTGGCCGAGATGCTTTGCGCCAAGTCGAACGCGCCTTCGAAATCGTGACCGACTATACTGGAAGTCGGTCGCTGGCTCCATACAGACTCACCGAACAAGAACTCGGTGGTGACGTCGAGCGTCAAGCGGAAGAATAACGGTTCCAAGTCCACCACGTTAGCGCCGTCGTTAGCAATCGCTTCTAGAAGATTGTCTACGTGCGGTCGGTAGATTTCCAGGTCTTCATAGTGGCGATGGTAAAAGTGCGGGCGCAAAATATCGCGTGAATGTTTCCATGCGTCGCCTTCCTGGAGGAAGATCCCCTCGCCTAACAGTGGATGGAAGATGGTACGCCGAAAACCCAAACCCCAATCTGAGTTCGGTCAATATCGAAGCCCGTAGAGTCAACAATTTCACCTACCTTTGAAATTGGATGAGAGCAGGGCCTCTATGTTGGCCGGTTCGATGGTGAGGATGGATGTATTCATCCCTACAGACTGGCGAAAGGTATTGCCGAGTCGGCGAAAGTTGTCCATGAAGAATTCCATCAAGCGCAGCTCATCAGATGCCTTCAAGGTCATCACTAGCAGATCTATTCCTAAGCGCCATCTGTTCGCCTGTGGAAGCGAGTCGTAGGCGCATGCCTCCGCTCCTTTCGCGTGAGATATCCTCGTCTGCGCAACGTTAGACTCCTTATTCTTTTCCTCTCGCAGGTAACATACCCTTCTACGAATCAGTATGTATCCTGCTCTATAGAAGTAGAGTGCCACCGCTACTAGAACGGGGTAGAACCAAATGTGCATCGTAATAGACATCGTGATAGACATTAGGTGCTCACGTAAGATGTGACATCGGATTAGTTAGTAATGAGGCTCTTGCGGACTTGGGAATCTATAGGTGATCTATCATGTCAAATAGAAGGAAGATGCGAATGTCGAAGGAATCTTGCGGTGCTACGTTGATATTCATTATGAAGGATTTGCGAACCCGTTCCCGCGGTATGGCATTCCAGGAGCGGCGCGGGAACTACGGGTTTCACAGAAATGTCGCAATGAGGAGGCGCCCTACTTCCATCGTGCATATGTTAGCTGCTTGTTTAGGATCACTTACCATTTGGAGATACACTCCTGCGGCGTCACTCAGCTGTCTTAGCTGGATCACCAATAAGCGCACACATTTTTTAAATAAATATCTAATATTTCTGCATGAGGTGCAGACGATAGTTGCGAGCCGTACGAATCAAAATACGAATTCGAGGCCCTTTCCAAGCCGCTGGAATGGGTCCCTGATCGGCTGGTTGCATTAGAGTATCGCCGTCTCATGTCATAGGTTGCTGCTACGTGTTACTTTATCTGGTTCAATCTAGTTCTTGGATCGTCTTACCGAATTTGATTTTTCATTCGTCCTCTTACCAACTGCAGAAATAGGAGCCAATCCCCTAACAGTAAGGTGTTCTTTGGCTTGCATGCGTTCCTCCATACATCGGACCAGCTCCGCAAGCCTTGCGGAGGCCCACGATAGATCTCAAGCCACTCCCGTCACAATCTCTAGCGAAATGCCAGGCACAAAAACGCCAATTTCTATTCCCAACTTGATTTCAGCTCTTACAAAAAAGGTTCTGGATTTGGATTATTAATCTATGTTTCGGATAGAGATCCAGCAGCAACCTTCTCAGGGCTCCAATCAGAAATTGTGGCATACATCTCCATCGTTCGATCTTCAGCTACTGTACCATGATCCGAGAATCCGTTGCCTTTCCGTTACCTTCCAACCAGGCGCTTTGCCCCGATCGGTGATCGACCCCCCGCTCGAGTAGCCGCTTAAGTCACGACAATTTTTCCACGCTAAGAAGAAACGAATTCGTATAGAAGTGTGTTGGTGGAAATCTACCTACTGCCGTAAAAGGATGTTGGCCGAAGCCTTTGCGGGGATCCATCGGCGAGCCGAAAACCATATTCATGATTGGATATGGTCCAATTTTGTACGCATGGCGTCGGCATGTGAGCGTCACGGATCATAAGGTGTTCATGCACGCTCGGATACTGGGGTGCTTATCTCGACGACGAACCCACAGTCAATACACAGGAATAGCTGTCATTCTCAAACGGGCTAGGAGTATTTCTTGGCGTCTATTCTCACGAACAGTGTCTAAGACGGTGCAACACCATCGCCTTGAGTGTTCTCACCACTATCCTTCGTCATCTCCCACCCGCGATTCCTATACTTCTTCGGCCAAATGCCGCACCGTCCCGGCGCCATGATCCCGTTAGGATCCAGCGCGTCCTTCAACTTCTCATGGAACTTCATCAGCGCGCCGTCGTTCCAATTGTACGTCCCGGCCACCTGATCCATCAGCACCAGATGCGTCCTGTACTCGCCGTACCCCAGCGCCGCCGCGTCGTCCACCAGGTGGCGCAAGCAATCCAGCACGGCTTTTCGGCGCTCGGGATCCGCGCGATCGTACACCAGCTCGACGATGAGGTGCATCTCGCGCAGCCCGACGCAGAACGCGGGGAACAGATCGACGCCGAATTCCTCGTGCCGCTTCTTGGCCAGGTCGTACAGCCTCGTCGCGTCGGAGCCGCGGATCGGGCTCACGGGCGAGAAGGCGATGTGCGCGCCGTTCGGCATCCAGTTGACCCAGCGCAGCTCCTGGAGCTCGGGCACGCCCGCGGCCACGCGGTCGCGCGCCCAGAAGTATTCGTCCGCCGGGAGCGTCGAAGGGTCGATGCGGCGCGCGCCCGCCACCTTCTTGAACTCGGCGTCGACGATGGAGAGCTTGTACTGCCGGATGTGCGGCGGCCCGTACGACATGCCGTAGTAGGCCCATGTGTAGTCGCCCATCGGCCCCGTCGCGGCGACGGCGTGGACCACCTCGCTCGGGATCGTGTCCGAGCCCTTGTAGAAGTCTGTTCGCGGCCTGCCGCTCACTGCGATGGACTGTGTGACGTGGCGCAGTTGCGCGACGTTCTCGAGGATATTGCCGATCCGGAGCGGCCGGATGATTTCGATCTATTTACGATCTCTCAGTTTTGCCCTTAGAAACGTCTTAGCTAATGCTTACCAGTTGATGAAGGTCCTCTTCCTTCTGAAAGGTGTAGCACTGTCGATTGTAAGGTTAGCATTTTCGATTGGTATGTACTGATTAGCACTAGACCTTACAAAGCTCTCATATCCTCCTGGGTTTGGCATCAGTGTCATACCCATCTTAGTGACGATACCAAAGTTCGATTGCGAGAATATTCCGCTACAACGCGAGAAGGTCAGCAGGGAATTATTGGAATTGCACGCTGGATGAGGACAGACTCGGAATATGGGCCAAAACCGTAGGGAAATGTCTGCCAGGTATTGTTCCCTGGCAACGCCCCCATTCCCGTTCGGATAACCTCCCCCGTTGGAAGTACGACCTCCAAACCGGCATGGCATGCCCAATGGTCGCCGTACGGCGTATAACCAACACCTCGGTCAACCGTGTTCCCTATTACCGAGCCGCCACCGACATCTGGGACATCGACCCAAAGGTGATCGTATCCTTTCTCTTTGATCGCCTCATACAGAGCGAAGAATGAGACGCCTGGCTCAAGAAGACAGGTGTAGTCTTCCGGGCTAATTTCTAGGACCTTGTTCATGCGTCTACCGAGGTCGACGAGAACAGCTCCGCGAACTCTAGGTGCTGCACCGCCGTATCCCACTAATCCTGTCAGCCTCTACGTTTCACCGAAACTCATATATCTCCAGCGCACATACGATTTCGACCCATTGAGATAGGGTTAATAGGAATCTTGTATTTATTAGCCCATAGGACAATCTGCTGAACCTCTTCAGTACTGCCGGGATAGACGATTGCCGATGGGACCAGCTCTTCGTCATCGACGACCGCCATTAAGTCATGGGTATTTGGATCTATATATTTTTTAGTAAGGTTAATCTCCCATCGTAGTCAACACTTAGCTTACGTTCCATATACCTGCATTAAATGACCAATGTAAGAATACGTATATGCATCAGATTAATCTATTATTAATAGATAGACTTACCATCCATCTCTTAGGGGCTTATCGTTGCGTTCGACATTCTCTTCACCCAACTGCTTGCCAAGCTCGCCTAGCGCATCAGAGAACACCTGTTCATCAATGCCATGCGGAATAACAGGCAATCTATTTCTCGAAGCCTTCGGCTTAGTTCTTGTTTCAAAGACACCGACTTTTGCTTTCCGAGCTTTCTCTAGCAGATATCCAGGAATGCCTGAGTGCTTCTCCGAAAGCAGGGGTACGTCCGACTGGGCTTCCTCTGAGAAAGACATGGCGTAAGTATCTAAGACAACTAAGTAGGTATCACTATGATCTTCAGTGGCTTAGAGGCTGCAGAACTTTTGAATTCTTATATACAACATTCGTAGATGGCCGTGCCAGGAGTATCGCAGAATCCGGTGCTACCCCGCAGGTAGTTAACCTCGTCAACGCATCTGCCGAACATTGACCCTGCCTTATGCCGACCCACTGGCGTAGAAAGGTGGTTAGAACTCCAATTTCATGGAGAGCGCGTGGCTTGGGGGATAATAAATAATCTAGAACGGCTAGATTAAGGGGGCGTCTCCAAAAGTCTCGGGAATCGCTTCCCTAATCTGCACGTACCCGACAAAAGCATAGTAGTTTCAATTGCTGTCCACCATTATCTAATTGCTGATTCAAAGGCTAGAGTGGTATAGCCAAAGCATCCCAATTGTGGCAGTCTTATGATGATCCAGCTATAGCCTGTCTACGATTTATGCAGCCCACCAAGTCTCCACCCTTTTCTCTAAAGACGTGCATATTGCCTACCTACCCACTCTCTACACATGAACAAGACCTAGCTCAAGTCTTATTCAACATATTGAGACAGCATTACCCCGGGTAGTCTAAAACTAGGACCTTCCACGGCCTCGAATACTTTCATAATGAGCTCGTTCCAATTTGGCCTAAACGCCATGTTTCGAATCATCTGCTTCTTTTCTTCCCATTAGTAGTGTTTTTCATGTTATGATACACCAAGTATACACGCTTGGAACTCGGTCATCCTAGTAACTTTCTGAAAGGGAGAGAAGACTCTAGGAGACTGGTGGTTGACTAAACACTTCCTCTACCACTACGCGGTTTATTATTGTATTTTGGTGAAATCTTACAAAGATAGGTACACATTATCATGAAAAGGAGACTTCAAATCACAGTGGTGAGGGAAATGGGTATCACATGACCCATGATACTCTGGCTTGTGCGGGGCAATCTAGATACCTACGTCAGCCCCCACATTTGCCCCTCTAACGTACGACCCCACCCTCACACCGATTGATCGATTGATCGCAGGGGACAAACAGAGCTTCAGCTAGCAAGCTACTAGCTTAGCTCGTCCAACTTTGTTTCATTGCTATACACCTTCTACATTCAAATCATCAACCATTACCTTCTACATACACATACATACCGTAATCCCACTTCCCACCAAAAAAATGCCGGGCGACAAGATCGAGCACCCCACCCCGGCCGAAGCCTTCAAGCAAGCAGCGAACCACGCGGCGCTCCTGCGCGCGCTGTTCCTGCACCCCAAGTTCAAGTACGCGCAGCCGCCGACGGCGGACTTCATCAAGCCGGACCTCGAGGCGACGCCGACGGCGCTCTTCTTCGCCGCCGACTTCGTGCAGAACACGTACATCGAGTACGTGATCCCGTTCCTGCCCGCCGGCGCCACGCGCAAGTGCAAGGCCGTCGCCAACCCCTGGGCCTGGAGCGACCCGGCCTACGCCTGGGAGTGGGAGTGGGACGAGGCGGACGGCGGCGGCGCGCTCAAGGACAAGGATGGTAACGTGAAAGAGTTTCCCAGGCTGCCCCAGCGCGAGGCCGTCGAGAAGGTCACCGATCTCGTCGGTCGCGGGTTCATGGCGAGGAAGGTCATCCTTGAGAACGGGACGGATCCGAAGGCCCAGCTTTTGGCCGGGGGCCAGACGTTCGATTTCGGCGAAGAGGTGAGGAAGGCGGTTGAGGAAACGTATCCTTGGTAGGCGGGGTATCGTTGATGGGCTGATACCAATGTTGATGGTCGCGTCAATGGTGGTTGAGTGCGTCCAACACGTGCGATCACGAGAGTGCATGATAATGACGGATTTAAAAGGGAGTTTGCTTATGAAGGCGAGAATGATATGGGTTTGACTTCATTTAATTAGATAAAAAATGGAAAGAATAAGGAAAGCAGGGCTCTTCCAACTCAAAAGATAGAGAAAGAAATATACAATACAGGCTATATCCTCAACTTGTATCATTCTTCTGAATTCAGATTGGTTTAACTAGGTAGTTTATTTGCCTAGGTAATTACCTACCTACTAAGACAATTCGCCTAGCCTATAAGCCTCCTCCTGATTCTTTATATGCCTCGGCACATATGATGTTCACAAAGTTGCACTAATATCTGAGACATGAGTTCTTTTGACTACTGCTAAGTACCTAGGGTATCTGGCCCCAATAGATCCCATTCGCCACGACGATGTGGACTGGGCGAGTTGCTACAGCGAGACAGAGTTCCCCATACGAGCATTTTCCCTCTTGGTGAGCTAGAACAAGATCACTGGTCACTGGATCACAACTCGGCTTTATTTCTTATCACCTTTGTAGCCGCCCGTAGACCCTCCAGGGCCTCCGAATGAAACGCCTGCACCTCCTCCGATGTTGGACTGGCTCGCACCGGCCATCGCGGCTTCGTTGCGCTGGCCTTGGGTCTCACTTCGAGAGGCGACACCTCCTGACGCCTTGTCACCTTCGGCTGTGACCTAAACATACGATCCCACCGTTAGAGGTAGAAACTTTCATAGGGATGTTGTGCTTCTCGAACCTGTGTGGGTTTGATGTTCCCGAATTCCAGTTTGTCCTTAGAAGCATTGTCTTTCCCCATGTTGATTATCTGTTTGGCCCTTGGCAGTTGAGAGTAACATTGGAATAGAAGTGATACTGACTGCGTCGGTCGTCTAGGCTTTTCTACTGATTTATGTCATACTTCTACGTGTTTATTTGATACGTTAGGGCCTATGTCAACATTACGATAAAATGGGGTCTAGAGGTACCAGGATAGTTGAACATGTGAAGAGGCAAAGATACTTCAGACGGCCCCAACCTTAATCTGTAAAGGGGTTCCCGCCCACAAAGAGCCTGATGATCTAGACCGCTAGGAATAACACATTATCAAGAGTCATTGAGGAGGAACCCAACATTGAAAGTAAAGAATCCCATTGTCGATGCCTTCGTTGGCAACTCTCCCCATTAATTCAGTTGTACAAATAATCCGGATGAAAAACTCCATATACTGGTTTATCTCCGCAATCCCATTCATGTCGATATCCAATATCTCGTTCGAAACGTTCGTTTCTTGGCTCGAAAGTTCGTTACTACATCAACTCGGCAGCCGCTCGTGCTTTTTTACACAATAACACCCATGGAGTTTCTAACTTATTGATCGTATGACTTCGGTTATAGCATGATCGTTTTCGAAGACCTCGCAGCTGATCTCATTGTTATTGATTAGAAGGGATCCTGTAGTAGTATATGCCAGTTAAAATTTGGAGATACATGCCTAGGAATAGAGGAGTTTCAACGTATATATATCGCGTACGACTTTCAAGCGAATCGCGCTAACAGCAAACTTCGGATAGTAAATACGTTACTTATCTAAAGGATACAGATATGAATATACACAGTTTATCTAATAAACGACACATATCACCAATCATCAAGTCCCATTGGATCAAACCACCTGATGGACGGTGAGTTTATTGATATTAGCAAGTTTCAGAATCGTAATTTCAGTTCATTCTTAGTTTCTCTCTTCTATATGCTCGATGTTTAAATCCCTTCACTTGCTCTGATTAAGCTCGTGAGTTAAGGCGCGCTCACCAGTCCTGCAATGTTACAACACTTCCACCGTCTAAAGTTCCTTGCCTTGCCTCATTTCGATGGTCAGCCCATTTTAACCATGTCTCGCCTTATAAGGTATATCGGAATGTTTCGAAAAGAAGCTTGAATCCTTCGACTTCGGGAAACACCGAAAACCAAGCCATGGAAGATAGCAGGGTGGACGATCCCTTCAGCCCTCCAGGGATAAGCAGCTGAAATGGGCTGAATGGGTAACTATTACTAGCCTAGAATGCAACCTTGCGGCACGGCGTCAAAAATAGATGAATTCCGATTGAGGTTCCCGGTCCTCAGCAGCACTAGCGCCACGGTAAATCACGATGCGCATTTGAGGCGCAGGAAGATATCCGACGAAAGGGCGAATTGGGATATCTACCTATGAACTGAGATGCTACCATATACATATGCAGTCGTTAAAGGATATCCAAGAATGCCTCATATATACAGTCCCCAAATGCCATCTAACATAAATCTCTTTTCCGAACGCTCGTGATATCTTCGTCAAATATTAGCTAGATCATAGTCTATTCTGAATAGTATTCCAACACTAGCGGGTCGTAAGTCTCGTTACCATAAGCACTACCTCCATAGTCTAGATATCCACTGATGTACGGTGGAGGGATCTCGCGAAGAATCGTTAGCGCGTCACCAAACACCCAGACGGTCTGCATGCCTGCAATTGAGAGTTAGTGTCAATTTGCTGAATCAATGATATAACAGGAAAGGAAAATATTCTACTAGCTGATAAGCGTCGAGGGGTTATCAATGCATGGGTACGTTGAACTTACCCATAATCATATGCTGCAGGATGTGGCAATGCATCATCCACGCACCCACGTTGTCTTCGGTGACTCGGATTCTCCATGCTCGCCAACCAGCTGTAGTATCGCTTTGACCCTTAGACGTGTACCGGTGTAGCATTGTCGTGTCGCGCTTCATGGGTGTATAATTCTGAAAGCGTTCTTCGTTGGACGCGGCATCGTATGTGCCATTCCCAGATCCAAGGTCCCAGTAATGCTCACCATGTCCATGCATAGGATGATATTCAAACCCACCCGTGGGGCCAGAATTGCTCTGCCAAACAATGTCGAGGACCTCGCCGACTAGGGCCGGGAATGCTCTGGTCCCTGGATCCCATCCGTTATTGGCAAGCGCTGCATCGTAATCTGGAGTTTTCCCATCCATGTATGCTTGAATTAGATAAGGCGTAGTGTGCCGCTTTTGAGCCTCGTCTTCAGTCCATGATAAGTTGTTTTGTCTACAATACTTGTTAGTTACTCTTCTGCTGTCCTTGGATAAGATAGTGGACACTTACTCCCACACCATTGATCCTGTTACCGTGCCGGCATCGTACGAGCCGTTGATAATATCTTGGTGGACCGTGACGTAGAGAGTACGTGTAACTTCATCAAGCGTTGGGAATGGCGTAGGTATGTTTAAGGGTTCGAGAGTATATTCTAACCACTTGGCAACTTCGTCGCCATCAGGCGGTAGCGAAACCGGTGGCTTGCTGGGAAAGTTTGGTAGATTAGGTCGGTGCCGTTTGCTGTCTTGTGGTTTAGATCCGTGATCCGATGAACGACTTCTTCTGAGTTTCGCCGTTGAATTGCTTGAGCTGGTGGTATTACTGTATTGTAGCAATGCATAACCCCCCATATCTTCCGGGCGCCCGCGACTCTCGAATCGAAACCAGTACTGACCATCCTTCCCATCGGCGTCTACTTCGTCTTGGGTTTTAGTCGTGAGTAAAATATCGAATCTCTGACCACTTCCTATTTGGATATGGTCCGTCATGGCAGGCTTTGAGTAATACCCATCCGCAGCGATGACGGTAAGATTGGTATGTTCTTCAATGCCGAAATGAACGAAAGATATAGCGGTCCCGCCAACGAATCGAACTCGATAGGTCGTTTCAGGATCCACATCTATAATATATGGTTTGCAGGAGTCATCAGGCGCATCCTCGAACGACTTGTTTCCCGTGCGGTCGTTAAAGATCAATGCGTTCGGTTCTCCTGACCACTCAAAAGGTGTGGATGTAAGTCCCGTTTCTACTTCTTCATCTGACTTCATATACCAGTCTGCGAACACGACTGGGATATCTTCGTCATACTCATATGGCGGTTCGTCTCGGTCTTCTACTACCAGCAGTCCATGCGCCGTGACTGCTTGGAATCCCATGTGTGAATGATAGAAATACGTGCCAGCATCGCCTACTTCAGGGTGTAGTTCATAATCGAAGAATTTGCCCGGTGCTATAGGCCATTGGGACACTACAGGCGCCCCGTCCGAAAACGGCGCCACTCGCATAGTGAGGCCATGCCAATGCTAAGTCTCAAGTGGTCAGAGGCTGTTATATCTCGGCGTCTTGGTCGAGGAATTCTCACATACCACCGTGAAATTTTTATCAGACATGTCATTGTACACTCGGACCCAAGTCGTCTCCCCCTCCTTTAGGAACAATGGCGGTCCAGGCATTGTCCCATTGAATACCACCGACTCGCGCTGCTCGCAATTCATCGTGATGGTTTCGAAGGTCGCGTGGAGCACATATTCGGGCTGCCATGAGTCGTCATGAATGGACGCCGTCGAAGCGACGACGCATGTTTGCAGCAGCCCTAGTTGAAGTATTAGTGACGGTAAAAGGCCTAAATGCCAGCGCATTTTGAAGAGACGCGACGAACTGATGGGCTCGCGACAGAAACAAGCCAGCAAACCTAACACTATAACGTTGGTAGGCGTTAGATTGTTTTATACAACTTCACATACCGGGGCATGTGAGAGCTAGAGCCGGCCAAGGGTGGACCTGTGGTCAGCTTCGGCAAGCATTAGGAGCGATGGAATGATCTCCATCTTGACTGCTACGGTACGTTCCTGGGACCCTTGTAGGATTGCAGTTGATCTTTGGTGTGAGGACATGTAACTCTAGTCAGGGGGGGGGGGGGGGGGGAACCACATTGAGGGTCTTCAAAATGTGCGAGATCATCCACAAGCTAGGCGGCTAGGCAAAGTGAGTAAGACCTAAAATGGGGTCTACCCGTGGCCCGCCACGCCCATGGTAGTGGATATGTCCTGAAAATAGTTACGCAGCGGAGAGCTAATGTGGATTCGTCACGGTACGGTATGTATTTTACCATACGATCCGCCACTTCGATCGAGAGAGTATCGAGGATGAGGGATCACAGGAGCATACTTCCAACCATAGCCTATCGCAAGTACTGACATGGCCAACGGAGACCGTACTCTTATGTCGGAGCATCGGGATCGGAAATGAGATGGCTAACACGCAGACACGATAACACAGCGGCTCCAGCCGTGGGGCGCCTATGCATGCTGCAGCTCCACAGACAATGTGGTCTAAACCCGAGCTTTCGAGACATCTTTTTTGCTTTTTCGATTCTCTAAATTCCGAAGATGGGCGATCGAGCAGACGGCAATATCGGATACATTGGTTTGCGATGCTTGCTGATTAGATGGGGCCGACCGCCGCACGTCCTGCCGCTGAGTAACGATTGGAACAGATGCCAAGGGTGTCCCAAGTCGAAATTATGAGCTACAAGAGCTACTCATGCCCGTATCGGCAATTGAGAAGAGAATTTATCTTATTCGTCCCCATTCCGTCCTGTTTAGGAAAAATCAGGTCTCACTAAAAGCCTGATTGGTGTGGCGATACAAGTAAAAGGAGTAAGTTAGACAACTAACTCAAACAATGTCCAATGGGTGTTCGAGAAAGGATATAAGTTTGTTAGGAAAGATGTTGTAGATGGTGAGTTTAGAGTTTAGTAAACTTGGAGGGTCCAAAACATTTTGGGACAACGTTTCAGATTCCAGCGTTCCAGTGAGCATTATGCAGCCGTGGCCACTGGCCAGTCAAATTCCAGGTCGTGCTTTCTTTTTCACTGTGCCTGGCTAATTGAATTCAGCTGCTTCGATATTGCTTATCTAGGCCTGTGGCTCCAATGAGATCTCAGGGATAACTGGAGATGAACTTTATTGCTAGAAATCTGTCTTACTGCGCAGGTACAATCGACCCAGGAGCAAGTGACCCGAGGCGCCGCCACACCTGTAACACAGTGCTTAGCCACTACGGGGTACGTATCTTTTTCCCCAACTTCTAACGTCCATCCATGGATTTCTAACCTCATTCTTTCAGAAATCAGCCGCATCTCAACTCACCTCGTATCCCTCCTAACCGCCCATATCAGAACCTAGACGAGCAACGCGGTATCATAAAGTTAGCCAAGTGGTGAGACAATCACGTTATATGTCATAATCTATGGAAAGCCTTAAGACAATTAACTACTTCTCGTGGATTTAATTGTTTGACGTGATGTCTTCTACCTACTTACATATCAGATGCCTACACATGCATATGCCAATCGTCCACATTACCTATCTCTCATGCATATTATATCCTAGCTTTCCGCCATGAAAAGCTTCGCGAGAACAATGAACAGCCTTCGGAGAGCGGAAATTTGGGAATACCGTCTCTCGGTCTCCCAGTCCCGATATGCCGCCTGGAATTAACTGTCACAATGAAGAGGACAGAATAGGCGATTGAGATGCATCAATTTGCCTTGTAATAAAAACCACCCGACGTAGGGCGGTGTTACGTGATGACAGCAGCGACGAAAATCCCGGTATTTAAGACCCGAAGGCGGCATTAGACGATATTTTCCGGGGACATTGGAGCTGGACCCGATGTTGTCCAACATTACACGAAAACTCACGAATACACGGCCGATACGAGTCATGAGGATATTTTCCAGTAACGGGTTCTCTTCGGTACGGAAGAATATGGCCGATCATACATGGATACAATACCCACTCGATCCTCGCTACCAACTCTCGCCTCTCGCGCCTCGGCACGGCACTCACAACAGTAGCCCTGTAGCCCTCATCAACCTTTGCTTCTGCATAACCGCCACAAGTTCATCTCTCAACCTGCACGCCAATGCTACAGAAGCTTGGGTTGATGGTTGACCGCCATTGGCAGATCCGGTTTTGATTAACTCAACGCCACCTTATTACAACAGCCTACTTGAACTTTTATACATGATAAACGGTAACATGAAATTTACGCCTCTCGCTTACAGCGACGCGTCCACTTCGTCGACGATATGGACCTTAATACTTCCGTTCCTAACATCGGCGCACAGCTCGAAAGCCTCAATAGCCTTCTCGAGCGGGAATTTGTGTGTTACCAACTTGTTGAGATCGAGAATGCCACCGCTCATGCAATTGATAGCGCCTGGCCAGGTGTCTCTATATCGATTGATGAACTTTAGGTCGATCTTGGTTGATAGCAACGGGTTAGCTAAGGAACACCAAGAATAACTCATGGATATTGTTCTTTGACAACATGAATAAACTAACCTCGGCAAGGGATAGATGCATGAATGGAATGTTGTTCATCACGGGCCTACCAACGCCAATTACCATAATCGTCCCCCCTCTACGAACAGAGAAAGCGGCCGTGCAGACACTGCTCTCGACACCGGTACATTCCATTACTGATGCCGGCGCGGAGTATTCATCATCTCCGAACAGTTTTCGAATCTCCTTTGCATTTTGCTCGGGGCTCAACTTGGAATTGATCTGGTACGTCTGGCATCGCGGGACAAATTCCTTCGCAAATTCGAGACGTCCCTGGTCAATATCTGTTATGACCAGGGGGTGAGCACCAGAAGCCCTTGCGGCTGCTAAGGCAACGAGTCCAATGGGCCCTGCGCCGCAGACGAGTGAAGGACGGCCCAGCTTTACATTTGCTCCTTTGATGCCGTGCAAAATCACACTCAGCGGTTCAAGCAATGCGCCTTCGGTATAACTTAAGTCATCTGGGATTCTAAGGATGTTAGACCCTCGCCTAGATGGGCGATCATCATCGAGTAACTCAGCCCAGTCAACGGCAGTACTTACTTGTATAGCCACTTTGCAGGATGGACCTTAAATCTCTGGATAGTCCCGTTATATGGCCAAATTCCAGAGAATTTGACATCTTCGCAAAGGTTATACCGGCCTTCCATACAGAGGAAGCACTTTTCGCATGGTTCCTGGGGCTCGATGCCCACTCTATCCCCTAAACGACCGAGTCAGCAAATTCTGGCCAAGGAGAGTCAACTATAAAAGCGTGATAGACAGTTTAGACTCGCCTGGTATGAGATTAGTCACTCCTTCTCCGCACTTGAGCACGACGCCAGCCGCTTCATGTCCTAGGATGCAATCGCCCCTGACCTCCAAAGATCCTATGCGCCCTGATTTCCACAAATGCATATCTGATCTAGACGAAATGTTAGAGGCATTTATATTGAGGGCACATCATAGTTCAAGGAACGGGACTAAGACGTACCCGCAGATTCCCGAACACTTAATCTGCAAAGTGACCTCCCCGGGACCAGGCTCTTGGATAGGAGCATCTACCAGCTTCAACTGGTGGTCTTCGGTTACTTGCAGTGACGGGTTTTTAAACCCCTTTGCGTGACCGTTGGTATGGCCGTTAATATGGCCGTTGGTGTGGCCATTAGTGTGGCCATTTACATGGGCGCCGTTCACATGGGCGCCGTTCACTTCTGCAGACGGCATGTCGAACAAGCTGCGTGTTTCAAAAATAAAATGTCGTAACTCGTTTCACGGAATAAAGCTAGACAAAATCGATATTCGTTTCAGATGGAGGAAGTCCACGATGGCCTAGAGAATGAAAACTCCAGGTCTACCAACGCCGAGGACCGAATCTCAACTTATAACCTTCGCTGCGCCCCCGTTGATTTCTTGATGGCTTCAGTTGATGAAACCTCGGCATTCCCAATTAGGACATCCGGCGGCGACATCGTCAATAAATGTCCCCAAGACCTATCACGGCGTAAGCATGATATAGGCCAATGTGGGGAAACCATGCCCTATTGGTCTATTGATCCCATCCCTGTTCTATTCTCGACCTGTCAATAGTCCAGAACACCCAAATTCGACCTGAAGAGAGATTCAATTCGCCCCTCCGCCACCCGCATGTTCCGCCCGTCAGGCTCGTCTCCACAACTGCATCCTCTTCAGCACGGGGGAAGAGAACACGGTGATGCTACTATGGCATTGCATAATCCCTACCTCACATATCGTCCAGATGCTCCTATAGGACTATATAAGGACAGATCCGGTTTTTGGGCCTTAGCCTCTTAAAACCCTGCACTTAGAGAAGTATAATGGAGTGTTTGCTTCCTCATCCGGGTTATCGTATGTCAGTCAGTATGTGCGATTTACCCTCGCTAAGCCGGCGATTCCTGTCGTATTACAACTCGCTACTACACTTCGGTAGGCATCTATGTAACGCTATATTGCCAAATCTCGCGCTGTAGTATCATGATAGGACTTGAATAGGTAGTCAATCTATTTCATCTACTTCGTCACGAGATACGGACGCGCGTGTGACGACACGCGACTTATGTTTGGCACAATAACGAAGCGCACCCGTTGGCGCCGGCATCCGGACAAGATAGAAAATTTCCTGAAAAGGTCTTTCCGGGACCAAGGCCAGCCCCTCACTAGATTGTATTTCCCACCCCGCCCTTCTTCGGCTTTCCCATCCCGCAAATAGATGGTCGATGGACTAGATTTCTATGGTACGTGCGATGCCGCTGCTTAAATCCGGTCGTGATAGGTACCCAAGGTAAAGTTGGCGACGGGAGGACCCACTCGACATGTGGCGAGATCGCTCTTGACCCTAATCTCGCACATCTCGGGATACGGTAGTGGATCATGCCTAGCGCGAGATTTATCGTTCCGGGAGTACCAGAACTGTCTCAGGATATGGTGAAAGATTTTACAGACCTACATCGATAGATTCGTCATTGTTTTTCTCACATCAAGTTGGCTACGGAATACAATATAAGGCTCAGAGTGACTGTGTCTTATCGGTTTCAAAAGCCAGCGTTACCGCCATCGGTAAAGACGTCATATACAATCTAATAAAAGAAAAGCATAACCAAGATCGACGTTGTGGCAACCAATAGCCGGAATCGAGGCATTTTTTTGCATTGTCGAATACTCGGCGCGGAGGTGGACGCCCGTCTTTTGCCTGTTTGGCCGGGTTGCAATGCTGTGCCTGTCGATCAGGCGAAATCGCACATGTGGGCCACCGGTTAGCATGGAACGGGCCATTCTGCCGGGATCGCGCCGATCTTTGAGAGGTTGGTAATTGTGGGTTTTTCGCTTCGTCGCCGGCGTGCTGTGTCCGTGTCCGGAATGATTGATATATGGAATATATGGAGATTACGGAGGACGCTTTCAAAATATTTTGCCATAGGGAATCCCTGCCAGGCTCGGCACCAGTTGCAAGACCTCCGTTGACAGCTGTCAGGTTGCATCACCGATAATACCCAAGTAATCTCTAACTTCAAGAGCAAATACTGCAACTTATAATCATACTAAATTGATGCACCCTTTTGTGTAAATTTTACCATTCAATCAGGTTTGTAAATGTATAAATTTTAAAAAGTTAGCATAAAGTGGTAAAACGAAACAATTATTTAAAATACGTGTTTAACTTTTAACCAAGGGAACGGCTGCCAGACAGCTGGTCTCAAAGCTGGCAGGTAGGTGCCAGACCTGGCAGGGATTCCCTATGGCAAAATATTTTGAAAGCGTCCTCCGTACTTACGTGGCATTTCTCCCAACAAAATTCCCGTTGCGTGAAGTGCAGTAAATCATAACACCAGTCTAATCATCTAGAAGACAGCTAGAAACCAGAATTTTTTAAACACATTATTTCACCTACCGTGTACGTACCTCTAGGTAGTTAACCGTCTTCATCTCACTTAACTAACATATCACCAGAGTTCTCAGATTCAACTGATGGCCTAGCTGATCAGGTTCGGTCTATTATGAAATATAACACTACCTAAATAGTAAAAGAAGGCTGTATACTATCGTCCAATGACCCATAAATCGCTTCTGATGAGTGTTAATGGATATGAGGGTCTTGTAACTATGAGTTTCCAGATATCATTATCACAGGGCAAGGCAATGCGATGAAATATCAAGCGACATTGACATGGCGGATGGGATAAAAAAAAGCAGAGTAGAAAGCGATAGAATCTGTTCTCAAACGGTGCTTACATCTCGGACAGGGCATTGCACAGACAAAACAAACAAAACAATTGCAATTTATTTGACTGCCTCAAACAAACATAAATAATTCGAGAGTCCTGTTTGTTCG